ACCCTCACTCCATTGATGAAGAAAGGAATTTACTTGGCTTCCCTATCAAGCTCTAAATAACATAGTTTGGCATTTCATGTTCTTGCAGCAAGGACCAGGACGTATAAAGTATACAAAATTTTAGGAATTGCCATGTGGTAAATCAAGACATTTACGCGCATGTTCCTTAGTCAGTTTAATGGCGTTGGAGGATTATTTTGTCTGTTTAGACTTAGCTAACGTATTTTTTATTATCACACATAACAACATTGTAATAGCTTCTACAAAAACCAATAGTTCCCATGGAACAGTCATCACTTTTTCTTATTTTATAATTGAGTTTAAGCACTTACCTATGTAAGTTTACAAAGCCGCGTGAAGACAGAATATATTTTAACCGTCTTTTGACGCAAATTTAAATAGAATTGATATCAAACCAACCCTTACGATCAATAACAAAAGAGTAAAATGTCCCAAAGCTCTTGGAGTTCAAATAGACAAACAGTTGAACTGGAAATAACATCTTGAATATATATTAAAAATAAAATATCGTTAGGTATTGAAGCTGTAAAGAAAATAAGAATATTTACTAATAGAAGCAGTTAGGTTTTGGTATTAATCCTCTTTAATCCAGCCATATTTTGACTATTGTTGCGAGGTTTGAGACAAACTCGTGAAAATCTCTGTGAAAGGCTCCAAAAGTTGTTGAATAGTGGGGCAAGACTGATTATGAATGTAAAGAATGAACAAGGTCAGTCTGCGTAAGCTCGTAACTCCCTTGGCTGGAGGTCAATTGAAGAACTCAGAGCAGAAATTAAAGCTATAGAAGTATGTACAAAACAGTCAGTAACTTAGCTCCCAGTAGACTGATTATAATCTAAAAGATTCTTTCACTAAACTCTATTGTCTAATATCATAGACGAAATTCTGAAAACAAAGTTTTTGCTTTGGCAAAGCTTAACTATGGAAGCAGGTATTTAATAAGATAAGAAGTACAATATTGTTAGATTCGTTTTGTACCTCAAAGATTTCCAATATACTTTATTTGTACATTTTTCCAAAAATAGTAAGTTCTTTATAGTTTAGTCTTATTACAATTGTAAACACATCACTTTCGTAGTCCAGTAAAAATATGTTAGAAAAAGTCTACTAAAAGACAACCCCACGATTTTTTGACATTTTGTTCATATAAAATGACGATTACATCGAGAAGATAAAAATGACGATTACATTGATTACACTTGAAATCTGTTAAAATACTATAAGCACATTTTCGCTAAATAAACTATTTCTTGTTCCAAAGCACATCGTCACTGTATAAGTTTAGTGTTGAATGGACAATATCACATTTAAACACGAGTATGATTTTTTGCCACAATGGAAAGCGAACGATTTTAACAGATTGTCACACGGCTTTGTAAACTTACATAGGTAAGTGCTTAAACTCAATCACAAAATAAGAAACAGTGATAACTGTTCCACGGGAACTATTGATTTTTTGTAGAAGCCATTACAATGTTGTTATGTGTGATAATAAAAAATACGTTAGCTAAGTCTAAACAGACAAAATAATCCTCCAACGCCATTAAACTGACTAAGGAACATGCGCGTTAATGTCTTGATTTACCACATGGCAATTCCTAAAATTGTGTATACTTTATACGTCCTGCTCCTTGCTGTAAGAACATGAAATGCCAAACGATGTTATTTAGAGCTTGATAGGGAAGCCAAGTAAATTTCTTTCTTCATCAATGGAGTGAGGGTGACAAATACTAAGTCAAACATACTGAACATTGTAAATTTGAGCCAGAAGAAATGGATGCAATAAATGTTGGTTTTTGCTAATCACTTGACATGTTTTCATCGAAATCGTAAGTCTCTCGTCTGGATGAGAGGTATAGTTGTCGGTGCGGTGCTCAGACCTTCCCACGTTCAAATCCATGTTGTTTTCTTTACTGAGTGGAACACTTATGGTTGTAAGTATGGCTATCGCACCATCTCGGGTTCAATACTGATCTGATCATCGTTTTCTTTCACTTCAAAGTTTAAAAAAATGAGGAAATACGCCAAAAAACCTGAAGCATTCGATGATGAGCGATTAGCTCAACTGGCCGATGTTGGGCGCTTAGTTCGACATCACTGACCTCCCGTGCACAAGATCCTTGGTTCGCCCCTCTGCTGACACACTTAGGTGTACGAGGCGGATGTGGAAGACAGAAAGTTGAATTGAGGAACAAGTGTTCGGAGGTAAGAAAGGGAATATTAGGGCGTTCTGTTTGCTCTTGGGTTTCCTGACTTTTCAAAATTTAAAAAAATAACTCCCTGATCACAGGGAGTCATAAAAAAATTTGAGCAAAAGACTTAGTTTTTTTAAGAGTGGTTTTTTGCATGGGATCCTATCTTTTTTTTTCTTCGCTCTCCTCCTTCCTCCTTCTCATCGGAGAGCGAATTTTTCTGAATTTATACTAAGTGTCGCATTCCATTCTCTAAAAACTCAGTAATAGAAATGCCATTTTTCCATTGTTAACCAGCATTATTTCCTCATTTCTTAGCTCAACCTAGATCTAACTATACCTTATTGCAGACAGGGTTTGAACCTCCACTTTGCAACCTCGAAAGGTTGTGTCTTGTAGTAGACCAGAGAGTTCGTTGGAGACTAATGCTCAATTTAATGTACCATTCCTGCTTTGTAATAATTAATGCAAAAAAAAAATGACCATTAAAGGTCTGGAAACAAGATTATGGAAAAGCTTCGATCCAAAGAGAATGTAAGAAAAGTGTAGAAGTCTTTATAATATGTTATATTGATAGTCATATACAAACATACATAGTAACTAGCTCTGGATAAGTTCTATATCGAAAGAAGTAGATGCAACTATGTCTGTACAAATCGTACACATACATCATGTTTCTTGCGGTAATGATATGAAGATTTCTCGTTGTGGCGACTGTCAATAGTATTTTTATTGTTCCATTTCTTTTTGTCGTTGATAAATATGACGATGATTCATTTATGGTTTGCCGTTGATGGATCAGGCTTTCAACCAGTTGATAACATTTTTTAAAAGATCCAAGAACGAGCTATGAAGAACTTATGGGCCTTCTTATAGTAGGAAATGCATTTCGTTATCGTTTAGCTTTTGCAGAGTATTCTTCAGGATTGTCGTACAGATTTCAAGCGTCATACTCTCCAATTGAACTACATGGTTTGTTACACCAAAAGTATGTCCACCATAGGTTTACAAATTTTTATTTTGGCTGCATAGTTGACGACGTAGCCACATACATCTCTAAATACTATGAAGAAACCAGCTGTCATAAGACACACAGTGTATAGTCGTGGTGGCGTCAGTTCTATACAACATTTGGTCCGTTGTGTTACAGCAGCTCTCGATGTCAAAATTTCCAAATAAAGTGTATGCTTATCACATGCTTTGATATGGCGCAGAATATCCACTAACATATGTTTTTTTTTCTGGAAGACATCGCTTCAACTCCGCTTCGATAATTTATAATTGTGTAATCCTCGATAAGAATCTTTTCCCTTTATCCGCCAATTCCTCCTCGACGTCAAGGTTGACGTGTTTCGCCCTCCACGTGGTCTTTCATCTTAACTTCCTTCTGTAAATTGTTTTATATCCAAGTTATCGCTCCCTTCGTCGAATTTGACTTCTCCCTTGCTCTGCCATTGCGCTTTGCTGCTGTTGTTTCCACTCGCATTTAATCTGGATTGTTTCAGCTGTACATTTATGTGCTTTCACGCTTATTATGTACGGGCTGTATAAAACAACTGCAAATACCCATAAATTTTATGCAAAAGTTTATACGTTAGAATTTCAATGAATGTGCATTTAATTGTGCTTCGGGGATTTACAAATACGTCAAAGGGCCATTCTTAATCGAACTGGTTTCAATTTACTCTATGTATTTATTGTGATAGTACTTTATGTGGAAACGTATTTTCAAATCCCAGAAGCTTTATTATTCTCACGGTCGTCTTGTGCATACAATCCCGACATGAACGACATGTTAAAAAGACGACAGGAACAACATTTCAAAAAGACGACATGTCACGCCTATCTTCGTGTGCAACGGTCTAAATCATTGAAAAACAAGACACCAGAATTATCATCAAAAGCACAATTAATTACTACTAGTTTACTCGTTTGTAAATGTAGATCGTCCAGGTTGGTATAGTCCTGCGAAGGACTGTTTTTGTTGTTGTTGACTGACTTTTCGACAACCTTAGCGGTAGTCATCTTCTTTTGACTCTGAAGCCAGAATTGTTTTAACCAGCTTTGCAGCCCCAGGCATTTGAACAGCACAAAAAGCAAAATAACGTCAGGTAATCTATTTTTTAAGGGTGCTTGGTTGGAGACTGGAGATTGCTGGTTAGCTCAAGCAGTGTCATTTCAACACACAACCACTGAAAACATGAATATATCTTATAACTACTGTATCAATACTGATTATCTCATTTTATTTTTTAACTCAACCAACAAGTGTCTTTAATATCCATCATTATCTCATTTTACCATCTAACCGATCAACAAGTCTCTTATCTTCATCATTAACTTACCAGCACCATAGGAACTTGTATGATGGCGATTGCTTTACGGTATTCACAAAGCTCTTTGCAGTCAACTCAGTACGTCGGTTCAAAATTCTAAAACAGGAATACATCTTAGTGTGATCGTGACGTTACTGTTTATGGCAACCTAGCTTTTTAGCTACAAAAGACGTAACTAAATGAACAGGTGACCCATCCCAAAGACGTAACTAAATGAGCCGGTGACCGACAGGGTATTGAGTATAAAAACAATGGTACCTAAATATTCAACCCAATCAGCGCCCGTGATTTTTTAAAAAAGGCTTCCTATTAAAAATCTACTATGTGATAACTATGAAACATGCCAACACTTCTTGCCCCACTGTAAACAAACTGAAATGACCTAGTGCTCAATTTCATGGAATCATGGTAAATGACAAGAAAATTTCTAAGAAATGATACAAAATACGAATTGTAAAATTTGATTTTATTAGTTATTTTCATACACGTTCTCACAATGCCATTACATATTTTATAGAATAAATTTTACTATGTACTTCAACAAGTGTAAATCTGAAAATGAACAGTAGTTTTTAACTGACTAAAGTAAACATTTGCAAAAATGAGTCAACAAACATATGAAAACATTACTATAAGTAATCATAAATATGGCCATCAGAGCCAAACAACAAATATCTGGATCAATTTCTGAGATGCTTGCTTTCACATATAAAATTTCAGTTTGTGGAATTACATGAAGTTCAGAAAAGATCTAGTTTAACTATATTTATAATATAGGTTAAGACGAAAATTATGACAACTACAAAATAATTTAATTATGTTGACTACACCAATTATTTTTCTTTGACATTCTGTACCATAATAGATAAGGACTCAACAAGATTTCTTTCCATGAAAATCATGTAGAATACTGACAAATGGAAATATACTAAATGCACCAATGAAAGATCCAATCTGTATGCTCATACCACACCAATACAAAGCTCGATAACTTTGCTCTCTCATAATAACTGATATGGTCAGTCGAATGTAAGTGCCAAACATACCAGTTATAAGACCTGAAAGCACCTGACAAAAACACATATAGTTTTGTAGAGTATTTCAGAGGTGAAGTTAATCACATTTTGCTTTAATCCAAGTCAAGATTTGATGATATGCTGAACTAAATACAAACAGAGTTAAGTTTCAACCAAAAATTAAAGGAGCTAGCTATATCACTATCTGTCTGCAAGCAAGTGCTATAGAAAATCATAAACCTAAATGTAAATGCATGAAAGGATGGGTGATCAATGCAGGCTTATGCACAAAAAGGAAAATATTTCAACATACCGCAAGAATAGCTCCAGCATCAGACTTGTATAATAATGGTGTTGGACTTTCACTTGCCAAAATGACTTGGTATGTAGCAGCTGCGATAAAAACAAATGATACCAAGAAAAGAGTCTTCTGTGACTTACTCTTGAACCAAATTGTAAAGAAACAAACAATGGATGACAAAATTGGCCCCAATGAAGAAACTGAAAATGAGATAAAAATCGTAATTGTTTGCATACAAAGGTGTTGATGCTATTCTCTCCAGTAATATTCAACAAATGTTGTAATATATATGCTAGAAACTTGATTGAGAAAGCATCTTCAAGATAATATCTTACCTAAATGATATGAGGGTCCTCCATAAGGTTCAAATGAATATGGTGACAAAGATGGAAGAATACCAAATGAAAAACCAGAAACAATTGCTTGAATGAAAAAAAATACCAATAATTGAGAAGAAGATAAACACGAGCTATCACAGCAAAAACCAAGATGAGCCTCTTCAATCAAATCCTCTGTGTCTTCCTCCTGAAGAGCAGATGCTACCATAACCTCTGATGATTGTTCTTTCTTAGCAAAAGACAGTGTGTTTAAGCAAATGAAGGCTACACACGATATGAGCATCATCAACAGTAGAATGATGAAATATACTGATCCTGAGAACAAGAGGCCATCATGCAAAGATGTTGAATTCTGTCCTGTATGATTGGAATGATTGCAGGTTGGTGATCCTTGAATAATTGCAGCGACACCAGGTAAAAGACCACATAAGGATTCTCCAATGTATAATGCTGTGATGTAACGCGGATCATAAAACGACATAAATGTAAGGAAGACCACAGACGATGTACAATCCACTAACGCCAAAAAAAACACCAAAACCATTAACACGACACTGTGGGCTTTCCCGTCTATCATCGTCGTTTCTTTGTACCACAATGCCAAAAATAAGCAGGAAAGAATGCCAATAATAAATAGCAGGTAAATGGTGAACTTTTCATTAAAAATTCGCGGACACAAGCGGTTGGCAAGCGAGAAAAGTAATGGACCAGCAAATCCAAGTTGAATTATTACAACTGTGTATGAAGCAATTTGCCATTTTTCAGGAGCTGAAAGTACGATGACTGGTAGCTCAGACCAAATGCCGTTTACAGTAATCCAAGAGCTCAAAGCAAAGCAAGAAATGAGACCGTATGTTCGCCATGAAATTCCAGTGTTGAGGAAAGCATTTTTTACTTCATGGTAGCTGTCAACTAGTCTTTGTCTTTCCATTGCTCGCAAACAAGCAAAGTAAACCATGACGAATGGCAAATTCAAGTATTAAATAATAGAGGTTACGACACAAAAAAACATAATTTATGAGCGTCCAAGGAATTGAAAACAAAGGAAATATTGTATAAGATATTATATAATACACTAGTTGCAGTAAAAAAATTTTTTGTACTATGATCTTTGAGTTTTTACTTTGGACAAGGAAATATTATAAATTTCCTAAATTATCCTTTAATGGTATTATTCATATAATTCACTACAACGATTTTCAGTCGTTTTGTTTTGCTAAACACACAGTGACAATTTATAATATGCTTAAAATTTAATGGTTTTGTTTTGGCACAATAGGTTTTATTTTGCCAGAGAAAGCTATTGACAGACAATGAATGCCAAGGAAATATCTCATACATAATATGGGAATTTTCACTGTCAGATGCCGATGGTAGTATTTCATTTGTTTAAATATTAAACTATTTATGACTACCACGACAATTTACGTTATGTCTTTTTAAATAATTGGATTTTCTTGTTTGATTTTAAATATTCTTAAAACAATGGTTAGGCTATCACTTAAACGGACAGTGAAAAATATCACAATATTTATGGCCATAGTTATCACTTACTTTTGGCTATTTTCAAACAGTCGTATACCAATAAAGGACGTTAATCAAGATACACATGGTATGAAAAAGTTGTTGATAGATAATTTTTGGGTCCCCGAGAAACAACTGCAAAGTGTTAGAGGACTTGGAGATGGTGGAAAAGCAGTTAAAACAAGCGCTGAAGAAGCAAAACAAAGAGAAAAAGCTTATGCAGAATATGGTTTTAATCAATTTATTAGTGATAAAATTTCTCTAAACAGGACTTTGCCAGACACAAGGCCAAGAGAGTATGTATCACATTCAAATTATCAAATGCACATTGCATTCTTTTCTTGATTTCACATGCCATATTTCCTATTTGATGCAAACCCTTTATGACATCATATTCATATCTTCAGATGTAAATATCGACATTATTTGACAAGATTGTTAACAGCATCAGTAGTTATAATATTCCACAACGAAGGATGGTCAACATTGATGAGAACTGTTCACAGTGTTTTAAACAGATCACCTCCCAGAATGCTCAAAGAAATTGTTCTTGTTGATGATGCCAGTCAAAAAGGTAGGTTTAATGTTTCAGTTGTTGACTGAGATGAGCTAATGCTTCAAATGAACTCTATGATACAGAATAAGGTATTTCACGACAAAATACACCTGGGTTCAACTCATGGAAGTTAAAGGCACTGGTGTTTGATTTGAGCATGTATTGCATGAAAACACTACACACTTGAATGAATGCCATTGATTTGTGTTTGCAAATGAGTGGAAGTTGTGGTTTGAAAATTAAGTGAATTCTATTATAATTTTGCAGCCTTTCACTTAACATAGTGTAAATTATAGAGGTTTAAATTAATTTGAATGCCTCAAGGATTATCTTTATGACAATCAGTTGCGCATGATTCTATTTGTGATTGTGAGCCATCATTTCCTCCATTGAAAAAATCTATAATTTCAGAACATTTAAAATCTCGCCTAAACTCCTACATAAAGACACTAGGAAAAGTACGTTTAATAAGATCAAAAGAAAGACTCGGTTTGATTCGAGCACGCATGCTTGGTGCATCAAACATCTACGGTGACGTAGTGATAGTCTTGGATTCACACTGCGAAGTCAATCAGGGATGGTTACCACCGCTTCTTGAACCAATAACAATGGATGAACATGTTGTCACTTGTCCTATTATTGATTCAATTGATCACAATACATTCGCATACAGGCCAATGGGATCACATATTCGAGGTACATTCAACTGGAGGTTTGATTACAAGGAACGAGAGATCACTGATGAGCAACGAAGACAACGACGAGATACGACGGAAGAAGTGTGGTAATTTTTCATTGCTTCAACATGTTACTAAAGATTTCTTTTTTTTACACAAAACATGTATACCCAAATTTTACTTCTAAGAAAAGGTTTTTTTGACAAATCATTAATACAACTCTTATAATTTCTTTTTGGTTGAATTAATCATTTATCCGACAAATTTCTCTAATTGTTCCAATGAGAAAGAACGACCAAGTGCCTATTCAATTATCACCAACATTCTACTTAAGTGGCCAACACTTATTTGCAGGTCTCCTGTTATGGCTGGCGGACTGTTTGCTATAAGTAAAAAATTTTTCGACAAACTAGGCCAGTATGATCCAGGGATGGAAGTCTGGGGTGGTGAACAGTATGAATTGTCATTTAAGGTACGTTATTATTTCCTTTTTCAGCAAATGATTTTTTACGAAAACTTTCAAACTAGCGAGCTATATTGTAAAAAACTGCATACAACAATATTTCAGGCTTATGTTCAATATATGATTACTCCGTAGATTTGGATGTGTGGTGGGAAGATGGCAAATATTCCATGTTCACGCGTAGGTCACGTGTACAGAAGAAACGTGCCCTACACTTATCCTAAACCAAATGCCGTTGTCATAAACTTTCGTCGCGTAGCAGAAGTTTGGATGGATGACTACAAACTATGGCTGTACGATCGCCGACCGGATTTGAAGACCGTCACAGACTATGGTGATATATCCGAGCGGGTTGCACTTCGCAATCGCTTACAATGTAAAAGTTTTAAGTGGTATTTGGAGAAAGTTGCCAATGACACGGTTCCTCAAGACTATCAACTATCGAGAAGTTACACACAGGTAAGAACTGGATGTAAAAAACACAAATCACACTGTTTATCATATGGTCTCACACACTAAAAATCACAGCTGTCATACAACAGTACTCCATCATAATATTACCAGATATCGTGATTATATGATTACGTCATCTAATATAGGTACGTAATCCAGCCACAAACCTGTGTTTAGATACTATGGGCAGAGGACCTGGACAACAATTGGGCGTTTCAGGCTGCCACGGATTGATGGGAAATCAGGTAAAACGCATTCAATGAACGAGTAAGTCCCAGTTATCAAATATAATTAATAAAATATTTTTGGGCTCTCTCAAGAAAAGTTTCTTCCTATAAAATCAGCGCTTGTAACTAAACTAAACTAAGAGCAAGTACCATTTCAGGGTTTTATATATTCATACAAGAGAGAGCTTATTCACGATGAGGATTGTCTAGATATGGAACAACCATATGCTGGAGGTGCTGTATTCATAGAGAGATGTCACGGATTACGTGGTAGTCAGCAATTATTTCTTATCAAGGTAAGAAATAAGGCAGCCACTTATACACAACTGACGTAATTCGATCGTCCACGTAGTTTAATATTTTTACTGCTAAGACAATGTCTCTTTTAAAGACAGTTAAAGTAAAGGTCCTATGTGTGTTACTATAGCAGATAGTTTCTGCTGGACACTTATGCGCAGTTCATGTAAAGTTTTCACGTCAAAATATGTCAAAATTTACGTAATGAAGTTTTTTTTCACGCTAAGATCCCCTGATTTTTTGTTTTTTCTTATTCAAGGACAAAACACTATACTATAAGCCAGCTAAACTGTGCCTGTCGATTTCAAAAAAGAACAACAATCAAATTATTTTGGATCGCTGTGATGAAAACAAATTGCAGACATGGGAATTAAAATGAAATGGCAACAAAGACAAGCGATTGGTAGACTGGATCGAAGCCGTTCGACACTGAAATGAAAATTGACATCTTGTGTTCTTTAAGCACATTGACTTCTCATAAAAATAATACATTGAGAAGATGTTGCGTGAGGTACAAACGAAACGTTGTTCCAAGTTTGTTGAAACACAAATACAAAGATTTTTTTATTAACTATTACTTGTTAACAAGCATTAATTCTAAGTCGGACTTGGTGGATGCAGGGGTGTATGGGGGTGCTCAAGGACATTTTAGATATGCGTGGCTACTTTGCACATGGGTGTCCCTGTGTCATGTTTGACTTTTTTGTTGAATTCTATTACTTTAGTCCATGATTGTGATTTATTTTTTGAATTGTGATCACAATTGGTACATTGATATTTCGTACAAAAATTACCTCCCTCCTGCACCCCCTTTTGGCCAAAGCTAGGAGGGTTGCACACTACTGACAAAATTCTACACTATAGTTTCTTCCTACCTTTCTAAAAATTCCAAATACGTCAAGAGGTTCATCTAAATGTAGGTATAGGTCTCGTCTCTTCGTAAACACCACAAGCTTCATATGAATATTCTTGATAACCAAAAGCGTGAGGACCAACAATCTTTAAAGCCTTCTCTGTACGCAGCAATGGTGAACAAGGTAAAACTATAACAGACACGCGTAGACCGTAGCGAACTTCCTCATTTGGGATTACTTCTCCGCTCTGTGAATCCAGAATGGAGATGAGATCAGGGACTGTCGCCAAAACTTTCGCTTCTCCATCACAAGTTATTATTTTGGCAACAATGTTCTCATTTTTAAAAAGTATTTTCATTGAAGACTTAGCAAACTTATCCAAACCGTCGATGTCAGTGACACCTTTGGTAAAACCATCTTCTGTTCGTCTATCAACGTCGGTTATCTAAAAAATACCATCATTATTTCTGGCATGGCTAATCACAATATCAATTGAAAAGTTATATAAAGCAGATGGGAGAAGTTATATGGCAACTGTGGAGTACAATGGAGTAACCAAATTAGGTCTCAATAACCACGTGTTCATTGAAACTGAAGAGTCCACAGTCACACTTGACTTAAGATGGAGTAGATCACTAGATGTAGTAGATGTCTACATGAACTAATGTGTAGTTTGTTGAATAACTGCGGTGTACCTTTCCAGTTATGAGAAGCTTTCCATTCTGTGAGTCGAGGATAGCTTTTACTGGACATTGTTTTTCCTTTTGAGCCATTTTCACTGCATTTCCTAATGTCCAAGCTCGACTTATTGAGAACATTACCGTGTGTTTATGAATTTCTTCTCGTGTCAATGGGGCCATTGTTAAACCAGCCATACATCTGGAAAACAAGAAGAAAAAATACACGGTTATAGTTATCCCACAATCCTATGGTGTCGTCAACAGTGACAACACAACCAAATTTGGACGACAAAGACTCACCCCATTTCAGCTACAATCAACTCTCGCAAATCGTTCTCTAAATCTTGGGCAGTGGCACAATATGTTATAACTTTGCTGGATGTTTGGGAAGCAACAATTGTCGATGGACATAAAGGTAATCCTTCAATGCTTGGAACAAACATTTCTAGCTGTGGAAATGCTCGGCCCATGCCATCGCAGTCGACCACAGGCAACCCAAGTTGTGCACCAAGGACGAGCGGCAGAACAGCGTTAATTCCCCCAATCTCAGCGCACATTACGGCGACAATCCTTTTGTCGTTTGCTATCTATAAATCAGCGCGATTCAGGGCAATAAATTTCTCCTAACCTAAAAGGGGACGGGGAAGAAGGACGCCATTAACACCCCATAGTATTTATTATAATATCACACATTTATAACTTTTCCTTGCTTTATCTGCGATGGCTTAAAATAAAACTGCAATCTTACCTTATTGATTTCATTTGATGGCAAATTCTTCACGTACTTCACGCCACGTTTCGACGTTGTATATTCCAAATCTTTTTCGTTACAACTTAAAAAAATTTGCATTTTCTCGGCAGCAAGGAGTAGTTCGTCACCAGCAAAAATTTTTTCAATAAAAATAGACGGAGCTCCCATGAAACCAACAGGTATAACAAGACCACGGTTAGGAAGACTTCGTGTACAACACATAAAAAACACAATCAGAATTGAAAAGAGTCGAAATCATGAAGTAAATAGACGTATTTTGACGACACGAGGTTAAACTGGTAGAAGTTACCCACATACCTACCTATCTGGATGAATAATCCGCAACTCTTTGCCAGACCTCAAAGCCAAGATAGCACTCAACCTGCCGAGGTAAGGGTCACCTCCACCACCACAACCCAATATACCTGCCCCAGTTGCAATACAATTTACATCGTATTCATTAAGTAGCCATTCTCCACTTGAACGATCCACATTCAGTTCTGCTATTTTCACGTCTATTGAAAGTATTTTGTGTCTAATCCTGTTTCCTGCAATTCATCTTCGCTTGAAGAAATCTCTGTACGGTTATTCTTTACGTCAATTTCTCTTCTATCTTTAGCGTCTTCCAAACTAGCAGCAGACACGAGGGAACTTTGCTGATTCTTATCTAAAAAATACAAGAAGCTAATAACTTAAGGGAAAAAACTTTTTTTCTGACATCAAATAAATGAAGCAAATTAAGAGAAGATAAACAAATCCACTTTACAAAATCTCTGTCAACGAGAATCACACCTGAAGTACAAAATAAGACATTTGATAACTCAAGTTTCTGATCATGGTGCTCCCGTCTCAAGATCACTTAACTTTCAGATATATTCTCGAGAGCTCTCCAGTGCCGTAAATTTTCAAAGCAATTGTCAGATTTGGAACTCACCAATTCCTAAATCTCCAACAGCTTTGACTTTCAAACGCAGTGCATGCCCTTTGAGGTAAGCTAACTGAATTTCTGTTTTTTCAACAATCACAACAGACTCAACTTGGGCACCATTATGTACACAACGTTTCTTAGCAAGAGCTTGCCCCTTTTCCAAAGCCTTTTCACGAGTTGTACAACTCATATCAAACACATGATCAACCACGCCACTAACTTGACTTAAGGCTGCCCCAACTGCGTTAGCCACCTAAAGTGTTGAGAGCAAAACTTACTTAAGAAATAAATTTCCAGAAAGATGTCATTGTGTGCTTTAATCAAGAGTGATGATATTCAAAATGTAATGTGTACTTATAAGGTTATTATTACATACATTATTTTGGTTTTTATGAGGTTTGCAGGCATGGACCATAGTTAAAGTTATTAACACTTTGGTTAATGTCATTCAGAAAATGACACTTTCAAGTTCCATGCATCTCATTATACCTCAAAATGTTCAGGCTTTGTCATGAAAGAAGCTCCTTGCAATGACTTGGTAACATCCACCAAGGCAACACCACCTCCCACAAGAATGACAGGCTGGTCACCAGCACAAACCTTGAAAAAATTGAAAAACATTCATGGAAAAGTTAATGAATTGTCTTAAAACATGTCTTAAGAGACTTTCATTTGAACAATGTGTTTTCATGAGGTATTCTGCAATGAAAGATTATTCATAATTATGTATCTATTTATTAGTTTGCACACCTTAACATGGTCAATACAGTACTCCAGAATTTCTCTGCAAGAGATCATCACAGCATCAGCTAGACAGTTATCAAGATGCAAAACTTTGCTGGCTTCTCCAATATTACACAACCCAGCTGCCACAGCAAAATCAGTGGTAGTTGAAATAGATCCTCCAAACACTAACGACTTTGTGTTCAGTTCGTTCCCAACACTGTGTGGTCCAATAACTGGCTGCAAGATAGCAGTAAGCAATCAAGGTCATAGAAGCTTCACCACTCTGTGGAAATTTTTTTGTCTTATTCTAAAATGATCAACTATTTAAAGCTTATTGTACCTTGGATTCATGATTTGATACAATTGATCCACCTCCCAGTGCAAAACTAAAAACATCAGGCATTTGAAAATTGGTTGTCACTCCACCACAATTCACCTTGGTTGATGAGAGTCGAGGAAATCCACCAACCAACACTCCCACATCAGTTGTAGTTCCACCTATGTCAATTACAATGGCATCTTGCTTTCCTGACAAGAAGGCTGCACCTCTCATACTGTTTGTTGGGCCAGACGAAAATGTAAACACAGGAAATTGTAAACTTTTTTCGGCACTATGAATAAAATAGCATCAAAAAATTGATGATAGCAATTGCTCACTTTTTGATCATAATTACTTGACTGTTATTACAATTCAATTATAATTACTTGATTCACCTATAATTCCTTGACTGTTCATACAATTCAAGAATAACTTGAACATTCAATGGCTTAGAAATAAAGCAAATATTTATGTATATGAATATATAACCGACTCATACCAAATAATTGTACCATCATTTTGAGTGAAATAAACAGGGCATGCCAAACCAAAATCTCTCACTACTTCAGTAAAAGCTGACATTGCAATTTTACTCAGTGGCTTCAGGCATTCGTTTAGAATTGATGAATTTTCCCTATCCAGGAGTCCAAGATTTGCTATTTGGTGTGACATAGTAAAGCTAGCTTCAGGATACTCAATTCTAAAAGGTCACCAACATCAAGTTCTTGCTTGTCGCACGTAATTGAAAATATGCCTGACACAACAAGATGTTTTGCACCTATACAAATATATGCTGTTGAGAATACATAGTACACTTCTGCGTGGTGCTTAGCTATAATTTAAGCAGCTTTAATAATTTTTCTCATGGTATTTTGTGTTTTATGCTACAAAACTGACATAGTTTCTTTTCTTTTTTTTCAGTGTTACCCAAACAAAAATTTGAATTGCAACAGAAGCACAATAACAATAACGAAAGGGGTTACTCTAGTTCAAAGATTGCTCGCTAACAAAGTAAATTGAGCATTGAAAACAAATATAAAAAAGGCATATTTAAAACCACAAATTTTCCCGTACCATTTTCTTTTAATTCTTTTATGACCTGCAGAACTTCATCTGGTCTTACAGGCGCTATTTCTTTGCCATTAAATTCATATCCTCCATCAACAAAATGGTAGCTTTTGCACACGACATGACGCAAGTCTTGAGGAAAATCGCAGAAAGGTGGCAAAGATCGAGAAGCAGGACCACACAGTCGTATTACTGAAACAGGTGCCAAACCTTTTCGTTGCAAAACAGCATTAAGAAAATATGTTGTACCTATATTCACACGGCAAACTCCGACATCGCTTCCATCGTAGATCCTTGCCAATTGTTGAAGAACTGATCCTAGGGCTTTCTTAACTCCAATTGTGGTCAAAGCAGTTGTAGGTTGTTTACTTTTTGCAACAACTTTCCAATTCAAAAGAGCGACAGCGTCAGTGCTAGTGCCGCCAACATCAATTCCGATACATACGTTAAGTTTTCTATCCATTCTTGTAATTTCAAATTTGCAACATTCCCGCTTACTGTTTCCCCTTGCGTGAATAAATGGGATAATTATTTTAATGCCTGATCATGTGAACAGAAAAGAATGTCTCTACATAAATAGAAAACATTGGAGACAAAGACATGTTGTCTAGTTTTTGGATGAATGCATGAACGAATTGACTTTAACTCTTCTTAAATAGAGTAACCATTCCTAAATAGAGCAACCATTCCTAAATAGCGCAACCATCCTAAATACAGTTACTGCTTCAAAATAGAGTCACCTTAATAAAATCACTATTCTTAAACAGACTCACTATTCCTAGGTTCTTCCATTGCATCTTTGGTCTGGTTCAGTCGTTCTACAAGCTTTCAGACGTAAATAACTGGAACATGCTTGTTGGCACTATACATGAAATCAATGACATACGTAATGTTAGTGTGAAGCGATGTTGTAAATCTTAACCATCATCAGATCACGGATGAGCAACGAAGACAACGACGAGATACGACGGAAGAAGTTTGGTAATTTTTCATCGCTTCAACATGTTATTAAAGATTTCTTTTTTTTACACAAAGCATGTATACCCAAATTTTACTTCTAAGAAAAGGTTTTTTTGACAAATCATTAATACAACTCTTATAATTTCTTTTTGGTTGAATTAATCATTTATCCGACAAATTTCTCTAATTGTTCCAATGAGAAAGAACGACCAAGTGCCTATTCAATTATCACCAACATTCTACTTAAGTGGCCAACACTTATTTGCAGGTCTCCTGTTATGGCTGGCGGACTGTTTGCTAATAAGTAAAAATTTTTTCGACGAACTAGGCCAGTATGATCCAGGGATGGAAGTAAGTCTGGGGTGGTGAACAGTATGAATTGTCATTTAAGGTACGTTATTATCTCCCTTTTCCGCAAATACCTGAAGATTTTTTACGAAAACTTTCAAACTAGCGAGCTATATTGTGAAAAAACTGCATACAAAAGAGAAATTTGTTCAAATACAATATTTCAGGCTTATCTTCAATATATGATTACTCCGTAGATTTGGATGTGTGGTGGGAAGATGGCAAATATTCCATGTTCACGCGTAGGTCACGTGTACAGAAGAAACGTGCCCTACACTTATCCTAAACCAAATGCCGTTGTCATAAACTTTCGTCGCGTAGCAGAAGTTTGGATGGATGACTACAAACTATGGCTGTACGATCGCCGACCGGATTTGAAGACCGTCACAGACTATGGTGATATATCCGAGCGGGTTGCACTTCGCAATCGCTTACAATGTAAAAGTTTTAAGTGGTATTTGGAGAAAGTTGCCAATGACACGGTTCCTCAAGACTATCAACTATCGAGAAGTTACACACAGGTAAGAACTGGATGTAAAAAACACAAATCACACTGTTTATCATATGGTCTCACACACTAAAAATCACAGCTGTCATACAACAGTACTCCATCATAATATTACCAGATATCGTGATTATATGATTACGTCATCTAATATAGGTACGTAATCCAGCCACAAACCTGTGTTTAGATACTATGGGCAGAGGACCTGGACAACAATTGGGCGTTTCAGGCTGCCACGGATTGATGGGAAATCAGGTAAAACGCATTCAATGAACGAGCAAGTCCCAGTTATCAAATATAATTAATAAAATATTTTTGGGCTCTCTCAAGAAAAGTTTCTTCCCATAAAATCAGCGCTTGTAACTAAACGAAATTAAGAGCAAGTACCATTTCAGGGTTTTATATATTCGTACAAGAGAGAGCTAATTCACGATGAGGATTGTCTAGATATGGAACAACCATATGCTGGAGGTGCTGTATTCATAGAGAGATGTCACGGATTACGTGGTAGTCAGCAATTATTTCTTATCAAGGTAAGAAATAAGGCAGCCACTCATATACACAACTGACGTAATTCGTTCGTCCACGTAGTTTATTATTTTTACTGCTAAGACAATGTCTCTTTTAAAGACAGTTGAATAAAGTAAAGGTCCTATGTGTGTTACTATAGCAGATAGTTTCTGCTGGACACTTATGCGCAGTTTATATAAAGTTTTCACGTCAAAATATGTCAAAATTTACGTAATGAAGTTTTTTTTCACGCTAAGATCCCCTGATTTTTTGTTTTTTCTTATTCAAGGACAAAACACTATACTATAAGCCAGCTAAACTGTGCCTGTCGATTTCAAAAAAGAACAACAATCAAATTATTTTGGATCGCTGTGATGAAAACAAATTGCAACAAAGACAAGCGATTGGTAGACTGGATCGAAGCCGTTCGACACTGAAATGAAAATTGACATCTTGTGTTCTTTAAGCACATTGACTTCTCATAAAAATAATACATTGAGAAGATGTTGCGTGAGGTACAAACGAAACGTTGTTCCAAGTTTGTTGAAACACAAATACAAAGATTTTTTTATTAACTATTACTTGTTAACAAGCATTAATTCTAAGTCGGACTTGGTGGATGCAGGGGTGTATGGGGGTGCTCAAGGACATTTTAGATATGCGTGGCTACTTTGCACATGGGTGTCCCTGTGTCATGTTTGACTTTTTTGTTGAATTCTATTACTTTAGTCCATGATTGTGATTTATTTTTTGAATTGTGATCACAATTGGTACATTGATATTTCGTACAAAATTACCTCCCTCCTGCACCCCCTTTTGGCCAAAGCTAGGAGGGTTGCACACTACTGACAAAATTCTACACTATAGTTTCTTCCTACCTTTCTAAAAATTCCAAATACGTCAAGAGGTTCATCTTAATGTAGGTATAGGTCTCGTCTCTTCGTAAACACCACAAGCTTCATATGAATATTCTTGATAACCAAAAGCGTGAGGACCAACAATCTTTAAAGCCTTCTCTGTACGCAGCAATGGTGAACAAGGTAAAACTATAACAGACACGCGTAGACCGTAGCGAACTTCCTCATTTGGGATTACTTCTCCGCTCTGTGAATCCAGAATGGAGATGAGATCAGGGACTGTCGCCAAAACTTTCGCTTCTCCATCACAAGTTATTATTTTGGCAACAATGTTCTCATTTTTAAAAAGTATTTTCATGGAAGACTTAGCAAACTTATCCAAACCGTCGATGTCAGTGACACCTTTGGTAAAACCATCTTCTGTTCGTCTATCAACGTCGGTTATCTAAAAAATACCATCATTATTTCTGGCATGGCTAATCACAATATCAAAGTTGAAAAGTTATATAAAGCAGATGGGAGAAGTTATATGGCAACTGTGGAGTACAATGGAGTAACAAAATTAGGTCTCAATAACCACGTGTTCATTGAAACTGAAGAGTCCACAGTCACACTTGACTTAAGATGGAGTAGATCACTAGATGTAGTAGATGTCTAGATGAACTAATGTGTAGTTTGTTGAATAACTGCGGTGTACCTTTCCAGTTATGAGAAGCTTTCCATTCTGTGAGTCGAGGATAGCTTTTACTGGACATTGTTTTTCCTTTTGAGCCATTTTCACTGCATTTCCTAATGTCCAAGCTCGACTTATTGAGAACATTACCGTGTGTTTATGAATTTCTTCTCGTGTCAATGGGGCCATTGTTAAACCAGCCATACATCTTGAAAACAAGAAGAAAAAATACACGGTTATAGTTATCCCGCAATCCTATGGTGTACGTCAACAGTGACAACACAACCAAATTTGGACGACAAAGACTCACCCCATTTCAGCTACAATCAACTCTCGCAAATCGTTCTCTAAATCTTGGGCAGTGGCACAATATGTTATAACTTTGCTGGATGTTTGGGAAGCAACAATTGTCGATGGACATAAAGGTAATCCTTCAATGCTTGGAACAAACATTTCTAGCTGTGGAAATGCTCGGCCCATGCCATCGCAGTCGACCACAGGCAAACCAAGTTGTGCACCGAGGACGAGCGGCAAAATAGCGTTAGCTCCCCCAATCTCAGCGCACATTACGCCGACAATCCTTTTGTCGTTTTCTATCTATAAATCAGCGAGATTCAGGGCAATAAATTTCTCCTAACCTAAAAGGGGACGGGGGAGAGGGACGCCATTAACACCCCATAGTATTTATGTTTATTATAATATCACACATTTATAACTTTTCCTTGCTTTGTCTGCGATGGCTTAAAATAAAACTGCAATCTTACCTTATTGATTTCATTTGATGGCAAATTCTTCACGTACTTCACGCCACGTTTCGACGTTGTATATTCCAAATCTTTTTCGTTACAACTTAAAAAAATTTGCATTTTCTCGGCAGCAAGGAGTAGTTCGTCACCAGCAAAAATTTTTTCAATAAAAATAGACGGAGCTCCCATGAAACCAACAGGTATAACAAGACCACGGTTAGGAAGACTTCGTGTACAACACATAAAAAACACAATCAGAATTGAAGAGTCGAAATCATGAAGTAAATAGACGTATTTTGACGACACGAGGTTAAACTGGTAGAAGTTACCCACATACCTACCTATCTGGATGAATAATCCGCAACTCTTTGCCAGACCTCAAAGCCAAGATAGCACTCAACCTGCCGAGGTAAGGGTTACCTCCACCACCACAACCCAATATACCTGCCCCAGTTGCAATACAATTTACATCGTATTCATTAAGTAGCCATTCTCCACTTGAACGATCCACATTCAGTTCTGCTATTTTCACGTCTATTGAAAGTATTTTTGTGTCTAATCCTGTTTCCTGCAATTCATCTTCGCTTGAAGAAATCTCTGTACGGTTATTCTTTACGTCAATTTCTCTTCTATCTTTAGCGTCTTCCAAACTAGCAGCAGACACGAGGGAACTTTGCTGATTCTTATCTAAAAAATACAAGAAGCTAATAACTTAAGGGAAAAAACTTTTTTTCTGACATCAAATAAATGAAGCAAATTAAGAGAAGATAAACAAATCCACTTTACAAAATCTCTGTCAACGAGAATCACACGTGAAGTACAAAATAAGACATTTGATAACTCAAGTTTCTGATCATGGTGCTCCCGTCTCAAGATCATTTAACTTTCAGATATATTCTCGAGAGCTCTCCAGTGCCGTAAATTTTCAAAGCAATTGGCAGATTTGGAGCTCACCAATTCCTAAATCTCCAACAGCTTTGACTTTCAAACGCAGTGCATGCCCTTTGAGGTAAGCTAACTGAATTTCAGTTTTTTCAACAATCACAACAGACTCAACTTGGGCACCATTATATAAACAACGTTTTTTACCAAGAGCTTGCCCCTTTTCCAAAGCCTTTTCACGAGTTGTGCAACTCATATCAAACACATGATCAACAGCACCACTAACTTGACTTAAGGCTGCCCCAACTGCGTTAGCCACCTAAAGTATTGAGAGCATAACTTACTTAAGAAATAAAAGATTTTTTTCGTGTTTGCACGGTCTTATGCAAACCAAGGAGATCTTTGGGAGAACTCGAGAGCAGATCAGTGCAAGCCCGAGACCGAAGGTGGAGGGTTGCACCTGCTCGAGAGTTCTCACAAACGTCTCCGACGTTTGCATAAGCCAGTGCAAACACGAAAAACATCTTTTACTTCTTTTATAAAATAACAATAATGCGAAAAAAGGCAAACATTTTAATTTTTCCTCTAAAATGTATTCATGATCGATTTGCAAACTCTCTTTGACTGATTAATTGTTTAGATTGATTTGATTAGTTGAGCTCAGTTGTGCTTTGCACTGGCTTATGCAAACTCAGCTCTAGACCAATCAGCGCACGCGTTTCATTGTGTTTATTTTATAATATTAAATGATGAATATTGTTCGATATAACGCAGAAACGTTGGAAACACATGAATCACATTTTTGTTTGTAACTTTTTACACTGCTTTCCAGAAAGATGTCATTGTGTGTGTGCCTTAATCAAGAGTGATGATATACTCCAGTCCAGTCTCATAAGTCAATCAGGAATGATCAGATGTTCAAAATGTAATGTGTACTTATAAGGTTATTATTACATACATTATTTTGGTTTTTATGAGGTTTGCAGGCATGGACCATAGTTAAAGTTATTAACACTTTGGTTAATGTCATTCAGAAAATGACACTTTCAAGTTCCATGCATCTCATTATACCTCAAAATGTTCAGGCTTTGTCATGAAAGAGGCTCCTTGCAATGACTTGGTAACATCCACCAAGGCAACACCACCTCCCACAAGAATGACAGGCTGGTCACCAGCACAAACCTTGAAAAAATTGAAAAACATTCATGGAAAAGTTAATGAATTGTCTTAAAACATGTCTTAAGAGACTTTCATTTGAACAATGTGTTTTCATGAGGTATTCTGCAATGAAAGATTATTCATAATTATGTATCTATTTATTAGTTTGCCCACCTTAACATGGTCAATACAGTACTCCAGAATTTCTCTGCAAGAGATCATCACAGCATCAACTAGACAGTTATCAAGATGCAAAACTTTGCTGGCTTCTCCAATATTACACAACCCAGCTGCCACAGCAAAATCAGTAGTAGTTGAAACAGATCCTCCAAACACTAACGACTTTGTGTTCAGTTCGTTCCCAACACTGTGTGGTCCAATAACTGGCTGTAAGATAGCAGTAAGCAATCAAGGTCATAAAAGCTTCAACCACTCTGTGGTAACTTTTTTGTCTTATTCTAAAATGATCAACTATTTAAAGCTTACTGTACCTTGGATTCATGACTTGATACAATTGATCCACCTCCAGTGCAAAACTAAAAATATCAGGCATTTGAAAATTGGTTGTCACTCCACCACAATTCACCTTGGTTGATGAGAGTCGAGGAAATCCACCAACTAACACTCCCACATCAGTTGTAGTTCCATCTATGTCAATTACAATGGCATCTTGCTTTCCTGACAAGAAGGCTGCACCTCTCATACTGTTTGTTGGGCCAGACGAAAATGTAAACACAGGAAATTTTAAACTTTTTTCGGCACTATGAATAAAATAGCATCAAAAAATTGATGATAGTAATTGCTCACTTTTTGACCATAATTACTTGACTGGTATTACAATTCATTTATAATTACTTGATTCACCTATATCAGTGTGCGAGTTAACGGTGTCCAATGGGCAATTTGCACATCGTTTTAGCTAAAATTAAAACAATTGCACATCACTTTTTCAAACGATGTGCAAAAATCAGCGGTTTTAACGAAAAACATGGTCGTAAATCATATGAATTTGCTCAAGTTTAAAAATAATAATTTAGCAATTGCGCTATATAATAATGAACGTAATATCGATTTGATTATGCTTCTAAAGAAACACTTTTGTCAAAAAAATTGCACATCTTTTTTTCTGAACTAATTCGCACATTGACCTATATTATAATTACTTCATTCACCTATAATTACTTGACTGTTCATACAATTCAAGGATAGCTTAAATATTCTGATTCAATGGTTTAGAAATAAAGCAAATATTTATGTATATGAATGTATAACCGACTCATACCAAATAATTGTACCATCATTTTGAGTGAAATAAACAGGGCATGCCAAACCAAAATCTCTCACTACTTCAGTAAAAGCTGACATTGCAATTTTACTCAGTGGCTTCAGGCATTCGTTTAGAATTGATGAATTTTCCCTATCCAGGAGTCCAAGATTTGCTATTTGGTGTGACATAGTGAAACTAGCTTCAGGATACTCAATTCTTAGAAGGTCGCCAACATCAAGTTCTTGTTTGTTACACGTAATTGAAAATATGCCTGACACAACAAGACGTTTTGCACCTATACAAATATATGCTGTTGAGAATACATAGTACACTTCTGCGTGGTGCTTAGCTATAATTTAAGCAGCTTTAATAATTTTTCTCATGGTATTTTGTGCTTTATGCTACAAAACTGACATAGTTTCTTTTCTTTTTTTTCAGTGTTACCCAAACAAAAATTTGAATTGCAACGGAAGCACAATAACAATAACGAAAGGTTGTACTCTAGTTCAAAGGTTTTAATCTAGTCAGAGGTGTAACTAGAACGTTAATTGGGGTGTGTATATTAATATATTCAGTTGTGCCCTACTAATTTCTTTTGAAATTCAAATTACTTTCAAAAGAAATCAGTCGGGCACAACGGAATATATGAATATGCACCCCCCTAATTAACGTTCTAGTTACGCCACTGACTCTAGTTCAAAGATTGCTCGCTAACAATGTAAATGGCACATTGAAGAAAACCAATATAAAAAAGGCACATTTAAAACCAAATTTTTCCGTACCATTTTCTTTTAATTCTTTTATGACCTGCAGAACTTCATCTGGTCTTACAGGCGCTATTTCTTTGCCATTAAATTCATATCCTCCATCAACAAAATGGTAGCTTTTGTACACGACATGACGCAAGTCTTGAGGAAAATCGCAGAAAGGTGGCAAAGATCGAGAAGCACGACCACACAGTCGTATTACTGAAACAGGTGCCAAACCTTTTCGTTGCAAAACAGCATTGAGAAAATATGTTGTACCTATATTCACACGGCAAACTCCGACATCGCTTCCATCGTAGATCCTTGCCAATTGTTGAAGAACTGATCCTAGGGCTTTCTTAACTCCAATTGTGGTCAAAGCAGTTGTAGGTTGTTTACTTTTTGCAACAACCTTCCCATTCAAAAGAGCGACAGCGTCAGTGTTAGTGCCACCAACATCAATTCCGATACATACGTTAAGTTTTCTATCCATTCTTGTAATTTCAAATTTGCAACACTCCAGCTTACTGTTTCGACTTGCGCGATTAAATAAGATAATTAATTTAATGCCTGATCATGTGAACAGAAAAGAATGTAAAGACAAAACATTGGAGACAAAGACATGTTGTTTAGTTTTCGGAAGAATGCATGAACGAATTGGCTTTAACTCTTCTTAAATAGAGTAACCATTCCTAAATAGCGCAACCATCCTAAATACAGTTACTGCTTCAAAATAGAGTCACTATCGCCTTAATAAAATCACTATTCTTAAACAGACTCACTATTCCTAGGTTCTTCCATTGCATCTTTGGTCTGGTTCAGTCGTTCTACAAGCTTTCAGACGTAAATAACTGGAACATGCTTGTTGGCACTATACATGAAAATCAATGACATACGTAATGTTAGTGTGAAGCGATGTTGTAAATCTTTACCGTCATCCGCCAGCAGGGTTTATGGCATTCCTGCAAGAAAAGACTCGTAGAATAACATCAATCTATTTAGAAATGTATGCCTCGTTAAAATTTTTAATCATCACGTTCTTTTCAACAACTTTAAAATTTCCATGCTCTACACTCCCCACACAAGAATTATTTCGTTTGCAATCATGGACTTTTGCTACGGTTTTACAAAACTTCGGTTAGTTGTTCCAAATGACTAGAAAACGATGCAAATTCTCGTTGTCTTTTAATTTTAGATCTGTCAAGAAGGCATAAAATAGTTTCATCTAAAGGAATTCCACGTACTATAGGAAATATACACTTTTACTGGAAATCAAAACAGTGATGTACTTTGCTCTCGTTATTAGCAAGCTTCGTGCCGCAATTGTGCAAAACAAATTTCTACAAATTTCATGCAGGCGCACATTTATTTAAGAAATGTGATTTCCTGAGTGATAATGTGCTCTACATTGTTAAGGATCTTCAAACATTTTTTTTCGTTGAAGTTATAGAATTGTGCGAAAACGATTTTAACCGAATGATTTTGGAGGTTTGTAATTTTCAATAACTTCTCCCAAATAATGTATAACACGTAGCTGGTTTCTCACAGTCCGGGCATACGCATTGAGTTCCTGAAGTTATCTCACAAGGTTGATCAAATGGTATACAAAGGCTTTTAGCCCCCATGGATGGAGCACCTTCCTCAACAACAGCATCCCTAAAAATTTCGTGAAAACAATTACTGATTAATACATTACAAAAACTGAATTCAATAATATCTTTATCTCTGTATTATCGTACATTTCGTGACAATTATAAAGGAAGGATAAATATCTTGTCACCCAAATTGCAAGACAGAAAATCATTTATACGTATGGGATTTTAACCAGAAAATCATGCACAGGTTTTTTTTAGCCAAAAATATCAACCATAATGATGAGCATTATACAATCGACGTTTGCATAATCTGACGTTGTCTGTCAAAACAATATCACTAAATTCTTAACAAATTATTGAAAATTCAGTGGCCTTCAAATAATTAGCAAACGTCATCAACGTATGAGTTTGAATATTATAAAAAGGAAGAAATTAGACCTAGGTTTTAGAAAGAAAAATCGACTTTGAATCATTAATTATTAATTAATCGTTGCGTTGCAGCATTTGGCGAGGATATCTTACCTAGCACTATCTTTCTTGATTTTATCTTCACAAGCTATTGCTCCGCAAAAAGGTGCTTGAATTATCTAAAAAATCAAGTAAAGAAATATGGAGTTCAATAGTGCAAATTACTCATATTATAGTGTAAGACAATTTGCTATACAAGAACGTTCAACAAAAATCATCAAATAAACGTTTCGTCGACATAGCAATGTATCTAAGACATAACTCCAAGAACCAATTGCAAAAAAACATCGTTGAACTACCTTTTGCTTGTCCAACATCGAGCAAAAATCACTCCAGTTGTTCACAACGACCATGTTATCGTTCAGTTCAGCTTCTGCTCTATTAATGTAAACACAATACGTCCTATTCCGATACATATGGATGTCTTTGTTTCAATCCTCTAGTTACAACTTAAAATGAACAAACTGCTATTCGCACTTGTCTTACTTTGAAAGTAGAGCATGGTGAATTTCCTCAATGGTTTCCTTAATCTTAATAACAAAATCCTTCACCGCAAGTGTACTCCTCTCGCCAGTATCTCGTCTTACAAGGACAAACTGAGAGTTTGTTACGTCACGTGGACCAAGTTCTACCCGTATTGGAACACCCTGTATAAAACAGAAAGATGAATATCAAGAAAGAGAATCTTCGGGAATATGAAAAAATTTGTTTCATATTACGCATGTCATCGTTTGTTAAGAATTAAAAACATTATCTCTGATGATTCCTATAAATCACATAAAACTTACTTTGAGTTCCCAATGATTAAACTTCCATCCAGGAGAGTAATTATCGCGATCATCAAGTTTAGCTCGGACCCCAGCTTCAGTTAATTGTTGAAAAAAGTCCTTACAAAATGTCAGCAAACTTTGCTTCTTATCTTCAGCTAAATTTACCGTCATACCACACGGTACGATCACAACCTGAGCGGTAGAAAAAGTGATAATCAAGTATTTTCCAAAACATGTAATTAATATATTCTCTACGTAGCTGTCAAGAATCCTTTGCCATCAACAATTTATGGTGGAAATCAATCATACAAAAAAATATCCCACCTGAACAGTTGCAACTCTAGGAGGCAAAACGAGTCCAGTGTTATCCCCATGTACCATACACATTACACCAATTGTGCGGGTAGTTATACCCCAAGAATTCTGGTACACGAAACGCTTCTCCTAAAACAGGCATGTTCAACAACATAGAAGACAGTACATGCGTGTGTTGATGTTCAACGCTATAAAAACATCATACCCCAGGTTTGTCCGGATCTTCAAAAACAATTTCAAACATTTTGGAAAAATTTTGACCCAAATGATGTGACGTTGCACCCTTTATAAAATGAACAAAAATACATTTGTATTGATGATGTTGGAAAAGTTAAGTTTAAAATAATGTTGGAGACACATGAAGTGAAGTTCAATAATTCAGTCTATTTCTGTAGTGTGTGGATAACTACAAGTTACCTGAATTGCACGTCCACTAGCTGAAATGTAGGCTTCGACAGTGGTTGTGAAATCACCACCCGCAAACTTTTCTTTTTCTGTTTTTCGTCCTTTCACTACGGGAATGGCAAGAAGATCCGTGTAAACGCGTGCGTAAAGGTCGAGGATAGTGTGAACCTAAAATATGAAAACATACACAAAAATATCAGTTAGAAATTGCAACAAATTTTCCAATAAAGCGCTTCTTACAGATGTAATTATAAAGTTCAGAACATTAAATCTTACACTAGGTAACAAAAGATATCGTTTCCATAAGATCCCATGCTATAACTATTTTCTTATTGGAAAATGCAATTTTACTAACTTCTTCAACTGCTTCATCGTACTCAGCGAACGCTGTATGTCCTTCTTGCCAAAGGAATTCTCTCGTTCTTAGAAATGGTTGAGGATGCTTAAATTCCCATCTCTATGCAACAAAACAAGACTCAGTAATTAACAACATATGAAAGAATGATGTACGATGTAAATAAGGTTTTCATTTCTTCAAGTAAGAAGAGTAAAACTATTGTTTACTCACTACAACGTTATTCCATTGGTTGAGTTTAAGAGGAAGATCTCGATGAGATTTTATCCATTTGGCATACGCAGGATACATGACTAAAATGATGATTCATAATCTTGTTTCAACATTTCTTAAGGAATCACCAAATGTTAAAACAGTATGAAACTTATATTTCCTTCTAAACGATACTAACATATACCTAGATTACGTTACAAGATTAAAAAGGGCATTCCCCATGAGCAAACACACAAAACGTTGCATCATTTAAACCTGTTTCACTTGTCGGACGAATAGCAATTGGCTCCACTAATTCAGACTGGCCAGATTTCGTCACCCATGCGACCTAAATAATGACAAAAACTAACTTACACCATGAAAGACACCATTGCATTGTGGTCCTGAATATATAAACCACAAATAGCTAGCTTCAAATAAATACGAATATTTATCACGCGTACTTCTGGTGCAAAATCAGCGATGTGAGTTTTCTCTCGTTCAAGGGCCGCTTGCGACACGAAAATTGGAAAATAACAATTTTCAACTCCGAGTTTCTTTATGCCAGAATCAAAGAAATCTGTTAATGAAGGAATAAATACTTAATCATACAATCAATAACAACATAAACATATTCCCAACAACAACATATCAGCACTTTTAATGTAAAGGACGGCAAAATATATAAGAATATTAAGATTAGAAAAAAACACATAAACATAGGAAATAAGGAATTCTCAATAGATAAAATCATCACAAAACTCGTTACTTGCAGAGTTTCTAAGAACTTTACTCGATTATTTCCTAGGACCGAAAGGTAATGATCATGAAGAACTTACAAAAAATCTTTGCATGACTTCAAGAACTTTAATCACTCGGAAATTGAATTGATAAACGTACCTTTGATAATTTCCCATATTCCATACGACCATGGACGTAAAATATAGCAGCCACTAACGTCGTAATATTCAACTAATTCAGCTTTCGTAATAACCTGAAAATTATAGACATGGATACTAAGAGTTAATGCATATTGTTTAGGAAGACGAGAGGTGTAAGTAGCGATAATACATTGGATTATATTACTTCGTGACGATGAAGATATCATCAGGTATCATGATGCCCACTACCAAATATGAACTGGTCGGATAACTATTCCCTAATTTGCCATGCGCACACGGCACTCACTAATGTTAGTTACTACATCAAAAAGATTCATCGAATTCATAATACATATGGGTTGACCATATACTACAAGTCATTAAAAAAATTGTATTTGAGGCTTGATTACAGTTTTACAATAAAAAACTACTATCTGATTAACACGTACTTGCGAATACCAATCAGAGAGATTTTCTTCTTTTTTTGCTTCTAAACCAAGCCTAAATATAATAACGGTTAACGATTGATATTTAAAATGTGCACAAGGCAATTTTAAGCAAGTTAAAAAACTACAGAAAATTTCAAAATAACTTGGATAGCAAAGAATTAAAATCATTGTATTCGCACCTGGTAACTTTCTTTCCTCCTTTTTCATCCTGAGAAGGTTGTTGCTCGGAAGGTTTCTTCTCCTGTTTCTTTTCATGTTTATTGTTTCCTGAAGAACTTTTTCCTTTCTCTTTCTTTCGGCCACTACTGTTCGCTGGTTTGAATTCTTGTCCTGTCAAAGTCTTATATTTACTTTTGAGATTAAGTAGGTTGTTCACTTCAGCTGTAACCTCTTCCTGAAATCACAATAAAGATTTATTTTGTAAAAAATAATATCACACTATAAATTTAGGAGGATGAGGGAGGATTTACTAAAAAAATTATAATGATAACAGTACACGATATTATAAACATATATATATATATATACATGAAAACATATAAGTACATATATATTATAAGAAAATGCAAGCAATGCATATATACATGAACCCAAGAAAATGATTGTAACATCACACCGAGGATATAAATTTCATCATTGAATTCCCCACGATGAAAGTCGTGCACCGATAATTCAAGATTATGATATTGTATAAATTTCATCATTGAATTCCCACGATGAAAGTCGTGCACCGATAATTCAAGATTATGATATTGTATAAATTTCATCATTGAATTCCCCACGATGAAAGTCGTGCACCGATAATTCAAGATTATGATATTGTATAAATTTCATCATTGAATTCCCCACAATGAAAGTCGTGCACCGATAATTCAAGATTTATTGTATAAATTTCATCATTGAGTTCCCCACGATCAAAGTCGTGCACCGATAATTCAAGATTATGATATTGTACAAATGCTTGCATTTTCATGTACAAACATACGTAACATTATGCAAAAAGAAGTAACTATTGATTGGACAACATTGAAATAACAAACCTTAACAGCTCCAGTAGACTTAAGCTCACGAACTTTATCACCCTGTTCACCAATTTTCTTCACGAGATCTTCAATCTCAGGTGTCATGGTTAAAGTCACAGCAGGACTTGATTCTGATTTTGCTTGAATTTCTTCAGTTTTCTCACCTTTTTTACTGACTTTTTCTTTCTAGAAATATGAACATAAAACATAATGAAGACAAAGTGAAAATGTACATAAACACACTATGGTTGATTCAAGACAACCTGCAAGATGAAAGAAATATTTTCCAAGGCATTATCTTAGTGGAAAAAGTTAAATACGCTAACCTGACGCTGGTTGAGCTACAATTTTATTTGCTAAATTGCATTTCAAAAGAAGATATATTTATTCAGAAACTTGTGCAACTTCTATAATTTCTTTCGATTATGTATCTCAAGCAATTTCCAAATTTCTGAAAAGTGACAAAACATTTTTCAAAATGAGTGTCTATACCTTTTCACTGGTCTGTTTTGATTTTGTCTTTGAGCCTGAGGTCGGCATAGCCTTTGTATGACCATCAGGAATTGCAAATAAAATGCACGGTGTCGCTTTGCCAGAGTGGCGACTAAAAACAAGAAAATAGTAGAACTGTAGAAAAATGAAAACGCGAAATGCTAAATTTATATGAGACTGAAAAATATCAGAACATCAGTAAAAATAGAATTGCAACAAACACATAATAGCATCAGTACTCGCGATAGCTTGAGAATACTGCTACCCCATACATACGTAATTATACTCTTTATAAACTGTTTTATATTGATAAAGCTTCTTCCATCCATACCTTTCCTCACAGTAAGGTTGATCACATATAAAAAACCCTCTTCGTTGCAACTGAATTATATCACCTTTTTTCACATTAACTAACTCGGGATCACCCAGCATCTCAACTTCAGCCTTAACATAAGGAATATATTTTTCATTTATATCAACTCGTAACATTCTTCTTTGTCAAATACCTTGGTATTTTTATTGACGTGATCTTTAAAGTCATCGTTCTTCGTGAGGATTGCCTTTGCAATAATATTATCATAATGCACAGTTATTGCTGGAAGCAATGGAGCAGAGTTGGTTACAGCTAGCCATGTTAATTTGGTGGTATTTTTGTAATCCTAAAAGAAAACAGATCGGGTTGAAGAGATCTTCTAAATCTAAGATCGCACATCATCTACCTTAATAAATCCAAATAAAACTCAAGATTCACGTTTTACTACTGTACACGTATTCCCAGTGTTGCTCTGATCAAGCGACTTGACTGGACTGCGTGCATTTTATCTGATCTCAAAACCAAAACCCTCCAGTCACGTATGAATAAAATACGCTTGAAAAAATACCCTAGTCTTGAAAATCTGCTTTATCAATCTTAAAATTGAAGGAGACAGACTTAAATTTTATAGCAGAGTTGCTTTAACGTGCTTACTGTATCATCAAGCTTTGGTTCAGCGTCAACTGTTTCAATTGAGCCATTCTGGTTTCTAAATAGGATATTTATTGTTGTCAGAGAAAAATCGCTTTGTAGAATAGCACTGAAAGCTAACCTGTTTATTGATTTAATGAGAAAGTTTCCCCAGTTTATTAACGTAACCTTTTCGCCATCATGAAGTGTATCTGCATCAGCTCCATCAATGTAAACTTTGGATGATACCCAAACTTTCTTCATACCCATGTCGGCATTCTTCGAATAAAAAGAGTATACGTATGAACTAATGTCAATAAAAGGTTTAAAAATGTCCACTGTTATCGGTAAGAACAACGCTTCACATGCAATTGAAGTCTTTAGATAATCAGATCTTTGACAAAGAAAGCTACAGGGGAAAATGGAAAGAACAATTAAATTACTGTAGTAAATACCTTGGGATTGAGAACTGCTTCTTGACATGTTTCATTTACTCCAGCAATGTTGATCGTGACTCTTTTGTTCTTCTCCAAAGCCGTGTAACGTGGGGCCAGAGGATCAATAACCTTTCGATTGATTGCCCAAATTTTGTCCCATTCCATATGAACGTTGGCTTTTGAAAAACCCTGTAATAACATGAAGAAATATGGTAAATGGACAGAGTAAAACAACATTTAATTTTAGCCATTTGCAATTCAAAAGAAATTATTGCACCCATCCAAAATTGCATAGGAAAGTAGAAAATGACATTAATACATTAGTTCATACGACTAAATTACTATTAAAGAGTAAATCACATGGCTTGTGTGGTGCTAAAGAAAGAAAATTAAAATAAAATGAAAGAAACTTCACAACTTTAATTATTTATAATAAGTGTGATGTACAAATGATTCACCAATATGTTAGTTTGTCGTTTATGTACAAAGTAAAATCCATTATACAATTGAAAAAAATTAAGTAAATATATTATTAGGAAAGTGGATTTATTTTGAGTAAAAACTATAACTTTCAAAATAAAACCTTCAAACCTGTCAATAAAGCTTTCGATACCTGTAATAGAATAAATTCCAACAATCCTTTAACAGTCATTCCTCGTCTTAAAACACCGCGGACAGTTGGAAATCTTGGATCATCCCTAACAACGACATATACATGCATAAGCAATGTTAAAAAAGTTTGTACGTCAAAATAGATGTTGATGAACTGAAAAATGAATGACTTTCGTAGTATTTCATTCAATACACCTTTCCGACGGTAAACACACGTGTCAAAAATTCGACATCAAATGACAAAACTCAGGCAATCAAATGGTCGGACATAGTGTTGATGCATTTATCAAAACAAGCTAAAGAAGACAAAGAGCATACCAAAAATATATGATTGAAAACTTGCTCTACAAGCACCAATTTCAGAGCTCGCTCTGTAACAAATTAATTTAGAATTAATCTGAGCATGCGCAGTCAACTCCACCAACTCTCAAAATTCATGGTAATGGCAACGACCAACTATATGTACTAGTGCCGATTTTGGAGTAATTAGTTCGCTCAGTCACAAATTTTCAGATAAATCATCCGTGCATGCGCAGTCTGCTTGAGCATGTGCAGTCGACTTGACCAGATGCCTAAGTTCATGGTCATGGCAACGACCAACTGCATTTACTAGCACCGATTTTAAAGTAAATAGCATGCTCAGTCCACTCGACTAATTGTTCACAGTCATGGTAAGGACTAATTATATGTACTTGCACTACATTTGTGGCAATTAGCTCACTTAGTCGCAAATTATTAAAGAAATCATCTGAGCATGCGCAGTAGTGACTTTATTAATACCATAAAGCTAATATTAGATATAGTAGATGTCAACTAGCAGTGGAAGCTGGGTGCGATATAGTATGCAGTGGCTTAGGGGCCCACACTTCGGTGGCGACCGCACTCTCCCTGCGTACCCCGAGCAAAGCCTATCGCAGGTGATCTCGGGGTCTGATGGGCGGAAGCTTGCTATTGCATCTCCCAAGTAGGATAGCGTGGAGGGGCCGAAATCTCCTACCGAAACGTTAACATGCGGCGTTCTAGTGCCTTGCGCTTAAGAAGGTATCGGGAAGCATGGCCCGAAAACGGGGTTTTTCGCTTTTGAATTTCATCTTTTTGTTTCTACAAGAGTTCTTCTCATAAAAGAAACTAGAACATCCAAGGGTACTGCAAAAGTTCAAACAACTTCTGCCTTTTTGAGTTATAATTTAAACCAACTCTAAACATGTTTGTATGTTTTTTAGTTGTTACCTTTTACAATTTAACTTTCTTATAACTCTCTCGTGACGAACGAGAGCCTCCTTATATAATGTAACTCTCTCGTCATGAACGAAAACACCCATGGGCTTCATGGAAAAAAGGGATTATATACTTTTTTAATAATAGTTTTTACAAAGATAACATTTAATGAGCCAAGCTATGTGTATCGTCTAAATTGAACCCTTGTGTCGTAAAATTTCAATTCATTTCGGATAGTAAATTTCTTTTTACGTGTCTTACAATATTTTCATGATTCAATCTAGAAAGTATCTTCACTTCTCGACATGTAATATAAATAACAGTTCAAAAATTTGTATGGCTTGCTTTCTTGTGCTTTATGCAGCTGCAATACGTCCTGGATATTCTCAAGTAACGCCGTAAAGGCCAGTAACAATCCTAAGAAAAACTCATTAGCGCGACAACATGCCAGTATTCAAGCTTTCCTTCGATCTTCATGCTTCCTTCTAACCCAAAATAGTTAATATTTACTGTTACGCATTCTGCCATTATAAATAATCGTTCTGAATCACTAGAATCAGATCCACAAATGCCCCAAAACTCAAAAGCATCTCCAAACCATTTTATTGCCACTATTCTACATAAACAATACTATGTCCGACCATTTGATTGTCTGAATTTTGTAATTTGATCTCCTGTTTTTAACAAGTGTGTTTACCGTCGGAAAGGTGGATTGACTTTAGAACAATTTTCCAGGAGCAAATAAAGAATTGATCTCTTACATGCGCATGAATGAACAAATAAAAAAAATGCAAAACAATATCTTACCATCCATCAACAAAATTTTCATTGACAAGCCACGTCAATTTCCGTTTCGATAAAACTGTATTCTGTAAATTTATCTTGCTAAATTCCATAACTGTTGGTTTGCGCAGTCCTATAAAGATAACCATCTTGAATATTTTATATTAATTATCCTTACATAAATGTCGTCATCTCATAAATGACGTCATTTCAATTGCAATGCACATTGTTATAGTGCTGAGTAAGAATATTGTTTTACACACCATACAAAACTCTCTGCATTTTTTTCACGGTAGATATTTACAAAGACCACCAAAATCCTTTTAGCAATTTTCACATGCAGAAAAGTGTCAACTACTTTCATCATTAACACATGATTTAATCAAATCAACAACACGAAGCAAACATAAAAGAACTACCTAAAGCATCAAGTATCCAGAAATATTGTGGATCTCTGTCGTGATATTCGGTTGTTCTTAAAGCATGAGTAACACCTTCAACACTGTCCACAATGGGACAAGCAAAGTCGTAGGTTGGGTAAATTCTACAAAAAATAAAATGCTTATTTTAACTGGTGAAGCACACGTAGAAAAGAATAATTTATATACTTACAACGCCCATGCATACTAAATATACTTACTCATCACCTGCATGCACATGTCACCAGGGGAGGGGTACTTTGCAAGATAGAGCCCATACACACCTACTTATATTTATCTCCTGCCTAAACACGTCACTGGGGAGGGGTACTTTGCAAGATAGAGCCCATATACACCTACTTATATTTATCTCCTGCCTAAACACGTCACTGGGGAGAGGGTACTTTGCAAGATAGAGCCCATATACACTTACTTATATTTATCTCCTGCCTAAACATGTCACTGGGGGGAGGGGTACTTTCCAAGATAGAGCCCATATACACTTACTTATATTTATCTCCTGTCTGCACATGAGTCTCAGGTTTACATCGATACATAGTTGGATCACGAAGGCAACCATTGTCTGAAAGGTAATCAATCTTGGCGCGCATGGCACATTTCTGACCATACTCACTTCCCTTTTTCATTTCCTCCCACATTTGCAAGTTTTTTTCCACGCCTGCAAAACATGAATACAAAATCAACAAAAAGCTAAGATTATATCATCGTTGTTTCGTGGAGTTCGCAATTTTTTCTTTGCACCATTTGAGACTTGTGTGACATCAATGCTATGAATGGCTCAATTTAATTTCTTCAAATAACGCGCCAATGACACGACTTTTTAGTTGTCTTCAATGAAAAAAACTGTAAGGAACTTTCTTTCAGCATGCTTGCTTCTTCAACCATTAAGCTTTGTGAAATATATATTTGATAATTTATGGTCAGTTAGTTCCCAACCAATATCAAACATTTTTTATTTCAAAAATTTTAGATGAAACAGAAAAAGATTTGTAAGATAGCAAACATGATTTTAAGATAAGTAAACTAAAGAATGACTAACGATAAATAGTTTGAATTATATATCGCAACTGCTCATAAAAAATGCAATTGAAAAGCAGGTTTATAAACGACAACAAATTGTGTCCTACCCCATGTAAGTTTGTACATAATATATACACTATCAATCACCAGATACTTACTGTTATCTCGATGAACGGATTTTACTCTCTTTTCTCTTTCCTCTCTCATAGTTTCAGTAGGTGTGTCATCAACATAAGCGTTGCCATCTCTGATCATCTTTTCACCGTACTCAAGTATCTTTTCAAAATGATCTGATGTTCTCGTAAACCTGTCTGGTCGTACTTGTAACAACTTTAAGTCTTCAAGGATCACCTAATAAAACGTGAACAAGCCAGACTTACATCAACATTTTTAAAGTTAACCTTACACATGTTATTCAAGGAAATAATTTTTTATTTTTTCTCGTCATAGGACAAACTAAATAGTTTCTCATGATCTTTTAAACCGAACTAGTTGGCAATAGAAGTGAACTTTTACTTTGCAAAGCGTGATAAGAATGATCAGTTACACAAGTTTGGTACATAAACTAAACAACTAAGACAGCGAAACGCTAACCTCTTCAAACTCGGCGTTTTCTTTTGCTGGATTAGTATCATCAAATCGCATGATCATTTCCCCTTTGTAATAATCGCGGTAATACTGATTTAACAGTGCAGCCTTTGCGTGACCAATATGTAAATATCTACAAAAGTTAGAAATTTACCATTGATAAAGTAGTGCAATGTTTACGCATTTTCAAACAACATCAAGTATGATATAAAAGCACAGAATGGACTAAGAAAAGAGGAGAAGGACAAGCTGACAATTTCTTCATTTGTAACAAAGCATACCCGCTCGCTTCAGGGGGAAATCTCGTCACGACTTGACCTTCCACTGCTCCTTCTAGCTCGATGAACTTTCCTTGCGTTTTTCTTTCACCCTAACAAAAAGAAAAAAAATGTTCCTCCTTGTTGGAAACTTGACATAAATCATCAGAAAATACATGTAGCAATGAGTGCGAAGCAAAGAAACGGCTGAATTTAAATCAAAAATATTCATCGAATTCATAATACATATGGGTTGACCATATACTACAAGTCATTAAAAAAATTGTATTTGAGGCTTGATTACAGTTTTACTATAAAAAACTACTCTCTGATTAACACGTACTTGCGAATACGAATCAGAGAGATTTTCTTCTTTTTTTGCTTCTAAACCAAGCCTAAATATAATAACGGTTAACGATTGATATTTAAAATGTGCACAAGGCAATTTTGAGCAAGTAAAAGAACTACAGAAATTTTCAAAATTACTTGGATAGCAAAGAATTAAAATCATTGTATTCGCACCTGGTAACTTTCTTTCCTCCTTTTTCATCCTGAGATGGTTGTTGCTCTGAAGGTTTCTTCTCCTGTTTCTTTTCATGTTTATTGTTTCCTGAAGAACTTTTTCCTTTCTCATTCTTTCGGCCACTACTGTTCGCTGGTTTGAATTCTTGTCCTGTCAAAGTCTTATATTTACTTTTGAGATTAAGTAGGTTGTTCACTTCAGCTGTAACCTCTTCCTGAAATCACAATAAAGATTTATTTTGTGAAAAATAATATCACACTATAAATTTAGGAGGATGAAGGAGGATTTGCTAAAAAATTATAATAAAACAGTACACGATATTATAAACATATATATATATATACATGAAAACATATAAGTACATATATATTATATGAAAATGTACAAGAAAATGCAAATTGAACCCAGGATTGTAACATCACACCGAGGATACAAATTTCATCATTGAATTACCCACGATGAAAGTCGTGCACCGATAATTCAAGATTATGATATCGTATAAATTTCATCATTGAATTACCCACGATGAAAGTCGTGCACCGATAATTCAAGATTATGATATTGTATAAATTTCATCATTGAATTACCCACGATGAAAGGCCTGCACCGATAATTCAAGATTATGATATTGTATAAATTTCATCATTGAATTACCCACGATGAAAGTCGTGTACCGATAATTCAAGATTATGATATTGTATAAATTTCATCATTGAATTCCCTACGATGAAAGTCGTGCACCGATAATTGAAGATTATGATATTGTATAAATTTCATCATTGAATTCCCCACGATGAAAGTCGTGCACTGATAATTCAAGATTATGATATTGTATAAATTTCATCATTGAATTCCCCACGATGAAAGTCGTGTACTGATAATTCAAGATTATGATATTGTATAAATTTCATCATTGAATTCCCACGATGAAAGTCGTGTACTGATAATTCAAGATTATGATATTGTATAAATTTCATCATTGAATTCCCCACGATGAAAGTCGTGCACCGATAATTCAAGATTATGATATTGTATAAATTTCATCATTGAATTCCCTACGACTAAAGTCGTGTACCGATAATTCAAGATTATGATATTGTATAAATTTCATCATTGAATTCCCCACGATGAAAGTCGTGTACTGATAATTCAAGATTATGATATTGTACAAATGCTTGCATTTTCATGTACAAACATACGTAACATTATGCAAAAAGAAGTAACTATTGATTGGACAACACTGAAATAACAAACCTTAACAGCTCCAGTAGACTTAAGCTCACGAACTTTATCACCCTGTTCACCAATTTTCTTCACGAGATCTTCAATCTCAGGTGTCATGGTTAAAGTCACAGCAGGACTTGATTCCGATTTTGCTTGAATTTCTTCAGTTTTCTCACCTTTTTTACTGACTTTTTCTTTCTAGAAATATGAACATAAAACATAATAAAGACAAAGTGAAAATGTACATAAACACACTATGGTTGATTCAAGAAAACCTGCAAGATGAAAGCAGTATTTTTCCAAGGCATTATCTTAGTGGAAAAAGTTAAATACGCTAACCTGACGCTGGTTGAGCTACAATTTTATTTGCTAAATTGCATTTCAAAAGAAGATATGTTTATTCAGAAACTTGTGCAACTTCTATAATTTCCTTCGATTATGCAATTTCCAAATTTCTGAAAAGTGGCAAAACATTTTTCAAAATGAGTGTCTATACCTTTTCACTGGTCTGTTTTGATTTTGTCTTTGAGCCTGAGGTCGGCATAGCCTTTGTATGACCATCAGGAATTGAAAATAAAATGCACGGTGTCGCTTTGCCAGAGTGGCGACTAAAAACAAGAAAATAGTAGAATTGTAGAAAAATGAAAACGCGAAATGCTAAATTTATATGAGACTGAAAAATATCAGAACATCAGTAAAAATAGAATTGCAACAAACACATAATAGCATCAGTACTCGCGATAGCTTGAGAATACTGCTACCCCATACATACGTAATTATACTCTTTATAAACTGTTTTATATTGATAAAGCTTCTTCCATCCATACCTTTCCTCACAGTAAGGTTGATCACATATAAAAAACCCTCTTCGTTGCAACTGAATTATATCACCTTTTTTCACATTAACTAACTCAGGATCACCCAGCATCTCAACTTCAGCCTTAACATAAGGAATATATTTTTCATATATATCAACTCGTAACATTCTTCTTTGTCAAATACCTTGGTATTTTTATTGACGTGATCTTTAAAGTCATCGTTCTTCGTGAGGATTGCCTTTGCAATAATATTATCATAATGCACAGTTATTGCTGGAAGCAATGGAGCAGAGTTGGTTACAGCTAGCCATGTTAATTTGGTAGTATTTTTGTAATCCTAAAAGAAAACAGATCGGGTTGAAGAGATCTTCTAAATCTAAGATCGCACATCATCTACCTTAATAAATCCAAATAAAACTCAAGATTCACGTTTTACTACTGTACACGTATTCCCAGTGTTGCTCTGATCAAGCGACTTGACTGGACTGCGTGCATTTTATCTGGTCTCAAAACCAAAACCCTCTGGTCACGTATGAATAAAATACGCTTGAAAAAATACCCTAGTCTTGAAAATCTGCTTTATCAATCTTAAAATTGAAGGAGACAGACTTAAATTTTATAGCAGAGTTGCTTTAACGTGCTTACTGTATCATCAAGCTTTGGTTCAGCGTCAACTGTTTCAATTGAGCCATTCTGGTTTCTAAATAGGATATTTATTGTTGTCAGAGAAAAATCGCTTTGTAGAATAGCAATGAAAGCTAACCTGTTTATTGATTTAATGAGAAAGTTTCCCCAGTTTATTAACGTAACCTTTTCGCCATCATGAAGTGTATCTGCATCAGCTCCATCAATGTAAACTTTGGATGATACCCAAACTTTCTTCATACCCATGTCGGCATTCTTCGAGTAAAAAGAGTATACTAACGTCAATAAAAGGTTTAAAAATGTCCACTGTTGTTGTTAAAAACAACGCTTCACATGCAAGTGAAGTATATAGATAATCAGATCTTTGACAAAGAAAGCTACAGGGAAAATGGAAAGAACAGTAAAATTACTATAGCAAATACCTTGGGATTGAGAACTGCTTCTTGACATGTTTCATTTACTCCAGCAATGTTGATCGTGACTCTTTTGTTCTTCTCCAAAGCCGTGTAACGTGGGGCCAGAGGATCAATAACCTTTCGATTGATTGCCCAAATTTTGTCCCATTCCATATGAACGTTGGCTTTTGAAAAACCCTGTAATAACATGAAGAAATATGGTAAATGGACAGAGTAAAACAACATTTAATTTTAGCCATTTGCAATTCAAAAGAAATTACTGCACCCATCCAAAATTGCATTGGAAAATAGAAAATGACATTGGTACATTAGTTTATACGACTAAATTACTATTAAAGAGTAAATCACGTGGCTTGGGTGGTGCTAAAGAAAGAAAATTACAATATGATGAAAGAAACTTCACAACTTTAATCATTTATAATAAGTGTGATGTACAAATGATTCACCAATATGTTAGTTTGTCGTTTATGTACAAAGTAAAATCCATTATACAATTGAAAAAAATTAAGTAAATATATTATTAGGAAAGTGGATTTATTTTGAGTAAAAACTATAACTTTCAAAATAAAACCTTCAAACCTGTCAATAAAGCTTTCGATACCTGTAATAGAATAAATTCCAACAATCCTTTAACAGTCATTCCTCGTCTTAAAACACCGCGGACAGTTGGAAATCTTGGATCATCCCTAACAACGACATATACATGCATAAGCAATGATGTTAAAAAAGTTTGTACGTCAAAATAGATGTTGATGAACTGAAAAATGAATGACTTTCGTAGTATTTCATTCAATACACCTTTCCGACGGTAAACACACGTGTCAAAAATTCGACATCAAATTACAAAACTTGGGCAATCAAATGGTCGGACATAGTGTTGATGCATTTATCAAAACAAGCTAAAGAAGACAAAGAGCATGTCAAAAATATATGAATGAAAACTTGCTCAGCGCATCTACAAGCACCAATTTCAGAGCTCGCTCAATAACAAATTAATTTAGAATTAATCTGAGCATGCGTAGTCAACTCCACCAACTCTCAAAGTTCATGGTCATGGCAACGACCAACTGTTTGTACTAGTGCCGATTTTGGAGTATCAAGGTATCGGGAAGCATGGGCCGAAAACGGGGTTTTTTGCTTTTGAATTTCATCGTTTTGTTCCTACAAGAGTTCTTCTCATAAAAATAAAACATCCAAGGATACTGCAAAGGTTCAAACAACTTCTACCTTTTTGATTAATAATTTAAACCAACTCTAAACATTTTTATATGTTTTTTACCTTTTACAATTTAACTTTCTCATAACTCTCATGTGACGAACGAGAGCCTCCTTGTATAATGTAACTCTCTCGTCATGAACGAAAACACCCATGGGCTTCATGGAAAAAAGGGATTATATACTTTTTTAATAATAGTTTTTACAAAGATAACATTTAATGAGCCAAGCTATGTGTATCGTCTAAATTGAACTCTTATGTCATAAAATTTTAATTCATTTCGGATAGTAAATTTCTTTTTACGTGTCTTACAATATTTTCATGATTCAATCTAGAAAGTATCTTCACTTCTGGACATGTAATAAAAAGAACAGTTCAAAAATTTGTATAGCTTGCTTTTTTGTGCTTTATGCAGCTGAAATACGTCCTGGATATTCTCAAGTAACGCCGTAAAGGACCGTAACAATCCTAAGAAAAACTCATTAGCGCGACAACATGCCAGTATTCAAGCTTTCCTTCGATCTTCATGCTTCTTTCTAACCCAAAATGGTTAATATTTACTGTTACGCATTCTGCCATTATAAATAATCGTTCTGAATCACTAGAATCAGATTCACAAATGCCCCAAAACTCAAAAGCATCTCCAAACCATTTTATTGCCACTATTCTACATAAACAATACTATGTCCGACCATTTGATTGTCTGAATTTTGTAATTTGATCTCCTGTTTTTAACAAGTGTGTTTACCGTCGGAAAGGTGGATTGACTTTAGAACAATTTTCCAGGAGCAAATAAAGAATTGATCTCTTACATGCGCATGAATGAATAAATAAAAAAAATGCAAAACAATATCTCACCATCCATCAACAAAATTTTCATTGACAAGCCACGTCAATTTCCGTTTCGATAAAACTGTATTCTGTAAATTTATCTTGCTAAATTCCATAACTGTTGGTTTGCGCAGTCCTATAAAGATAACCATCTTGAATATTTTATATCAATTCTCCTTATATAAATGTCGTCATCCCATAAATGACGTCATTTCAATTGCAATGCACATTGTTATAGTGCTGAGTAAGAATATTGTTTTACAAACCATACAAAACTCTCTGCATTTTTTTCACGGTAGATATTTACAAAGACCACCAAAATCCTTTTAGCAATTTTCACATGCAGAAAAGTGTCAACTACTTTCATCATTAACACATGATTTAATCAAATCAACAACACGAAGCAAACATAAAAGAACTACCTAAAGCATCAAGTATCCAGAAATATTGTGGATCTCTGTCGTGATATTCGGTTGTTCTTAAAGCATGAGTAACACCTTCAACACTGTCCACAATGGGACAAGCAAAGTCGTAGGTTGGGTAAATTCTACAAAAAATAAAATGCTTATTTTAACTGGTGAAGCACACGTAGAAAAGAATAATTTATATACTTACAGCGCCCATGCATACTAAATATACCTACTCATCACCTGCATGCACATGTCACCAGGGGAGGGGTACTTTGCAAGATAGAGCCCATACACACCTACTTATATTTATCTCCTGCCTAAACATGTCACTGGGGGGAGGGGTACTTTCCAAGATAGAGCCCATATACACTTACTTATATAAGTTTGAAAATTTGTAATCCAGGCATTTAATACATAAAACTCAAAAAAAAAAGCTCAATAAAACTCAATAAAACTCACTTTAAATCTCTTTTAAAGCTCAATAAAACTCACTTTAAATCCGGAGAAACTTTTATCTTTTATGTACTTACTTATATTTATCTCCTGTCTGCACATGAGTCTCAGGTTTACATCGATACATAGTTGGATCACGAAGGCAACCATTGTCTGAAAGGTAATCAATCTTGGCGCGCATGGCACATTTCTGACCATACTCACTTCCCTTTTTCATTTCCTCCCACATTTGCAAGTTTTTTTCCACGCCTGCAAAACATGAATACAAAATCAACAAAAAGCTAAGATTATATCATCGTTGTTTCGTGGAGTTCGCAATTTTTTCTTTGCACCATTTGAGACTTGTGTGACATCAATGCTATGAATGGCTAAATTTAATTTCTTCAAATAACGCGCCAATGACACGACTTTTTAGTTGTCTTCAATGAAAAAAACTGTAAGGAACTTTCTTTCAGCATGCTTGCTTCTTCAACCATTAAGCTTTGTGAAATATATATTTGATAATTTATGGTCAGTTAGTTCCCAACCAATATCAAACATTTTTTATTTCAATGATTTTAGATGAAACAGAAAAAGATTTGTAAGATAGCAAACATGATTTTAAGATAAGTAAACTAAAAAATGACTAACGATAAATAGTTTGAATTATATATCGCAACTGCTCATAAAAAATGCAATTGAAAAGAAAGGTTTATAAACGACAACAAATTATGTCCTACCCCATGTAAGTTTGTACATAATATATACACTATCAATCACCAGATACTTACTGTTATCTCGATGAACGGATTTTACTCTCTTTTCTCTTTCCTCTCTCATAGTTTCAGTAGGTGTGTCATCAACATAAGCGTTGCCATCTCTGATCATCTTTTCACCGTACTCAAGTATCTTTTCAAAATGATCTGATGTTCTCGTAAACCTGTCTGGTCGTACTTGTAACAACTTTAAGTCTTCAAGGATCACCTAATAAAACGTGAACAAGCCAGACTTACATCAACATTTTTAAAGTTAACCTTACACATGTTATTCAAGGAAATAATTTTAGCTTTTCTCGTCATAGGACAAACTAAATAGTTTCTCATGATCTTTTAAACCGAACTAGTTGGCAATAGAAGTGAACTTTTACTTTGCGAAGCGTGATAAGAATGATCAGTTACACAAGTTTGGTACATAAACTAAACAACTAAGACAGCGAAACGCTAACCTCTTCAAACTCGGCATTTTCTTTTGCTGGATTAGTATCATCAAATCGCATGATCATTTCCCCTTTGTAATAATCGCGGTAATATTGATTTAACAGTGCAGCCTTAGCGTGACCAATATGTAAATATCTACAAAAGTTAGAAATTTACCATTGATAAAGTAGTTCAATGTTTACGCATTTTCAAACGACATCAAGTATGATATAAAAGCACAGGATGGACTAAGAAAAGAGGAGAAGGTCAAGCTGACAATTTCTTCATTTGTAATAAAGCATACCCGCTCGCTTCAGGGGGAAATCTTGTCACGACTTGACCTTCCACTGCTCCTTCTAACTCGATGAACTTTCCTTGCGTTTTTGTTTCACCCTAACAAAAAGAAAAAAATGTTCCTCCTTGTTGGAAACTTGACATAAATCATCAGAAAATACATGTAGCAATTTGTGCGAAGCAAAGAACGGCTGAATTTAAATCAAAAATATAAACTAGCCAACATGCTAAACAATATATGTAATACACAAATCTATCTCAGTTTCATACACAGCAAAAAAACACGAACATAACAGGACTGTGTAAAGAAGTCAATTTTACATTTGCCAAATGCATATGAAACAAAAGATAAAAAGGAATTTCGTCTGATTTTTTTCTTTAATGCATACGGGACTTGTAAAGTTTGATGATTGAAACAATCCTAAATGTGACAATTCTAAATTAATACAAACCTGAGAGTTTTTTGATGACGATTGGGGATTTGTTAAAAATCCCTTAAAACCATTTTGATTTGCCAGGAATTTGTACCATCTTGAAACATTTTTCATATGTCCATCATTAAGCAAATTGTCCAGTTTTTCATGAACTGTAAAAAATAAATACGTGACTCTAAGGAAACAACAAAAAACTTTCGTGTCCACTGCTAACTCTTCATTCAACATGTGAGATTAGCAACACCTACTTAAAATTGTAAAAACTGCAAACTGGTAAAACATTTTATTTTTCGCAAGGTATATTTAACGAATGTATAAACTGCAGGTCATCTTGTTGGCCCTGCACAGAAACAAAATTGCCCCCCCTTCTTAAGCCCTTTTGGCATTTTTTCTAATTCGTATTTCAAATACTTCACTGTGGCTAATATATTACTTGCTTGAAGTAAAAATGAATATTTCTTAACACATCAGTTACGTTGTTATTAAATTGCTCTACACATGCATAAAATAGCATTTACAAAATTGCAGTTTTTAAAATTTTACTAAGGAAGTGTATTTCCTGACCCTCTGCCACATGGCTCACACTTCACAGGCCCTTTTAGGGTTCACTGCTTCCCAGAGTAAAATCCTTGAAATATCCCTTGATTTGTCATGCATATTGTAAAACCACTTTGTCGATGATAACAGACTTAACAGTGTGATTACAATGTTGAACTTGAATACTTTAACCAATCTATGGATAACTACATTTATATAATTTGGCAAAGCAAAGAATTTGTTTTCTGAACATACCTTTTAAGGCTCCCCAAACAGCAAAGTCAGCCAAAGTGAGAGATGGTCCAACCAAGTATGTTACAGGTGCAAGCTGTTTGTCAAGATGACTTAGAGCTAATTTAAACTTCTCTTTGTTTTTCAAGAGATCACAACTAAAGTCCACCCAGCTATCAATCTATACAGTGAAAAGAATTGGTTTTTAAAATGATCAATGTTCACCATAATTAAACTATTTGTTGGCAGTTTTAATCATATATGTAAAAACTAGCTACCTCAGTGGCCTGTAATATATTGCCTCCATAAAGATCAAAGTTTTCAGCGATTCGACATAGGTATCGGGCAATGGTGTGGTTTGATGTTGACACAACATTCCTGGAAAAAAATGACACATAGTGATGATGTCGCATGATAATAAAAACCCTTTCTATTGACAACAAAAAAAACTTGCCAAAAGCATGATAGAAAAATTGCACACTGAATTAAGCAGAAGCAAAAAGGATAGAAACAAATTGCAAAGAAACAGGCCCACAAATATTTGTTTAAAAACTGGAATACCAGAGACCAAGTGATTATATGTTGAAAATTCCTAGTTATAAAAATTGTCAATATTTGCACATTTATTGCCCTAATTATACACAAACAGAAAGTAAAAATGCCCAAACCATTTCAGTGATTAATGTACATGTCTGTAAATAGTATCTTATTCCTCAAAATACATGTCATGAATAAAATATGCAATGTATAGAACTAGTGATACTAGGAAGGGGAAACAATTAGTTTGAGTCTAAAGTATTCATTAATACAATTAAAAACATTTAGTAAGTGTAGTATTTAACTGCCATTCTTGGGGTTTTTCATTTTCATTACCAGTTGAATGGACAGCCTTGATTTACATTCTTGTGCACAAACCCTTTCAAGAAATTTCCAAAAAGTTCATTGTTTTTAAGGTCACTATACACTGACATACCTGCATAATTTGGTCAAAACATCTCAAACTGGCAAAACAAGATTAATTGCATAAAGAATTTGCTTGCCACAAATAATAACACAACATGCAGTTGCCATTCTGTCGTAAACTATTTCATAACTTTCACTCACCCAGAAACCTCTAAAGCAGTTTTATTTTTCCATTCAACAGCAACAGGATATTTGTCTTTGATATGGTTGACGACAAGCAAGGAAGCTAGATATCAGATAGTGTCACAATTTTTGAATGGTAAATAACGTCACCCTCAACCAATTTACCCAATCTTAACACACTTTAAAGTAGAATGAATTTTATAAAATAAGCAATTTGTGAGTAATTTCTAAGAAATTCATAATTTTCAAGTAAAAAGTTCAAACTTAAAACATGTTACCCACCTATTGGAGGATCTGTTGTTTTCGCGAGAAGTTTAACACTAGTCATCGAAACGAAACGAAAAGTACTATAATACACTAGTCGTCTGGAGTTTTCTGAGACGCTTGTCAACAGAAATGTTGGTTTAAAAGAGAAAGGAAAAGAATAAAACAGCATACAACGAAAACGTGGCCTCATGAAACATCAAAGAACCAATTCATTTGATCATTACAATTCCTCCGAGTAATTCTACACATTCCTTAAAAATTCCGAACACAAGTGTAATGTACAATTTTATCTTTCTGTGAAAAAAGGAACAATTTCGTATTAAAAACAAGAAAGTGATAGAAAAATATACTATTTGTGCCATTAAAACTTACAGTTTTTCGTTTTTTACAAATTATGATTTTAAATTATGATTATATAAATCTTTTCATTAAAATCGAAGGGGTTGTTCAATTCTCACAGCTCACCACCAACGCGTCCGTTGCTACTCTTTCATAATCAGTTTCCCCAAGTATTTTGTAAATTGACGGAATTTAGCTATCCTAACTTAATTTTTAGTAACTATTCACAAAGTTCAGAATATAAATACAATATACATATGGTAAATTACTATTTGAGGGAAGGAGAACGGTGGGAGGGTTGGTTTCAAGCTAAAGATTTTGAAAGATGGATGACCACGCAAAGTTTGAAATCAAACACTACGTACATGCACATTGTTGCAAGATATTATCAACTTTAATGGATGTTTTTTCTCAAAGGAAAATTCCAAATTTGTTCAGCTTTCCCATCGCAATGATCTAAAATAAGATTGTTTGTCGTTCCTTCTACAGTGACACACAATCCCGAATGTCTGTGTTGGATGGTTTTATCCTTGGAATGAAATCAACAAAACTTAATATTATACATAACATAGGGAAATATTGCTGTATGATGAAAAGAGCTATTTCATGAAATTCTTATACTTCTTGAGCTTTTAACGTTTTTAAAATATTGGGAATATATAATCTGTCATTTACTAATCTCTACATTAAAATTTATCATGATACAAAACAAATCTACTTTAATTGGCGGAAACAAATAAAATAAAGATTGAGTGAAGTGAGAAAAATTCAAACACTACCTCTTTATAGTGAAATTCTTGATTTCCCATCATTTCATGACATCTGTAAATATAAAGTCTGGAGCCAGCTTTGTAATACGGACCATCAAGACAATCTTCCACGTTTCGTAATTCATGGATATAGCTGTACTGAAATTTCTTAACATTGAAAAAAAAATTAAGAAAGTTGATGCAAACTTTAAAAACGATGTAACTTTACAAACACCATGAACTAATTATTGAATGCTTCTTTCACCAAACCCGTTCCTTAACTGTACGCAAACATATACTTTGAACAACAAAGACCACGAACATAGAGACAACCAAAAAGAAAGAAGATGAAAAACAAACCTGCGACCAACTAAATGAAGCGCATGGTGACAAATACATTAAATCACCAGGTGCTCCACCTTTCGTATCAATGCACATGTTGGTTCCTGGATTGCGAATCTGTTAACAAGATAACCACGAAATTAAACAACACAATAATGGACAAGAGTATTTGACAGACTTATGACGGTAAAGACACAATTTATCGTTTTTCTAGTCATAGAATAGAAATACCTAAAAAAATATAAGAAACCAGTACGTGAAGAAGAAAAAGTAGAGAAAGATAAACCTACCAAACCAGAACCTCGAAGTGGTTCATAGTTTTGACGTACAGTATCGTTTAAAACATTCTTCATGTACCATTCAAAACTACGACATTTCAATTTATGACGTAATGCCACTCGATCAGAGATGTCTCCATAATCTACTACACGTTTAATTTCGGGTCTTCGTTCATACAACCAATCCTTGTATTGATCCATCCACACTTCGGCTACTCGGCGAAAGTTTACCAAGACGGCATTTGCTTTATAATAAGTGTAAGGGACATTTCGCCTGTAGACGTGTCCAACCCGAGAGCAAGGCATGTTTGCCATTTTTCCACCACACATCCAAATCTGACAGGAAAACAACAAGATTTTCATGAAATAAGAAAGGGTTTTAAACAAAAAAGTTACCCATAGTTATTCTTAATTTGAGGCTTTTACAATCCAAAACGAAATTCTCACCTCCCGTTCGTCCTTCCTCTGGTCAAATTAAAACATAAACAGTGTAGTTATTAATGTCATGACAAACCTTAAATGACAATTCGTACTGTTCGCCACCCCAGACTTCCATCCCAGGATCATACTGGCCTAGTGTGTCGAAAAATTTTTTACTTATAGCAAACAGTCCACCAGCCATAACAGGAGACCTGGAACAAGGTGAAAGAATTAATCTTTGACACCAACCAGAGGTTAATCAGGTACCTTATGGTACATAACAATACAAAAAGATCAGAATGCAGTTACAATCAATAATGCTTAATAACATAAACATAGCTCAGTGCAAAGTAATACCACAGATCAGTAAAATCACATACAAAACAAGCACACATAGCGTAAGCTATATCAAACAATCGGCAGGATCTCTTTCTACTGCTCCTGAGTAAATAGCTAGCTCAGTCACAAACTATACCACAAACTATCAAAAGGATACGCAGTCGATTTGATTAAATGTCCAAGTTCATGGTTATGGAAACAGCAGACTGGTCTATCATAATCAGATTTGGTGTTTATGGAGTAAATAGCTCGCTTAATTACAAATTGTAAAATAAATCATCGGCGCATGCGCAGTTTTCTCGAGCATGCGCAGTCCACTCAACCAAATGCACGAGTTCATGGTCATGGCAACGACCAACTGCATCTATTAGCATTGATTTTGGAGTAAATAGTACGCTTAATCGCAATTTAATAGAAGAATCATCTGCGCATGCGCTCGAGCATGCGCAGTCCACTCGACTAATTGTTCACAGTCATGGCAACGACCAACTATATGTACTTGCACATCATTTGTGGCAATTAGCTCACTTAGTCATAAATTATTAATGAAATCATCTGAGCATGCGCAGTAGTGACTTTAATAATACCACAACTTTCGTAAGGCTTTGAATTTTTGTATATATATATATAAAGCCAATACTAGGTATAGTAGATGTCAACTAGCAGTGGAAGCTGGGTGCGATATAGTATGCAGTGGCTTAGGGGCCCACACTTCGGTGGCGACCGCACTCTCCCTGCGTACCCCGAGCAAAGCCTATCGCAGGTGATCTCGGGGTCTGATGGGCGGAAGCTTGTTATTGCATCTCCCAAGTAGGATAGCGTGGAGCGGCCGAAATCTCCTACCGAAACGTTAACATGCGGAGTTCTAGTGCCTTGCGCTTAAGAAGGTGTCGGGAAGCATGGCCCGAAAACGGGGTTTTTTGCTTTCGAATTTTATCTTTTTGTTTAACGTTCTTCTAAAAAAATAAACCAAGCAATGTTCAATTAACTTCTTCTGGCACTGTGCCTTTTTCGGACACTTATAATTTAAGACAACCTTAAACATGTGTTACAAAATTTTTTATTGATTTATAACTTTCTGATTTAACTCTTTCATTTACATTTATCACGTTTCTCGTGTATCACGAGCAAACTATCCATGGGATTCATGGCAAACAAGGATTATCTGGCTCCCTTAGTTAACATGCGACGCTCTAGTGCCAAACTTTCTCGGGGTATCGGGAGGCATGGACCAAAAACGGGAATTTTTTGTTTTCAAAATAATTATTAAGGCGTTTACTGGTAGCTAATTCAATCGGCACAACATAGTCTTTACACAGCTTGCTGGTAATGCACGCGTTATAAACATCACGTCTATTTTTGATTGTTTGATATTTTATCTAAAATGTTAAAGAAGTATATCCGATAGTTCACGCATATTGAAACGTAGAAACCGCAGTCGCAGTACACACAGCAGTTCACAGTGGTAACCTACCATACGGAAGGTAGCATACAAAATAGTTTACAGAACAACCTACGTGCGGGAGGTATAAGTCTCACACAAGAATTAACAGTGGCAACATACCATACAGTAGATAGCAATAGTTAACATACCATACTTCTTGAGTGACATCTTTTCGTTGCCGTTTCTGTTCCGCAGTAATTTCTCTTTCTTTATAATCGAAACGCCAGTTGAATGTACCCCGACTAAACGACCCCATTGGTTTATATTCAAATGTATCGTGATCGATGGCATCGATAATTGGACAAGTCACGATATTTTCATCTCTGGTTATTGGAGTCAAGAGCGGTTGTAACCAGCCTTGGTTGACCTCACAATGGGAGTCAAGGACGATAATGACATCACCAAGTGCGTTAGATGCGCCAAGCATACGAGCTCGAATAAGGCCAAGTCGTTCTTTTGATCTAATCAGACGCACTTTATTCACATTGTCCACATACAACCCAAGTCGCTTCTTCAAATGGGCTATATGTAATTAGAATAAAATAGCCTGTGTACTTACTATAAGAGCATATCAATTAATCTCTTAGTTTGACTAATGGACATATTCTTAGACGGATGAAATCTGATATTCAGGAGGGCATTCCCTGCACCCCTCAGAAAATCTGCTCATAGTTTGACACTAGAGGCAAACTGAAAGGTTGAACTGGATATAAGGTTCCCACAAAATATTCAACATTGTATAAACAAGTTAACCATTTCATCATTCCTTACCAAATTTACTGGCATCATCAACAAGAACAATTTCTTTGAGCATTCTGGGAGGTGATCTGTTTAAAACACTGTGAACAGTTCTCATCAATGTTGACCATCCTTCATTGTGGAATATTATAACTACTGATGCTTTCAGTAAATTTCTTGGATATGTATTTGATTTACATCTAAAAGATTTTTAAAACATTCAGGCTTGTTGTTATGGTTAAACCTGTATAAAGTGGACACACTCCTGGCAATGGACTAGTATTGACTTGATGGAAGTGTCTGTTTAACAGAGGTTCTCATCACCAGGCCTCTCCAAGTTAAAAATTAACATAAATAGTAAAATCAATAACTAAACAATCAAATATATTTAAAAATTATTTCAGTCATTAATAACAAAACTGCAAAATATTTTTAGTAATATATAGTAATACATAGAGTAACTAATAAGTGGTTTAATGAAGATGTTTGTGTAATGTTAGTGATCTCATGTAAGTCTTTTAGACAATGACAAGCTTGATTTGACAGTGACAAGTTATTAATAATTTGTAAACAATTTAATATTTGATGTAAGTCTTTTATCTTCAATGCACTTGCCTTATGACATCCCTGTTGTTACACTCTTACTACAGTCCTGATCATAAGCTGTATATAGCTAGCTTAAAATTTGCAAATGATAATATTTGTACTATGTTTTCTCTTAGAAGTTTAACTCCTGCTAAAATGAAAATTTCGTTATATTATGCTTATTTATTTATTTAGAACCTTATTGTTTTATAGTGAGCAAACATGTAAAAATTATAGATGAAAAAAACGATACATTTAATGTTTTATACTCACTGTGATGGTCTTGTGTCAGGAATTGTACGATTTAATGAAATTTTGTCACTGACAAATTGATTAAATCCGTAATCACCATACGCCTTATTCCTAAGCTCTTTTTCTTCATCACTTGTAACAACAGGCCTCCCCCTTTCACCAGGGCCATTGTTTTCACGATCTAAAGCTTTTTCAGGAACCCAAAACTCATCAACGCGCAAAAGCAGCGATGAAGTGTCCAAACGCCTCTTTAAGCCAGACTTTATCGGGTCTATGGTGTCTTTTTCTCGCCAAGTAAATAAAAAATAAAGATATAGAATGGCGATTAACAACAACACATATCTTAATACTCTACGAGGGTGGAGTCTCGCCATTCAATAAACAAAAATGTAAATATTTATGTGTCTTGTTGAAACTTCTTGTTGTCCTCCATCTTGTTTGAATACAATGTAGAATTGTACATTTAGTAGAATTGTTTGTTGGCGACAGATTCCTATCTAGGAGTTTCACAAAGGCAGAAATGCTGCCTGCAATCTTTTGGTAACAAATGGTCATAAATATTGTATCATCTTTTCTTGGAAAATTATCTCACATAGAGCGTGGTATAAAAATTAAACTAATTTTTATCAAACATACCTTCGCTCAATGGTAACTGAGGGCCGTGAGTCCTTTACCGAATGATATTCTCAGCACATGCAAATTATAAATTTAAAGTTGCACCAGAAAGTCATAATTTAAAACAACAGTGTTTCAAATCTGCAATCGTCATTAATCTGCAGCTTATCTAAAAGTTATACTGTATCAACTTGACTTAAGAGAACTCTAAATTTATACTAGGCCAATTTGCAGCAAGGCAAGCTAGATCTAGGGTTAGTCGGTGAGTCAAAATAAGTTACTCCAGCTCGTTCATATATGTCTATATTTACATTTAAAAGAACTCAATTCGTGAAATTTTGTTCTTTATACACATTCGCAATCAATAGCTATACCATGAAGGTATTTTGAATATGAAATTGAGCTGTTAAAATTAATAGATTTACGATGGGCCGCTATTGAGAATAAGGACTTCAAGTCCTCTATCACATGATTGTAATTTTTGATTGAACTCTTCGTGCAAAATTATGTTTCGATAAAATGACTTTGGCTTTTTAAATAAATATCGTTCTTAAATATTTTCTTCTCAAATTATTTTCATTGCATTGAAAGAGGATTACAAGTTATGCAAACGTGATGTAAGCGACAACTGAAAACCCATTAGATTCCCACTAAGTCCACGTTGTGCTATTATTGGATGTCAATATTCAGACACGCAAAGGTATTTTATTTTCAGGAAATAAACTCATTTTTCTACTTGGAATAAGTGTTCGTTGAAAGTGACTCAACAACTTCATTGTCATATTTTTTTATGCTTTTTTTTAATATTTCGAGTGACTATTTTCAGTCAAAACTTCAGATACTTAAAATTACTCCTCGAATAGGGTACTTACATTTGCTAAATTAAGAACTTTTTGAAACGCATGTGGACAATTGCCAACTGATATTTTTGTCTACGTGTCATACTTTAAATGGCTTATTCAACCTCCAGCATTCAAAGCCACAGAAAGCAACATGTCGCATCTAATATACTTATATTTTTACCATTTAAAGTAAAACAAATTTTACAAATGGCAAAGCCGTATATCTTGCCATATAAATTATTTATATTGACGCAGGTGAATTTGATCTCGTGTACGCAAAGAGTATGCCTACATTTTACATTGAATAGCGACAACTAGAACAAATAAAGACTTAAAAAGGATTATGCAAAAGCTAAACTCCTCAAGAGATTAAATGCATGCTTGGAAAACTATGTGAAAACACTAAAAATTGTTTTGGTTGTAGTGCAAACGCCAAAAATGCATAATAAATCTCATTAAGCGCTAATTATCCAGTTGCAGACAAACAAATCACGCGAAAAGAATGCAAAACAGTTTAGTTTTGCAAAACAGTTTAGTTTTGCATTGCTTTTGCTTGCTCAAACAGACGTTTGAGCAAGCAAAAGCAAAAACGAGGAGTCGTTTAATGGAGATGGGTACCTGTAAATATTAAACAACAATTTCTCATATCATATATATTTCAGGCTATTACTTCAGTGCAATAGGAGTAAACTTCAACAACGATTTTAAGAGCCAATAATTTTGTGGGCATCTAAACATCCAAACCTAAAACATAGCAAGAAATCGTCTGAATATGAGATTGGAACAATCTTTGCTTTCATTTAAAATCACGTGCGTCCTATTATACTGAAGGCTTTTGGATTAAAAACAATAAGATCTAAGGACTAAAGGCAGCATTATTTTGTATTACTCTTTAAAAAAAAGTATTATTGGATTTCAAAATTATCATGGGAGTCGTGCATTATATATGATCATAAGTGTTTTTGTGCGAGATTAGTTCGTTAGCCATTTATGTGAAATTTCTAATTTCTATCACATGCATGTTTAGCAAGTTTGAATATTGAAAATGTGCAACTTTGGTGATGTGGTGCATTCATTTACGTCGTATATTGGCCGATAGTAATGAAAAATAGCGAGAACTGTTCTCATTTCACAGTTATAACGTGGACAAAAAGCGCGTAACTTATGACCTGTTTTTTTTTAAGATACAGATATCAAATCTCATCCATTCCAAAAGTCACGACATACCCCTTGTCAATTGTCATGTAATCACCAATTACAGGCTCGAAAAGCAAATTCTGTGATTGGTTAAGCAATCATCGCAACAAAATTTGATTGGTTCAATGAAAGCAAAAGAGAAAGATGGTTGGTCATTCACATGAAGATTAGAGTTGCGGTAATTCTGCGGTTTAAAAGGATTTAAAACAACACTTGTGATGTACATGCGGCAAAAATTTACGAACTCTCGTGGAGACAAGAAAAATATAAAGACAAGAAAATAAAACAAGATTTCATTGATTGAAGAGAGTTTCCTAAAAATTCGACATGTCTAATTCTGCAAATGGAGTGCATTCAATTGAAAATATTCTTGAAACTTGTGAGAGAAAGAAATTATCACAACAGCTTACAACAACAAGAAAAATTCAATGTTTCAAACCAGTTTTGTCGAGTGTACAAAGTATTGCAGAGCCTTGTGGGTTACCAAATGATAAAGATGTTTCCAAAGAGATAAGTTTTGATTACTCCATAGAAAGTGGTGTCCAGAAAAAAAGAACGAAAAATAATGAAATAAACACATTTACAGGTAAATAGTGTAACTGCAAGCAAGAGCTCATATTATCTAAAGTCTGAATTATAATTTGAGAATAAAGTATATAAACAGTGCATTTCATCACAAATTAAATATTTTATAAGTCATAATTAAAACTCCCTTCACAAGGTAAACTATGAAATGTTTGTGTGACCCATCCCAGACGCAAAACACGGCATATATTCCTCGCGAATTCCTTTGAAGTTTTACACACATTCTATGAGATTTGGAAACTTTGATCTATAATGTTAATATTTACCTAAAGCTATATTTCTTTCCCATTACGTGTATGGTGATGGCAATAATGTCAAGTTAATTTTCAGTCACAAAATCAGCACAACAATGTGTGCCTTATTTGTTTTAGTGAGAACACCATCACATATAAACACAGAACAAACAAGCCATATTGAGATCGAGAAGAACACCAGCAGTAGAAAGAAAACCAAAGCAAAGAAACGAGTACTGTTTACAAGAGCACAAGTATTCGAGCTAGAGAGAAGATTTCGCGTTCAGAAATATTTATCTGCGGTGGAGAGAGAGCAGTTGGCGAAAGTCACAAACTTAACACCGACGCAAATAAAAGTTTGGTATCAGAATCACCGTTACAAAAATAAAAAGCAAAACATACGGGAAACAGCAGAAACTGAAAAGTTGTGGGACTTCTACGAATATGGTAGAAACAGGCAGTTAATAAACCAAATGTTCCAAAACATGAATTCAACATCTTCAAGTGCAACATTAAATAACATTTCTCATGATAACATGCAGTGAACACGTGCATAGCATAGCATGCATTGACTATTTTCTAGACTGTTTAAAACGACTGGAGTTATCAATATAACTGTAACATAAACACGACACAACATACACTGTTTAAGTATTTCATGAAATGAATAAATCTAAAATGAACTGAATCACTTGCAATAACTGACTTTCATTGCAAATATAATCAAAATATGTGTCGCGTAAATGCATGGTTGTAATTTCCCCATCAAAATTAAATGTAAATGGTATATGTTAGCAGGCTTTGTCCGTCATGCAACATAGCTGACCTGAAGTAACCAAACCTTTAGTACCATGCAACAGCATGAAAAGAAGGATCCTTTCACGGTGCAACACTAGCAGCGTATATACAGTGCACTTTTTTTATCTCACTATAAAAATTAAAACAAGCAAGTAGCATGTTAAAAAGAAAAGCCAGACAAATAACGGCATGGGGATTTTCTTTCATAGAGTTGTCCAATACGCCCGATACGATTAACCAAACAAGCAAATAAGTAAATGAGGAAACGAGCATTAAAAACAAGAAAAAAGTAAAGGCAAGTAAAGCTCTGTAACTTTGTGTATCAGTAGGGGGGTGTACAAAAGGAGTAAAAATTGCAAGGTATGACCTTATATATCTAACAAATTTTGCAATAGGTTAGAGAAAAAAGGAGGAAGAAAGTATGGGCACTAAAATGAAAGAATAAACGTTTGAAAAGCAGATAAAACAACATCACTAAGAGTTAGAATTAAAATTGGTTAAATACCCATTCAATAATCATCAAAGATGTTTCTTTAGCAACACGTTAAACTTACCGCGATATTGACAACGTAGTCCAGAATATTCTTTAGGACAAAGACAAACATTTGGCTTTATACAAATACCACGATTTAAACACTTGCGTCGACAATGAGCTGAAAAAGAGAGGAAATGTTTGCATGTTGTGAAGTTTGATCGAACAATAAACAAGGTCGAAAAAGGTCTTCTTGACGACAAAAATCGTCAACCATTTCCTTGGCCACACGATGACGCATTTTAACTTCCTGTTATCCGGAGATAAAAGTTTAAAATAATAATACCTTTAAGCGTTTTATGCATGAAAGTACTTCGCTGCAGTTCGCTAGAATCATCAAAACACAGACGGGGATTTTGATCCGCAAATAACATTAGTAGTGTGGTGAAATAATCGCCTAAGAGGGTGCGCTTTACAAATAATCTTCCGTAGAAAAGACATCACAAATTACATAAAGTTTAAGTCATAGCTTAGTAGCTATAGCTTTTATATCAGAAAAAAATGGTGAGCTATGTTACACAGAAACACATGAGTCTGGATGACGTTAATAAACTCCTTTCAACGAAAGGAAACTTGCCTGGTCTGGTCTGTTCAATAATTATACAAGGTCATGATTTGCAAAGAAAAACCTTGCCAGGCACAAAGTACAGTAAGCATTTTGTCGGTTAGTACATACAAAAGGTGATAGACTTTATATGATGGTTTCTTCTATGACGAGTTTGCTCTGCAAGAGAGCACAAAGAGCTTACTCAGGAAATTAAATCAAGTCTACACATTAGATTATTGTTTTAATTCATATACCAATAAAATTTAAAAACGTTCTGACTAGAGACGCCTTTTTACCTCATAATGAAAGTACAAAATGTAAATTAGTGGATACAATAACTGTTGTAGATCTATGAGGGGTTTTGCTTACCATGCTGACATATATCTCCCCAATAACCATAAGGACATGAGCATTGATCTTTCTTAAAGCACCGTCCACCATTTTTACATTCACGCCGGCACACCGCTGTAAAGAAATGATTTTACTTGTCTGATTGACGCAGCATTTCAATGGTGAATGACCAATAAACTGAACGTGAGCTTCCATTTAATATATCTGATGTTTACAGTTGCCTTACCTGATTGACATCGACTGCCACGATATCCGTCAGTACATAAGCAAACGTTATTTCGAACGCAAATCCCACCATTTCGACACTGAGGAGAGCACGTACCTATTTCGTTGGAAATAAGAGAACTGAATAAATACAAACAATTAAACATGCTTTCGAACAATCCATTTGAATTATTGAGTATCAATTAACGTGTTATATATTGAAAAACACATCCAAAGAAATGACGACAAAGTCACAAACGAGACTATGGATAAATAATTCGCTTAAATTTTTTTTTGATAAATGCCTGCAGGTGTCCCAGTTGTCAAGCATAAAAAAGTTCGTGCCATGGTAATTCAAACTTTCATCTCTTCGTGCACTGACCTTCCTGACACCTTATCCCAAAATAACCAGGCAAACACTGACATATTCCTGGTTTCACACAAAAACCTCCATTTAGACATCCCAATGGGCAAAGAGCTATATAGCAAAAATACACAAATGGTTCAGTTCACCACTCAATTCAAAACCAAATTGCGATATGCACACCTTGATCACACGTGCGCCCTCTGTAACCAGGAGAACAGCGGCATTTCCCTGGAGGAATGCATTTTCCACCATTAAGACATTTCACATTACATTGCGCTAGGAAAAGATTTCAACATTCACTCATTATAGTTCAACGTGCAATGGCAACGTTTTATATTGAGCTATATATATGGTTAGGGATCTTAAACAACAGAGGCCAGTTGCACAAAGCCTGGATAGCGTTATCCATAGGATTGTAAAATTTTGAAACTTCTAAAAGGTGTTTATATTTCGCTTACGACAAAGAAATCTTTTAATCTTAGAGGCAATATTTTATTTCACTGATTGCTCAGTTTAAATCGTATATTTTTGGCTTTTAAGAGACTTTATAAACGTTAAAAAAATTGCGTTATAGCGCTCTATTCGGCCTTCTTGCAAACGTCCCCAGAATCATAAGAAGCGATACATTTATTCCTCTACGAAGACATCAACAGAAAAATAATTCCGTGAGGCCACGTAGCTACAAATATAAATGAAAACATGAAAAATAGCCGTTTATACAAGGGCAGGGGGAGAGAATTTTTCGTAACATTCCTACTTAAGTTGGTCTCACCCTTTTCGCATCGTTTGCCATAAAAGATTGGGGACATCGACATTTCCCTGGGGCTATGCAGCGTCCACCATTCAAACAAGCGTTCCTACAGTAGGCTGAAAAGATTTAATAATTAATGACGCGAAGAAAATGAAGTGGCAACATGGGACATCGTGGGATATTTGAATTAGACTTTACTCCGTCAAGTAAAACATTGAAATACATTTTTGACGAAATGATCAATTTGATGTGTTAATCCTAATGTCTTAGAAATAACACATCAATTAGATCCAAGGAAATAACAGAAATATCTCTCCAGTTTGGTAAGATTACTCATCAAAATCCTGCTGAGAATCCATTCTGAAGACATGTACCTCGAGCACACGTGATCCCAAGAAAGCCTTGTTGACATTTGCAGACACCAGGTGCGACGCACTTTTCACCCTTTTGACATGGTGGGTCACAAGACACTGAATATTTTAATGAAGATATTTAGTTGAGATAAGATTTCACAATCAATTGATTTTAAGTATGGAAAAATATGTGATGGAAAAAGCTGCGTAAGAAAGATCAATCAAAATTTGCCATGTAACTTGTAATTTATGATGCTAAATTCAAGTTTATGAAGAGCGAATGTAAATATTTCAAGTAATTATCTTTGGTGAAGGATAAGTTAATGAATATCTAAGAAAGATGAAATTAGATTTACTATTACAAAGCAGGTTGTTTTGTTAGTATTTAAATAATTCAGAATATAAGAGCGTGTACCTCTGCTGGCTCTGCATTGAAAGCCATTGCCATGGTACCCTTGCGGACAAGTTCCGCAGTGGATTTGCGAGTCAACAATAGTGCACTCGACATTGGGAAAACACAACTGTCGAGAACATGGTCTACTTGATGAAACAATCCTAACTTTAAAAGAAAGAAACAGAAGATTTTGAAATTATATCACAAATGTATATGCCTTTCGGATTCCAATTTTATGAAGATTTACACAAAGCCAAATTTTTCCAACGTGCTTGCTTCACTCTTGCTAAAGTAAAATGATTAAAATCTCCACCATCTATACATTGTTTGTCTACTTTGATAATTTCTCACCTTCTTTACATTTGATTCCATCGCCTGTGTATCCAGTCGGACATTCCCCGCATCTGAAAGAGGACTCACCAACATTTACGCACATGACGTTTTGGAAACACGGTTTCCTAGCGCAAGGTCTAACATCAATTTGACATAACGCACCGGAGAAGCCAGGATAGCACGTGCAACTAAACGTTCCTTCAATAACGGACGAGCAACGACCGTTTATGCACGGGTTAGACTCACAGATATCAAAACGCTTTTCGCAAAAACGACCAACGAATGATCGTTGGCAGAAACAGCGAAAATGACCATCGGAAAGTGGCACACACTGACCATGGACGCATGGATTCAAGTAGCAAGGACTTACTCTCTTTTTGCAATCAGGCTGAAGATAACCATGCGGGCAGTTGCACGTAAATGTCCCGTTTCGGGTAGATGTACACATCCCTTTACCACAGGGCTTTGACCAACAAGGATCAAACTGTCGATCACATAGTAGGCCTCGATAACCAAAGTCACACGAACATACAAATGAATCACCTTTTGCAACACAAACACCATTCACACAAGGTTTAACGTCACATGGTGATCTTTGTCGTTCACAACGACTACCGACATAGTTTCTATTGCATCGACAAATTGGCAAACCGCTTACCAAAATACATGAGCCGTTGTTACAGTTCGTTGTCATGCAAGCCGAAATGTTGCATAAAGGACCGCTGTAGCCACGGTAACAATGACACTGGTAGCTCTTGTTAACGTTCATACAAATGCCATATTTACACGGTCTCGATTCACAAGGTTCGACAGTATACTCACAACTTGGTCCAGTATAACCAAAGTGACACTGACAAGCAGGTCCATGTTGAGTCCACGAACACACACCATTCTTACAGTCAAGTTTACATAAGTTATCACATCGTTTTCCAATGTAGTTACCATAACATACACATTTTTTACTGGTTGCATTGCAGGCACCATTTATGCAACGCACTTTACCACAAAACTGCTTCGTCATATTGCAAAATTTTCCAAAATATTTTTCTGGACAGAGGCAACGCATATTACTTCCGCCCATATTGATGCAACGACCACGTTTACATGGGTTTGGTTGACAAGCGGTAGTTCGTCTTGAACAATATTTCCCATGAAACCCTGGTGAGCAAAAGCATTTAAATGATGTAAAATTGTAGCTTCGACAGCTTCCTCGTACGCAAGGATTCTTGTCACATGGGTCTCGTTGAATATGACATAGCTTTCCATTGTAAAATTCAGGACAAATACATCTAAACGCATCCCCAACCTCCACGCATTCACCATTTACGCAGGGATTAGAATAGCAGGAGGGTATTTTAAGATGACACAAGTCACCATAAAAACCTGAATTACAGATACAGTTGAAAATGTCTCCGTTTTCTTCACATTTGCCATGTAAACACGGACTCCGTTCACATAATGGTATTCTTTCTTCACAGTAACGACCTCGAAAATTTTTCAGACAATCGCATCTGTGTGTACTCTTGGAAATTTTAATACATATCCCATCATTTCTGCAAGGACAAGTTTTGACATTGATATTGACATGTTTTGAGGAAGTTTGTCCACAGTTATCGCTGACTAAAAACTCAATGGTCCGCCTCGTTAAATTAACGGGTCTCCATCGGAAAACACCGTTGGATCCAAGGTGTCCCTCAGGAGCATCGTGCATTATATGCACTTTTTCGCCTTCAGGATCAGTAGCATTTACGAAAAATATGACCTCATCCCCTAGTATTACACTCAGACTGGTTTCTTTAGGATAGGTAAACAAAGGTGGCAAGTTGTCTGAAAGAGAAGCAACGAAACTGTCATGACAAGTAAAAAAACGCACAATGATAGAACAGCAATGTCTGCAAGTAATGGAAAAAACTCTCGGAGATAGATGGAGAAAGGAAAACCGATAAAAATATTTTCGTTAAGATAAAAATTATTGATGAGTAGAGATAGGGATCAGATACACCAGTAGTGTCAACACGAGGGAAGGATGGACCACCCCCCAAATAACTATAAATAACTTCCGCAGCTATCTCTTATGTCTATACATATATCATGTATCTTATTTCATTAGAAATCAACTCTATGTAAATAATTCCATCATTATTCTACATGGAAGATGGCATAAGTTTGCCGAAACAAGTATGCAATAATAAATTTAAAAAAGTTTTCGTTTACTTTAGTCTATAGTAAAGTTAACATAGTTGACATGGTGCAATTGAAAAATATAAATAAGTGTCATTTTGAGGAGTTTTTAGCACTCCCTAAAAACTGCATTGCTGGCACCAAAAAGTTTGGCAATTACCTAAGCGAGGTGTCCAATCTTCAGAATTGATGTTCGATAAACATCTCAAACATGAATTTGTAGGTGATGCATCGCCGTGTAAAAAACATCGCATGTTGACGGAGCAAGTTCCTGGCTGAAAGAAAATCACACAAAACAAAAATGAAGACCTCAATTTCTTTTTTGTTGAATGAGCGTGATCTATCACCCAATGAACGGAGAGCCCCCTACCTATGCCACTGCCTACCCCTGAACTCGTTACATTAGAGATAAAGAAAAATAAGAGACGTGTCATGATACAATATCTTACTTTGGTGATGCACTGCTCTTCACTAGAGCAGCTTTTACACACGCTATCAAAGGCCATTCTAAAGATGGGATTACTCCAGTCGTCGCCAGTGTTAGAAACGCGAATGTGCATTGGCTCAAGAGATTTCAAAGATTTTAACTTCATATTTTCCGGGATCTTGCAAATCACACCACTTGCACTGTAATATATAGCTTTAGCAGTGAATGATTCCGACTCAATTTCATCCCATCTTTCACCGTTTTGCTAAATTGGAAAATCAAAGCTTTAGATCTGAAAAACACATATAAAAATCTTTATTATCTATATCAAAGTAAAGACAGCTTCAGTTTTGAAAGTTGTATTTCCCTTAACACGAAACACGTACTCGTAGATGTGTGAATAAACACGACAGAGATCCATAGTTCAGGAATATCGATCCAGAAATAAAGATTTCATCACAAATATCCTCACGTGCGTCACAAAGAGAATCAACAAGCGGATATAATGTAGGAGTTGTTGCCAAATTCATCGAACAATCACTTGAGACATATCCTAAATGAAGTTATTAGCAATTAGTTACTGAATTTGTTGTGTTAATGCAGCATCTATAACCAATCATGCGCAGCCATACTGATGAATACAAGGCGCCACTTTCATTATTGAAACATGTATAAATCATTATTCATTCAGCTTTATCTGTGTAGTACTGGAAACTAGAAATGACGAACCTGAGTTACATTTACAAACTCCTTGATGACAATGACCATTCACACTACATCGATTTTCACATAGCTCGTACTTCCATTTCATAAATAAGAGTTCATTATCTTTCATTTCTTCAATATTTTGCTTGCAAATTGACGATAATGTTTCACCATTAGATCTAAGAAGGTCCATATCCAAACCTTCCTTGTGAAAAGAATAAAAAATAAAAGAAAAAATTGAAATTTGTACAATAAAAGTATAGTTAGTTTGTATAACTACATTAAATGACACTTCATTTTAGTTCACTTCATTTCAACTTCATTTTTTGTCAGGTCAACTCGTCAACCCAACTCACGCGACTGAAGCACACCGACACAGCTCACCATTCCATTCAATTCAATCTCACTCTGTACTCAAACATCCATCTCTTTAATGTGACACATTCGTTTGTTCAATCAAACATCCATTATTATACAGTCAAAAACCATCATTATACAGTTCAAAATTTCAATTTAATCAACACAAATTTTGTTTTACTCTACCTGACTTTCTTCCACACAAGTCTGCCAAATCTCCCGCCAGAGTCGTTCACCAACAATGTTTTTGCAAAATTGTAGTGCAAGTGTAGCGTTCAATACGTTATAACAAATTTCTTGTCCTTTTTCAAAACCGACCGATTGAATTGGTTGATCAGATTGTATGTTGTGATCATCTTGTAACTTCACGTTTTCCTTCAACAAAAATCCTTTCAAAAGTACAGGCTGTTTGCCAACAATAGTTTTCGTAAAGTCTCGTAAATCATTTGAAGGCTTTAAGACATTGTAAAAAGTGCAGCTTTCTTTAGACCCGTATCTTGAATTGATACCAAAACACATGCAATGACCAGAGTCACTTGTGAAAGACGACGAGGACATTGTGGACACAAACTTGAACAAACTAAATAATAGATTTGATGAAAAATATGAAGAAATTCATAATATGAAGTTTTTGTTTTCGACATAAATATTTTATACCTTCTTGCTGCTTTCTGATGGACAAAATTCCCTCGACATAAACCCTCTCCCTTAGAATCAAAGACAGACAAATGAACATTGATTCCCCAGTGAAATTCATCAATGTTAACCGTGTCTCCAGACAGAAGGTAAATCTAGAAAAATAATGTAATTGTCAGTTTTGAAAACCGCTGGCGCACAAGAAAAACATACTGTAAAAAAGAAAACTATACACTATCAAAGAAGACTATGATGTAAAAAAAACACAACAAACAAAATCACATTTACTGAAAATGATTTTCCGTTGTTTGACTTTAAAATTCTAGTGCCATTCTGCAACGGAGTTCTTGAGGGTAGAATAAACCGCAAACTTGACTTTCCATACCGACCATGACACAAATCTGCAAAAATTACTTCATCTCTATTCTGAACTGCGACAGCGCACACGCACAAAGCCATCACGCCACAACGCCATTTCTTTATGTGCACCTTTGATGAAGGTAAACAAACTTTGAAGTTAAAGAAGAAATATGACCAACGACAGCAAAACTTACTTCGGTTGATGTGTTAACATTGCGATATAATATGAATTCCCCTTCACCCAAATGCTTGTGGAAGCTGTGCATTGATGGAAAAGAAAATAATTTTTGTTGGTATCCAACACAAAAATATAATACATATTTATTTAATCATGATCATACACGGGCAAAAATGTTCTAGAAGACCTTGAAAGACTGGTCGGTAGGACCGTGTGATCAATAAAAACTGAGATTAAAGACGAATTACATATTTAAATATCGATTGCTTTTGTTCATTATACTCGCCAAATTAGGTTAAGGTGTGATACAATAAACAAGGTATACAACACTTACCTTCCGTCAAATGTCATAATGTATGATGCTCCAACAGAATAACACGAACGAAGTGAATTTGGCTTCAACTTAGCCTACAAAAATTTAATATCAAATAACATATCATGCTTTTTGTTGAACAACAATAGTTATACAACTGTTGGTGTTACCTCAACGACAGGTAAATTATGATTTCTCCACAAAATATCAGTGGTAACAATCGGACCAAGTCTAATTGTTAATTTCCTGGAGGATTTTCCAAAGTTTTTTCGAGCACGTAATTGAATAATATCTTGACCACATTCGGTTGTTTCTCGATTGCAACGAGATGGTTTGAACACCAGAGAACATTTAGATAAAGAAAAATACGATCCAGAAATACTATCTTGGTTTTCCGTAACATCATCTATGAGAAAATAATCAGATTTTTTCATATAGTTCTAGCTACTTTTATGTCAAAGTTTTACAGTTTATAATAAAGAGCTGAACTAAATGAAGACGCGAAGTCTTTATTCAATATAAATAAATTTGTGTACAGTTGACTTTGCATTGCAAACCACATTGCTCTGTGATGACAATGGCAAGGTTGATTCACTCATCAATAAGAGAAGTAGAAAGTGCTAGGTCACTTACCAGAAATCGATGTATTCAAAGGAATTATCAAAGAGCAGTTTGTCTGTGAAGTTCGACAAAAAACGGGCAACCGTATGGTGAATGTAATATTTATGACTTGTGCGTATGCCATGACCAACTTACTGGAAGGTTTTACCTAAACATAAATGTCAACAATGATCACTTAGATTGTGATTATGTGGTTTAATTGAAATCAAGGAAGAATGATCTTTTAAAAAAAACATTTGAAAAATGAAACTGACAAGCAAATGTACCTATCAACAGATAGCGAAATACCTTGATTGACAATGAATTGATTCATTTAAGGAAGTTTTGGTGAATACGTTCGGAAGTATGATACTTGCATTCTCTTACACGAATACATACCGTCACGCCAAAATAAAAGCTTTGACTGGTCAAAACTGGACTCTTGATGAAGTTTGAATTCCTGAAAAACGATCGTACGTTACAAATTACCTGCAAACGAGAAAAAATAGTCCCTCTGATAAAGTTGATTTATCAAACGATTTGATGGGAGAGCACTTCATGTCATGTTGTTCTATAAAATGGATCGAGTTTTGTTTTCTTCACATTCATAAATCCATGGCAAGTCTGACCAACTGACTTACCATATAAAAACATACACGAATAAACATGTTGTTGACCAAATGGAAAATGAACATTATGGATGAAGGTAACGAACAACACGAAGAGGCATTTTTCTTTTATGAAGACGTTTTAAGAAGTGACAAACAGATATTAGGTTGCGCATGCATGTCATAAACACAAGCAATTCTTGATAGTAAACCTACCGTATCTCCAAAACCAAGAGCAAATCGTTCCGGTAAAACTTGTACATCAAAGTATGTACGAGAAGTCTCTTTTCTGTGAATTACGTTCCTCCAAATTTTCCCATCCTTTCCACGAGTTATTTTGTACAAATAAAAAAGATATTTGACGTTTTCCTCGCGTTTTGCAACACGGAATAAACAACGTATGTACACATATGGTCGACGGTAAGGTCGACCTAAATATCCAGAGAATGGATATAAGTGCAGCACTTTTGGCAGCGGAGGATACATATCTAAAAAATGAAATAGAAAAATTGAGGTACCTTCACACAAATGTTGACATGAACAATCGATAAATAAAAAATTGTAAGAATCATTACTTCAAGCATTTCGTATTTAGTAAAAATAAACAAATACAGCATAAAAACAATGACTTTTATTGAAATTGTAATTTAACTGTTTTGTTTGTACTTCATAGACGTACCTTGGCAATTATGTTTGAGATCTCGCTGCCCTGGATTGCAAAGTCTTTTAACGGCTATAAAAGACATAAAATTATTGTACGGTCGACTTCAAATTTTTTAATGCATATTGGCCAGCTAGGGTACGTTAATCTACCTTTCAAAATAAATTGCATTCGTTTCAAAACATACTGTTGAAAACGGAATATTAAAAAAATCGCATGATCTTAGCCAGGTCTCAGCCTAAGCAGACTACATGAATCTAGAATGTATAATACAACGAAACGGCAGAAGATATTGATATCCAGATTGCCATGTCAAGTCAAAATATTTTCACACAATAGAGCAGGTCAAAACTTGTTATGTACAATTTAAAGTGGCATGCAGTATCCAAGCACACATCTAACGATTACCAGTAGGTCTAATTGAGGTAAAGTTCTTCATATAATGTATATTTGATTCCAGCAACTTACTTTTGCCACTCCGTTACTTAAAAAACCAAACCTTCATTTCTAACCTTTAGCACAGTATGCTGTTGGACAGAAGTAAGTTCTCTGCAGTAAATAAACTTTAAAATCGCCACAATGTCTCACAAATATTGGTAACCGCCAGAAGCAGCAAATTTGTCGATTTCCTACGATCCACGAAGCACACGCTTTTACTCTTATCTGCTCTCCAAGTTTGACACCATATGCGGGAGGTAACCAAACAGATGAAGGAGTACCACATGCATTGGAGGGTGGACAGGTGTTTGGTAGTTCGGCTGATTGACCATTAAGTATGAATCTATACCACGTACGTGTTAGATTAGTGTCACAGATTGTGTTACGAGAGTTTTCACGTGCATTTCTAAGGTCACGTGATGCGTGAGTTAAAGTTTGATAAACGCTCGGCTTGCATTGTGGATAATCTAGAGAATGAACAAATTGTTGAGAAATTGCAGAGAGAAAGAGAATAGCTTACCTATGGTACTAAAATATTTACACAATTTACTCAAACATTACACCTTACATTAAATGTTTCATTTTAAAGTCCTAGCTAGGAGTAAACAAAAAAAACTGAGATGTTTTCAAAAAATGTTACAAAGCTCAACTGTTCATAGATTTCAGACAAAGACAATGATTTAAGAGACATACATGCAATTTCCTGTAGATTGTTTTAAGCATGTAGAAGCTATGTCTTATATTCAAACTGATATGATCAGATTAAGTGTATAAGTTCACATTTCACTAAACGCTTTGTGAAAAAAGACTAGTGATCTGATGTTAAAACCTCATTATGTGACTTGTTTAAACCGAGTTTGACTAAAACAAATTTATGTTTTGATAGCGTTTGTATAAAAACCTGCTGCCGAATTATTTCTGCTTCCAACTATTTGTCAGCCAGATTAAAATACAAATATCCTGTCGAGTCAGACAGATCTAAAAATATCTCGAAAATAACTGTGCAAGCAGCTTGTAATATTGAAGTTGAAGTTTTTTGTACATATTCTTAGTGTGTGCCTGACATGTAGATTACGTTTGTGAGAATGATAAATATCCTTGAAAAACGTGCGACATTTTATGACCCACAAAATGGGAAAACAGAAAGAACCTACAGGGGAATTCACAGCTTAAGGTATTTATTTATCTGCTTGACAAATCCAATAAGCCAGCTCTTAGTACTATCAACAGACCTTTTGGCGGGTATGTTTCCTTTTTCCTATATTTATAAAGTCATTTATTTTGCCAAATTGTGTTTATTTCTACAAAAGGCCACAAAAAAATGCCAATTTGGACAAAAATAATCGAAAATAACTTATGATCAATACGATAAGTTCATTTCCACATGTGAAAAACCGCATGCTTCAAAAAGTATTTTATGAATTATAGTAATGACAATTGCCAGCGGCGCACCCACATGGGGTGGGGTGAAAGGGTACGTGATAACTATCTTTATGTATTCAAGGTGTTGCCACGTTGGATGGTGGACGCTGTTTCTTCAGCATTTGTTTGTTGAGTTGCATATGTTACATCTCTATCAGAAACATCATACTAGGCTACTGGTCATTTTACAATTTTCATTCTTGTTCATTCTTTCTCATTTATAATCAAAGAAAGGGCATAGATTTATCGACTTCCTATCATTTCCCAAACACAAAGTTTGAATTCCTTGCACAAAAACAGATACGAGGTAAAAACAAGACAGCCATCGTATTACGTCATGTATATGGACGCCGTCACCGAGGAAGATTACCACACATTGATGAACCAGTGTGTGGAGACCAATGAATAAAAAAATTACAAACAATTCCACATACCTTTGATAAGAAACATTTTACGAATCCACTCCATATCTTGGTAAACATAAGTGAACTCTCCAACAATTGCATTATTTTGCGCTCCGCATATTGTCTTTTTTTGGAGCACACCGACCAGTGAGATGACTCCACCTTCATTAAAAACGATTAAAGGACTCCCAAGGTTCACTCGTGAGCAATATTCGTTAACATTATAGCTACTATTTCCACGAAAAGACATGCACAAACGGGAGATGTTTTTGTCGATACATGATACAATATCTACTGGTAATGTGAAAGTCCTTTCTGCATAACCAGCATCGTTTGTGTGGTGTGAATGCCAATTTACGACTACCGCACTATTAGGTGTATTTGCATATTTTGCGCGCATTGTGATAACGTTCGCCGTGAAGGGATTTTGTGACAAATACAGCAAAGCCAAATCATATTTTCTAGAGTTCACGTAATCAATAACGCTCACCATAACGGTATCTTCCTCGTTTCTTTTCATTGTCTCGTAATTTTGCGCTTGTATTAATAATTGAGAAGGAAATGTCATCTTTGTGAAGCAATTGGACGAAGTTAAGAGCCATCGTTGATGTATGATAGCACCAGAGCAATTCAGCGATGGAATATGCGCAAACCAAGGCCAAGTTTTTGAAGTTGACGCAGTTACCTGTAAGACAGCGAATAGTATATAAAATGTTAACTGGACGATCTTGTTTTGATCGTGAACAGGTTCGTTCAGCACAAGCGCCATCAGTATTGAGTGATGAAATTATTAGTTTACTACGAGTGTTAATACATCCGGCATATACAACATAAGATTACTTTAATGATTGATTGTTGGGACTAGAGATGCGCGGCCGTCTAAGCCAAAATATGAAGTATCTTTGCCATGATTAACTGATTATCACAGGATTAAAAAGAACCATAGGCTTCCTGCAGTTGTTCTAATTCTATTGACGTCATCAATCAATGCATCCAAATATGCAGGCAAGGGGCATCTTGGGGACATGGGGATGGTAAAACAATTTTCGAATAGATTTAAGACTAGATAAAATCAACTTTTAAGGCAACTTTTAAATGTCTTCATTTATGTAATCAATATCATGAAGTTTGATCCTTTGATTCATGAATCAAGACAAAAAAAGGTGTGGTATAGCAGCTGTTCTTATGACAGTAACGTAAACATATATATGACACTACTTGATTAAAATAGCCATATAATAGCCAAAATGATGAAAATGCATGTAGTAGCTCACTTGTTGCAAAAAATCTGTGGGGTTCACTGAGTGTTCACTTCAAGTCTTGACTGACACCAGTCCTCTTATGCTGTGCTTCATTCATTACGACGTTGTTCGAGATTGACAAGATAGTCCGAGAGTGCTCCGAACAGGCTCCGAAAATAGTTACAAATATCTGTCAAGAGCGTCACAAAAATAAGGCATAGATTGTTTTGGAGTTTAAATGTGTAATATGCATAATGAACATCTGCCGTGAAATTGCATCTGAAACATAAGCCTTTTTAGTTTTTAGTTTGTCAAAGCGCGCAGCAGACGTCTGAATTCTAAAAGAAAAAAAAACTCTGGAAAGATACTTGAAAATTGAGGCGTATTAAAATGGCCAATTTAAACGTAGTTTGTTGTTCATGGAATGTACATGGAACTTACCCTCCGAAGGAAGATCTACGGGAACTTCTACATCTTTACGATGACAAACCGTTGCCGGACATCGTTGCAGTTGGCTTACAAGAAGTTGAAGTTCGACCGTATTCCTTTGTCGTTGAAATGATAATGGAAAATCGCTGGGTTAAGGTGATACAAGAATACCTTGGTTACTATGGTCTGGTTCGTGTCAAAAGTCTTCGGATGCTCGGGATGATAATAATTGTTGCAATAAAGTCCAAGCACCTGCCTTATGTACGAGAAATCAAAACAGGCTATACTCGTACTGCAGCCTATGGTTGGTTAGGCACCAAGGGAGGTGTAGGTGTCCGATTTATCTTGTATGGACACTCCTTTTGCTTTGTCAATTGCCATTTAACAGCCCATCTTGATGGAACTAAGCAAAGAAATTCAAATTTTGAAAGCATCATAAAGAATATGAAGTTTCCAATTGTTAAAGCTGCAAAAGTAATGGAACATGATTATGTAAGCATTTTTGGTGATTTCAACTACCGCCTTGATGAGTTGTCCATTGAGGAGGTAAAAGCAAAGATATTATGTGGTGACCTTGCATCATTGAAAAAATATGATCAGCTAATTAGGAGCATGGCATCAGAAGAAGTTTATCAAAGCTTTTTTGAGCCGGAAATTCAATTTCAACCAACCTATAAATATTGTGTTGGTTCAAATGATTGGGATGCCAGTGACCTGAAGAGGAAGCCAGCATGGTGTGATCGTATTCTTTGGCATGAAGCAGTCCAAGATAAAATTATAGTTCAAAGTTATACATCACACAAGCAGCATATGACAAGTGACCATCAACCCATCAGTGCTGAAAGCGTTGTGAGTATTGATAGCATGCAAATGGATCAAGAGTCACGAATTATTTGGCGCCTAGAAATTGATAGCATGCCTTGGTATGGTAATGATGATGGCTTGTGTGTGTATGTTGTGAAAGACTACAAACCATATAGCTGGGATTGGATTGGCCTATATAGGCTGGGTTGCCAACATATCTATGATTATGAGATGTATGAATGGGCCGTGGGTGATGGGGATGAGTATGGCGAAAATGGGTGTGCTGTTCTGTTTGATTGTCTTCCTGAGGAGCCAGGGTTGTTTCAGTTATGTTACTATAGCTATAAGCAAGATTGTATTATATCTATGAGTGACCCCTTTGAAATTAAGAAGCCCCACGATGAAGATGTTGATCCAGTAGAAGTAAACATTGAAAAACCTCTTACTGAATAAACTCAATGGATTTTCTTAAAATGTGGGCTAAGGATTGCCCGCTGTTCATTTCCATAATATGACATTTGTCATACATCTAAGTACATATGGTGGACTACATTAAAAACTTTATCTTGTTTGTCATGAAATTCTGTACCTAGAGCACAATATCATGTTTATGTTAAGTCATACTAGTGAATAAACATTGATGAAGCATTCATGAACACTTCTGCATTTTTTGTCTACCATTGTTTACTTTTTGATGTGAAATGAAACAAAGTAAGTTTGAAAATATGTTATAGGTATGTACAACTTGATGAAAGTAGTGAAAGTAATGCTCATAAAAACAAATGTCGTATTATAATCGAGTTGTTCTAACGCGGAGCTTGGCATTTTCAATTTTGTTTTCAAATTTTGAAATTATAAGGAGTCGCAGTTGCTCTTGCAAAAGTACGACCGTGCGACTTCTATAAAAGACTGGGTCAGAGACTTGGAGACAATTATCCACAAGTCATTGCGACAACAACTACCGAATTCTTTTCAACTTTCTCTCCACGCGTTCACAAGTCTCAACAAAATGGGCCACCAAAACTTATGGTTTAGCCATCCGAGAAACTTCGGACCGGGCTCAAGAAGCTGGTAAGATGTACTTCGTTATTTAAAGTTGTTGTTGCGTCAATAGAATAATTTGAATCTCATCCTGGTAAAGTTACAGCCTTATTCGAAATTACGACTTACCAGTGTAAATATGACGGCCTTAAAGCTTGTAAATCTTCTCCTTCTTGTCATGACTCGTCGCGTGAATTGTTAGAAAACATTATTATGAATACAAGCACATAATATCCAATGATTTTTGTGCAAGCGCAACATGCCATTGAAACGCCAATCAACCATTGCTAGAAACAAAGCTCCCTCATTACTAAAAATTATATATTCAAAATGGCTAACAAAATGTTTCAACCAAAATCTACTTAAAGGTTAGGATTTCATTGTGTATTCTTCACTAGCTGAATTTCAAATTATAGTACCTCAAGTTTGATTGAAATGTTATTCTATGTTTTTAACAGCAGAGTGAGTTCAAATCGTCATGGCATAATTCGCAAATATGGAATCAACATGACACGGCAATGTTTCAGGCAATATGCTAAAGATATTGGTTTTCAAAAGGTATGTTCTTACATCACAGTAATTGTGTACTAACTGACTTATTGACCCAGACTTATGTAAATACACACCTATATTTTTACAAGTGTAGTAAACCTTGACAATACATATTTTGTCTTTAGTTCCATTGAGAATGTGGATAAAAGATCAGAAATCATGCTATAAAGATCAGACTTTGAGTTAATTGTTATGTTTGAAATAAACTTGAATAAAAAATGAAGTTATTCATTGTATTTTTCAAATATACTAATGGACCCTGTTTGTTTTCAGTATTTGATTTAATTCAAATAGATTTCCTAAAATAAATAATCTTAGACCCTTAATATCCCTTATCTACAAAGTGTACACTTCGATTTGGAGAGCTTTACATCATTTAGCTGTATGAATGAACAACTTTTGATCATACCAAGAGTTGTTTCTTTTGATGGACATATTGATTGCTAAAACAACTACCACCTATCAAATTTTCAATCATAAAATTTCAAGCGCATGTAGAGCTGCTCCAAGTGCCCAACTCACTTCAACATTATTGATCTGTTTAGCAATCTATAAAGATGCAAAATAGAATCAGTCTAGTGTTTTTCAACCAACGCAAAATTTTTCTACCCTAATAAGTTGTCCCTGGTTTGGTATTTTAGTGCTTTTGATTGACTGCTACCAGACAAATCATCAAACACTCATCTTAGCAAGCAACTAACTTGAAAGTTTTAGAAAATAGCCCAGTTAACAAACAGTAATATTGGCAACTTACAATAATTAGATAGAAGTATGTAATATGTCATCCACTTTATTATAATGTGGAGTTGAGGAATACAAGGAAATGTGGAATACATTACCCTAATCATTTGTGAACCAGGAAATCCATAACCCTTGCACAATAGGATGGTAGCATAAACAGCATCAAGACATAGAAATGGACGTCTAGATGATGTATCCTTGTCACTTTGATTAGAACAAACTAAAATACAACACACATTGATTATTTCCTTATACTAAAAAAGTAATGTGTAAAAAACCAACCCCTTGTGGCGGCATCAATGTAAGAATCAACAGAGATGAGTTGCCCATTAGGATCATCTGATAAAATAGTGGTGTAAAAAAATGTGTTAATTCTCCATCTTAATTTTCAAATTGAAACTACTAGCTAAATTTTGAGAGATATGTTTACTTTCAAAACAGACTAAATGGAATGTTAAACAGTGAAATGGTACCTAGGAGGCCAAGCTCAAAGGCGATGTCGTAAAAATATGAAAATGCATAAAATCTTCTGTTGATAATTTCAGCTGTAAAATTTAAAAGCAGAAAATACATTCACCAATTATAATGCAATTCATAAGTGATAATAATGAAAGCTGGACCCTTGCAAACTGTAAGAAATATGTTTTTTTTTCTCCCGTCAGTCATCATCATAAAACTATGTAAGACCAATGAAGCTATACCTGGTTTGTGCAGTTTATCGACAATCATTTCAGCATAATGACCACAGTTTTCATAACCAAAGGAGTCCTCACCTCTACACAAAACACCAAGGTAAAGTAAAGTGATAACTACAATGGGTAAGAAATGACACCTGTCACTACATGATCAATAGTGAAATGAAAAATTTGCATTGCAATGTATATGACATTTATGTTTCTTAATCACAGTCATCTTGACCATCACATGCATGTACATGATGTACAAGTACCAATGGACTTCTACTTACTGAATACTCATGTCTATACCAGAATAAGACCACAATCCTTTGTATGAAGGAGGAAAACAAGGGCTGTATGTAATATTATCTTGTAAGAGAACAAAGAAAAAAAATAAATTTCTTAATAAGCAGTGATACAATGTTAACATTCAGTCCATTAGTTTTAACAAAATTACCACTTTGCATAGTTAATTGTAGCACTGCTTGTCTTGCAGACATTAAACCTAAGCCAAGATAACTAAACAGATAAAATTAGATTTAGCTTGCTGAAGGCTCACTTTGTCAATACAAAAACTTTACCTGAATGAATACAGATAATGGTCTGTTCCCATTATGGTTATCTTAATGATATGCGTTGCTGGACTGGATTGAAGAGTTTCCTTCAATTAAGTAAAAGCAAAAAATTCATGTAACTACTTCATACTACGTATAAAGCTTTGCAAACCCATAGAAGTTTAGCAATGGTGTTCAATTTTGTGCAAAGTTTAGGTTGATAATGATGCTGTAGAAAATTTTATGCATGTCACTTTTGTGCTTAGTTGTGGATTGAATTGAATAAATTTATTGTTCAACCATTACCAAATTCTCCTGTTACCTTTAAGTTGGGTTCAAATACAATTTGAGTTGATCCACCACCCAGATCAAGGGCACCAACAGTCCCAGTAGATAATTTAAAAAGATTTTCTATAAAATATTCAACACACATATTACACAGAAAAATCTGTTGGGTACATATGAATGCTATTGCTTTTTTAAAGGGATATTTTAACAGTGGAATAATAAACAAAATAACATGATAACAAATAAAAATACTAAATGATCACAAACAAACCTGTCAAAAAATTCAATGTAGTCCAAGCAAAAATACCTGAATGAAAAGTCAAGAAAAAATACACAGTTGTTTAATCACATAAATTTTAGTTGTCCGTAAACATACATCCAAACATTTCAATAAATAATCAAATACACATAGTTTGTCTCATACTTTGCACAAGCACACACCTTCATCATCTCCATCCAAAATTGAAACAGAATTTGCATCCTTGATTTTTAAAGGTGAAGCAAACAAAAACTTGCGAACCTAGACAAAACTGGAAATTTCTCAAATCCAAATTAATGTAATTGTGTTGCAAAAACTAAACAGGTACTGCTAATAATATGATGCAGGTAATTACTGCGTTAAGGTGGACAATGCACCTCTTGCATGATGTCATCAGCAACATTTTGTGGTAGAAGACGTAAACCAGCAGTTGCTTTTAATGACACTGGTGTTGATGTCCATTTATTTTTGGGTATAACCTGAAGAGCTTTTTGTAACAGACCACTAATCGATGTAATACTCTATAATTAAAAAAGAAAATGCCATATAACTTTGTCTTTTGACCAAGCACTCTGGTTAATACGATTTTACGAACCTTCTTTGGTTCACCATAATAATATGACAATCCAGGCTCAACATGTTCAAAGTAAGCATGCTCCAACTTGATTCCTTAAAATATATTATTTTATAGGAATTAATAGCAACACAGTGTGGAACTGAGCACTTGGTGTTACCATGCAATGCCTTAAAAGTTCTCAGGAAACATACCTCTTTCTTCCTGGCGAAATTCAAACACATGAATTCGACTGCCCGTACTTCCAGCATCAAAAACAACCTGATACAGTAACTTGACCACCATTGATTTTGTTAACTTGTTGTTACACATACACATTCCAGGCATCATAAGCACCAATCGTAGAGCTTTGCAAGAGTTCCAGTCATCAAATTTATTTTGCCATACTGTCTTTATACAACTTTTCTGTGGGAGTAGTATCAGCCAGAAGAGAGCTGCAACTATAGGATTATTAAAATACTGCCCATTTTTTACCATCATTCAAAATTAAATTGAGAATGTGGGAAAATTGATTAGTCAAAAAATTAAAAAGTATTTATGTCAGTCAGACATAAGCAGTTTTCATTAGCTTAAATAAAAATTTGGCGTTTCCTTTAGGTTGTTTATTAGCTATTTTTTCTCTCGAGGCAACAGAACCAAAGTTATAAACTTCGGATAAGATCGGGTTATTGTGACGTGTCAGTGATGAAAAGTCCTTTCAAGACGTTTGAAATTCCTTTTTTTAAAATTTCCTTGCTAAGAAAATTACCATATTAACTCTGCCACACCCCGCTGTATTTGAGTGGATCGGGAATCCAACCCGATAACCATACAATCCCTACTGCAGGTCCCGGTCATGGCCACCCTTTTTTGTTATTCTTTAGAGCGATTCTCTAAAGATGAGGGAAACCGGCGTATCACCGGAGGAAAACCCTCAAAGAACAAACCAGCCACGAAAGCCAGTCTGTGGATGCACATTACGTGTGGAATCACCATATCTACTTTTACTAGTTATCTTTACAAAAAAAGGATGTTAAAATTTTTTAAGGCCTTGATTATATTTACAAAATTTATTAGACTGCCTTTATCTTTACAAGGTTGTTAAAAAAGGTGACTTAGGAAATATGCATCTTTGTAAAAAAAAAGTGAAAAATCCGGAACCGGCTTCATTTCATTACGCCATTTTTAGATTACGCCATTTTTAGATTACGCCATTTTTTGATTACGCCATTTTTTGATTACGCCATTTTTAGATTACGCCATTTTTGATTACGCCATTTTTAGATTACGCCATTTTTAGATTACGCCAATTTTTCATTACGCCATTTTTTCATGCATTTTGCTTTGCGCATCCTTAGCTTAACCCTGTTGATCAGTGGCATGAAAAAGCCGATTTGAACCTCTTCCTAGTACCTACGAGCTACGCTGCACAAAAATGATTAAAACATACCTTTGAACGACGAGACACCTGTAAAGCAACGTTAGTACCCGAACCGAAAGAGAACCTAAGGGGTGGAAAACCGCCTCCCTGGGCCCTTATACTTTACCAAACGGCGTGCCAACCAATCCTTCTTGTGTCCAACACTCGATCACCTAGATGCCATCATGGCACCATTTACGACTATTCCTACCTGGACTAGGCTAAATGTATCCAATTAGTTCGTCTGGCTATGAAATCATCTTCCATGCATAAAATAAATGAAGATGTTCGACTTCATTTAGAGACGAGCAAACTCAATACATCAAAAACAATTAAACTATCTTCCTGTTCTGACTTATTTTTCTTCAAGTTAAATAACAGCCGTTATTTTAACTTGAACATGCCACTGTCATAACATTGATTTTGACAGTTTTTCGCAAAAGCAATGCCGGGTTTCATGCACTTATTCTGCTTCGCTCTTCATTAGAGCAATAAGACATTACTTCTAGCATATTCCTCTTGATGATGCAGATCACACATTTTTTCAAAAGTATTATTAAACATATTTACTTGTTTTTCTTCATTTTCTAGTGTTTGATGAACGTTTTAAGTTTTGCATGGTTCAAAATTTTGATAGTTCTATAAAAAAAACGTTAAAATTGTTGATAAAGCATCATCAAGGAAGAATATTTCAGACGTTTATAGTTTTAAATACATTTAGTTTGCGCTATGCAGCTCACATGCCGGATTTGTTTCGGACCGCAAGTTTTTTGCTATTTTTACCGTTCAATCTGTAATTCGAAATTTGCTGTATTTTAGACCGTAATTTTCTCGTTAATTTTAGCACATTTAGTTACTTACGTTGCGCTTTAATTTGTGCATTTAGATTTTTAATGTTTACTTTAATGAATCTTATAATTAATTATGCACATTTCAAGAATCAATAGACACGACCAAAACTCAAAGAAACCCATGCTTATTTCCTTGAACTCAGGATCGTGTATCCTGGTGATCAAATAAACGAAAAGCATAAAAAAACCGGACCTTTTTCTCGACATCAGACGTGCATACAAAAAAACATTAACAGGAATCAAAAGAACAAGTAACTTTGTTATATAACTCAGCCAATGTTCAATCAACTTCCTGTTAGTGTTGATCACCAGGATTTTAACTAAAAAACGTCCAACCTGAAACGTTGTTTTTGGTCTTCGTTCGTAGATTAACGTAATCCTCAAATGATAAATCCCCAAGATTGATTCCATAAAATCAACGACAATGGTGATGTCAATCCAGAAAACGATGATAGAAATCCACGACAACCATAATGTAATCCACAACAGCATTGAGTTGATCTGCGATGACTATGATTGTGATCAACGACGGCTATGATTGTGACCAACGACAATTTGATTTAATCCATGACAAACATGATGCAATATATGAATAGAGCTAATACGCCACCACCATTGTTTTCTTTCTTCACTACAAAACAAATGAAAGGTTCCAGATAATGAAAGGTGTAGTCCTGAAAAGTATTGTTAGTGTTGCTGTCGACTGACGTCTTGTCAACCCTAGCGGCAGTCATCTTCAGAGTAAACGTGGGAAGTGGGAAATATACGTTTACTTTGTACTTGGCTCTGAAAATGGCTACCACTAAAGCTGTCAAAAGGAATCAACATCAAAAGCAACAGCCCATCTCAGCACTCTAACATGGACGGCTGCAAACATATAACGATATTCCAGGGTTTTAACCATTAATTTTTCAACTAATAACATCCCAATTTCCGATTTTAACGGTAAGTTATTTTTGGCCAAACGTTATAAATTGCTTTTTGTCTGAAAAATTCCCACTTACATGTTTATCGTCTGCTCGTAATGCAGCCAAAAAGAAACTAAAAAGATTGGTAAATAAGAATAGATACTCATAAATTACCTATAGATTGGTGGTCATAAGCAGCCAACTGCTTCTTTACAACTTCTTGCAGTGTTGTGTAAGGTTGTTTTGTTCATAGGATGAAACATACTCCAACTATCATAGATATTTTGCTAACTGAAGACATGAAGTGGAACATTGAAACATATGGACATTGGAACATTGATTTTGAAACGTTGTCGTCAGTCTTCATTCGTAGATTAACGTAATGCAAGATTAGTTTGAAAAGATCCACGACAGCCGCGATGCAGCCCACGACAGCCACGATGCAATCCACGACAGCCACGATGCAATCCACGACAGCCACCATAAAATCCACAACAACCACGCAGAATGTAATCCACAGTATCAATCAATTCCTACAAAACAAATGGATTCAAAAGACTCATAATTTAACGAAAGCTTTTCAAATTGAGAAAAAGTAACGGTATATTCGATGAAAAAAGTTCTAACAAACTCAAACCAAGCTGGAGTCTCCAAATTCAAGACTTAACACCACCAATGAACAATGTGCTTCTATGAACTCATCATACAACAGTTTTTCAAAAATTGCATATGAGGAAGTATAATGGTATTTACAAGAAAACCTGGATACCTGTAGATTGGTTGTCAAAAGCAGCCAACTGCATCTCCTCAATGTTAGCAGTTGTGAAAGTGGTTCCATTACTTTTTTAAAACTTCCCCACAATGTCATAATCATGATTATTTTTTTTAGTACTTCCATCATGTTCCCCAAAGCGCAATGTTTCTTTTTCTGAAATTCAAAAGGCACAATATCAAGTAAATTTTAATGTAAAGTCAGTGCATTGTCGAATTTTCATCTTACCTGACATACATCCTTTGTTTTGCACCGCCTGCAGCATCTCTAGAAATTTACTTGTGCACACTTGGTCGAAAATCAAGTGCAAATCGAAAACAATGGAAACGACAACTTTTCAAAACTAGGTTATTCATGCACGTTAGTCCGACTTAAGTCGATCAATAGCCGTCGAGCAAGTGTAAGTTATAAAAGAAAGCTAGATTATTTATGCATATTACTTTAACTTAAGTCGATAGATAGCTTATTCAGTTTTGTTAAGTTATAAAAGACAATTAAGTCATGCCAATCACGTTAGAAAATACAAAAAGCAAACAAAAGCCAGCATGTACAAAACTGTTAAATGTGCCTCCAAATGTCATATATGGATTAAAGCATCAGGCAATATATTTACAAATATTGTTAAGAAATTTATGAAATATTTTTCTTGCACCAATTTGTCTTATTTTTCTTAACAAGATTATAATGTCATCTTTCTTTTGCATTATTTCATCTTAATTTTCTTCACAAGATTCTTATGTCATTTTTGTCTTTCATCTTTTTATCTTATTTCACTTCACAATATTGCTATATCACTTTGCCTTGCATCATTTTAGGTTAATTCCTTTTTGTTTGAAATCATTCCATCTTATTTTCGGTGTCAAAAGATTCTTTTGTCATCTTTTGTCTTGCTTCATTAAATCTCGTTTTTCTGTTCAATATATAACTGTCTACTTTGTCTTTAAATTCCTCGCTTTTATGTTACGTTCGTAATATTTTCCTATCTGATCTAAACTGATCTATCTGACACCTCTAAACAATAATGACACACAAAAAAGAGACAACGTTGCACTTGAAAAGAGTTTCTGAAGAACTTAAACAATGCAAATAGCTAACCTCTCAAGAATATAATCTCCCATACAAAGGAAGATTTTGCTCTTTCAAGAAATGATGAAGTATCCCAACAACAGAAGACGCTGCATTTCCAAAAATTGATGAAATGTTCAACAGAAGACACAAAAATATGCGTATGAAAAAATAGATGAAGTGCCTCGAAAACGGAAGACGCTGCGCATGCAAGATCGCTGAAGTGCCTCGACAACGGAAGACGCCGCGCATGCAAGCATCGCTGAAGTGCCTCGACAACGGAAGACGCCGCGCATGCAAGCATCGCTGAAGTGCCTCGACAACGGAAGACGCCGCGCATGCAAGCATCGCTGAAGTGCCTCGACAACGGAAGACGCCGCGCATGCAAGCATTGCTGAAGTGCCTCGACAACGGAAGACGCCGCGCATGCAAGCATTGCTGAAGTGCCTCGACAACAGAAGACGCCGCACATGCAAGATTCGTTGAAGTGCCTCGACAACGGAAGACGCTATACTTGCAAGGTTCGCCGAAGTGTCTCAACAAGAGTTGATGAACACCCCAAACAACGAAAGGTGCTTCCTTTGTGTGCATTTCAAACAAACGAAAATGCTGTGCTTCATTATAGATTCACGAAAGTTTCCAAAATCTCACTCTTACTAACTCTCACTCTTACTAACTCTCACTCTTCCTACCAAATGGACTATGTACACTGGATCTTGTGTTCTCTTCTACTAGTGAAGTTTTGGCTCTTGAAGTGACCTTTTTCCAAAAAATTTTAAATCTTGTGTGGTACTCAGTGCTGTTCTGTACGTCTTGCAGTCAATTCTTGAACGTTTTCATTCATAATGATATTTACAACAATACTATTTACTTACTTTTTTAATTAATAAGAGAATAGTGGGCAAATGAAGACTTAAAGTTGCTAATGTATGGAAAAAATATGGATGTGGACAAATATGACATCTACATTTGTTTCATGAATAGATTTCTTCTTTTAAAGTTTTTCTTTTAATACCTTATAAATTTCAAGTGGAAGTCATATAGACTTCTTTATTTGGTCTGGACGTATATATAATTTATATGAATCGATCATGCACCACAATAATTTTTGACTTATTATATCTAACAATCCTTACTCTATAAACCGAGCAGCATTTGTTTTAAAATTCACACAAAATTTATTTACTGGTTTTCTTTCATGAGTAGAATTCTTCCAAAGAATATTTCTTTTGAATTTTTATATATTTCAAAAGAAAGTCGTATAGACTTCTTTATATGCCATTGAACGTAGAGTTCAGATAGATCGTTCACAATGATTGTTTTAAATTACTTATTTAATAAAAAATAATAGGCGAAATCAAAACTTTAAGCTCCCAGTGTATCGACAAATATACCTACAGCATGCACACAAGCTTTATTTTCGTTTCACGAGTATATTTTTTCCAATGAATTTCTTTTGATATTTTGTAGATTTCAAAAGAAGGAAGTCATATAGACTTCTTTGTTATTTTATATGCTATTGAACGAAAGATGGATTACTCACAATAGTTTTGACTTGTAGTCCAATCATTCCTGCCAAAAACGTATAAAGCTTCTTTTTTGTTTTAACATAGCACTCATGTATTGGCAGAAAAATATGAAGACAATGATTAGATAATAAAAAATATTTAAGACAAAATTTGTTAACGCCAAAAAATTTGAATATGTGCACAAGTAAATTCCTAAACACACTCTCAGTCGGATTGTCTGTTTCATTCGAGTATCCTATCAATTCAAATTAAACGTTATGAGTTTTTGTGTTTTTACCCATTCGATGTTGCACAATATTAGCTATGATAAAAGTTTTCAGAACCATTTTCATTGCCAGTACAAAAACATGTAATAACAGATCTAAAACAAACTAGGCAGTCAATGAAAGTTTTAACGATTTTTGTCTCCCTTACTTCTTTTTAGTTTTCTTCCTATTCTTTCCATAACTATTCCTTTTATCTTTTTTCAAATTTCAACATTAGGATACGATTTCGGTTGCATTCTTTGTGAGTATTTATAGTCAAGAAGAAATTAGCATCTTTTCCTATAGAATTTAAACACGTACATTGGAAAATGCTCTAAAAAGAGTCCATAGCTTTTGAATAATAACTTTTCTAAGTAGCGTAGCTAATTTTAGCTACAATCTTTCATTGGTGATGGATTAATCTCTTCAATGCTTATACCTTTGCATCAATGTATATATTCCATGGTGAAAATTCTCCCTGTACCCTACTCCACTGAAAAATTGTTTTCTATAGTCAAGCTTGTTACTTTTGAATAATTTGTGCCCAGTTTTTTTCATTTGCACGCGGAACAAAAAAGGCGGCAAATTAATTGAAAGTCCAAGGTCCAACATGAACCAATATTTTCATATTTTTCACATATCTTCGAAATTTTCGTTCAAAAGAACACTTTTTATCGATAAAAATAAACCCACGGAGTAAGAAATACCCTTCTTAACACTCATTTTGCCATACTATATCGTTTAATGCAGAATTTGTTCACATTTTTTCGGTGAAACGAGAAAGATGTTTGTCGCGCAAGTTTCTTGTTGAAAATATATCGACTCGCAAATGCATGCTAAAAGTTCAAAAATTCAACAAAATTTCACCTCGAAACAATCCAGATGTTAGTAATAGGCAACACACTTATGTAAAAATCGAAAGAAAGACTTTGAAATATCAAAAAAATTGTCGTCTTTATACTAACAAGTGACAAGGTCGTCTTGCAAAAAGTTCAACGTCCGACATGAACCAACATTTTAATGTTTTTCACATATCTTCGAAATTCTCGTTCAAAAGAACACTTTTTACCGATTAAAATCAACCCAAGCAATAAGAAATACCATGCTTCGCCTTTATTTTGCCATATTGTATCTTCTTTCGCAATATTTGTTCATATTTTTGCGTTGAAACGAGAAAGATGTCGGTCGCGCAAGTTTGCTGTTGAAAATATATCGATTCACAAAAACACGTTAAAAGTGAAAATATTCAACAAAATTTACTTCGAAACAATCCAAATGCTAGCAATAGACAACATACTTATGTAAAAATCGAAAGAAAGACTTTGAAACATACAAACTTGTCGTTTTTATACTGACAAGTGACAAGGTGTTCTTTTCCAAGCAAACACACCGGCGAAATCACGCAGTAAAACGCCAGTTTACTTAAAAATACTCGACAAAAACATTTGCAAGTAAAACAATACGTAACTCTACATCAAACAAGCCTTTTGTCATCGAATTCATCGACATTTGAAGTACTTTTCTAAGTAATTAATAAAAAGTTCACTACCATACCTTTCATTTTCGAGTCTTCGGGGCATCTGGCAGTGAAAAAGTGATTGATGTGTGTTAAGATCATTTGGTAACCTGATATTATTGGCTCATTTCGATGAGATCTGGCATTGTTATTGGTTACATTTTTTCAAGCTCTTATTGGCTAAAATATGAAATAATTTATTCCAGATTTTGATCCCAAAGAGTGAGATGGTTACTCTGTGCTTTTTTTCCACATTTATCCTTAAAATAAAGATACTTAAAAAGAAAAAAAAAGTTTTCTGTTTTGATCACAAGCAAAGAAACTAGTTACAGTTCAAATACAGACAGTTGTTTTTTATTGGGGTGGTACGAATTCCGATATATTTGCTTTGAACATGATGATGAATCAATGGTTCCAGCAACAAGTGATGTTTTTTAAGTGAATATATCCCACACAATTGATACGAATGGATCTTTTGGCAATAATTAACAGTGGAGTATCCTAAACTTTTATTTTTATGTCTTCGCTTATTGAAAAAAAAATAGTTCCATAGAAATGAAAAAATGTCTGGGAACAAGTCAAACAACATAGTAGGACTAAAACTTGCAGGTTGGCCACTTTACTGATAACAGAGTAGAGTGAAATTGAAGCATACAAGTAAAAAAAGTTGATCGGGAATGATTCCACATGCATACAAAGGTGTTAAAAGTGTTCTAAAATTACATTACACTTTATTAAATAATAACATGAATTCTGTAATTAGTTGAATGGAATTGGCAAGTCTTGTGTAGTATATCTATTGTCTTCTACTTTGCAGTTTTTATCAATTTTAAACATGGTCAGCTTGACCAACAAGTACCGATAGTATCACTTCGAAAACCGCCATGTATGCATGATAATCATTTTTAGAAAGACATGCATTTTCTTTGTTTGAAATGTTGCCATTGTTACTATAGCAAGGACTTCATTTATCAATTAAACACCATAGAGTACTTGAAATTTCATGTCTGCATATAAACTGATATTTACACGTAAATTACAAGAATTTATTACATTTTGCGATTCATAGATGCCTCATTCTCTCCGTAGGTTTTCCAACCTAAATAATATACAATGGTATGCATACATTCTCCAAACAGAATTATTTAACGAATGCTTTTAAACATGCATGTAAAGTATGCTATCTTAATAAAAGTAGGCTGACCTTGCTTGTAAATCTGCATCAGCATCAGCTGCAACTGGAGTTTTATCCGTTGCCTTACTTGTTGAACCAATAGAACCTCCAGCTTGTGGCAGGCCAGTCAACTACATAAATATTACACAAGTTTTTTACTGCAAAGTTTATCCATATAAGATGTGCTGTTAAACAGAAACGTCTTACCTCATCATTTAGTTGAAGTCCAAGTTCATCTAAGACCTGAGTTACAATTGCATCACTACAAAATCATATAAGTTATGTTAGAGAAATCCATCGAAAGTATTTATAATGTACACTTTAGACAGCAAAAACCTCATACTACAATAAAAATTGTTTTTTCAATTAGTAAATAAACTGTGGGCAATTTTAGTGCAATGTTAGTATTGCTATATTTGATTTAAACAGGTAAATACCTTTCTTCTTCATCATCTTCATCTCCAAGAGCATCATCAAGGGCATCATTCATCATTTCCTCTTTCATATCCATAATCTCAGACTGAAATATCATTTAACATGGCATTTGTTAAATTCATATCCACTTCTCAATAACATTTCACTTGTTAAACCTGTTTTTCAAAATCCATCATGATTTTCTGTATCTGAGGCAACTTCAATTGCTTGTTCATAGTACCCATTGCCTGAACAAAAATACAATTTCAACTGGTATCAGGATGATTTGTAATACACATAGTCAGGACTACAACAAAAAATATCTAATAACTAGATTTATTTAATCTTTAATTTATCCAACAAGTCATTTAGGAAAAATCAAACCTTAGCAACACCTTTCATTGCTTGAGCCATTTGATTTGACGAACGTAAAGTCTAAATAACAGAATTCTGTCAAAAATTTTGGATAAAATGTAAATTATACCAGTACTAGCAAATATAGACTGTTTTAAACCTGAATTCTAAGGGAGACAGCTTGAATATTTGTTCTCATCAACATGAACTTTTTTACATATCTCCTTGTTCGAATCAAATCTTTTGCCATAATTTTCACTGCATCCTAAAATTTAGTAAAATTTTTTAAGAAACTTGAACCAAACATTGAACGTTGGTGTCTTGGTAGCAACTGACAAATGGATACTTGCATGAAATAGGGAGTTTGTCTAGTCTTTCTGTACATCAAGAAAATAGAAGCATCTTGAATAGTGTTTTTATTTCTCAAGTAAGAGACATACTAATGTATCATTGAGTTGTGTATCAAAAAACAACAACAAAAAAATACAGAATCAAATAAATGTCAGAATAGCTTTACCATTTGACCTTGCTTAGCCATCTTTTTTATATCAGCAATAACTTTCTTTTCTTGAGCTTCAAGTTTTCCTCTTTCTCTGTCCAAATCTCTGATGTAAAAAGCATTTACAAAAAAAGCAATTTATCGCTCTCAATTTTGTTGTAGTATTTCACAAAATAATTATATATGTTTTCACATTTCAACTTGTTTACCTCATAGCCCGGTTTAGAGCGCGCTGATTTTGCTTCAGCATTTCTTCAGGAGTTTTTCGCTTCCCAAATAAAAAATCCATCGCTGTTATTTTGAAAGATAGAAATCAAACTTTAAGACTTTTCAATATCTATAAGTATAATTTACGAACTTTTCAGCTTATTTATGTTGTTGTCACGTGATAATGTAGTGCAACGTCATGTTGTACTTTAAAATAAAACAATTCGTCAGCACACACAATTTACCTTTTCTTACAAAATATGATCGAATTGTGGGATGTGTCATCCTTATATGACATAACTTGGTTCTTGGCTTCAGGGGCACAAAAAAGACAATGGTGATAACGTTTTATGGCACCCTGCTATTGTAAAAAATATATGGCCCCAAATACGGACAAATAAGTGCAGTTTGGTGAAACCAAAATACATGATGTATATTCCAACCAGTCGGCAGTCGCTTTTAGGTTTCAAAAAAGTGCAACTTATTGCGGTAGTGCATGGATTAGATCCAGTGGATCATGGAAATGAATCTAAAGAAATCACAAGAAATATATGGTCATCAAAAGTAAGCACTGCCGGGCGCATTTTTTTTTACTTAGAATTCAATGTTTTAAAATATTAAGAGCAGTGTTTGTTCAATATTTTAAACTTGGTAAAATCAAGTGTGAATTTACGTTTTTTTGCTATTTTGAGGTGAAAAATACTTTTCAATATAATTCGAATAATTACAGCGATAATATAACAAAATGATACTCTGCTGTGGACTTATGATTGTTTTCACTTTCAGTGCACATAATACAAAGTGGCAGAGTAAAAATCTGTGAAAGTGCATAAGTAATGAGCAAAAGTACAAAATTTAGCATTAGCTTTGCAACTTTTTTTTAAACAAATAATCAGCGGAAGTTATCCGGTATTTTGTCTCGTTTAGTTCGTGACTTCATGCTATATTATGATATATTGTAATGATTTGCTATTTAATGAAATAAAGCGCACTTATCTAACGTAACGGCTGGAAACTTTCGGTAGTTTACCTAGAATCCTGGAATCGATTGAAAAACCCCATTTTTGAGGTTGACATAACAAAAGAGAATAAAATATTACAAAGTATGTTAAATATTTGTGATCAAAACATACTTAATAAATATATTCTGTACATTGCTAAAGATGATTTGATCAAAAGCACCATAAAGCACTTATCATTTAAGCTGAGTCAAGTACACTTTCAGTGCAATATTTTAGTATTTTTTTGCTTTGCAAGCATGTACGACAAAGTCGGCAATTTTGAATAATATTGAAAATTTTAAAATCTGTTTGCATAGAAAATTAATAGCTGTGGGAGAAAAGCAATGATAATGAAAACTTTCGATTTTATAATGGATTATTTTGCAAATGATGAATATCTTGGGATTCTTTGCAGTTAACAAGGTCAAAATTAAAGATGAAATTTGGTCGTCCGATTTTGGTTCTAATTCCTAACCAATGAGAAGGCGGGCGAAATAAACAAACTGTCAATCAACCATAGAAGGTCTCCGTGGCATCTCTACCATGTCACTCCATGAATGTGGAACGTAAAACGAATCAAAAGCGCAGTAATTTTGGCTAAAAGAAAGCCGGGTTCACGGTAAATGAATGGGTAATGGTGATTTTTTTATATTTATATCATAAATTGATTTTCTGGGGCACATGAAGCAGTGAAACTAGCTCATACGTTCGTGCCGTGTGGAATGGATAGCACGTCTATTATTACTCAAGTCAGTCGCGACGACGAAACATTAAATGTAAATACACATCGAGGTGAACGTTTTGAAGGTGTGTGATTTTCTAAAATATGTTGTGCATATTTTTATACGTATATATATGATCAGTGTGGGAACTCATTGAGGAAATGTGCGAATGTTGCGAGAGTACTATTCAGTGCAACTTAATATTATTTTGTTGTGATTGTCGTTGTATTGAATGACTAAATTTGTCACTGATTTATATGTTTCTAGCAAGTTTATTGCATGCATAGACCTGTTATTTTGTGCAATATTTTATGCAATGTTAATCATTTAGAACCTTGCGCGAGTTCGGATAGTACTAGAAAAACCTAAATCTTTTATTTGTACTTAGCATTGATCATTTTGTATTCTGATATCTAAATTATTCTCCACTTAAGTGTCGCGGAAGTCGAGTACAAAGAAACGACGACGTCGTGGTTTTCTATCCTCGATATTTTGCTGTTTTGGTAGTAGAAGCCGTAACATAAATCAAGAGTTAAAAACTAATGGTTCTTCGCTAACGAACCACGATGCTCCCATTTCCAATTCAAACGTTGATGAGAACGAAACAAAGGTTCGTAAGGCAGCCTATAACTTATCACATATGTATTCTTCATGTGATGTGTCTATTCGACTTTAATGATTCCTTCGTACCAGGTGCAAGACTTATTCAAACACATATATAATGCATATATATAATGTTCTTTTTAATTTCAATTATTACATGTTGCTTGAAGGCGATAAATGCCAAATTCATGTTAATTTCGCCAAGGTAAATGTAGGTATAATGTAAGTCAAATAGTGAGATATCATTTGAAAAAATTTTATCCCAATGGAAAAGCTAAAAGGCTATAAATATTACAGTCTAGTTGTCCATAAATAATTTCTAATTCATAGCGTTGAAATACACAATAATTTTTGATCTTCGAATTATTCAGTATAATAATTTAAAATTGTAGGAAGTTCATTACTTCGTCGAGTACGTTGTTCGAATTTCGCTTGTTGTTTAAAAAAGCAATGTAAACAACAAAGGATTTTTGAAACATTGTCGTTTCAGTTGAAGCGATTAAATTCTTACCGATTGTGTTGTTGACATTGTTTTCTACTATTATAATTACCAAATATTCGAGCAGTTAATTTTGAAATGAGCCCACCTAATCATAAAGGGATATGTTACAGCATTTCGATAAATAAAATGCATTGAATTCATGAAAAAGTCTGTTTCAAAATTATAATTGCGATTTAAGTTACGTTTAAGTTGTGTTTTTGTGCATTGCGTCATTTTATTTTACGTATTTATGTGAAGCCTTTACATTGGCCATATTGGATGCAGTATATTGTTGAGACATGCAAATAAAGATCTTTTTATGACATGCCAGTTAATGGCATTTCCAGGATTTTGCTTTATTTCAATTAATGTCTATATACAACCTGCAATTGCAAATAGCATTAGTGCAAGCAATAATAGTTGTAGCATATATAAATAACAGAAAATAATCATGGACATGTATATTGTTTGCTATTATTTTTTAAATTCATTCTTTGGTGTGTTTTAAACCTTCTTTTCATATGAAGTTCAAACCAATCATTAAAGTTATGGTATTTTGTAAATATATATATATATATATATAGTTGCAAAATTTTGACAAAACTGTTCTCTTCAGGGAAATTACCTTTTGCCCACACCAAGACAAGATCATATATCCAAGAAATGTGTTGTTGTAGATCTAGACGAAACACTAGTCCATAGTTCTTTCAAACCTGTTAGTAATGCAGATTTTATTGTTCCTGTTGAAATTGATGGCACAATTCATCAGGTGAATTCATATAGTTACATGCTTTAATTTACTGGCTGATTTACTTTGTGGCCAACGATGTTTCTTTTTGAATTTTTCTAGGTATATGTTTTAAAACGGCCCCATGTAGATGAATTTTTAATGAAAATAGGAGAGATGTTTGAATGTATTTTATTCACAGCTAGCTTAGCAAAAGTGAGTAATTCTTGTTTGGTGTTGAGTTAATGCCATTTTTTATTTCCTACTCTGAAAATTTTTATCTACCAATAACCTGTTGACATTTTAGTATGCTGATCCTGTAGCTGATCTTTTAGACAAACATGGCACATTTACATGTAGACTATTTCGAGATTCTTGTGTTTTTCATCGGGGAAACTATGTAAAGGCAAGTGTTCATTGTGGCTTGAACTATGCACTTGATTCCTATACATTTTGTTCTTTTGTTTTTGTGACAACTATTTCAAAAACTCATTTGATCTAGGACTTAAGCAGATTAGGGAGGAATCTAAATAATGTTTTCATTATTGACAATTCACCAGCATCTTACAGTTTTCATCCTGAAAATGCTGTGAGTACTCTTACTTTTTTTGGAAATTTCCTTAAATTTTTAGTTTATCTTAAAATTTACAACTGCCTAATTTAGTATAAGTTGAGTTGATAATTATTAAACCATTGCCTACAGATTCCAGTTGTGTCCTGGTTTGATGACTATAATGATACAGAGTTATTGGAACTTTTACCCTTTTTGGAAACAATGTGTAATGTCGAAGATGTTCGAGACCAATTGAAATATCTTAATCATAATTCTCCCTACAGCTCTGGTCTATATTATTTTAACAATTCATAGAGCTCATATTGATAGTATATTTTGCAATGTTGCACTTAGTTACTATTTTGGCTTAACTACTGTAACATGTTTGCATTTAGAAATTTGTGAAATCTTGAATATTTACAATCAAACTTTCATAAAATTTTAAGACATTAAGTGGATGCAGACAACACTGAAAAATTTAGGTTTTCATTACTAATACGTAAATTAAATGCATATTCATGACATTGAATTTTATAGATAATTTAATGCCCAAGTGCTCTATTTGCAAGTATAGCTACATCCTTGTGAAAAAAATAGTATTAACATATATGTATTGTACAGATCAATATTTCTATATATGATGATTTGCAGATTATTTTTGTACAGACACTTTTAATTTTCTTATTTCATACTGTAATTCCTAAATCAGGGGCACATCTTTTGTGTTGAAGTTTACTTATACTAACTGTTAAAACAATGAATTTTATTAAATTTGCATAATGACTTAGTACTTTGATGCCATGCAGCTCACCTATTTGTGAATTGGTAATACATTTTTGTACATACATGTATTCGTAAAATACTTTCTTCTTTACACATTTAATGTATTTTTGAAAATTTAATCTATATAGACGAATGTACAAAAAGAAAATGTAACTTTTTGTTCTTATCAATTAAAACATTGTTAGACCAGATTAACTGATGCTCAACCGAGACTTACCTCTCAATGAGATGTCATTTCTACTTTATGTCACTAATTAGTTCAATGAACGAACTACACTCCCTTTGCATTTAGTGGTGTAGCTTTACTTTCCAGTCGTAACTCTGCTCCAACCCATACTGGCTGCACCATGACAGCACCAGAGACACTGACCAGAATATTGGACCAGTCGACCAGACTCACCCAATGGACTTTTCAGTAGTTACTAGAGGAACGAGAGGAAGCTATTTGGTTGCCCTTCCGGCTAATCCAGTGACGATCATTTATGTCGATATTAGAATTATGGAGACCATTCAAAATGGCGATCAGCTGGAATGACACGGTCGTCTAAATTTGTAAACATTCTACAGTTCAGTTCATATTTTTCATTAAGTTATATAAAATTTCATAAAATTAGTAGATATGGGTGAAATGGAGACTTTATATTATCAAACTAACAAGTAAGGAAGCTATTCAAGTAAAGTAGTCCTAAGTCCTATTCTTGTTACTTGAAGCTTGTGCTGCCATTGAATTTATACTCTTTCTTCCATGGATTCGTCTACGGTCCATTTACAGTATAATCGACCTACAGTAACTTGGATTTTCGTCAGCTGCCTAGAGGTTAACATGTTACAATGACGTTCATCAAATGTAAATTCATTTTCAGACTGACCTTAGAAATACCGAGTCTACTCAATCGCTTGGCTGCAAGCAGAAACGACGAGGCTCATGGTTTGATAGTTTTCGAAAAGTTTTTTGTAGTGCTTATTTTAATTAATTATAAAAGTAAATTGAAATGTTGCACCGTTTTGCTATGTCTTAGCCTGTTGTTTCAGAATTGTTATTTATAGATTACTATATAGATGAATATTCAAGATAGTAGTTTAAGGATGATGAATTTGTAGCATCTTGTTTTAAGATATTGAAAGTCGTATTGAGGCAAATCTGCAAGCCATTGGTGCCAATTGTGAAAGATTAAATGTCTTAGTAAATAAAGAGCCTGCCTACAAACGACAAAACTCTAAAATGTGAGTGTCCGTAGTTTTCAAAATAGTTTTATGGCATAATTAACAGGCTGTGAAAGTACCATTGCCTGTCCACCATTACATGACAATGTAGTTACTTTATTACAGGAAAGTAGATCAACTGGTTTATGACCATCGTCATTTGGAAGCAGCCCTTCGAAATTACAGACAGAAACAAATGTTACAGGCAAGCAACCGTACAATCAACCAAACACTTTGGTGCTTTTGTTTAATATCTATGTAATTGTCAATTACAGAAAAAAGAAGAAAGAGAAAGGGAAGAACTATTACAAAGGAAGTTTACAACCAATGTATGACTTAGAGAATAACCTTATTATAGTTTTTTATCAGGGTAAAGTAAGCAGATTAGGAGTGTTTTTCTTATAATTATTGTTGTAGAACAGTGACGCATCAATAATGATTGATTATGCTCTTCAACACAACACAAGTTTACAAAATGCCTCACATGGTGTTGATGAACTTCTTGGAAGTGGATCAAGTATATTGTCAAATCTCCGTGAACAAAGACTCACACTTAAAGGCGTACATAAACGAATTCTTGACATGGCTAGCACACTTGGTTTATCAAATACTTTGATCAGATTGATAGATAAAAGAGGCACACAGGTATAATTATATTCAACAGATACATTTCCTCCAAAGAAAATATTGTGTCAATAAAAAAGAATTATGTATAACTATAATGCTAATGTTTGACTTTGACTCTTTGTAGTTGTTATAAAAAATTTTCTCTGCATGAAAGACTTTGCTCCTATTGAATTGCCTGCAACATTTCTGATTACTGTGCATACAAGTGTTTTATAAATCATTGTTCAATTTCATACATGATTTGTTTTGTGCTTTTGTGTAGGATAAATGGATTGTTTTTGGAGGAATGATAATCACATGTATCATTATGTTCTTGGTTGTGAAGTATTTGACGTAAAATGAAGTGTATAAAGATATTTTCTCTTGGATATATAGCAAGAATTTATCAAAAAATATGAGAAATAATTGGTTTGACATGTATGGCTATGACACAATTACCAAACCTATTTGCACTCATTCAGATATCCAAATCACCATCCTCTAACTGGTTTCCATTCTTCCACAACTGTCTCCCCTTCATGAACAAAATACACAGAGTGCATTGCTGCTGTTGCACATGCCTAAAAGATGTTAACAATATAGTTTGGTATTGTTCGAATGAGATAATAGTTTGATTTTAAAATAAAGAGCATGTAAAGCACTTGATATTGGTATGCTAAAGGAAATAGTTGCTTCACATAAGCATTGAGAAAACAGTGTGACATCTTCACATCAACATTTGAATTGATGAAGTCTTCTTGGCTTCTTCACAAAAACCTCCTTAAAAGGTATGGCCTTAGCACATAGTCCATCCAAGTCAGAGAATTCTTTTAAAGGTTTGGTCGATTTCAATAATACAAATGGCAAGGATAGACTTTGGTTTTAAAAAAAGATGATGAATAGTCCTTACGTGATGTGGCAAGATTTTCAAGATTGACCCAATGGGATATTTGGAAAAATCAAGCTTGCCATTTAATGCAATAACTTTGCCAAGCTCTTGAGTCATTCCTTCCAATCTGTTAAAAAAATGAGCATTTAGCATGGAATTGTCACATCACAATTCCTAATTGTCACATTTAAACAAATTGATGTATGTGCCCAATCAACATGAACTTACTTTAGGTTAGGTTCTCCCTCAAAAACACAGAATCCAGTGGGGAGTTCACCAAGACTGTCCAGTGTTAAAGCCATCCAGCCACAATCAATTAACATGTGACCACTCTCAGGATAATGTGAGATGACTCGTGTCAGTAATCTGCAAGCAATATCCTCTACAGAACATGATCCGATATTTACTTGTGCAATATCTAAAAGACAAAGTTTCCAACATTCAAGATATGATCAGAAGTATTCCGGTATGTGGCAACATACACCTAACTCATATCATGCAGTAGCAATGACCTTGTGAAATGTATAAAAAAAAAGGATTCAGTAAAGTCTAGTATAGCAAAACATTAGAAATGTGAGTTTATATATTAACCTATTCAATGCCTGACATATAAGAATTGATGTGCAATGTAATTTCATTATGAGTGAAGATATATTCACATGCTATGCTACACAGGATAGAAGATTAAAATAATAAGAAGAAATACCATAAAATACATAGTTTCCTGGATGAAACTCAGTTATGCCTTCAACAAACTCTTTTGCAGGTGGAAGTGAGCAAGTAGGTGTTGCACCTACACTGACACTCTTGCACTCAATACCTTCTGCTTTAATCCTTAAACAAATTCAACAGCACATTTCACAAAAGTTGATTTAAGAATAGAATATTATAAATGGCAATCATATAAATAATTTTCCATGTATGATATGAATGCAACTAAATATATGAAATGTAATCAAGCAATGCTTTTTAGCATACCTAATAGTTAAGTCAACAAGCTTCTTCCAGGCAATTGATGCTTCTTTCCTTATTTCTTCAGGGCCATGGCAATGATAAGATGAACCATAATGAGTATAAACTCCAAAAAACTCCACATCCTTTAATGATACTAGTCTTTTGACCATGTTCAAAGCTAAATCACTATTGTATGGAACCCCATCTTAATAGAAGAATAATGATATTTTTTAGAATGTTACATGGAAGAGGAATAGTCATGTCTTAAATGACTTCATGCTTTGTAGTTTCTTCCCTAAATTTCTTTTATTTCTGTTATTAGCCACTTCACAAACCTCTTCCACATCCACAATCAACCATAAGAATTACCGACCATTTTTTGCTAGACACTGGTAACTCGTATTCTTCAAGGGAGTCAATAATTTGCATATTATCAACAGTGACATGAAAGAGTTCCAGTTTACTCTGCAGTTCAGCACATCGCCTAATCTTATCCTTACTCAGTGGGTATGCATAGACAATATCATCAAAACCATTTTCATAGTAAAATTGAGCTTCAGCCAAAGTTGAAACCACCACTTGGGAACAAGTACCATTTGTCATCAAAACTCCAGCTTCACTACGTGGTTCAGAAGAAGATTCAGTATCTTAATAAACGTATAATCTTGTTTCCAATTATGCAAGAACAATAACACAGATGTATAACAGCCTTGATGTTTGTTTTAAAATTTCAAAATTAATACGAACTTTACAAACGAACATCGCTAAAAATACGAAAAACTATAACTTTGTCAAGAAAGAGTCGAGACGTACATGGTTTTGTGAGTTTTCATGTGAGGTCTTAATCTGACACCTAGCAAATTGCACCTTTCTTTCATTCGCTCACAATTTCTCTTCACTTTTACGATATCGACTATAAACGCAGGAGAAGGTAGCTCGTTTATCGCTCGTTTTATGAAACTCATTTTGACGAAATACTCGAAGATGATTTTTCACTTTCAAGGGCGACGGAAGATTGATAAAATTGGGGGGGGGCATTCATGTATTTATTAATTTATATGGTACGTGTAATCCTTGATGACAATTGACTTCAATAGGTACTATTATCACAATAATCTTCGCCTGCCTTGATGATGTTTGAATTTCAGATGATTAGTAAAGAAATAAACTTAATAGTTCACCACAAATAGAAATATAAGTAATCATGCATACGGTGAGAATAGGTACGCGGCGTACATGGGTTAGCACTATTTTCCACCCAGCAAACCGCCCTTTACTTTGAAATATAATATTTTACACAATATAATATTTTTCACAATCTAATATTTTACACAATATAATATTTTATATAATATTTTACACAATCGTCGAAAAACGACATATTTTCCAGCCTGGATTATAAGTTTATAACTTAAGGTGGTTGCATGAAAATTTATACTGCAACATTTATCTGTAAATATTTTCATATGTTGATATTAAAAACTGTATATAAAAATATAAAATTACTCGCCATCTCAAAACGACCTAGCACCAGTGCATGCATGGTTTCCTTTTAGCTTTTGGTTCTTTCCCATTAGCCGCCATCTTTAATTTATTTCCGATTGTGTAAAGTAAAGGGCGGTTTGCTGGGTGGAAAATAGTGCTAACCGCGTACATGATTGTCGCATTGTAATCACATGACAAAAAATAGGTACGCAGAGCGTACATGTGGGTAGCCTGAATTGACAATATTGCAATTGAAAACATAGCGATCAAACGTCATGAAATATCGAATACGGTCTAAATAATATTATGCATATTATATTTCGTTTGGTAGACAGCAAACTTTAACAAGTACGAAAAATACAAGTTTTATGAACATCTTTAGAATCAAAGATAAAAGATATTCTTCTATAAGGTCAAGTGTTATACAGATAGCGGTGCTAATTTATACGAAAAAATATGTGCAGTATACTGCAAAAAACGGTGTGATTTACTGATTGTTACAACCTGCACGTCCAGGACATAATGTCCATTGATATTTCTAATAGTAATTATTTATAGTGCGATTGATATCGTATTTGTAGTATTCATGGTATACAGTGCTTTCATTATTCCATTAAAGAATGGGCTTTCTGGGGGCTGGCCAACCAGAAAACAATATAGCAGCAATACCTTCGAGAAGCCTCACAAAGTTGTTGACAAATTTTATTAACATATTGATTAAAAACCATTTTGGGACGAAATCTGTATCGTCACCAAATTTTCTTATGAAAATGCTTTGTGAAAAATAAGATTACTCTGCACATATTCTAGAAATGAATCCAACTCAGGTTTACTTCCGCGAAACCTTTGCTCTCGCGATGTATCAAATTACTTTGTGTTATTTTGTCGCAGTCTTCGAAGCAACGTTAAGATCCCGAGATCTTTCTCGAACGATATAATATTGTGAGTAAATAGTGTTAGGCTTAACTATGAGATAGCATTGCACAACAAAGTGTAGACAACTTACGATCAAGACAGTGAAGATCACTACGTGTCATTCATAAAAATTTTGCGTACTCTAATGTTTTGTTTATAATATTTCCCCTAAAATCGATCGATAGAGCTTCATTGTTTTTATACGCCGCACAGTCAATTACAAATGGTTGTAGTACATTATTGTGATGAGTATTTCGTTTATTTCGCTAATAAACCACACACTTATTTAATTACCAAGTAGTGTTCAAAACACTGAGCAATCTTTTCCTGTCTTCTTTTGTATTTCGAACTCTCTTTTGCTTTGTCCTTGTACACTTTTAACTACTTTTATGTTAGCCAATTTCAATGCCTGATAATTATGCTAAGCCCATGGGTGCATCATAGTGTAGAAGTTGCAGTTTGAACTTAGATCAAATTCCTATGAGCAGAAAAGTGTTTGTTCATAGAACAGAAGATATGTAATGAATGCATATCTTCTAGAATGAATGTAATGAAAGATATGTAATGTAAGCTTCCACGGGCTTAGAAGAGTAATAGGGCGTTGAAATTATTACAGTGAAGTTAATTTATAAAGGTGTCTCTTTCATAAACGCTTTGTTTATGAATATAGCCTCCAATCCCATTAGGAAACATAAAGCCTTACGAGCCTTAGATAACTCATGGGCAACTTTTACATGGCTGTTTAGATCATTTGATGCTATCGCAAACAACGATGCCATGCCCAGCAATCGATTTTTATTTTTGCTTTAATGCTGCTACAATCTACTGTATTGTGTTCTTTGTGTCAAACTGAACAAAGAAATTGAAAATTGAAAAAAATTTTCTTATAAAACTAAAAAATTTTATTTTTCTAACAATAAAAGTATGAAAGCAACATGTGTAAGAAAAAGCAAAACTAATTTTGCTAATGTATCTCAACTATTGAACTGATGAGCAAATGTTTTTAGCCAGGTTTTAAATTTTTGTGGTTCTTTTCCAGTGATTTTCTGAAACTCGCCATCAAAATTATCACTGCAGTCTAAGGTACCATTGTTCACACACCGTGCAACCTCTATAAAACCATCAGCTTTCCATTTTGGCATCCCTGCAAGCAAACATAACGACGTAGCCTGTTCGTAGGTTATTGAGACGTATTTAATTTCTCTTCCAAAGACTTCGGTAAACAACAACGCCACATCTTTGAATTTGTGTCGATCTCCGACGACGATAAACGTATTTCCAAAGTAACTCTCTGACGAGACCATCAGGTTTGCTGCGACAAGGCCTGCGTCATCGACAGATATCTCATGAACCCATTGATCTGGTTGTACAGCGGTAGAAAAAGTAGACTGACTATTCAATGAGTATTTATGAAGGAAATTGTATTCCATCAAATTGGGCAAACGCAACAGCGTATAACCAATTCCAAGGCTTGCAATACATTTCTCAACAGTTGAATACATTTTGCCGAAGATTGTATTGGGTAATTGAGCCATAGGTGTGCTGTTGACCAAAATATGCTGTACTCCGACATCTTTAGCAACATTTGCAGCGGAAATTATTACATCTGCTAAATCTTCTCTATCTGGCGTTACAATAAACACTGATTTCACTCCTTTTAGCGGCTTGTGTAGGCTCTCGTGCTTTGTAATGTCAACTTGCTCGGCCGTGACTCCGTTAAGCTTATTTAATTGACTAACCAAATCCAATGACTGTGCTCCGGCTCGTACATCGACTTTATCACAAAAATTTTCAGATAAAGCTTTAACCGCCGCTTGCCCCAACAGCTCGTCCACACCAAGCACGAATACAATAGGTCTAGACATTTTAACTTAAGTTAAAATGCAACTTAATTGCTTGATTTGTGTGTATTGTATTTAATTTGTTCTGCAAAAACGTGCTGCAGTTAAACTATGAAGAGTCTGAATATATTTACTATTTAGTTACATAATCTGGAGTTCCGCTTCACTCATTTATTACGTAAGAATATTTTGTCAAACCTTACAACGACTACGTATGCATAGCTACTTGCCAAAAATACAGCTGATCTATTCCTATAGGAAAGTGATTTGAATTTCAAAAGAAATCAGTAGGGCACAACAGAATATATGAATATACACCCCACCCCCACCCCCCATCCCCAATTAACGTTCTAGTTACGCCTCTGCACAGAACAACTTTTTCTAGTTATTAACCCTCCTAAAAGTTGCTCTACCTTTAGAAATTTTCTTTGACATGCTCGTGTTTTTAAATTTAACTTGTTTGTAGTGTAATTGAAGATATATCCTTACGAAATGTGTCATGTCTTTAAATATACGGCAATCAGCAAGGAAGTAGTTTTCAAAATCCGGAGCAGAATCTAATTTCCTACTCCATATTTTAACAAAACCAGACAAAACTATCGTTTAGCGCTATATTTTCAATTAGCTTTCATTTTTAATGACAATTCATCAGTCCAACGATTAAAATTGAATGTGTGTAATTATCATAAAAATACGACATTATAGTCGAAATTAATTTCCAACCTCGTCGAAGATGTGCCTACGAACACCTTCAATAAAATAAAAAAATGCACATTGTTTTCAAAATCAACTTATTTCAAACAGACTTGTCATGAGAAGTAGAGAGGCATTAAAAGAAGATATTTTGTGCCATGAAATCTCATTAGTGCAATGAAATTAATGAAAGAATTGCTTCTCAAAATTGTATAGTTTTTTGACTAATTGCTTATGTAAACCTGCTTTTGATTGCAGGTCTTAAGGATTTGTTTATCCATTTCTATGGTAACATTTTTCAAGGCGTTGATGTTGATTTCAATATTTAATTTGAGGTACAGGCAAAAACTGCTGATGATAGATATGTCTAGTCATTTGTTTGTATCTCAATGATGAACACAGTGTGTTCGAACATTCATTCTACCGTAGAGGAAACTAGACTTTAGATATGGAACATTTGGCGATTTTTTTAGTAGCATTGCTGATTAACATGGTTGATCTAAAAGGTATCCCACAAAGTTTGTTTTGGTTTGTTATCAGTTGTTGAATGTTTTCATCAACTTTTTTTAGTAGCAGCTGATTTCGCAAAATGCGTGAATCGTAGCTTTTATCGATGATGTGTTCTTCTTGCTCATATAAGATCAGAGAACTTTGGGAGTTTCCAAAACATCTTTGAGTTTGATGTAAAAAAAAGCTGCAAGGAGTTTTAATAAAAGCTTGAATTAATATGCATGTTTAAATTTAAGTTTTTGAGTTTGCCTTTGTTGGAGAAAAGTTCATAAACTATAATGAGACAATGTACAATCATGCCAGGAGTCCTGAATTAAAATTTCGATTGTACAAAATTATTTATAATGGAAAGACATTAATTTAAAATGCGAAGTTTAAAAAAGAGCGTGTTATTCAAATAATATTTTTTATTACATGTGAGGAAAAAGAGGAGTAAAGAATTTCTTGTATATAATAATATGTATTTGTGTATGTATGTCATTTATTCAAGTTTCATGTAAGTGTCAAAGTTCTTATTGCATATTGTCTTTTGAAATAACTCACACAGAAATTTTTATATTGATCATATTTTTAGCATCCTATGAGTATGTTGGATGTTTCAAGGACAGACCTGACCGAGCTTTACCAATAAAACTAATAACAGCAAACAATTCGCTCGAGACTTGCATGGAGATAGCAATGAACCTTGGCTATACAGTCTTTGGTATTCAAAACGGCAATGAATGCTGGTCTGGATCTGATGCTCAGTCTACCTACAACAAATACGGACCATCCACAGCTTGTAGAGATGGCATGGGAGCACCTTGGACAAACGATGTTTACAAAATACATATTGGTAAACGACTTTTTTCCTTTGGAAATATTTCTTAACGAATTAGCTATAAAAGCCTTCTCACTATCTGTTTACACTGTGTTCAATTTTTGTGTTCTAATTATGAAATCTTCCAGAATGAAAGATCAAAAATAACCTGTTCTGAAACAAAATAATTATTTTAAAGTGAGAATGTAGTCGCACGGTTTTCTAAAATTAAGAAGTGGGTACAGTTTATTGGAAATTCAGTGAAATGTAGGGGTAGTGAAAAGTGGAGGTAGTGAAATGTAGGGGTAGTGAAAAGTGGAGGTAGTTAGCGTTATTAGTAAATGTTAGTAAATAATCAGTAATATTCTAATCACTCTAAAAGGATTTAATTTATGTTTTAGACGGCACACTGCTAGCAGAGTCTGAGAAGCTCAACAATTTACTTGAAAATCTCACAAACATCGACAACAATGTTGTCAAGGTGCTTTTATCTTATGTTCGTACTTGTTTAATGTTTTTCGGTTCGAAGCCTAAAATATAGATAAACATAATTTAAACGTTGCAATGATCAACAATATTCAACATTAAATTAATATAAGTCATGATCAACTCCACAATATATAAGAAAAATGTTTTGAAAAACTTTCCTTTGTTATATCTGTTGAAGTTGATTTATATAGTACAGCTTCAATTTGAATTCTACCACCACAGGCGTTCTTGACTCGGTCAAGTGCATTGCTCCATCTTCCTGATGAGAAATGGAAAGAGGTATTTATTGTATAGAAACAATAAGAAATATAGTTTTGAGTAACATAACTTTTATTTCCTCAAAAATATAGAACCCGAAGATTGCCGATGCTTATCTTGCGGCAGCCAAGACTTTATTAGATCTTGGTATGAAGACGAACAGAACAATATCCTCTTCAACTGATCTTTTGGGTATCTAAAAAATGATGAAATACACATCATATTCCGTGATGGTGAACTTAAACGTTTCACAAAGAATATAAAAATAAAATTTAACTTTTTCCGTTTAGTGTTTACTGTGAAGCAAGTTGATACAAAAAATAAACTATCTTTGGTGTATCCAGATTATGAAAATCCAGTGTTTGCCAACATCTCCACCAAAGACACTGTGATAGTTCCCACAATATACGGCGTTGATAAAAGTAGGTTTATATAAAATTAATTTGTTCCTAATAATATTTTCAAGAAATATATTTCATATCATTGTATTTTTTAATTCTTGTTTCTAGCGAGTATTGGTGGATTTGTTTACAGTAATCTTCATCAAAAATTGCAACCTGCTCTTAATCAAAATGACAAAATGTAAGTATAGTAGTACACATTTGTCTAAATAGCGATATGAAACAAACCCAGTTGTTCCTCGCTGAACATGTTTGAATTTGAATTGTTGGTGGATGCCAAATCACTATTATTTGTTCGTTGACTGCAATAATATCGATTTGATATGACGATCAATGAATCTACACAAGCATCATAAGAATGACAAAATTTGGTTTACTTTTTCTCAAAATCCCTCCCACTTTTTTCCCATTACCATTTTTAAAAGTAGGCTTGTTGTTTCAAATGAACTCCATATAGTTTAATGCCGATTTGATAAACTTACAGGTATCGTTCAGATCTGCATCAAGATATCATATCTAGCGTTATTTCATGTCAAGTAAATCCTATGATAATGTTTGGTAAAAATACGAACAAAACAGTCTTGATAACTATAAAACATAACAAGGTAATACAAGCTACGTGTAAATATGTTATTATTCGTTAAGATTTCAAAAGAAAAAAATTGTAGTCCGCAATGAATAATTTTTTCGTCCTGAATCTCAATTTTGGCAATGAATTGCTCATGCTCAATTATGTTACGTCTATATTATTTTCTACATCCATAGAATTATTGAGGATAAGATATAAAGTTAGTGTAGGTAACAATGCTTACAACGGCGTTGGTGTCTTTGTCCTTCCGTGTTTCATACATTCCTCTAAATCATACTATCATATGTCGTACACACCCAATCTTTTAAAACAAAAAAAAACAACTTAAAGTGTTTTCATGTTTTCCTTTATATTTAAAGCCGTATTCAAGGAAAGGAACAGTAATATGTGCATTCTGGCAACATGCAAAAAAGTAAGTCCTGTCAAATTTGGAAGCAAGAGTGCGATCTCTTCAGTTTTATTAATCATTTTTCTAGTAATGAATCGGGTCTTTGGTCAACGGATGGATGTAGTGTTGTCGCAACAAACACAACATTTACTCAATGTAATTGTACACATTTGACAAATTTCGCCATCTTGATGCAATTTAAGAACATCAAGGTACGATATGAAAATGATGAATGAGCACTTCAACTGGATGTATATGCCACGCAGACAATGAAGACAGGGAGGAATATTTTAAATGAAGTTTATGATGTAATTGTTGCTGTTGTCTTTGGTAATGTTTAGAAAAACAACGTCTAAAGATGGTCCCTGTTCTCTTACCAATTCATACACTCAAATATAAGTATACCAAGTTATAGCACATATATTTTTCACCATTTGTTAAAGATTGATAAAGTCCACGAGCGAGCATTAAAAATTTTGACCTATATTGGCTGCTCTTTATCATTGACCGCTATATTCGTTACCATTTGTGTTTATTTGATCTGTGGGTAAGAAACTGAAATTTGTGTGATATTGTTTTCGCACCATTCACTACTATAGACAATTATATAAATTTTGTATAGATTGCATCGGAATACAAACTTCCACATTCATATCAATCTTTGTATGGCAATTGCACTGACTCAAGTGTTCTATCTATTGTCGATAAGAGGTAAAGAAAATGAGGTGAGGTAATTTGCAATTGTATTCCAACAGCTCAGAAATGAGCTTTTTTGATAATAGTTTGAGGTTGCTAACTATCTTAAACTTATGCATATAATCATTTACTGGCGTATATTTTGTAGCATTTCTGTAAAGCAATTTCCCTGTGCCTTCTTAACTTCTGTCTCAGTACTTTCACGTGGATGTTGGTGGAGGGAATTCAAATATACAAGAAAGTTGTCACTGTATTCGTTTCATCATTAAATCTGATTTTTTGTCATGCTATTGGATGGGGTAATGGAATTAAGTATTTTCATTGACTTTCTTATACTTTCATATCTCGAGCAATTTGTTTATAACTTGTGTTCTATATTCTACAGGGCTACCGGTCTTCATGGTGATGATAACTTATTTATCTCGTTGGGATAATTATACTGACTATGATACGTAAGAAGCCAAAAATATATACAAATCATCTTAACAATTATGTTTATCTTTCTTCGTAAATCACCCCAAAGCTCTTCTTTTATCAAATTCTTCAAGAATTGTTTAATATGTCATCCTTATTAAAATTTGTTGAGAGAAGTCCTTAAATTTTTCCAACAGAATCACCCAATCTTTTTCTCGTTCTTTTCGATCGTCTCTTCATGGATCACACCAACAAACATTATTTTTATCAACAGGTGTTGGTTATCAACGAACTATGGCATCAGATGGGCATTTATAGGGCCAGTTCTTCTCGTCATTTTGGCAAGTCAATGTGTTAAACGCTATAAACGCGTATAGATTGTTGTTTTTCATGTCGTTATTTTCATTGTATTTCAGATCAACATTGTTGTGACTGTGATTATATTACGCAAACGTCTTCAGCTAAAAGCCATCACAACAAAGGAAATATCGTACAAAGTAAAGTAAGATGTAAAGCAACATTGTTTGAAACGTATAGTACCAAGGTCATTTGTCAACCACAGCTCGTTCAATCAAAGTCCTGTATTTTTACCACGTGATGCATAAATTGATAAGAAAACTATCTGAATAAAACTGTTTACTGTAGAGGTTAGTAGAGAATGATTTTGCCTATTCAGAACATCAATGAGAGCGCTGTTTGTGTTATTGCCAATATTTGGCATTACTTGGCTTTTTGGGATTTTTGGAGTATCTGAGAACGCTGTCGCTGCCATGTATGTTTTCGTGTCATTGAACTCCTCACAAGGCTTGTTTATATTTATCTTCCAATGTGTTTTGAACTACGAGGTAAATAAAAAACTCAACAACATTCAGACATTAAGACGTTTCAAGCTGTAAAATCCATCCAATTATAAATAAACGATGTTTAACGTTCTAACTAGGTTCGAAAAGTTTTTTGTAAAAACCGTCAAATTCAATCAAAAGCACAATGGTTGTCACCAATCTCCCACAGGCCACCGTTGCAAGTAGCACCAAGCAGGAACAGCGATTGTTCCAACAAAGATTTGAGCAGAATCTCCAGTGCACAATCCGTGAAGGAGAATGGTGAGATTTTAGAAGACGTTCAAGAAGACGAGGGGAAATTCTATGGGATGGGCAGGCTAGCAGTTACACCAAATACTTTCACATCTTCTTCTATAATCAAAGGAGCCTAACTTTTCTGAAGCTGCGTTGAGCTTTCGGAACATTAATAAAGTTTTAACGATTAATCTATCTTGAAGAATAACTTTGACAATTGCGCCATTATAGAAATAGCTTCTCATATGATATGGATTGTACAGTTCACATTTCTGAAGAGGAAACTCAGTATTTATTATTGTAAAAGAACATGCAAGAAAGGACGAAGTGTGTGCTTTCTTTGTTTGTGGTTCTTTAAGATAGATTGTAAGAAAAGATCAATTCTCTACATAAAGTGATAATAAATAAGAAAGTATCGTTTTAGTCAATATATTCAAACGCAAAAAACTTGGTGATTGTACATTATTTAAGGTTGTAAAATTTTGTTTTGTGTGTGAGTGAATGAAATACGAAATGAGTAGAAACAACATGAAAGTGGGGTTTACGGCTAAAATAATTAAACGATGAAAAAGTAGATTTTATAGAAAAGCTTGGGAGCTTAGCAATACTGCTACAATAAATGGCTTTCTTTTACACAAAATAACATCCAATGAAATCCGAAGTACACAAAAATAAAAAACTTACCTTCAAAATCCTAGTAAGTATAACATTGACAAGTTGAATGCCGCATAAGATTGGAATATGTAATCTATAAAATCATCATATTAACCAAGATATATTGAAGAAATCTTAGATAGAAATAACAATAAAACAATACAGCAATAATTGTACATATTTAAAAATAAATTCTTATAAAATCTAGTCAGCAGTAGCAATACACAATGGCATGTAATTTTAAGTTATTGATACACAAGTTCCCGGATGTTCAGCAAAGTCACAGTTTATTCGTCGTCTTCATCTTCTTCAGGACTTTCGTAAGGATCTTCTTTAAATGACCTCAGGACACAAGAAGCTACCACTGGTTCTTCCTAAATTAACGAATCAAATGTTCAACAAGAGCTCTATAGACAAAGCTAAAGACGCCTGTAAAATTGAATTCTTTGTAGCAAAATACAGCTTTTACGTACACTCTCTAGATCTTCCAAAGCTTCCTGTAGTTTCTTATAATCTTCGGTAGTAACTGACAAGATATTTCGACCAGCCATTTGCAAGTGATTTTTCTGTTGAATAGAAAAAGAAATTAATCAACAAGTACTACGCTACAAAACATTTAAAGTCTAGGTATTAGATAAAGTTAAAAAGCAGCTATGAAATGCCAGATTAGCTATTTATATACAAGAATATTTATAGAAAATAAATTTGTCGGTGTTCTTGTCAAAGCAATATGCTGTTTTAAAAAGGCAGTTTATTCATTAAAGAGCTACAAACTAGATCTTATCAACGATTCAACGTCAATATAATATAATTACCTTTAGCCAATCATGATCCATCACCGACTGTAAAGTTAAACGCTTTCTACAAAATGTATATTCAGAAATGTTATATAGAAAGAGAGCAATAGAATCCTTTGACTGATCCTTTGGATTTTAAAAATTACCCTTCTACAAAAATTAAAAAACCTGTAGACATAAAGGTAGACGTAAAGGTAGACATAAAGGTAGACATAAAGGTAAACATAAAGGTAGACACAAAGGTGACAAAAAGATAGACAAAAAGACATAAAGTTGACAGATGACCTGTTGTTTACTTACTCTGGTATTCGTTTAAAAACTCCTTTAATTATATCGATAGGATGCTGAGAACACTTTCCAAAATCATTTTATTTATCTCGTACTCAACTTTGGCTACCTTCCTTCGCACTTCAACTTCTTCTTCAGCGGCAAAAGGGGATTTGCCGGTCAACCTGAGACAAAAGTGAAGCAAATGATTACCAGGTCAGCGTAAAAAGGCGAGGAGAAAGATCAAATTACTTGAGGGGGGACAGACACTTACATTACATGCACAAGGACACCAACCGACCACATATCAGTCGCCTGAGAACAGTTTTCATAAACAAGACCCTCCGGAGCTAAGCAAAAATAGCAAAACTAAAAAACTTAGTTACACTGATACACGCCCATTAACAAACTTTCCTCAGTTATGCACCTGTGAACTCTGGGGTTCCAATACAATCAACGACATCACCCTGTTTACTGGTGATGTGACGACAGTTGTCATAATCGACTAATTTGATGTTACCATTTGATTGAACCATAATATTGTCTGGCTGAAAAATTAAAAGAAATCATAAGTAGTATCTTTGACAACGATAACAACAAATTACTATCATAAGAAAGAATTTTCAGCATGAACGCCTTATTAATGCATTAAAGTGAAGTGTACAATGTGTTTGGAACTGGACGAGTCAGGCTTGATAAACAACATTTAAAGAAAAATCGATTCCCTAACAAAAAGTCATAAGGTCACCTTGATGTCCAAATAAGCGATGTTTTGGTCATGAAGATATTGTAAAGCAGTCAACAATTGTTTCGTAAGCAAAGCAATATCTTTCTCAGACATCTTTGGTTTGCTTCGAGATTTGTCTGCTGCTTCTTGCTTTGCAATCAAATAAGGTAACAAATTCTTGCCATCAACCCTGGTGAAAATTATCAAGGAAACTTGATTATTAAGTTAATTATTCGAGATTTTAGTTAATTATTCCAGATTTTGCCTACCATTCCATGATGAGGACGACATATTTTCTCACGATGTACACGTCGAAAAGGTAGATGAATTTTTCATGTTCCCATTTTTGAATCATTGCAACTTCACGCTTTAATATCTTAAGCGCTTCATCATCGTATTTTACGAACTTTGCAGCAAACATTTTGTGTTTGTCGTCGAGACGATAACATTTCTTTATCACAGCAAAAGCACCTCTGAACATGAAAAGAACATAGGACGTCATTCATTTATCTCAATGATTGGAGAAACCAGAACTCAAAGTTAGTCAAATACAAATTCAAACCCGTCTGCACCTCACACGGTTAAGTATCAAAAGTTACCAAAAATTACCAATAGTATCAATATAAATTATGAATATATATGAAAGATGAATTATGTACGATAAACATGTTGATTGTACATATATAGATATTATGATACATAACATATTCATAAACAGGACACAAGAGAAATGCATAAACAACAAAAGGAAAGACGTGCATAGTACAATGAAAGTAATCGTTAATGAAAGTAATAAGTTACTATTTAGCCCCAGAGAAAAACTCACTTTCTAATTACTTTTTTTATACACAGCTGTGTTTAATCGTGTCATAAATGTTGTCTTGACAACCTGTTTTTTTCCAAAAATCTAGACAAACTATATATGACGCATTGAGCAGGTCAGGAAACTATGTGACATCTCTTTATCAAATACGAGATAATTTTAAATCACAAGAAAAATCTCGCAATTCTTCTTTGTTGAAATGACGAAAGAGCAAAATAGATCAACGCGATTTGTAATGTATCAAACCTGCCAATTTCATCGCCAAACTCAAATTTCTTCATTGGATTTTCTTCAGAGAAATCCAGTTGCACATCATTTCGCCTCTGATATTTTGCAAACACGCTTTCGTGGATTTTACTCATTTTTATCCTGTCTGAACGTAAAAATTTGTAAGTATAAAATGCAATACCATTCACGTACGAAAAATTCAAACAATCCACTTCTACCTTAAAGCAACATAATTTTATCATAAATACAAAGACCAGATTTTCTTGTTTGACAAACGATATATACCTAGCTAAATTATACAGGTGTTTGCTATAAAACTGTTGCCACAAAATCTGTAAGTTATATTTTGCAAAAACAACGAGCAAGTTCATCTATATTGTCATGAAAATCTTTATATGCATTTTGCAAATGTTTTATCATTTTTTATCGAGAAGTTTAGGATCCAAAGAGCAGAATTTCTGAACAAAAATGTGTCTAATAACACTATGGAAAATCTTGACCGTTTCACTATCTCTAAAATGTATTTGGACGACATACCCTATAAACTCTTGCTCTAAATCTCCAAATGTTAGAATATAACAGGTTTTTTAAACAAAGTCATGATGCATTTGATTGCCTGCTTGAAATATCGTATTGCAGTAATACGTTAATAAAGTAATCTACTCTCACAAGGATTGCTATAACCACTTGGTTTGCCTTACCTTGAAATGGAAACGTCTGCGTCGATTAAAGTTAAAATATGTGTTTGGTAAAAGTCAGCGCTACTTGAACTCGCACAAGTCTTGACAGGTTTTGGGGTAGTCTTCTTTAAAGCAGTTGGATCCGTTAGACAACAGGGTATTTTGTTAACATGACACCATTCGCTACACTTTTCAAAGGCGGATTACCCCAATGACCTTTTGACCTCACTAGTTTTTAAACTAAATTGATCTGTCAGCGTGAAAACACAAGTTTCGCAATCCTGCAACGAAAAAAAAAGATGAAAACCGATGGAAGTAAAGTGGGCGAGCATTGAACTCAGAAAACAACCTAACGTTTGCATGAACATACAAATAGATGAAGGCAGTCTTACAGATTGCATACATGAAGTATAACATCAACATATGCCCTTGTCATGTTAATCACTTGTTTGTCTACAGGGTGGTAATGGCCGACGTATTACGCGTTGCGTTCAAAAATTATGGAAGTCAATTCCGCATTACACAGCAAAAAGCGCTTGTTTTGAAAGCAACAAATCATACATTGAACTGTTCCTTAAACTCTATCATAATTGGATAAGATGATATTGCCATAATTTGGTCATTACGAAAGACCAGACATACATTTGCTTCTTTTCCAGCAGTGACGTCGTACGCAGACATTAACTCCCGAGGAAAACACCGTAAAAACATAATGAGAGGAGCACTTGTAAATATTAAATATTTGGTTATTTTCCAACTGCTACATACATATTAATTAAATCTTAAGCTACTGCGATAAATCACTCAGTGATTCACTTTCGAAACAATTGAATTGAAGCGACAGACGATGGTAAAGGAAGCATTATGTTTCTTATGACGCCATACCAACGTTGCTGATTTGTTGAAGAAAGCCAAATGTGAGAAGCTATGAAAACTATTTACAAAAAAATATGCGGGGGATGGAATCATACCAAAATTCCATTGGAATGTGTTTCTATAGACGATTGAACACACATTTCACATTATTCAATTGGGCCTTAATAGACTTATACAGTCAACTAAAGTCAACCAGATGTTAACTAAAATTAATGTCAAACCTTTTTTGATTCATATCTTTAAACACCTAAACAAAACAAAAACAAGATTTTTTATCTCTTGATATCTAAAAAAGGAAAGACAATCTAAAAAAACCATCTGTGGATAACATCCAATGTTCAAAAATGACCCGAACGTAAAACATGTGCGCATGCCCGTCTATTCAAGAGGTATGTTTCTTGGATTATTCCTTAGATTGTCAGTTATTTCAGGAGAAATATGAGAAGGCTATATAAACGTACCTTAACATTTTCTCGGAATTCTTTTGATACATTTCTTCTGTCACGTTTCAATGAATAAGCCAACAACGAGATGGTTTATTGTTTGAACACCAAAATGACTTAGTTGTCAAAGGAACTTCAAAAATGGGCAAAAATTCAAGGAATTCAACACAATTGCGTTGGGTAAAAATTGTCAACGTTGGGGGGCAAAATCAAAAATATTACAAAAATATACACAAAGATAGACACAAAGATAGACATAAAGGTAGACACAAAGGTAGACAGACATAAAGGTAGACATAACACAATTGCGTTGGGTAAAAAATTGTCCACAATTTAACAATCTACCTCGTTTTTTCGTTTTCATCGCTCAGCTTGAAATAACTAAAAAAAGCGAAAAATTCAACACAAAGATTGTATATTAAAACACAAGGATATTTATTTTAAAAATTTACAAACTCCAATGACGCACGTTCTGTGGCAAAATAAAAATATATTACAAAAATAAACTCATGTAAATGCTGCATACACAAAGAAAAATATTTTCACAGAAACTATCTTTCTGACAGTTGGAAAACTACATATAAAAAAATATCAAAAACTTGTGCTACATTAAAGTTAATTTGGTGCACTACAAAATAGCAATTATCAAAGAGGATATTGTTATCTTCTAAAAAGCATATTACTCAATAAGTTATATGCTATAATTTATACAACACATTTTGCTTTTAATGTTTATTTCTTTGTTTCGATAACAGTGGAAGATCGACTTGGCCGACTCTTTCCAATTTTATTCTCAGCACTAACACGAAATCTATAAGAAGTACGTGGAGCAAGGTCTTGAAACACGTAACTCTTTGACGTCACACTGTCAGAGACCAATGTCCAGTCCTTTTCACCAGTTTTGCGATATTCGATGATGTATTTTAGTATGGCACTTTTACCGTCTTTCGCGGGCGCTTGCCATGTTAATTTCAATGAATTTGCAGTGACGTCACTGACCTCAGGAGCTGCAGGCGACTCTGGTGTATCTATGATAAATGAAAATCGATTGATATAACAATTTCAAGGGCCTAATAAAGAAAGAATTACACGAGTTATTTCCAGGCCCATCTATTAAGTCGTGTTGTAAATTTGCTCTCCTTCTATCAGGTGAAAATAATTGTGATGAAACCAGGAATATTCAGGTAATGGAGTACCTACCAGCTATTTCAAGATTAGCACTGGACTCATACACATTATCTCCAGTGTCGACTACAATTGTATATAGTCCAGTGTCATCATAATCTGTTCTCAAATATTTCAACGTTGCCGTTCCTTTGTCGTACGTCATGCGTGCTCGTCCTCGATCCAGGACCTCACCATCTTTCTTCCACGTAATTTTTGGATCGCTTTCAGTGCTCGAAATCTTTACCGTGAATGTGACTGGATGTCCTTTTTGTATCAACTGTTCTTGGAGATCTTGAATGAAGGGTGACTTAACTGGTACAAAAAAAAATGATAAAGTAAGTTTAAAAAATTGCAATCATTAATTTTGAGTGTAAATTTATTATGCATGAAAACAAACAATAGGTACGAATGATTTACGAATAGGTACGAATGATTTACAAATAGGTACGAATGATTTACGAACAAAGAACATAAGTACGATGTGGAAATAATGGCAGAACATTTTACGAATGACAAATGAATGTGGAACAAATAAAATTGCATGTATACAGCTAAAACAGAGGTCAAAACTGTTTCTACATAAAAAACGATAAAAAAACCTCAAATTAGAAAGTGCAATTTAATAAGACGAAAGTCAAAATACAATTCACGAGAATAAATCCAATCCGAAAATGAATCGAATTTTACCGAGTAGATTTACAACACTATAGTAGCATATAACAATACACATCATAAACAGACATTTAAGCTCGACGAGAACTTGTGCAAGTGCAGTGGTACAGATGATCCTACGTGTACCTGTCTCCCGCTTCACATCACCATTTAAACGTGAATCTTTATAATTGTTGCAATCAATTCCCTTGTCTTTCTTGCCTTCAGTGGGTTCACGTTTTACTGACTCTTCTGTGGCAATTTGTTGTTTCACTTTTGCTAAGAAAGCGCCTTTTTTGACAGCAGTAGCCCGCTTTTCGTTGCTTTTACCTTCTTTGCTCAACATACGAGATAAAATGTTCGTACTTCGAACTGCAGTCAGGGCTTTTTTCCACTTCCTCCGTGCCGTAAACTTTTTCAACCTTTGCGTCTCCAGCCGTTTTTTACTCTTTGTTTTAAGCCATGGATGAGCTTGACATTCCATTATCGTCATTCGCTTTCGATCATCTTTAATCAAAATCTTAGAAATAAAATCTTTTGCCTCAATGGTAATCTCATCAAAAACTGGATCGTCAAATTCCCAAGCCATGTTAGATATATTACTCATGGTTTCACCATCATTATCACCAAGGAAGGGAGAAAGGCCACTCAAGACAACGTACGTTATAACCCCCACAGCCCATACATCTGTCGCTGGCGTCACACCCTCGTACGATATAACTTCAGGGGCTGCAAATTCTGGTGTACCTTGCATCACTTTGAGTTTCTGATTTGGATTATACTTCCTCGCTAATCCGTAATCTATTATCTTAATCCGCTTACTTCCTGGCCGCACCAGCATCATGTTCTCGGGTTTCAAATCTAAATGTAGAATATTTTTACGATGCATATATCCCAGGCCATCAAGCAGCTGCTCCAAATACTGTGTCGTAATTTTCTCGCTAATGAAATCCTCCTGAACCAGTTTCTCAAAAAGCTCCCCGCCCGTAATCAGTTCCATTATAAGCACTAAGTCTTTTCCGTGGTCGTAGGCAGCGATAATACTTAATAGCCGCTTATGCTTAAGTTCGTTCATGATTTCAATCTCATGGAGAACCTCGTCTCTCGCTGCCTTATTCTTACATGAAATAAATTTAGCGGCATACTCGCGACCACTCTCTTTGTTGACGCACTTCTTAACGATACCAAATTTTCCACGACCTAATTCATCTTGCATCGTGAAAGTATCATCAACCTTGCTGCGCAACAAAGTGACCAACTTGTTGGCCAAATGGCTTTCATCATCACTGTCAGAACTCATATCATCGTCCGGCAACTCCTCGAGAGTCAACCGCGCACTTGAATTTGCCTTTCCCAAACTGTTTGTGGCGACGCATTTGTATACACCAACATCAACTTCTGTACTACGAGTAATGATAAGTGTACACGACGAACCGTTGTACAGAAAACTATACTGATGACTCTCTTGTAAAACATTGTCGTCCTTGTACCATTTAATGATTGGCGGTGGACGCGCAGTTACTTGTGCAAAAAATCTGGCTGCGTTGCCATCTTTCGTCTGACAGTCGACCAATTCCCGGGAAAATATCGGAGCGCATTTTGCCATGCTATCTACTTCAAATAGAAGAGGAATTGTAAATAACAAGTAGAAAGTCAAACTGCAGCACTGCTGACTTCCAAAGCAATATGATACTGTTCATCAATATCTAATTAAAGTGAAAACGCACGAATAGTTAATTAGGCTGTGTTATTTAACCCAAATCACCTGGACGCCCACTGATAATTTAACCGCAAAACCGTCGTTATAACAGAAAACATACAAAGAAATGAACAAGTTGCAAAAATATCGTTGACTATATTTCGACTTTCTGACAAAATTCTGTTCAAACAAAATTCTTTGCCATCGCCATATGGTAGAAATAAGCAACTGTATAATGGTTATATATGTATCATGGTATAAGCAACTGTATAATGATATAATATTACAAAGAACAAGAATACATAAAACAAAAAAAGTAACAATAATTGTGGCTAAAAGTCTGTTCAACATTCATGGCATGTACTCTCACAATACATCGTTAAAGTTATTACGTACGTAATTTCAAGTGCTCATAAAATGTACATATTGAATCATTTCAAGACAAAAACACTATTATCGTTCTTTCCCTATCTATTTTTATCGCATGATAATACATTAAACAACATATGATGATACGGATGTTGCAAAAGTGAAACGTGATTCATGCCTAGTCGATCACAACAAGACGCTGTTTATTCATAAAGAATAATCACGCAAAATTATCATTTCATACGCCATCGTTCGTAAGTGAAGAACACGGTATTTTGTTATTTTGTAGCATTATATACAGTTAAGCACACAATAAATAGCTTGCCAATTTATATATGGCAACAATTAATTGTATACATTGGTCAAACACATCAGATTTTTATCCATTTAGCAGCTCATCAGGATAAACGATGACCCTTTTATATTTATAAAGACGATAGCTCAAATCATTTACAATTATTTCTATTAACATCCAGCAAGATTTTGTCACATGAAATAAAATATTGCAGGAATGTTCAAAAAAGGTTAGAGCTACTGGTTGGTCAGGAATGGTTTTTAGCTTCGAGCTAGCTGTCGCATAAAATTGTCATCAATAAAAATATTGACATTAAGTAAAAGCTTTGTGAAGCGGATAACATGTGGTGGGAATGCGTGATGTAGGATGTGAACTCAACAGATGAATGCTTCGATTGAATAGGATGAACAATATTACATTATAACATGCTATTTATTTTATAAATACGTAAGTAACACATCATTCAAAACAAAGAGTTTCCTTCTTTTATCAAGGCATATGGAAAAAACATCACATGTTAAACAATGGAAAAACAGCTGCCTGATGAGATGAAGGTTTCTTAACGACATGATATAAAGAAAATGTCCAAATAAGGAATGTAACCTAGTCGTGTTTTTGCAATTCCAGTATGTATTTTATTTGTCAATCAAGTAGCTTTACGAGACAAAAATCTGAAATATTTAGTAAAGTGTGAAGTACAAAATGAAATAGAAAAATCAGCAAACGCCAAAATTGGTCCCTAATCCAAGCTCTAAACAATATCTCGGCCATAGGCTTGTAGTATAAGATTAAGGATTAGATAATGGGTTAGGGATAAACTTTGCGCATTTATAGAACACAAAATTATTACCATCCGGCACCAAGTAAGATGGATGGATAAATTTGTATAATTAAAAAATCAATCCAGCTGAAGCAACAACCCGCCAAACAAATTTTTCTTGTAAAGAACTAGGAACTTTTATATCACAACAAGGAATCAAATGAAACAAATATTAGCGTTTATGTATGCTGTATGAGAATTGACTGAATACATTAATTAAATAGAAAAACTTCGTCCATACCTGATGTTTTCTCTTCATTGGTTTTCTTTTCCTTATTCTCACTATGCAAAACTACAGATGAACTTGATTTATTGACAACACTGTTGGGCTTGCTTTGCTTGTCTTGACAACCAATTATTTTCTCGCCTAGAAAAAACATAAAGATAAATGATAAGATATGACCAACAGAGATACCATAGTTTACTTTCGCATGTTTTTTAATTCTTTTTCATTCATGAAAACTGTTTCGATTTCGACATCCAGGAGCTCATTTGTGGTACAAGACAGAGTTAACATTGAACACCTTAACATTTTTCTTCGTACAAATGACTTCCATCAACACTTACCTGTAACAACCAAACCAGCAGAAGCCCAACAACTACCCGCAGTATTTTCTAAGTCTATTCGATAATTTCCCTCATCTGCCTTGATGAGATCAACAATTTCAAGTCGTGTAAAACCTTCATTAATTAGTACACAAAAACGACCTCCGTTCTTGATTTCTGTATTGTTCTTTGACCATTTGATCGATGGTGGAGGATAACCAGTGAATTTGCAAAGAAAGGTAGCAGTTGCACGAATTTGCGCAACCACACCCTTAGGAGTTTCTACGATGTTAGGAGGGGCTAGGAAAATGAAGAACAGCTTTGATGACTAAGAAATTTGTGACTAAGAGATCTGTTACTAATCTCCCCCCCCCCACGAATCATGCCTTAAAACTTTCACGATACACAGAACGTTGGGGAATAAGAAAATTAGTGGGGCTCAATCACAGTGGAATTTTCATTCTTAAATCGTTCAGCAAAGTAAGATGATTCTTCATGAAATACAAATTATTTTACCATTCATGTCGAGGATAGCGCCTGCCCAAGAACTTCCTGCGGAATTATCCAGAACTATCAGGTAGGAGCCAGCATCAGAATATTGCAGGTCCTCGATTTCCATTTCAGAATATCCTTCTTCAATAATAATAAGGAATCGACCCTCATCTATAATCTTTATATCATCTTTCTTCCATGTAACTGTGGGTTCAGGATCTCCCGTGAAACTGCACGTGAACACAACTGTATCACCAGGTTTACAACGTGTGAATCCTTTCGGTCTCTTCGTAATTGTTGGTCGTGCTTAAAGTTGATTAAAGAAATATTTAAATGCAGTGCCATTTTCATGATTGTAACTGTCCTCGAGGGTTACTAAAGAACTCCAATGAACGTATGACGTGGGAAATAGTTGTAATCAAATGTAGCTGAAAGATCCGATTAACGTATAGCGTGCAAGATCATCGTTGTCATAAAGTTTTGTTGTTGTCAAAAACGATTTTATTGAAAACAATGAAATGCAGCTAAAGTATTTTGTATACTAACCTCCATCTACCTTTCCTTCGAGCCTGGAAATGGCAATCTCCTTGCTTGAATCAGATTGTTGTCGGTAACCAGATTTTTTCACTATTTTCTTTGGTTTTGTTGAGACTAGAGATGCAACAAAAAATATTGCAAATCTAGACGTAAGATGTTCTCTAGGACTTTCATATCATCTCTAGTAAAATTCTAGTGTGTTTAACTTGTCTCATCTCACCTCGAAAAGATAAAACAGACTATTGCATACCTTGAGTTTTGATTACTTTTTTCATAGCTTTCACCCATGATTCCTTCATTTCAACAGTCTTTGCCTAAAGAGCAAGATACCGCTACAAAAAGTCATGAGTGATCATGTAAAATTAAGGAAGACTATTTATATTTCACCTCAAAAATATGATGGACTGAGCGATGTTGAGGTGAACTTTCAACCCAAAATGACCATTTCTCAGGCTCTCCAGGAATGTCTTCACTTAAGGTGATGCTTGAAATCTGTGAAATATATACAAAATTCAGAATTGCATTCACGAAGGGTTGCGATTCACTTGTGGTAAACTTTTTCTTCAGTGCTACCTTAAACGCAAACTGGCATAAATATTTTTTTCCGTCTTCCTTTTTAAGAGCATTGATGAATATTTTCTCGAACAAGAATATTTCTCCTTCTTTGCTCCTTCCGGATGACGTATCTTCCCAGAAGTTTAAAGGTCCCTATTTCAACAAACATACTATTTATAAGCACATACATATCTTCAGCTTTCATTAAGACAGATTTTACCCAACGGATAACTTACTCGTCGGAGTAGCTGTCCAGCTTCTTGCAGCGGAATTTCGCCCTATTAATGTGCAAAAAACGGCTTTGAAAATGACGTAAAGTTGTAAGTACGTATGAGAAGAAGAAAAAATTTCTTGTCAAGAGTGGCGTCTTTTTAAATTTAACTAGGGATACAAGTAGTAACTCGTAATTTGAACCGATTTCATAAATTTATTTCGTTTCTCCATAAGCTCACATTTCTTTTTGTACATGTATTATGAAGTGAACATGTCCCAAAAAACGGAATTTTATCATTTCAAAAACATTTCTTTTGTTTTTAAAGAACACATTTAAACATTTTTAGAGGATAACTTTTACATTATAACTTTCTCATAACTCTCTCAGACAAGTTTTATCAATATCACTGTGTTTAGCTCCATCTAGCAAAGAAGGGAGAAAGGGGCGAAGTTTAACACATACAGTCATTCCATATCTATATCCCTGTTAATCTCTTGTAGTTTCTTCACTCAACACAACGACACTACTTCATATAAGAGTAACAAGTGGTAGCAAACTTACTGAATACATATCAATGGATGAAATCTGAAGACAAGTCTCAGATTCTAGATTCAGGCTGTGGGCAACAGATAACGCCTCCTGTGTGTATAATATATGTATACACATATGTCAATGTCGTGGTTACATACAGAATAGCAGTCATGAATAGAAAATTTGGCTTGAGTTTTTCACCTCGATATTTTTGGCATTCTTCTTTGCTCTTGTTGAGTATTTCAGCAAGTCCTTTTTAGAAATAATCCATACCATAATTAAAGTCGAATGTAATGAAAGCAACCAGCCATTTGATGGCAACATCATTCATTATATATGTGCATAAAGCAAAATTAATTCGCAGTTTTACAAAAGCATAAATAAGATTACTGTGAAAGATAACTTAGTGTAAAAGTTAAAGTTGGCAAATCAAGCTTGATATGACGTAGAAAAGAATTCATCAAATGACAAACTTTGTATCATAACATGAGTTATAATAAATTTCAAATTCACGTTATGAAAGATGATTGGAGGACTGGCGTCACAACGAATATTACACTTGTACATTTAACGTTGCTACATAATTAAATTATCAGAAACCTGAATAAATTAATTTCTGCCCGTATACGACTGTCGAGTATTTACTGCATAAAAACCATGTGACATATGTTCTAAATATATCAATACCTGTAGAATGTTACGATACTCCAGTAATCTAAGTAAAGGTTGATTAAGATAATCTGTTATGAATCTTTCATCTTCAGTGTCCTCTTGATATTCCTAATAAACAACAGTTGTTCATTATGATTAATTTCATATAATGCCAAATCAGTTACTTCTCCAAGTTCGTCTATGAATTAAGCTAAATAAATATTTTCAATTTATTTTATTTGAAACGAAAACGGAAGAGGGGAATACTAAACATTTTGAATACTGTTTGAAAATCCAAATGCAAAAATTAACAAGAAATGAGAAAAACAGATAACCTTGAAAAATTCAACGATATCAGGTGTAGAGAGTAATGTTTCCATGGCAATCCGTTCAGCAAAATATTTCTCGTAGAAAATATGAAGCTTTTCCTTCTAAAAGCGGAAGAAAATAGATAAATAACCATAATGCAAATACATATTTTCAAATTACCACATTCCTAAAAAAAATGTGCAGTCAATTGTTAATAAAGCATGCTCCAACTGCTGTATCTTAAAATCAGTTTTAAAATGTAGAGAAGACACAGTTTGAGCGTTGAAAAAAATTTCTCCCGTTAAGTCAGAGAAATGTTTAATATGTTTCGTAATAACATACAGCACATGAACGAAACTTACATTTTTTAAGAATTCTTGAGCAAACTTATTTGAATCGTTCGTACATACTTCCATGTCTGGCATCATTATTCTGTAAAAATGAAAGCCACAAATAGATGTGTTCTAGTCAAACTTATTTCATTAATATATTAAAATCTGCGAAAGAGAATTTCGTGATTTTTTTACCTCCCGTGAAAAGTGTAGATATCGTTGATGATTGAAAACAGTTTGGACATTTTCCCAATCAAACTTTTAGGCAAATCATCACTTTCCATTTCCACTGTGTAGCTCTAAAAATAAATTTATAAAATTATTGATGCATATTATCAATAAACTCAACCGTCACTTACATTACCTCAATGAACAATTTTAACAACTTTATGTATTTTTTTTCACTTTCCATGAAATAATTGGTGACATTTCTGTGAAAAAAATAAGACAGACACAAAAAGTAGTAGGCAGACATCAAATGATAAAATCCAGAGCCAAATTGTAAAGTTAATAATAATAAAAAAAATCTAGTCAGAGAGTTTTTCCTTCAATAAAAAAATACTCACATTAGTTGATGTTTTGAATCACTCACTAAAGACTTGTCGTTATTGATCGTTAGCTTGAATTCCTCTTCTTCCACCTTTTGAACGAGATATGCAGGTACAAGTCCTTCACTTTCTCTCGACAGATTATTGATGAGCCAATAGGCACTGTCCCCATCATCTAAAACCTCTATTTCGTCATTTATCGATACTGAGAATTTTGAGTTGTTGCTTGCTTCATATTGGGACAAGATAATGTGGTAAACAGGCGTTATAGTAGATTCACCTAACAATTAAAACCACGTTCAAAATTATAACTCGTTAATAACCTAACGCACTAAATTAGAACCGTTTTCTTCATGAAATGCACCTGTTTCCTACAGTACGCTTTGTTCAGTTAGAGTTAAAAATTAGCTTTTTTGACTTTACGATAAACAGATTAAGTTAGAAAATAGCTTCAAATACATCGATAGTATTGTTTATGAAAAATCAACAACTTAATGAAATAGTTCTTACGAAACATACTTTCAACAACATCCATTGCAGCATTGTCTTTCTTAAGACTATGTTCATCTCCTTCAACGAGGCTTTTGCTAAAAAATTCGGCAAAAAAACAAACATTATTTTAGTTCCTTCAATAACAATATCCAACTATTTAAGAGTGAACATACTTTTTTGCATCCGCGTACTTAATCGAAATTTCTTTCTTAGTTTCAAAGGATTTTACAGAAGTGCTAACTTCCGGTGTAGTTTTGATATTTTTAGCTAGCGTTGTTTTGGACCAAGTGAATTGCCCCTTTGCTGGCTGCTTGCTTGAAAACAATTTGCTTATTGACGAACCTACAACAATATAAATAGTCATTTTTATATTAAACAATACAGAGAATACAACATTATAATGTTTGTCAAAGCACTCAAGGAATCGTACCTTGAACGGTGAGGTATGCATCAGTCGTAGAAATACCATCATTATTCTTTGCTTCACATCTGTAATTACCGGAGTCATCAACTTGACAATCTCGAATGATCAATGTCTGACTAGCAAGATCACTTTGTACGTGATAACGTCCGCCACTTGTGATTATACGTCCATCTTTGTACCATTTGGTAGTTAGGCGACTTCTGCTAGCTACACGACACGTAAGGCGGGCGGTTGATCCGACCGGGGTTTGTTTATCTCGTAAAGGAACTGTGAAATCGGGTAATCTCTTCGATTCCGATGTCAGTGTCGGAGTTACTTTGCCTCGCAAATACGTGATGGGTCTAAACATGACAGTTTGAAATATCATTACATTACAGTATATAAATTTACGCACTAAATGAAGTACTTGATGATTTTCTATGTATGTTTAAATATATTAACAAGTGAACCTTTCTTTAATTGATCCTTGATCACTTCCACTACGTGTGCTTTCATCACTGCTCAGATCACCAGCTTTAAAGAAAGTTTATTTTGAATGAATAAATTCACCTCACAACTACACTCTTTTTCTTTTACAATCAACCGTAGCCCTTTATCAGACTTACTTACATAAAAAAAGAGCACGAAGATCTTAAATAAACTCAAGTCTCTTAGCCTTATTAAAATATAAATTTATCCTTGCATAATCCAGACTATCCATAACTATCTCTTTGATGAGAAAAAAGACAAGATGCAACACCTACCTTTCACGATGAGCTTTGATGCACAAAAAACATTCCCAAATTCATTGGAAGCGACAGCTTTGTACGTTCCTTCATCTTCATAGTTGACATCTTGCACAACCAGAGTACACACACCAGCATCATCGCTATATACTGAACATTTACTAGTGGAAACTATCTCCAATTTTTCTTTATACCACTTGATGTCGGGTTTTGGGTCACCTATGGCCTTGCATTCCATTCGTGCACTACACGTGATAAAAGCTTCGACGGTTTTGCTGGGAGAAAGAACAAATTTCGGTGGTGTTCCATCTCTTGCAGCTTGAGAAGAATCTTAATCATAATCCAAAGAAAGTGATCAAACAAGAGAGTTGATTATGAGTATTATACACTTATAAAAAATTTACCGTCAATAGAAAGAGAAGCGGAACATGTTGAATCACCAGCGTCATTCTTCACTATAATTGAATACTCCCCAACATCACTTGGTGCAACATTTTGAATCGTAAGTACGCTCAAATCACTCTCATTATCCAGCTTGTATCTTAAATCTCTTTGAAGAACTTTGCCATTTTTGCGCCATTCTACCCTGGTCTTTGTCTTGCTTTGATAACGACAGGCAAATTTCGCCGTGCTTCCAGCTTTTGCTGTCTTATTTCGCAGTACAAGAGAAATTTTTGGAACATCATTTTGTGCATGGTGTATTTCCTCACCATCTTCACTGTAATATAGGATCTCGCTGCAACCAAAATTAAAAGTATTACATGCAAGCAAAATCAAAGCGTTCAAGCTATGGATGAAGAAAATTTATCGAGTTAAATAAAATAAAAATTATCATCCAAAAATCACGTACCTCGATAAAGATTTGGGGGTTAAAGGATCCGTGTCAGATTCTGTTAGAGAGTCGTCGAAACCATGAACTAAAAAATAGAAAGAGCCATCCAAAAATTGTGTTAAATTCTCTAAGATTCACCAAGTTGTAACTTGATGATCACAATGATAATATTCTAACATGGACTTACCCTCAACAAATAATTGACAACTACATTGTATCTTTCCCTTTTTGCTGCTCGCAATGCATTTGTATTTCCCTCGATCTTTAGGTGTAACATCTTGAATGACAAGGGAGCAACGTCCGTTTTCTTCATTAAGGTATTTAATTCTCTTGCTGTCCAAAATAGCTTGGTTATCTTTGTACCAAGATACTTCAGGTTCAGGATTACCTATGATGAAAATAAAAAATTTGTTTTTGGATGTAGAAAAATAGACAAAAGACAACTAACACATCATGTAACATCATGTAATGCACTTTGACGTTAAGTTATCATTTAACAAACCTTTTACAACGACGTCAAACCGAGCAGCACTTCCTTCAACGACTTCTAAATCCTGAAGCCTCTGTGTAAAATGGGGCTCAGTTATGCCATCGCTTTCCTTGGCACTAAATGAACTTTGCACACTTTCCCGTTGACAGTCAGCCTCAGTACGTACGCAAAATTCGCTGGTCGCAGATTCCTTCTCTTTAGCAACTATGTTTTCTTTTTCTTCTTTCATCGGTTTAGTCGACGAGGAAGATTTTTTACAATCTATAAGATCATAAATTTACAATAACTTGTAGACAGCAATTACATTGAATCAAGATTGAATTTGCGTGGTTATTTCAGCGGGGTGGCTAGGTGGATTTTTAAATCATGCTGTGTAAGTTTACGAAGGAAAAATAATTTAGTATAGTAACAGTTATTTCAAGTAAATAAATGCCATATTTAGTATAGAATTCCTGTAAATTCATTGTGTTGTAATGGTAATGTTTTGTGTCAAACATGATACCTGATATCTTAACATTGAAGACTTTAGATGCAGTTCCACCTGCGTTTGTCGCTACGCATTTATATATCCCAGCATTCATTTTATTCACACGTGGTATCTCCAAGCTATACTTGTCACCAGTATTCCTGATGTAAACTTTCGCGCCACTCAAAAGCAACATGCCATCTTTATACCATTTCACTTTGGGATTGGGTTTGCTCGTTACAGTAATTGCAATCTGTAGTTTGTCGCCTTCCTTTACTTCCATTGCTTCATCTTTGTCATCCGATTTGAATACAGGTAAACGAGGCAACGATTTAACGTTCAAACTAGCAGTACTCTGGCTCTCTCCTGTTTTATTTGTTACTATACATGAATATCGACCATTATCGCGAGTCTCGCAGTTTCTTAGCACAAGAGTGTAAATTCCATCATTAACTATACTCGTCAACATATGACGTCCTGATCTGGCTATTTCGTTGTTATCCTTAAGCCATTTCACAGAGGGAGTTGTATTAGAGGCAACTTTTACAGAAAATGTTGCCTCGTTTCCTTCATTCACGTCCATACTATTGAGCTTTTCTATGAAAACCGGCTCAGTTACAACCGAATCAATAATAAGTTCGCAGCTTGTGGCAATACTACCAAAATTGTTAAACGCAACACACATGTATACACCTTTGTCTTCCGGTGTGCAGTTCTTCACAGTCAAGATACAATATTGCCCTTCTTTATCCCCACATACTCTACTACCCAAGCTCAACGTCTCGTCATTTTTACGCCATTCCACCTTAGGTGACGGTTTGCCATCCAACTTACATTCAAGCCGAGCCGTTCGTCCTTCTTTCACTTTAACTGTTTGCAGTTCTTCTAGAAATATTGGCGATTGGCCTTCTTCTTTAGCACCTATTTTAGTTAAAAAAAAGTGCTGTTACTTGCAACTTACATTTTAAACATAAAGAAAAAGAAACGAAGACTTACTTTTGACGCTAACTTGAAAAACTTTATTGGCACTACCAACGATATTGGAAGCGACGCATTTGAATGTCCCATTATCACTTTGTTTTGCCTTTGCTACAACCAAAGTGTATTTTCCATCTTTTTGTTGCAGTCGGTTACCACTGATCTGCATTACAGCAAAATTATTTTTGAACCATTTAACGCGAGGCTCAGGTTTTCCAATCACACTTGCTTCCAAACGTAGTTCATCGTCTTCCTGGACGGAAACATCAGTGCTTGCTTCGACGGGACTTGAAAACTCAGGAGCATACTGTCTTTCCAAAACACTTAGTGTACAAGAACAAAACACCTGACCACGCATGTTTTTTGCGACGCATTTATACCTACCGGAGTCCTGAAGTTCACAATTGTTGATTTCCAAAGTATAATTGTCATTGGTGCTTGGTGTGCTACTTATATTATACTTTTTCCCATTGGTTAAAATCTTGCCATCCTTTGTCCAATGGAGTTCAGGGTCTCCTGTAACCCTCAATTGTAGAGTCACATTTTCCCCCTCCCGTACATCTTTGTTTCTTAGTCGTTCTTTGATTTCAGGCGGTGCTATCTCCTTGCGTACAGTTACTATGGTAGCAGTTTCAGCTGAGCCCGCGGGATTGGTGGCAACACAACGATAAGTACCGGCGTGTTCTGCTTTTACACTCTTTATTTTTAAAGTACAAAGTCCGGAAATATTATCTATTTTCATTAAACGGATGTCTTCAGCTGGTTCGTCATCTTTATACCATATAACCTCGGGAGACGGCAGACCACTTATGTCACATTGAAGCTTCAAAGGATTACCTTCTTCAAGATCATAACTTTCTTTCAACCCTCTGTTGACCGTTGCCGCATTTTGCTTTTTTTGCTTTTCTACAGGAAAAAACACACTTCATTTCTACTCTGTTACTACTACCTGACTGTTCTCTGGTTCTGTAACATAATTTACATACCCTTGATTTTAACAATGAATTCTTTAGAAACAGTTCCAGCAGAAGTACTCGCTTCACATCTGTACACTCCAGAATCGGTTTGCTTAAGATTTCGGACAATAACATTGTACTCATCATTGACTGGCTGCAGTTTGACGTAGGCATCACCACGAAGTCTGACGTCATTTCTGAACCAAATAACTTCCGGTTTTGGGAATGCTCTAACAATTGCTCTAAGCCTGGCGGAAAAAGATATGATACGTTAGCATAATAGTTTGTTTGGATAGGATAAATGATTTGTTCATATACAAGATTCCAAAGTTCTGAAGTTGATGCATTTTTTATGTGAAAAAGCTGATTGATTATATAGGTAAGACACTTCACTCATAGATTTAAAGCAAGTAACACCAAGTTTTTATATCGGTAAAAATGATTTCAATAGTAAGCTATCCTTAAGGAAAACTCGTTTTCAAACTTCTTTTACTTCGTGTGATACAAAAAAAATGAGAAATCCACTCAATGTACAATATCACAGCTTGTTGTTTCAAAAAAAAACCAACTTTTACAAACGAGTTTCCAACAGTGTCCAATGTATTGCAATTTACAGATGCATGAGTACCACGTCAGATATATAGAACAGTAGTGGTTTTGAAGACAAACCTGAGTTCATCTCCTTCATACAAATCAGACAACGGTTCATCTTCTCCAACAAACTGTGGCACCGTGACAGATCGATCCACGTAGAGATTCGCTGAACAAGAACTTTTTCCAACGTCATTTGTGACTCGACAAACATACGTGCCAATATCGTTATTTTTTACGTTATCAATGATAAGTTGATAAAGATTACCTAGAAAATACAGAAATTTGCAGTAGTTCGTATATCAAATAAACAAAGAAAACTAGACAGCCATTGCTGGTTGGGTGATTAGTCTGAGTGATCATTGTATCTTACAAACCATTTATTACCTCCATCTGCTGCATCAAGTGTCTTGAATTTTCCTTTGTTTTCAATTTTACTATCATCTTTGTACCATTCTATTTTCGGCCTCTCATTTGCTCTCACGCTAAACACAGCCTCTCCACCCTGACATACGTCAATGTCTTGCATTTTCTCAACAAAAATTGGTCGGTGACCAATCTCTTCAAACGGTTTTTCTTCTTTCGTTGAAACTAAAAACATGTTCAAGAAAAAAACAGCAATAAAACGCCATTATCAAATAGATCAAATTGTTTCGTAAATCTTGTCACAGTTATGCAGCTCACCATTCACAATTAGTTCAAAATCAACGCTACAACTGCCAGCTGAATTCGCAGCTCTACAACGATATATTCCAGAATCCACTGCTTTTACGTGATCAATGTGCAAAACATACTTCTCACCATCATATGACATTCGCATCCGAGGATCACTTTGAAGCCTTATGTCATCCTTAAACCAAGTAATCTTCGGCTCAGGATGTCCTTTGACATTAGCAATGAATTTGACACAAGTATTTTCTTCAACGTTGAGCTGTGTCTCACATGAAGCTATAATATCTGGCGGAGTAATTGTTTCCTTTACGCGGAGACTAACTGTACAAAAAACTTGACCGGCACCATTTTTCAAAGCACATTTATATGAGCCTGCGTCCTCCGGTTTAGTATTTTTAATACGTAGTTTTGATACATCACCTTCGGACTCCATCAAGAAGCGAATATCGTCATTTAAAGGTTGATCATCGTGATACCAAATTATTTCAGGTTCACCGTTCGCACGAATCGAAAATACAGCATCGTCCCCTTCGTTTACATCAGTGTGTTTCGGCCTTTCAACAAACTGTGGTTTGCGTAGTTGAAGTGGGGAAAATTTCCGTTGTTTTGCTATAAATATAAGGATTTGTATTGTTTATTCTTACAAGAAAAAAATTGAGAAATGAATAAAATGATCCAATAAACACTTACATATAACATTGACTTGAAATTCTTTGCTGACTTTTCCAGTAGGGCAGATTGCAACGCATTTATAGATTCCAGCATCAGACTTCACCATTTTCTTCACAGTTAGATTATAACTATTATCTTTACTCTCAATGATCACGTGACGGTCACGACGCAATTTTATATTATTCTTATACCATACGACAGTGGTGCCGGGTCTCTTTCGTATTTCCACGTCAATCTTCCCATCCTCGCCTTCAACAATGTTCAGGGGGCTCTCCGTTGTGCTTCCAATAAATTCTGGCAACAAATTTTCCTCCGGTCTTACATCTACATAAACTGTGCATGTTGTATCACCAATATCATTCGAAGCAACACACTTGTACTCTCCAGTATCAACTACAGTTGAATCATTTACTGTAAGCCTATATAACGTATCTCCTTCAACAGCATCCTCAATGATAAACCGACCACCATCGTCTATGATGACATCATCTTTGAACCAATTTATGTAAGGATCGTGTTCAACTTCAACCTCCAACATGATGTTGTCGCCTACGTGGACCTAAACACGATTTATATCATAAAAGCATGTGAAAAATCCATACACCGTCCCAGTCTTCGAACAAAAGAATAATATAATGTTCTACTTTAACAAAGAGCCAAAAACTGCATGAACTTTCACTACAATCCGTAATTTTAAAAATCTTTTTAACTTACCCTGCCACCTTTCATTTCTTTCAAAAACTTTGGTTTCGACGCGAGAGGCTTCGGTGCTTCAAATGTTTTTCTCTTTCCATGAGGTATGTCAGCTGAAGGCTTTTTCCAAGAATTTTTACTCCCTAATCCAGGATCTCTGTCCGTAGTGAGTAATGGCAGGTCTCTTGTTGGTGGTAGTATGACCTCATCTTTTTCATCAGGAATACTATGCTCTTCGACCTTCGCTTTCTCAGGTGTGATCAAAACATTGGTTGACTTTTCCACCAATTCTTTTGGGTATGATTTCAATCCCTCTTTTCCGAATTTCACTGGCTTTTCTGGTTGCTTTTTGATCCACTCGGGCATTGACATTTTCTTGAATGAGTGAGGCTTTCCAAATTTACCTTCAAGAGGCTCAGTAATCATGAGTTGTGCTGAACATCGAGCTTCACCACGGTCATTTCTGATGTAGCAAGTGTATGTACCACGATCGGAAGGTTGACACTTTTCAATAGTCAGACGATAAAGTATATCATCCTCGATTGGATCTTCAATTATAAAGCGACCTTCATCTTCAATTAAGATTCCATCCTTGTACCAATCAAGTTCTGGTTCACCACAAACATGAACTTCAAAGATGGCGTCCTCTCCTGGCGCAATATCCACATCAGTCATTGTCATGTGAAACTTCGGGGGATGAATATGCTTTTCATCTAAGGCAGAGGATATCTCGCTTTGTAGAGCTACAACGGGTATGGTAGTGTAGAAAGATGTAAATATGAGAATATAATTTTAACTTAACACAGCTTTTTCTACAAAAATTACATATATATATATATACACGCAAATTGTAGTCCGTATATTTCGAATAGTTTGGTAAAAATATTAACAAAGAGAAAAATACTAATTACTTGATCAGAATTAATTCAACCTCACATTTAAAACAATGACCAATGACAAATAAACTGACACTAGCCCACCTGTCACGGTAACATTTATTTCTTTAGCAACCAAGCCAGATAAATTTTTCGCCATAACCTTGTAAGTTCCAGCATCCTGCAGGGTCATCTCTTTCATATGTAATTTACACGTATTACCGTCGACGTACATCTTACACCTAGCAAAGTTATACAATTGGATATTGTCCTTGTACCACGTGACTTTTGGAGCTGGGTTACCGGTTACCGGAATCTCAATAAGCATATTTTCGCCTTCGTTGCAATTCAACATTGAATTGACGTCACCAAAGACTGGTGCAACTGTTTTCTCTTTGATCTGTAGGTTTGTCGAACAAAAACAATCTCCGGCTTGATTTTTGGCTACACATTTATACCTTCCAGAGTCGGCGAGTTTGGCATTATCGATACACAATAAGTAAATACCTTTCTCATGGTTGGAGCATTCTACCGAGATACGATCACCGATAGGTAACAGTTTACCATCTTTATACCAAGTCAAAGATGGTTTGCCCGAAACTTGTATCATAAACTCGACTCTGTTGCCTTCCTTTGTTTCAGTGTTTTTAAGTTTTTCTTGGAACTTTGGAGGTAGGAGCGGCTTACGAATATCAACTACGGCAACCGAATCAACCTTGCCTCCAGGGCCCGTAGCTAGACAGCGATACTTTCCAACATCATCAAGACGCACAGACTTCACAGTCAAACTGACTTCATCCCCTTTCTTGTACATTTGAATCCGGGATGTTTGTGTCAAGGGACGGTCGTCTTTGAACCATTCAATACTTGATGCATCGCGAACTGAGCACTGCAGACTTAAAGTACCACCAGGATTGGTTTCTATTGGTTGCAAAGGGGTAGAGAACACTGGAATGTTAGGTGATAAGGCAGGGATAATATTGAGGTGTCCAGTAGTAATCCACTCCTTTCCGTCAATGGTAACAAAGCATTTGTACAGACCTGTTCATGGTAATCAAAAAAGAAATTTTATTTTGAACGTGGAGAACAAAATCATTCTGTTTATCATCTCTCTGTTTATCATTTCTCGTAGGTCTTGAATTCATATATATTTTCATTTTTGTTACATAAAAGCACAATAATTTTGATAGCAAATGTGTACGTATTTATAAAAGATTACACTATGAAATATGGTATTACCTGAATCTTTTGGTCCACAATTCTCAATAGTCAGTGAATACAGATTATCATCGCCGTCCGGATGCGGGTCTTCGATAATAATTCTTCCTTCGTCCTCAAGGAGTTCTTCTTCTCGGTACCAGTCTACTTCGCAGCCATGAGCATCAACACGCACATCAAAGGTCGCGTCGTCCCCTTCCCTAACTTCAAGGTCAATCATTTCCAAGCTAAAGATTTGACTGTCTGACGATGGTTGTAGCAGGGGTTGAGCTGAAATAAGAATGGATTTACTGTTGACGTAACAGTTAAAGTTATCAATTGTAAGACATAGATCGAGGGTGTAAAATTTATAAAAAAATATTATCTCATTTACTTCAACTATTAACTTAATCAACATGCTTACTTGTTTCTGGTTTAAGGATTTCGGATTTTTTCATATCCTCAATTGGTTTTGATGTATTTTCGGTTCTAACAGGAAGGGTGTGCTTTTAGCTATAGATTTTTCACTTTTTGATTTTTCTTCATATTTGGTCTTTATGGAGGCAAATGAAAGCTTAAATTCTATTTCTTCAGAAGGCTCAACGAAAAGATTTTTCTCACTCTCCACGAGCCTTTGCTTCACATGAGAGCTTTCCGTCTCGGTAATATGAGCTTCCTGTTTCCTCATTTTGTCATACGGCTTTGGCATAACTTCAGGAGGTTGCTTCACTTCTTCTTTGCTTAATTTCGATTTTGCACTAGGTTGCATTGATTGCACACCAGAATCTTTCTGTTTTGAATAGATTTGTTTAGGTAGATCCTTAGATGGAAGTTGAACTGCTGTAGCATCTACGTTTGATCCAAGAAAAACTTCAACAGATTGTCCATAACTCGCACCAGTTTCCTCTAGTCTCAGCTCACTTGCGTCTGAAGTAGATTTGGATTGATCTAGAGTGTCTTTTATATTTACTCCCGAATTTTTGTAAGAACCTTTATCTGAAGTTATTGATTTTCTCGATTGTTTAGCCCAAACAGGTAACATATCACCACGTTTGACATTGTAAGACAGTTTACTCTCATCTTTGTTCCATTTCACAGATGCAAAATTTGAAGATTTAGATTTTACAATAGGAAAATTCACAGAAACTTGCTCTTCCAGTTCTTTAACCTCAGAAGACTTGGAATTTGAAGTGACTAGTAACTTGCCCGATTCATCTTGGGATACTGCAGTTTTCCCAGCAGAAATTTGCATGTCACCGCTATCAACAAGCAGCTCTATTGTCTTAGAGGATTCAGAAGGATATTTGTGTACACCTGGGAGTTGTTTAAAAGCTGGTTTTTGCTTATCTGCCAAATTTACAACATCATCTTTCGCTGTTACTTTAGGTTGTTTCTGCTCTAGGCTGCTCGACATTTCTTGTTTTTTAGGCCATAACTTTCCTTGAATTTGCTGTACACTACTAAATTTCGTAGGTTTTTTCATAGTCTGTGGGGCAGATTTTGATGTTTTGTCTGGTAGCACTGCTAACGTCTTTTCCAGCGATAGACCATCATCAACGCCACTAGTCATTACTTTCTCAATGTTTGCTCGTTGATTCTGTAGTTCGTCTTTGATAGACGCTTCAAAAGGTTTGTCTGCCTCAACGTTTTTCAAAGGTAATTCAAATTGATTGTTGAAAACTAGTTCTTTTGTAATGACGTCAAAAGTTTTCACTTCTTCAATGTTTCCTGTATTATCATTAATCAGATTTCCAGCAGGAAAATCTGAGGTTTTCATAAAAGAAGAGGAACACTCAATCGCGGAAGTTCTTTCTTTTGGGATGTCACTCGGAACAGCATTTTGAGATTTCATATTTTCATCGTTCTTTTTAAACTCAAAGCTCGACTGTGATAATATTTTTGGTATTGGCGTGTCAAGTAAAGCAGATGAAGAGTCTTTTTGCAGCACAACATCACCAGTTAATGGTGAGAATTTGTCATGAGAACTTTTAACCTTATGAGGCATACTTTCCATACCAAAGTTGTCTGTTCTAGGTGATTTTATTTCTCTTCCAAGTTTATCGGCCTTTTTAGCAACCGGAGATTTTTGAGAAATCTTTTGTTCTATCGCATTTACACGAGACGCTATTGACGAGGTTGGTTCTTCAACAATTAGAATCTTCGTTTCATCTGATTTTTCCACATAGTTTTGTGGTGATGACTCCTCAACTTGTGAAACAGGAAGCTTCATAATTGATCCAGATTCTCCATCGATGATTAAACTAACTTCTTTGCTGGTTCCTAAAGAGACTCCATCTTCTGGCTTAGCATTATTTATATTGTCCCCTTGATCCTTAGAGAAATTCATCTTGCTATTTTTCCGTTCCTTGGCTGAAATTCCTGCCTCTTTTTCATGGGTAGAGGTCACTTTTTATCATTAATTACCTGATGGTCAACAATGGGTATTTTTTCATGATGTTGAGATGCTACCTTGTCTTTACTATACTGTTCGGTTTCTTGAGAGGTAAGATGGGTAGCTCGTTGGGCTTTAATGACATCACTTGGCTTAACTAGTCTTTCTTCTTTATCTGAAGACACAGTTAAAGTAGCTGTGCATGACACACTTCCAGCTTCATTTGAAGCTACACATTTATACATTCCTGAATCATCACTACTTGCTTCTTCTAAAGCTAAAGTAAATGTTTCACCATCGTCTTCATCAACAATCACAACATGACCAACATCCTCCAGTAATTTATCTCCTTTGTACCAGTCCACTTTCACGTTACCTTTCACGCGGACAAAGAAACATCCATCTTCACCAGTGAATATCTGAAACAATAAAATAACAGAAATTTTGGCAATATGTCAAAAAAGAAAGAGAGCTAAAACCGTACGACATATTGCACAAAAAAAACATTCTAAAAATGAACAATAACCTCTATATCTTTCATAGTTTCTACGAACTCTGGCTCATATATCCTCTCCTCCACAAGTAACTCTGACGTGCATGTTGCTGTTCCCAAAGGATTTCGAGCCAGCGCTTTGTACTCTGCTTCGTCTTGAAAAGTGATATCACGAAGTATTAAACTGTGATATCCATCTTTACTTTCAAACTTGATCTTGCTACTTTCTTGTAGAAATTCGTCGTCTTTATACCATTCAATATTTGGTGTTGGTGTTCCAAATACCTTACAGGTAAATCGTACTTCTTCTCCTATCTTCATCTCTTTATTTGTGATCCTTTCAGAGAACTCGGGCTTTGAGCCATCTTGTTGAATTCCTGGGTAGTTTAAGGAAAAAAGGGAATTAAGAAAGTTACCAAACAAAGATTAGGGATAAATCAAGTCCATTAAATCAACACAATTATCGTTAAAATATCAGCAGATATTTTTCTTTTGAATGGTTTGTATAAGCCAGCCCTCAAATATGCACACAATTGCATGATTTATCTAATAGCCTTATGATTTTTGTGGTCATATAACTCGTGCTTTACTCAACGTTACAAGTATTTTACAAATATAGATGACATATTCTTTACCTTCAAGATTCACTTGGAATTTTCTCACAGCTTTTCCCAACTTCGAAATGGCTTCACATTTATATACACCACAGTCTTCTGACGTCGCCGAACGAATAACCAACGAGGACTCACGACCACTATCTGATATTTCAAAATGTTTGGTTGACTTTAATGGTTCGTCATTTCTATACCAATGTAACTTGGGAAACGGCTTTCCCTTTACAGTGACGTTAAGTTTTAGATTATCGCCATGGGCAACAAGATATGGTTTGTCCTGAAATTCGTTAGTGAATTCTGGAGGATATTCTTGATCAACGACAAACAGCTTTGCGACTGATTCAGACTTTCCAGCTTCGTTTTCAGCCACACATCGGTATTGACCTTCATCCTCAGGCACGACATCTTCAATTGCAAATGTGAATAATTGATCTTCGACCTGATCTACAATGACAAAACGACCAACGTCCTGCAATTGCACGTCATCTTTGTACCAGTTAACTTCCGGCTCTCCATCAATTTGAACATTGAACTGGACGTCGTCGCCTTGATAAAAACACAAAATAAACAAATACAAGCATGAAAATATTAAAAATTTAGGTACAGTATTCTATTTCTCAAGAATAACTAAGCGAGAACTATAAGAACAAGAACTCTGTACCTTCAACAATTGTAACGTCTTCAAGCATTTTTATAAACTTAGGAGTTTCAACTACGATCATTTCACACTCGATGGATACAACACCACAAGGATTAATCAAACGACATTTATACCATCCTTCATCGTCAGGATCTACTTTTGCAAAACATAATTTAACAACACCTTCCGTGTGCACCATGTTTATTCTATCATTCAGCTCTAGTGGGCCACCATCTTTTGTCCACACAACTTTCGGCTCCGGTGTCCCAAAGAATTGGCACTCGAGCTCATAGGATGCGCCCGCGATGACCTGACAGTCTTTTAGACCATGAAGTACTGTGGGTATGCATCTTTCCGAAAGCGTATCTGCATAGAAAAATGAATTGGTTCGAAAACTAAATTTTCAATGAACTGAATACAACAGTTCAAATAAAGGCGTTGTTGATACAAAAGAAATGCTACATAAGAGAATTGTTAATGATTACTATAACAGCAAAACCGAACACTGTGGAACGAAGAAACATTGTTTACCTTCAACATCTAGTTTAAATGTCCTCTCATCCACTCCAATATCATTGCAAGCAACACACTTGTAGAAACCACTGTCATCTATCGTAATGTTCTGCAGGCGCAACTCATGTTTGACACCATCCTTTGTGATACAGTAATTGTCACCATTAGGGAGTTTTTCGTCATCTTTAAGCCACTGTATTTCCGGTTGTGGTTTTCCGTGAACGTTGAGATTAAAGCCAACGGTGTCACCCTCGCAGACATCATACACGATATCCTTTTGTGGTTCCTCAAAAAATGGAGGGCAAACTTCCTGCGTTAAGAGTGCAGAAAGTCGATTTGCTGTCTGTTCGGTCAGTTTTTCATGAACTGTCAACATTGCAGTAGAAGTTACAGTCCCAGCTTTATTTGAAGCTACACATTTATACATTCCTGAATCATCACTACTTGCTTCTTCTAAAGCTAAAGTAAATGTTTCACCATCGTCTTCATCAACAATCACAACATGACCCACATCCTCCAGTAATTTATCTCCTTTGTACCAGTCCACTTTTACGTTTCCCTTCACGCGGACAAAGAAACGTCCATCTTCACCAGGGAGAATCTTAAAAACAAACAACTTCTGTAAAGCAATACTTCTTAATTATATATAAACAGAACAGATATCAAGAATGATGCACTGTTTGTGTCCAAAATTTTTTTCCAACTACCTGAACGTCTTTCATTGGTTCAATAAATTCCGGTTTTACCTCTTCTTCTTCGACAAAGAGTTCAGCTAAGGACGTAGCAGTTCCAAGAGTATTACGAGCTAAAACCTTATATTCCGCTTCATCTAAAGGAGAAACTTCATGTACTATTAATATTTCACAGCCATCTTGTTTTTGAAAACTGAATTCTTTGTCATCATTCTCTATTAAAACGTCATCTTTATACCATTCCACCAAAGGCACAGGTTTACCAAAAATTCGGCATTGAAACTTCGCGTCTTGTCCTTCTTTTACCTCGACGGGATACAATCTTTGAATGATTTCAGGAGCAATACCTTCTTGAGCAAGACCTGTAGAGAAAACGAAACTAAATCAACGTCGCTGACCAAATCTACAAGGCATCAGCTACTGACCATGCTCTACAAAGCATGCAATTCAAATTTTCTTTCAGGAGAAGTATCCATTTGTTGGTTGACTATTGTTGTCTGTATATGTACCATATCCAATTTCCTCGGCTCAAACATTTTGAACTTTCTTACCTTCAATATTAAGTTGAAATTTCCTCGTCACTTTACCGAGTTTTGACGTCACTTGACATTTATACACTCCGCGATCTTCTCGTGTCACATTACGTATACAAAGGGAATGTTCGAGACCTTCATCAGTGATGTCATAGTGTAAGTTGTTCACAAGTGGCTTATCACCAACAAACCATTTTACATCAGGAAGAGGATTGCCTTTTAGTGTAACGTCTAGTCTCAAGTCATTACCACGTTTGACAAAATAAGGTTCGTCTTGCCCTTCATTTGTAATCTCAGGGGGGTATTCCGTATCAAGTACGATGACCTTTGCTTTAGACTGTGATTTTCCAGCTTCGTTTTCAGCAACGCATCGATACTCTCCTTCGTCTTCAGGTAAGACATCTTCAATAGCAAGAGTGAATACTTGATCTTCGTCTTGGTCGACGATAACATAACGACCTTCATCAACCAATAGCTTGTCGCCTTTGTACCAGTTAACTTCTGGTTCTCCTTCAATCTTCACAGTAAACTGGATATCTTCTCCTACAAGTTTTTGCGAAGTGTTTTTAGCTTTTGCTCTATTTTTTCCTGATATCTCGAAACATTATCTTAATGTGGTTTAAAGCCAAGTAAAAGACAGCCACAACGCTTCCAATTTCTCAAAAACACCTTTCTATTTTCTTATAAAATGAAAATATTTGCAACAAAATATGTGCATTCCAACATCGGCTTTAACTCATTTAGAATTCTCCTCAATTGACCTTTGTAGATTTTCTCGACAGATATGATTTAAGTGTCTTCCCAACGACATAAAGAAATATTGCAGAACATCCCTAACTACCCTTTTATACTTTTAACTTAACTTTAACCGATAGCCAGTCAATGAAAAAGATAACAGCAAAACATTTTGTGAAAACTAACCTTCATCTATGGTAACATCTTCCATTTCATTTACAAACTTTGGCGCTTCTATAACGATAACTTCAGCTTCATGAGCACACACGCTTTGCTCGTTTGTCAGACGACATCGATACCATCCTTCATCATCAGGCTCGGCCCTTTCGATAGTAAGCGTCGTGACATTGTCTTTTGTAACACATGAAATGCGGTCGTTTTCTTCTAATGGTCCGCCATCCTTGAACCATCGCACTTCAGGGGAACCTGCAAACTTACAAATCAACTGTATTTCGGCACCAGCAACTACTTCGCTGTCCGGGAATTTGTTCAAAAAATACGGAATTTCTTCACTGGTTGACGCATCTAGATTGCAATAAATGAGAAAAAAAAACAAGATTAAAAATTTACCAGGAGTGTCATAAGCCAAGATTATAATTTTTTAATTACAAATAATAGATTTGTAAAGCATTTTATCAACACATTGAAGAATAGTTACATGCTTTAAAAAAATTTTCTTTCATAATAAAAATTTGAAAATACTTCGTAAGAGTTTTTAACAATCTTAGTAACCTAATAATGCGTTAGGAAAGTTGGTCTTTCTGTACCTTCCAAACACATTTGAGACGACTTTTCAAACACATCTTCGGAAGGTTTGCACTCGTTATTCAAAGAAGACATTGATTCTTTTTTCAATTTTTTCTCTTTGCCATACTCTTCAACATTCAACATCGCAGAACAAGTTACAGTCCCAGCTTTATTTGAAGCTACACATTTATACATTCCTGAATCATCACTACTTGCTTCTTCTAAAGCTAAAGTAAATGTTTCACCATCGTCTTCATCAACAATCACAACATGACCAACATCCTCCAGTAATTTATTTCCTTTGTACCAGTCCACTTTTACGTTTCCCTTCACGCGGACAAAGAAACATCCATCTTCACCGGGTGCGATCTAAAATAAAGAGAATAAATGCGCTCAACAATACAATTGCATGGTCAATTGTATTATTCTTAATACTAATATGATTATTGGTCCTTTTTTGTCCGTAAATGGTAATTAAATCCCACAAACAATCTTCATGTAGCTACCTCTACATCATTCATAGGGACAATTATTTCAGGTACCAAACAACATTCAGTTACAATGAGTTCAGCGACAGATGTCGTACATCCAATGGAATTTCTCGCTAAGACCTTATATTCGGCTTCATCAGCAGTGCATATATTTCGAACACACAAGTAACATTTGCCGTCTTCGGTGAAAAACTTTATCTTGTCGTTTTCTACCAATAACTCGTTATCTTTATACCATTCAACTATAGGCGACGGGTCACCGTTTATTTTACAATGAAATCTTGCTTCGACTGTCCCTTCTTTCAATTCAAGAGGTTTGAGAGTTTCTGTGAATGTTGGAGAAGTCCCATGCGGTGTAGATGCTTATAAAATACGCAGTAAGATAAATTAATACGTGGTGTGGCTGGTTTGATTTTTAATTCATGTTATGGCAATGATTTTGAGTAGCTACAGCAATAAAAATTTATTTAAAACAAAACTAAAGTACCTTGCAAAAGGACTTGGAATTTTCTCACTGCTTGACCAAGTTCTGACGTAGCCTCACATGAGTATTCGCCCTGGTCATCGAGAGTTATGGAATGAATACACAGTGAATACTCGTTGCCATCTTCACATATTTCGTAGTGCATGTTACTAGGCAATGGTTTACCATCCAAAAACCATTTTACTATGGGTGTCGGGTTTCCTTTCACATAAACAATTAGTCGATGGTCGCTACCTTTCTTGACGAAATACGGTTCGACCTGAGCAGGGTCAACAAATTTAGGTGGATATTTTATGTCAACAGTCAACTTTGCAACGGATTCGGATATTCCTGCTTCGTTCTTGGCAACGCATCGATACTCTCCTTCATCTTCAGGTAAGACATCTTCAATAGCAAGAGTGAATACTTGATCTTCGTCTTCGTCGACAATAACACAACGACCTTCATCAACCAGCACCTTTTCCCCTTTGTACCAACTCACTTCCGGTTCTCCTTCAATTTGGACAGTAAATAGAATATCTTCACCTAAAAATGTGATGTGATCACTGTAAGTATATAAAAAATGAATTCAAATCATATGAATTTACTTTAAAATCAGGTGGTTGACAACGCATGCAGTGAATACATTTGTCTGTAAAAGCCACCAATCAAATAAATGATGAACGTTGAGAGTCAGTTTGTAGGGGCCAAGCATAGAAAAGATTTTGATGGTTTTAATTTTTATGCCCAAACGCGTTCAAAAATCAAGCAATTTTCGACCATTTAAAGTCAATATATATCGATCATGTACAGCAATATTTTTGCTGTATTTGCTTGTTCCCATGCCCCTTTGAACACCTGTCCAAAATCACCAAAGATTGTGAGTCATCACCAAATATCGATCCAGACAAAAACAATGCCAAGATGAAACATGCCTAACCTTCACAAATTACAGTATCTTCAAGTGATTTTGTAAAATTCGGTTTCTCAATGACGACAATTTGACACTCGGTGAAAGATGATCCTAAAGTATTCATAGCATTACAACGATACCAAGCTTCGTCATCAGGTATTACGTCATTAATGGTTAGACTAGCAACATCATCATAGATATCAAACACCAAACGCTGCTCTGTGTCATTAATAGGACCTCCATCTTTGTACCACACGATATCAACCTCTGGTATGCCAAAAAACTGACACTCTAGTACTAAACTCTTGCCAATAACCACCTCTTTATCTTCCAGTCCTCGAAGGAAACCTGGTGGACACTGATTGATTAAAGGACCTGGAATGTCAATGAAAACAAGCGACAAAGCTTTATGCAACGATTTTTATTCTTCGTATAGAATCAATATAAAAAGCTAAGCAAAACACAATCAAGAATCGTAAAATAAACTTATTAAACTTGTGAAATAAATGTGTATCATACCGGATGACGTTCTGCCTTCGTCGTCCGATGGATCTACAACACAAAAATCTCATCTATAATACTCTACATATACTAACCGTGAAATACTTTATTGTAAAGATTATAAAGTAATGGTGGAATTTTTCAAAGAAACGTACCTTCGACCATAACTTCACAATCACAATTTGCTTCACCAAATTTATTGACAGCAATGCAGCGATACATTCCCTCATCGTCCAGAGTCGCATTCCTCACAACAAGTTCTTGTACACCATTGTTTTCACGCATCTCAACACGATTACTCTTCAGGAGAAGTTTTGATCCCAACAGCCATGATACCTTTGGCAATGGTTTTCCCCTGACTCGTGCGCAAAGTTTGATTTCACGACCATTGTTCACTACAATATCTTCAGGTTTCTCAAAGAATTCAGGAACCATTCCACTTTGCCTAAAGAAAAAGATTTATGCATATGATGGTTGGATTGACTATGTCAAATCCTAGATTAAATATTTAATGGGACTTTCAGCTTCTGAAGATACAAATTACTGCCAATGAGGTGCCAGGCGGGAAACGGATTCTCGATATAAATATTAGAGCCCAACAAATAATTTTAAACATAGTCATAAACAATTTGGTTTTATGAAATTTATTAAAAGAGTGACGTTTCACCACTAATAAATTTCACCACGTGAGACCACTAATAAAAGTCGCATACAGTGAATATCACCCTACACACAGACTGTCACAAGATTTTTCCAAACATTAAAAAGTGAAATAAAGTTTATAATCCATTCGCATTTATCACCGTCAATAATGATTTAGATGAAAGTGATTATCATTACCTCAAAGCATCAAAATGTTTCTCATTCGCCATAACAGAATCTTCATTGTCATTGTCATTGACATTAATTTCTGATGTCGGATGAATGGTTTGTAAAGGCTCCGTACCATCCGTAGTCTGATTGTCAAATAGATTTTCTTGATTTGACGGTTTTGAATAAGTCTTTAAAGGTATAAACGACGGAGACCTCTCTGATAATGTTTGAGTTGCAATTTCACCAGGACTTTCGACCATTGGTTCTGAAATTTTCAAGATAGTATTAGGCTTCAGAAATCACTTAATATCACAAAGAGCATCACTTTTCTCTTGTAAGCACAAAAAGCATTATTAGTGTGAAGAAATAATTTTTCAATCGAAACAGTCTGGATTAATGTCTTAAAAACTTTATTTAAGATAATGATTCCACAACAAGAATTTTTGCAAGAATCGTTGTGTCACTTTTGCAAGACCACTGAAGCTATTCTTAAAGCAATTTTTTTTGATTATTTTTTGTCTACCTTTCTGAGCTGATTTAGGAATATGCGTCTGCTCGTCAGAAGTCAATCGTGACTCAGATTGATCATACGATGACTCGGGAGATCTTTCTTGAGAATCCAGGATAACGTAAGGTTTGTCAAGCTCAGTAAATGGAATGTTAAAGTGAATACCTTGCAATGGTGTTGTGGTTGTCGGTGTAGAAGCAGTTGTCGTTTGAGTGGAACACTCCAAGTCTACAGGTTCATCGTCATGAGAGGGTGTCAAGATTTTATCAGAGGAATCATCCAGGAATGGTTGAATAGCACCTGATATGGCAACCGAATCCATCAATGGATACGTTTCGTCTACCTGAGGAGTAACTTTATTTGGTGGAGGTATGTTCTCTAGGTTTTTGTCAGATTCAACAGCAAAAACACAGTCTTCAACAGTTTTAGATTGTTGTGTTGGGATACTGGTTTCAAGTGGACTGTTTTCAAAATGCGCTTTTCCATTTTGCTGCAACGTAGGAAGTCCTAATTTCAGCTCACTTTCGCGGTTTAGTTCCAACTTTAAGGTTACTGGATCGGAATAAGCATTATTATAGACGCGATTTTGCAATTCCAATTCTTCGTGTACTAACGCGTCCTCGTCCTCATCCTCCATTGAAACTACATGTAATAAAATATTGCTTTATAAGTCGCAAAGGAATATCAATAAAATGATATAGTGAAGAGCATGAGAATTTAAGTTTCCATATTTGATTATTTTTATGCAGACACAGATAACAGTGGAAAGAGTCAAATCTCGTTTTCTTATTACTTACGTTCAATATTAACAGCATATGTTCGAATCCTTGTAGCAAGAGGATTTGATGCCACACACTTGTACTCTCCTGCATCTGCTGGACTGGCACTAACAATTTTGAGCCAATAAACATCATTTCGTGACTCGGGTAAATAATGATGGGACGATGTTATCAGCGTATCATTTTTATACCATTCGACTACAGGTTTTGGGTTTCCAATGATCTCTGCCTCGAGAATTATGTCACCTCCATCTGTGATCTCCATGGATAGATCTGGAACGATGTTATTGAACTTGGGCTCGGATTTAGCCGCTGCATTATCAAAGACAACATCATTTTTGTGCAAATGATTCTCTTGTGATGATCTATCTAAAAATAAAATTATGTACAAAGCATTGAATTACTGATTCCAGCAACAGTATAAGACGATAATACTTGGGCACAAATTTCAGCACTAAACAATTGTAAGAGGATATTTAACGCAAAGTTGAAATACATGAAACGGGATGGGTTAAGTTGAAAAAAACCTGTTTTATTTTCCTCATGATTGATATTTCCTTCTGTATGTGACTCGTTTTTCTCAAGTGTTTTCTGTTGGACGACTACATGAGCAAAGCATCCTGTTTCTCCACTAGCATTCCGTGCAATGCATCTATATAGCCCAGAGTCAGACAGTTTACCATTTTTTATGACCAAATAATATTGGTCATCCCCATTCAGAGCATCGACGATCATGCAGTTATCTTTGTCCGTAATCAATTTATCATTGTGATACCAAGAAACTTCTGGTTCTCCTGTTATCCTCACAACCATTTGTGCATCATCGCCTGCAAATTCAACCATAATATTATAAAATGAGCGATTAACTATTTTCATCTGTGGAAAACACTTTTATGAAATATATTTCATACACTAATGCTTTAATAGCTCACCTTCGTTGATCGTGACAGATTTTAAGGGTTTAGTGAAAATTGGAGCGTTGATAGACTTGGTCACTATGACTGAAGCTCTGGTTTCACATTGTCCACGACTATTATGAACAATTAATGTATATTCTCCTTCATCTTCTGATCTTGCATTCGTTACGACCAATGAACAGACATCGTTTTTTCTCTCAATACTTTTTCTCGAGTCAAATTCTAAAGGTATGTTGTTTACAAGCCAACTGAGTTGCGCAGATGGTAATTGTGAGAGACGACATGATAATGTCAGTGTATTGCCCAATTTAACCACTTGGGACTGAAGGGGTTCAATAATCATTGGAGCTGTTTCAGATCCAAGTGAATGTGGCAAAGCGTCAACATCGTCTTCGTCATCTTTACCTGAGGGAAAAATAACAAAACGCAAAAATCATTGAAACGCAAAAAGCGACAAACAATGAAAACAGTAAATTGAAATAAAGAGCAAAAATTTACCATCAATATCCAGATTGTAGACCCTGGTCACTATACCAAGATGGTTTGAACCAACACACTTGTACTTTCCAGAGTCGCTCGGCGATACATGAGCAATTTCCAAACAATATCTATCGTTATCCACGACTTTCACAAAACGCTCCCCAATATCTATAGGAGTGTCGTCTTTATACCATTGAACAATTGGCGTTGGAACACCTCCGATTCGAGCTTCAAGTCGTACGTTCCCCCCGTCTAAAACAGTTACTGAACCATCTTGGGCTTCCTCTTTAAACATTGGCGCCAATTCATCACGTGAGTAAGTATCAGCAATTTCCAGTAGAGTTTCTTCAGGGGTTACTTGAGTACAGTCAACTGTTGATTCCTTGACATGAAGTTGTACTGTGGAGGTACTGCTTCCCGAGTCATTTGTTACCATACATCGGTACTCACCACTATCGTTCGGACAGACATTCGGTATGAATAAGACACAGCTGTCATCGGTTAGTTCATATTTGATATCATCACCAACTTTCAACGGCTTTTTATTCTTAAACCATTCAACTTTACTAACAGGGGATCCCCCTAAATGAAATTCAAGACGTGCTTCGTTTCCAGGTTTTACTTCCACGTCGTTGACACTTCCCATGAATTCCGGTGGTCCGCTTTTAGCTGAAAGGAAAGAGACGAGCAATTATTGATGCGAATTTTCTATTTTGAGTAAAAGAAATGAAACTATCTTGGCGATGATTTTTCTCCAGCTTTTGCGACATCATAAGAAATTTTGTAGTTTGGTTTATCACTTACACCATAATATACGACAATTGGCATTGTTTGAATGGAAAATGAATTTCGTTCATTCCCATTCCTCTTTCTTCTTAACACATCACAAATGATACAAACCTTCAATATCAACATGATACGTTCGCTCTGCAATACCGCCATCGTTGGTCGCAATGCACTTGTACGAAGCTGAATCATCTTTAGAAACGCCAACAATTATCAATTTATACGTATTATAATTTTCATCGATCTTATAATGTTTGTTCGGACGTAGTTGTTCCTCATTTTTGAACCATTGAACATTCGGCTTTGGTTGTCCCACAATCGTTGCTTCTAATTTGATGTCCCCTTGCTCCAGTATCTCAATAGCAGTATCCTCGGGTTTGTCTTCAAATAATGGCGGTAGGACAGGTGTATTCAATACGCTTAGAATCGCTACTGACTCAACTTCTCCAGCAGAATTCACGCCAACACATTTGAACTCACCACTGTCTTTTGCCTAAATGTGGAATATTAAGATTTTTGATGAGAGTTGTCAATCCATTGAAGAACAAGAATATTTCAAAAAATCTTAAATTTGATGTACCGCCTTCCTAAAATAAGATCGATTTTAATACCCAATATATTCAAAAAAAAAACAAAACCAATCAGATCATCAAACATCAATCAAACATAGCTTTTCATGCTGTTGTTTAAATAAAAAACAAAACCTGTACCAAGACAAGCAATACTCTTCATTTACGTATCTTCAGGATAACAAAAAATCTGAGTACATATTCAAAACACAAAATGAACTAACCACACAATTTTTCACAGTTAAGCAATAAGTTATGCCTTTACATTCGATCACATATTTCTCAGAGTTTTCAAGAGGTTCTCCATCTTTGAACCATCTCACTTGAGGCGTTGGACTTCCAACAACTTCAACGACGAACTTCACGCAAGTGTCAGACAAAACTTCCGCATCACGAAGAGCTCGAAGAAACTTCGGAGGACCAGACAACGGTTGAATGTCTAGTTTGATTGGACAAGAATCATGACCTTTAGAATTGGTGGCGACACATCTGTATTCACCAGAATCACTGGGTACGGTGTCATGAATAACAAGTTCATAAAGACCAGTTTCTTGGTTGAGCCGACTCGTGTATTTCTTATCATCCTCGAGAGGCTGGCCATCTTTTAGCCATTTTACTTCACTTGGTGGTCCATGCACTTTTACTGCTAAACAAGTATTTTCACCATCATCTGTATACGTGTTGCGAATCGTTTCCACGCGTGGTTGTAAAACCAAGTCTTCTACGACACCCTCGCGTGGTAAAATCAAATCGTCCGGTATGGGAGTGGATGGTCGTGGCCTTGATGATGGGATATCGAAGGATTCAAAGTCGTTTGAATAAAGTGGTGATCTGAAAAAATAACGTTGAAATAGAAGGAGACAAAAGTTTGGAGTAAATAAATTAACTCCATAACAATCACTAGCAAACAAAATATAACAGAATAAAAGAACATGCATACCTTATCTCGACTTCTTTGGGTTCCAAATACACGCTGTCAATTTGTTCGATAACAATGGCCGTCTTATCTTGAGCTCGCTTTTCTGAAGGTTCATCAGCAGGTATCAATACTTTATCGACAAGTAGCTCGATATTTGTGGATATCTCTCCGGAAGCATTAAAAGCAACACAAGTGTATGACCCCTCGTCATCTTTACAAACTTCATCAATGGTCAAGATGGTGTAACCGTCGCTTGTTTCGTGACGTATTCTGCCTTTTTTCAAGATTTCTTGTTTCTTTGGGTCAAGCCACTTAATTTCAGGGACTGGATTTCCGACTGCAGAACATCTTAATGTTGCACGTTCGTTTTCGTTCACACGGATGCTTTGTGGTAAGGAGACAAACTCCGGTTCTTCATTTATATCGAACTTAACTTCAGGGATTTCAAAGTCATTTTGGACGTTGGTTTTTTCAATACTTTCTTCGGGACGGGCATTCTTATCAACGAAAGGAAATTTCATTTCGGCAACACTGACCAACTCGGCTTTGTTATTTTTTACAACCACCTTGTAGAGACCTTCGTCTTCTGGTCCAGTAGGAACAAATTTCAAATTATGTACTCCATTCTCAAAATTCGTAGTGTACTTGTCATGTCTCTCATCTAGAACTTTATCGTCTTTAAACCACTCCACTGAGGGTTGCACTTTCGTCCAACACTGGTTACCAATCTCAATAGACAACTTCACTTCACTGCCAAGGGTAAGTTCGTTGTCTGCAAGTGTTCGCTTCAACTGTGGTAAACCATCTGATGATTCGTCTACAAGCAGTTCACATTGACTACTAACGGTATCAACAACGTTTGATGCAATGCAACAGAAGACACCCTCGTGGCTCATATCAGCTTTCGTGATGATCAACCTAAACATAACCACAAAAATTTCGCTAAGATCAAGGCTACAGTAATCAAAAGTTTCGATGTCCGTCTAACTTCTTCAGTCTTACTTATTATGATAAAAACATAGGGTTAAACATATTATATTAACTGATGTAGGCAAAAATGGAGAGCACCAGTTCTAGGAAATATACAGCATATCTGTGGGAAATTAAAAACAGATAATCTCCTGGAATAAAAAAAAAATTCTCCTTCGTTTTATACAAAACTTACCGTAACATACTACCATCGCGTTCTGTATATAAAACGTCACTCTCGACAATAGGCTTTCCTTCAAACTCCCATTGAACTTCGGGAGCTGGTACGCCTTGAATCTCTACCTGTAGTGTAACTGACTCATTTGCAAAAACTTGACAATTCTTCAAAGGTTGTATGAATTTTGGAGACATCTGTTCTTCTTTCGATCTTTCAAAATCATAATCCTCATGCGTATCCATTGACTTCAAGGGTATTACATTAAGTTGAGCATCGCTACTCACGTGACTATTATCGTTTCCGATCGCACATCGATAATTTCCAATATCTTCCAACTTAGCATCTTTCACAATTAGCCGCAGTTTTTTATCATTCACTACCATGGAATATTTACTATCATCATGATAAATAGCTTCATTATCTTTGTACCATTGAAAGCCGATTGGATGGGAGCCATTGATAACACAATCAAAGACAACATCACTACCCTCCATGACTTCAGCATTCTGCAGAGGCTCAACAAAGTGAACAGATTTAATCTCCGTTGAAGTCATGTTGCTATGTGTCATTGGTAGTGTTATTGCCACAGGTTTGAAAGACACTTGCTCATCTGATGTAAGTTCTTTGTCATTGGTTGAAACATCAACCAACTGATCAGCAGATATTCGTGCTGTAGGCTCAGTTTTCGTTTCAGGTTCTTCTACTTTTGAATAGACATCACGTTGAGTTGATTCTAAAAGAAAAAGGACAATTAAGGTATATAAATAGATACAAAGAGAACAACAAAAAAGAAAACTTTTTTATTATAACTCGTAGTAACTCAAAGAAAATGTATCTTAAACAAAGTTTCTACTCCATTGCTAAATGTTGCTTAGATGAAAGTAGAGGTGAATCATGAATAGTAATTCAAAGAAAATGTATCTTAAACAAAGTTTCTAGTCCATTATTAAATGTTGCTTAGATGAAAGTAGAGGTGAATCATGAATAGTAATTCAAAGAAAATGTATCTTAAACAAAGTTTCTACTCCATTGCTAAATCTTGCTTAGATGAAAGAAGAGGTGAATCATGAACAGTAATTCAAAGAAAATGTATCTTAAACAAAGTTTCTAGTCCATTGTTAAATGTTGCTTAGATGAAAGTAGAGGTGAATCATGAATAGTAATTCAAAGAAAATGTATCTTAAACAAAGTTTCTAGTCCATTGTTAAATGTTGCTTAGATGAAAGTAGAGGTGAATCAGGAATAGTAATTCAAAGAAAATGTAACTAAACAAAGTTTCTAGTCCATTGTTCAATGTTGCTTAGATGAAAGTAGAGGTGAATCATGAACAGTAATTCAAAGAAAATGTATCTTAAACAAAGTTTCTAGTCCATTGTTAAATGTTGCTTAGATGAAAGTAGAGGTGAATCAGGAATAGTAATTCAAAGAAAATGTATCTTAAACAAAGTTTCTAGTCCATTATTAAATGTTGCTTAGATGAAAGTAGAGGTGAATCATGAATAGTAATTCAAAGAAAATGTATCTTAAACAAAGTTTCTAGTCCATTGTTAATGTTGCTTAGATGAAAGTAGAGGTGAATCATGAATAGTAATTCAAAGAAAATGTATCTTAAACAAAGTTTCTAGTCCATTATTAAATGTTGCTTAGATGAAAATAGAGGTGAATCATGAATAGTAACTCAAAGAAAATGTATCTTAAACAAAGTTTCTAGTCCATTATTAAATGTTGCTTAGATGAAAATAGAGGTGAATCATGAATAGTAACTCAAAGAAAATGTATCTTAAACAAAGTTTCTAGTCCATTGTTAAATGTTGCTTAGATGAAAGTAGAGGTGAATCATGAATAGTAATTCAAAGAAAATGTATCTTAAACAAAGTTTCTAGTCCATTATTAAATGTTGCTTAGATGAAAGTAGAGGTGAATCATGAATAGTAATTCAAAGAAAATGTATCTTAAACAAAGTTTCTAGTCCATTGTTAATGTTGCTTAGATGAAAGTAGAGGTGAATCATGAATAGTAACTCAAAGAAAATGTATCTTAAACAAAGTTTCTAGTCCATTATTAAATGTTGCTTAGATGAAAGTAGAGGTGAATCATGAATAGTAATTCAAAGAAAATGTATCTTAAACAAAGTTTCTAGTCCATTGTTAATGTTGCTTAGATGAAAGTAGAGGTGAATCATGAATAGTAACTCAAAGAAAATGTATCTTAAACAAAGTTTCTAGTCCATTATTAAATGTTGCTTAGATGAAAATAGAGGTGAATCATGAATAGTAACTCAAAGAAAATGTATCTTAAACAAAGTTTCTAGTCCATTGTTAAATGTTGCTTAGATGAAAGTAGAGGTGAATCATGAATAGTAATTCAAAGAAAATGTATCTTAAACAAAGTTTCTAGTCCATTATTAAATGTTGCTTAGATGAAAATAGAGGTGAATCATGAATAGTAACTCAAAGAAAATGTATCTTAAACAAAGTTTCTAGTCCATTGTTAAATGTTGCTTAGATGAAAGTAGAGGTGAATCAGGAATAGTAATTCAAAGAAAATGTATCTTAAACAAAGTTTCTAGTCCATTATTAAATGTTGCTTAGATGAAAGTAGAGGTGAATCATGAATAGTAATTCAAAGAAAATGTATCTTAAACAAAGTTTCTAGTCCATTGTTAATGTTGCTTAGATGAAAGTAGAGGTGAATCATGAATAGTAACTCAAAGAAAATGTATCTTAAACAAAGTTTCTAGTCCATTATTAAATGTTGCTTAGATGAAAGTAGAGGTGAATCATGAATAGTAATTCAAAGAAAATGTATCTTAAACAAAGTTTCTAGTCCATTGTTAATGTTGCTTAGATGAAAGTAGAGGTGAATCATGAATAGTAACTCAAAGAAAATGTATCTTAAACAAAGTTTCTAGTCCATTATTAAATGTTGCTTAGATGAGAATAGAGGTGAATCATGAATAGTAACTCAAAGAAAATGTATCTTAAACAAAGTTTCTAGTCCATTGTTAAATGTTGCTTAGATGAAAGTAGAGGTGAATCAGGAATAGTAATTCAAAGAAAATGTATCTTAAACAAAGTTTCTAGTCCATTATTAAATGTTGCTTAGATGAAAGTAGAGGTGAATCATGAATAGTAACTCAAAGAAAATGTATCTTAAACAAAGTTTCTAGTCCATTGTTAAATGTTGCTTAGATGAAAGTAGAGGTGAATCAGGAATAGTAATTCAAAGAAAATGTATCTTAAACAAAGTTTCTAGTCCATTATTAAATGTTGCTTAGATGAAAGTAGAGGTGAATCATGAATAGTAATTCAAAGAAAATGTATCTTAAACAAAGTTTCTAGTCCATTGTTAATGTTGCTTAGATGAAAGTAGAGGTGAATCATGAATAGTAACTCAAAGAAAATGTATCTTAAACAAAGTTTCTAGTCCATTATTAAATGTTGCTTAGATGAAAGTAGAGGTGAATCATGAATAGTAATTCAAAGAAAATGTATCTTAAACAAAGTTTCTAGTCCATTGTTAATGTTGCTTAGATGAAAGTAGAGGTGAATCATGAATAGTAACTCAAAGAAAATGTATCTTAAACAAAGTTTCTAGTCCATTAATAAATGTTGCTTAGATGAAAATAGAGGTGAATCATGAATAGTAACTCAAAGAAAATGTATCTTAAACAAAGTTTCTAGTCCATTGTTAAATGTTGCTTAGATGAAAGTAGAGGTGAATCAGGAATAGTAATTCAAAGAAAATGTATCTTAAACAAAGTTTCTAGTCCATTATTAAATGTTGCTTAGATGAAAGTAGAGGTGAATCATGAATAGTAATTCAAAGAAAATGTATCTTAAACAAAGTTTCTAGTCCATTGTTAATGTTGCTTAGATGAAAGTAGAGGTGAATCATGAATAGTAATTCAAAGAAAATGTATCTTAAACAAAGTTTCTAGTCCATTGTTAAATGTTGCTTAGATGAAAGTAGAGGTGAATCATGAATAGTAATTCAAAGAAAATGTAACTAAACAAAGTTTCTAGTCCATTGTTCAATGTTGCTTAGATGAAAGTAGAGGTGAATCATGAATAGTAATTCAAAGAAAATGTATCTTAAACAAAGTTTCTAGTCCATTATTAAATGTTGCTTAGATGAAAGTAGAGGTGAATCATGAATAGTAATTCAAAGAAAATGTATCTTAAACAAAGTTTCTAGTCCATTGTTAAATGTTGCTTAGATGAAAGTAGAGGTGAATCATGAATAGTAATTCAAAGAAAATGTATCTTAAACAAAGTTTCTAGTCCATTGTTAAATGTTGCTTAGATGAAAGTAGAGGTGAATCAGGAATAGTAATTCAAAGAAAATGTAACTAAACAAAGTTTCTAGTCCATTGTTAAATGTTGCTTAGATGAAAGTAGAGGTGAATCATGAATAGTAATTCAAAGAAAATGTATCTTAAACAAAGTTTCTAGTCCATTGTTAAATGTTGCTTAGATGAAAGTAGAGGTGAATCAGGAATAGTAATTCAAAGAAAATGTATCTTAAACAAAGTTTCTAGTCCATTATTAAATGTTGCTTAGATGAAAGTAGAGGTGAATCATGAATAGTAATTCAAAGAAAATGTATCTTAAACAAAGTTTCTAGTCCATTGTTAATGTTGCTTAGATGAAAGTAGAGGTGAATCATGAATAGTAACTCAAAGAAAATGTATCTTAAACAAAGTTTCTAGTCCATTATTAAATGTTGCTTAGATGAAAATAGAGGTGAATCATGAATAGTAACTCAAAGAAAATGTATCTTAAACAAAGTTTCTAGTCCATTGTTAAATGTTGCTTAGATGAAAGTAGAGGTGAATCAGGAATAGTAATTCAAAGAAAATGTATCTTAAACAAAGTTTCTAGTCCATTATTAAATGTTGCTTAGATGAAAATAGAGGTGAATCATGAATAGTAACTCAAAGAAAATGTATCTTAAACAAAGTTTCTAGTCCATTGTTAAATGTTGCTTAGATGAAAGTAGAGGTGAATCAGGAATAGTAATTCAAAGAAAATGTATCTTAAACAAAGTTTCTAGTCCATTATTAAATGTTGCTTAGATGAAAGTAGAGGTGAATCATGAATAGTAATTCAAAGAAAATGTATCTTAAACAAAGTTTCTAGTCCATTGTTAATGTTGCTTAGATGAAAGTAGAGGTGAATCATGAATAGTAACTCAAAGAAAATGTATCTTAAACAAAGTTTCTAGTCCATTATTAAATGTTGCTTAGATGAAAGTAGAGGTGAATCATGAATAGTAATTCAAAGAAAATGTATCTTAAACAAAGTTTCTAGTCCATTGTTAATGTTGCTTAGATGAAAGTAGAGGTGAATCATGAATAGTAACTCAAAGAAAATGTATCTTAAACAAAGTTTCTAGTCCATTATTAAATGTTGCTTAGATGAAATAGAGGTGAATCATGAATAGTAACTCAAAGAAAATGTATCTTAAACAAAGTTTCTAGTCCATTGTTAAATGTTGCTTAGATGAAAGTAGAGGTGAATCAGGAATAGTAATTCAAAGAAAATGTATCTTAAACAAAGTTTCTAGTCCATTATTAAATGTTGCTTAGATGAAAGTAGAGGTGAATCATGAATAGTAACTCAAAGAAAATGTATCTTAAACAAAGTTTCTAGTCCATTGTTAAATGTTGCTTAGATGAAAGTAGAGGTGAATCAGGAATAGTAATTCAAAGAAAATGTATCTTAAACAAAGTTTCTAGTCCATTATTAAATGTTGCTTAGATGAAAGTAGAGGTGAATCATGAATAGTAATTCAAAGAAAATGTATCTTAAACAAAGTTTCTAGTCAATTGTTAATGTTGCTTAGATGAAAGTAGAGGTGAATCATGAATAGTAACTCAAAGAAAATGTATCTTAAACAAAGTTTCTAGTCCATTATTAAATGTTGCTTAGATGAAAGTAGAGGTGAATCATGAATAGTAATTCAAAGAAAATGTATCTTAAACAAAGTTTCTAGTCCATTGTTAATGTTGCTTAGATGAAAGTAGAGGTGAATCATGAATAGTAACTCAAAGAAAATGTATCTTAAACAAAGTTTCTAGTCCATTATTAAATGTTGCTTAGATGAAAATAGAGGTGAATCATGAATAGTAACTCAAAGAAAATGTATCTTAAACAAAGTTTCTAGTCCATTGTTAAATGTTGCTTAGATGAAAGTAGAGGTGAATCAGGAATAGTAATTCAAAGAAAATGTATCTTAAACAAAGTTTCTAGTCCATTATTAAATGTTGCTTAGATGAAAGTAGAGGTGAATCATGAATAGTAATTCAAAGAAAATGTATCTTAAACAAAGTTTCTAGTCCATTGTTAATGTTGCTTAGATGAAAGTAGAGGTGAATCATGAATAGTAACTCAAAGAAAATGTATCTTAAACAAAGTTTCTAGTCCATTATTAAATGTTGCTTAGATGAAAATAGAGGTGAATCATGAATAGTAACTCAAAGAAAATGTATCTTAAACAAAGTTTCTAGTCCATTGTTAAATGTTGCTTAGATGAAAGTAGAGGTGAATCATGAACAGTAATTCAAAGAAAATGTATCTTAAACAAAGTTTCTAGTCCATTGTTAAATGTTGCTTAGATGAAAGTAGAGGTGAATCATGAACAGTAATTCAAAGAAAATGTATCTTAAACAAAGTTTCTAGTCCATTGCTAATGTTGCTTAGATGAAAGTAGAGGTGAATCAGGAATAGTAAATTTTATCAACATTTCATATTTACTATACATACATGCATGACAAAAAGAAGTTTTTTTTAATAAATGATTATTATTCAGACTGTTAGAAAGACAACCTATACTTATTTATTCACGATGATAAGTGAGGGATAAAGAGGGATAAAGAGATCCTCCTTGCTATGTTTATACGTGTTTACATCCAAATCTAATATCACAAACCTTCAGGTACTTTACTTTCAGAATCCAATACATGTTTTGGTATCCAGCCTTTGATCTCTTCCGAACCATCATCGCGAAGTCTCATGACAAAAGCACGGTCATTGGATTCGTCGAGTACAGAGACATTGTCTTTTTCTTTTACGGATATCTCATCTGGCGATGTTGCTTTGAAATTCATAGTGATTGCTCGCTTTTTTACTGGCATATCAAACTCCGAAACGAAACTATATAAACTGTAAATAAGATAACGTATTTAAGATATATTTTCAAAAATAAAATGATTATAGGTAAAATGCTGTAGAGTTTCATTATTTTTGACATATTTGTTTAGTTTTGAAGTAAAGTAGGTCACCTGTTCATCTTTTCTATCCTGGAGATGATGGCATCAACAATGATTTTGGCTTTCTACAAAAAATTCAAATCTTTCAAGTGGATATCAAAGTTCGGATAGTAATATCCACAGATGAGCTGCTTTCGCCCAGGTAAAATGAGAAGCCCGTAAGACCTTAACACCACAAATAGTCCACAGTAAATAAATTAACATGATTTCAAGCGATTGTATTCAAACCTTCAAATCCGAGATATCTCCTGACAGTAGCTGCCCATGTTGAAGAAGTTTCGTAAGATATGTTCTATATTCGTATATCCTCTTTAAAGGTTCCTCCAGCAATGATTCCAATGAAGGCGTACGGGTCTTTGAGAGCACTCGCTGAATAGAAACACATAAAAATATCATTGTTGCAAAGTTAGTGCATCACATCATTGCCTACAATCTTATACTATCCAAAATTTCCTACAACCAGTTGAACAACACACATTATCTAAATTTAACAAACACATTATGTTAAATTTGTGTTTGTTGAGTTGAACTCTTTGTGTAAAGCCAGAATCAGATTCAAAAATATACGTTTGTTCTTAGTGAAGCCAATTTCCGAAATCAATTGAAGATATTGTGCTAAAAAAAAAGAAAAGATGGCTATTTATCAAAAATACCTGAAAGCAAGTGCTTGGAACATACAGAAGAACAAGATCTGATTCGGGTTTCTTTTCTCTGAATGTCAGATATTGTTGCAATTCTGTTTTCTATAAAAGAAGGAACAAAGTTTAACGGTACATACATCATTCATCTTGATTTTATTCATTTAAACTTACGGCGTTTGCAAACGCAGTCCCTAAAGATAAGGGCACTTTTCGACACTTTTCCAATTCTATGAGAAACCTAAAACATCATATCCCAAAAAAAGCTTCACATTTATTATGATGAACGAGTTAGAATCAAAGGAAATAGCTTTTACTTTTTGTGAAAATCTTCAATATCGTCGATGTTCATGAAAATGGCCTCCATTTCGCCAGGATTCAATTCGTTTGGATATTTGACACTCGCCTTATATTTCTAGAGCAAAAGAAATATTTACACATTTCATTTACGCAGCAAAGTCGTAAAATGAATACGAGAATATTCATACAATGTAAATTTAACGTTTTAAAACGAAAAAACTTCTCTCATTTACATTTGATACTTCATCTTGTGATGACAATGTTTACCTGAATATTCCCAAGTGATTTGACGTATTCTTTTTCGCTATCTACAAGTTCCCTCAAAATTTCATTATACTTTTCTTGAGCCTGCTGTTCTCTACCTGTGACAGCATGCGGCTGCTGTTCTTGAACTTCAACAGGATGACATTTTGATGGCAAATTGGGCAACATGTCAGGGGTATCCTCATGTGACAACACCTTTAATGTATAATGAAATCCAGTATTAGACCACACCTAAAGCATAAAAGTGCCAAGTACACTACAAAATACACTGACCGTTCCTGCAGCGCGAGGTATTGTGTTTTCGCCTTTACCTTTAGTTACGCCATGTCTGTAAATAATCCATAATGTAAAGTTAACTATTCATTTCAGTATCAGAAAGAATCCCAGATCAAATATTCATTATATACCAGTATAATTTATAAAGTATGAAACGGCAAGCAGTAACACGAAACTATTCCAAGCTTCATAGATCAAAAGTGTACACGTGAAAAATGTACTAATGACGATAATTGACGAAAAATTGGTTAGCTTTTTATGTTTTGAATTTATTCTCTTACGTGTCTTTTCCCCCCAAAGCTTGCTCAATCTTCACACATATCTTCTCATTAGCTTGCTGTATTTTGTTCACTTTTTCCGCCAAAGATGGAGTTTGCAGCAACTTTACGTCTCTTCCAAAACTTGCGTCCGAATGCTGCACATTACCTTCATAATGGAGAGTCTCTGTGGGCATTTTTTTTGAAAATGATGTGCTGGATTTGACCTGTATGCCCAGGCGGTCATCAAATAGCTCTACTTCACAAGGACGGCCCTGGACAAACACTTCGAGTTCTGTTCGTGTTTCCTTCTTTACACTCGTGACCGTTTCGCGTGTCGTTTTTTTCCACGTTCGTTTACGTAAGTACTCCGTTTTTTCATCTTTATAATTGCTGATACAAGGAGAGAAAAATCTAAGCAAACCTGACCTTATTATATATTATGAAATGTGAAAAGACATGGTAGCAGATAAAAAGTAGTGAAGTACCTTTCCACAATCTTAGGACAAGTTTCAACCAAGAGATTTGTTTCAACCTCAACTTGGTGCTTAAAAATAGGACCTTCGGTAACAGTGGGTCCCAGTTCCATTTTCACATCTTCGTCATCGTCAATCCTCCAATAATTTGGAGAAGTTTCGTGGACTTGATCATGCACGCACAATATAATATCTCGCTTCCGTTGTGTGTCACTATTCCCAGGCATCCAGCTTTGTATTTCTGAATCTACAATAGATCCCATCCGTCTCTCAACTTCAGGTTTCACAGATCTAAACCCAACGGAAAATTACATGCAATGTTTGACAAAGTTGTAGCTAAAGGATATAATTTCGTATTTTATCTCTAAGGAATATAACATACTTCATAATAGTGGCAAAATTTAGAGTAATAATAGATATAAGAAAAGCATTTGGATTGGTATGATTTAATTCTTTGAAAGTTCATGACAAATATGACATTGTTATGAAGACAATCGACCTCCTATATTATACTTTAAAAAACGCAGGAGCCGCTTTTTACGTAATTACGACTAACTAAGAGCATTTAACGTATATTGACTAATAACGCAATATCACATACAAATGATCAACAATACCTGTCACTTCTTATACTGACAAGGATTTGCGGTTCTTCACTGTTTCCCAAACTTTCTTTGACATAATCGTCCTTCTTCTTTAACGTATTCACGTGATCTAAAGCCACAATAACCGGATGATCATTTTCCGTAGGTAAACTAACATCAGATGACATGGAAACTTCAATGTTCTCATCCAAAAGAATCTCATCTTCATCAGACGCTTCTGGGCTCTGTATTTCAAACTAGACAAAATTAAAAAATACACATAAAACTGATGATATCTCATTTCTTGCCGTTTCACAAGTGGAAGCACAATGAAACTCCACTTCTTCTTTCATGATATAAAATATTCTCGCAATCACTAAAGAGAATCAATAACAATGATTTCGAGTGCACAGTACTCACTATAACAATATTACGAAAAAGTATACCTAATCTCATCAAACTTCTCACCAGGGCCAAAGGCATGATCGTTCAAAACCATTATCACTACATCTCACCTTTATAGGTCTGCCTTCAGCTTCAGATGCGCGCATGTCATCGATCAGTTGTCGAATTTTCTCTTCAAGACGTTTATAATGGAAGTGAATTCGCTTCTGTATCGTCACTAATTCCCTTACTCGCTTTCTCTGGTGCTCTACTCCTATCTTTGATGCCAATTCTCCAAGTTTCATAACACGTCCATTTTGTGCCTTACATCCTGGTTTCATAAACTCGACAAGAGCTTGAAGATGTTTGTTCATTTCTTCAATGGAGAAACATTGCCTTGAATCAGTGCGCGTCGCGTTGAGAAAATGTTTGCTGTCGGTCAGCCAAGTCTCTGACTAAAAGATAAATACAGATTCCATGAATTGATGTAATATAAAACCGTAAATATTTAAAGCACCATCTCTTCATATACGTCTGTATAACTTCTTTATAAAATGTGAACTGTTTCTGCTTTGATAAACGGTAATTTCAATGAATTTTCACTTGAACGTGTGTATTTTGCATAGCCAACCGTGTGTATTTTGCATAGCCCACCGTGTGTATTTTGCATAGCCCACTAAAGTGTATCATTCAAATTGCAATTCATCATAAGCCATGCATGATCTACATTGGTTCATCATAAAACATGTTTTTGAAAATGCTATACCTTAGTAGGTCTGTTTCCGTGATTAATTTAAAATCAGGAATTAAAAGACAACAGCATTGACTTAAAACTTAGCTTACTTGTTCATAAAGTTGATAGAATTCAACGGCAGCTTCAAGTAAGCCTCTGTATTCCTCCACGTTCGTCAAGAATCTTTGCCATCGTTTTTCAACGGAGGATACTTTCACCTGTATTGTAACGGCATCGTCATGTTTTTTGCGCAAAAAATCGTCCGCCTCAGTCACCAATTCGTTGACGGCTGCGTCGCATGGCTTCAAGAATACAAAAAAGAAAATTATTCACTGCTTAAGTTATCAGGAAAGACAATTTTTACAAGATATCTTCGAAGCAAAGACAAAATGAATCCACTGTGAAACAAATAGCCACATTTCAAAGCAAAATATCGTAGATCAATAAACCTTTGTAGATAGCAATAAATTATCAGAATCTTTCAAGAGTGAGACAGATTCCATCAAAGTCTCTCCAAATTTGTCATTCACAGCCAAAAGCGTTCTGCTGTGCTCTTCAATCTGGCAGTTTACCTACAAAATATTGTACCTTTAATATGGGGACAGAATTTTTGATTTTCACCAAAATATTTTATAAAAACATAAATTCGTCTACATCATATAAGAACACATACTTGGTTAATTTTCTGTTCAAATTCACACAACTTAATACTTTCTTCTAGCTTTGTCCTGTGATGTTCCCAAAGATCAAACCATTCCTCCTTGCGACTCTCAGCTTGCTCGACATAGCGCATAATCCGGTCACGTGACACGCTCATGGACGCATCGTTCTCGCATTTCGTAATGATATCATGACCGCATTTGACTGTGAAGTTATATTGATCTAATACTGAATCATATGAAGCCAGGTGATCTTGTAACATGAGTTGAGCTTTTGTAAGATCTAACGTTGTATTCGTTTTACTGAATGTCATTCCCATGTTGGTTAGCAGTTGGGTAAGCTAGAATACAACAAAAAAAACTATAATCTTATGGCAGAGAGCAACGCATCCTCAACATATCCTTCACGCTAAAATTGGATAATGACAATATACAATTTTTATTTTTTGGACACCAATTGTCTACGTTATTCATCATAAACACGACTATTACGTTATTCATCATAAACACGACTATTACGTTATTCATCATAAACACGACTATTACGTTATTCATCATAAACACGACTATTACGTTATTCATCATAAACACGGCTATTACGTTATTCATCATAAACACGACTATTACGTTATTCATCATAAACACGACTATTACGTTATTCATCATAAACACGACTATTACGTTATTCATCATAAACACGGCTATACACGTCATGAAAATTGCATTTATAAAATGTACAACAAAGGCTCTTTTTCCCTAGATGTAACATTTGGAATCACGAACGTTTTCTACGAAGGAAAACCAACACAAAATTGTAGAAGCCAATGTAATGTTTTTACTTTGCGATTGGAGCTATTGAACGATGACGTCATTGAGAATTCTGTTCTACGATTTAAAAAATCACATGCTATACGCTGCTCGTCGTGACAAATAAACCAGTCCTAACCTTTTCTACACTTTGATAAAACGTACAGCACATCGAGAGAAAACATTCATGATCGGAAAGCGACGTCTTGAAACGCTCATAAGCAATCTGAAGTTCATCAGTGACGACGCGAAATGCAGCCTGTTCCTCACTCTCGAGCAATGCTAAACTTTCAGCAGCTTCAAGATGTTCTTTCACTGTATCATCAGCCACCTAATGATATAAGAAATGACCATAGTCACGAGACAGATATCTTGTGCCAGTTTTGATAGATCTAGCTACTTGCCTTGGCCGACATTCTGTATTTTTCAAGACGTTCTTTCACTTCTTTCGAATTATTTGGATACACGTTTAAGTCAACTTTAAAAAATCCTTCGCTTTGGGTTTGAATCCATGTTATAACCTGTGCGACATGGGAATATATAGTTCACATGTCGGAATAACCGGTTGAAAATTGTTTAAAAGGCATGACACCGCAGTGATTTTAATAACAACAAGGGAGTACTCAATTAGGCAGTTATTCTGATAACACAATTATATGATAATAACCTCCCGTGTGTCTTTCTCAAACTTTCGAAAATTTTCATTCAATGTTTTGTTCCGTTGCAATTGTTCTCTTCTGACGTCCCACAGTTCGTCAATATAGAGATTGCGTTCTTCAAATTGTCGTAAGAATTTGCGTATAGTTTCGGCTGGATTTTCTCTGTCCAAACTGTCTTCATTTGGCTCCTAGAAGGGCGGAAAATTAAAAATGCACAAAGTTACCATGTTGATGAATTTTTTGAAAATGAAAATTTTTTGTTATTAAATATGTTGTTTGGTAAATGATTTGATCAATTTTTGTTAGTTGTCAATCATGAACTATCTATTCTTTCAATAACAAAATAATTATTTGGTTTAGGAAGATATTATTAAGATTTCAGAGCTATATAAATTTTATCAATCCTTTAAAAAAAAATTCTGCAGCATGCTGGAGGGAAGAGGGTGGCATGGAGAGGGAGTGGGGAGAGTGACGGTAAGGCTGACACAGTTATTGCTTGTAAATATGGAATATTCTACGTACTCTTTTCAGTTCGTCTAGAAGTGTTTTTCCCAGTTTCTGTATTTTGGCCGAACTAGAAATTATACTCTCTCTTTTCTGCTGTTGCTGAGCAACAGTAGTATGTGTCGCATCTACATTTTCTTTGGGTTCTTCGCTTGTCAATTGTTCTTCAAGAATGGCCATTTTGGACACAAGCTTTGAGAAAGAATTTTACATCAAAATTCATCAATGACATACGGGTTTTCAAGACACCAAGCAGTTTTAACGCTCCAGAATAAAAAAAAGTTCACAAACATTCATTTCGTATTATAATTTCAAATGTACATTATATTAAATGACTGAATATTTGCAATATTTACCTCATTTGCTTGATGACGAAAGACGCCATATTGTGTTGATACTTCGATTCTGTACTCCAAACGCTTTTCAATGCTACTTAAACGTTTCGATAAATCATCTGTCGGTTCGTTGGAATTCAGGTCCAAATTCTCACCTTTATTCTTAATGTTAAGATACTTCTCTTGCATTTTCTAGGTAGATTTGTGAGAGTAGTTATGTAAACTTGCTTGCTATCATCAAAAGAAACAATGATTCCAAAAGAATGTAATACAGCAAAATCTGCATACTACCCTCCTCCCCCCTGGCAGGTATGGAATGATAGAAAGTTTGTGCGAACCGGTTAAACAAAAAAGTTTGCACAACATCTGATACACTTTACTTGGTTTTCAATACTAAAGTAACCATGATAACATGTTTGAAAAAGTGGAAAAGATAAAATCAGAAACATTGACAGGATTGCTTTAACCAACCTCGGTCTCAGATCTCAACGATTCATGTTTCTTAACAAAATCTTTAATCGCGTCATCATCATCACCCATTTCATTGTTTTTAGAAAGAAAACTTTCACCGACATTCTGCGACCACTGATAAAACTAAGTGTCAAAAAGACAAAACAAGTTTGAAAGAAAAACAATAGCATCTTTTAATCGATTTTTAAAAATTAAACTTTTTAAGGAATTGGGAAGCCTGGATGCTAACCGAAAACCTTTTTTTCACCACATTACATATATTTTCCCATCTTTGAGTATTAACAAAAAAAATGCAAGCATCGCTTGAAAATCTTGAGTTTGAATCAGATGCAAAAAAATCATTACCTGCTTGTAGTCTTCATCCAAATCTTTGTTCGGTGGTGGAAGCTGCTCTAACAAATTTGCGTAACTACCTTGGAGTTGGTCGTATATCTGAGTGGTAACTGAGGGTTGATCTTCTCCTTTTTCAGCAAGCAATTGTCCATCTCTTAATTGGTACGATGACGCCTTTGAAATCTTCTCGGTAAGTTCGCCACTACTCTGGTTATCCTTCATATCCCTTCAATCTCTTCAAGTCTTTCAATCGCCTAATGAATGCAGAGAAACCTTGAAATGAGTAATCAAGGAAGGCAAACTATAGTTGAACATGTTGGGAGAACTCGAGAGCAGATCCAATGTTTGGGCTCAGATTGGTTTTCAGTTTGCACAGCCTAATACAAACTCATCTGTTGACCAATTAGCCTAGGCGTTGCATTATAATTATTTTATAATTGCAATTATAACGTGAAGAATGAATAAGAGAAGTATGAATTGTTAAAATTAATCATCTGCAAAAGAAAAGATTTTGGTAAATCAATGGTATACCTTCTTCCCTTCTTCACAAAACGATAAATGCTGTTTAAGCTGTTTATTTCTTTCATTTACCCGTCGCTTGAATTGCTTCAAATCCAATTTGATCGCCATAACTTTATCATTTAAGGCCTCTCCTTCAGCATCACCGACGTGAATAAGCTTTTGCGCACTGCGTAGTAATTTGTGAACGAGATCTTCTTTGCTCTAGAAGATAATTTAACAAAAATGGAGAACAAAATTTACTATATTTAAAAGGGTCTTTTTGAGTGCTAAAAAATCTTTCAAAATACATTCTAATAAATTATGCATAAAACTCAGATTTCCAAGAAAACAAAATGGAAACATACAATATACTAAAACAATGAAATTACTACCTTAAGTTCGTTTTCGAAATCTATCTGTTCACTCACAAGTCTTTGCAGTGACTCCAATGTTTCTGCATGGCAAGTCTGAGAGAGAAATTTCTCACCTTCGGAATTTAACCATAGTGATAACTACATAAAAAATTATATGCATTGTTACGACCGTAACAGCTTCATATTCTTTTTAGAAGAAAATTATAATAAAATAAAATTGACAATGTTGAGTCTATTACGGTTTCAAATTCAATGCTCTCACATTTTTTGACTTATTTTGAATAGAGAGAAGGTCGATCAAACCTATACGTACTTAATACTTAAATAAACTTAATACTTAAAAGATGACACCAACCTTTTCTGTCTCATCTTGAACTCGGCATTTTCGTACGCATTGTTCTAAAGCTTTCCTCCTCGATTTCCACAGTTCATCAACTTTTCTGCGTCTGTGGCTCAACGTCTCCAAAGTTCTCTCGATATTGAAGCAAGCAGCCCTCGTAGCATGTCTATTGTTAATATCCGCACGAGAGCTCGCTTCTCGCAGACGATCCAACAATAATTGACCTTTACTAAGTGTCTGCATAGACAACTCCAGTAAGCCGCGACGCAAATCCTGATGTTCTTGAATTAAAGACTTGGATAAAGTTTTATCATTGGAGAGTACGGCTTGTCCAAGCTGCTCTTCAACCAAACTTATTCTTTGAGAAAACTATACAGGCAAAAAAGACTGATGATACCCTCTCACAAAAGAAGTCATTTCAGTTGAAAAACTTCAACTTCTACATTGACATTCATGTATTTTATAATACAAAATAAGAACAGATCCATTTTCAATACATATCAAGGTAAATATGTTTACAACTGTTAAACATTTTTTGTGTTTCATCCACTTGGTAAATTTAGATAAAACAATTGTTATTCTTATCGAATAGAAAACGAGTAACGCAACATTTAAATTGTCTAAGGACGTTCTCGTGTAACAAGTCATGCTAAATTAAGTCGAGTGTATTTATTTATACATACTTGATCAAGATAAAGAAAATTAAGAGAATGGTACTTACATCCTCGGCACTACTGTGAAATGCTACAGACGTATCAAGAAGTATACGTCGTGTTTCCAGTTGACTATTTAGGTCTTTCCAAGACTCTTCTAAAGAATCAGCCATGGCCACATTGGAAATATCTTTGGCCCGACCGCTGTTTGCCAACGAGCGAAGAAGAGATAGAGCTCTCGAAACTTGGTCGGTTTTTTTCTGATAAGATACAAAACACTTTGAATCAGTAAAAGAAAACTTGACATAAGCAAGCACTTCAATCGTTGAAGTCCATGATATAAAGATACAGATTTAAAATATTTGCATCATAGTAACATTTAAATATTATACTAGAATAACTCAACGCCTGTCAATAGTGATGATATGAATCTCAAAACGAAGACAGTTTTCCAAGACTAAAACAGACCATCTAACTAGTATTCAAAATGTTTCACACGTAAATGCAAGGCGAACATGCATAAAAAGCCTTTTAGCAAAAACCTTACAAGCAAATATATATTGTCGAATTGGTGATAAATGCTTCAGTAAAAAACCACAGATATTTAAGGAAAATTAACTTGTTTTCCATAGGGGGGAATATATATATCAAATGTATCCAAACCCGATAACTGCCACTACATAAAAGTGCTAAAATATAATTATAATACTACAATTTCACACAGAACTAATTGTCTTTGATCACCTATGGTGAAAGAGATGAATTGACAAAAAAATCTGCTCCAATGTTCGGGCAGTTACCATTGGTAAAAGAACAAAATTAAGATGATTACAGATAAACAGATCGGTGTAAAGATTACAGAAATATTTGAAAACAGCACAAAATGCATAAGAAAGGCACTCAAAAGGACAGATAGGACGAAGACCAGAAAGACAAATAATAATGCGAAGACCTTTTGACCTTAGGGACAATCATGTTGGGTTTCGACTGCTTTTATACGGTTTACAAGTGATAACTTTTTATCCAATACATTTCTACTTGTATAGACACAATGAATGTACAAATGTGGCTAGCTTGCGAGCAACATTCTAAATGTGTGATCTACACACACGTATAAAAAGGTGTATGAAAGACTAATTAGGAAGCAAAAAGACATTGCTATTGTCAACGGTTGACTCTGACATGCCATACGAAAAGCAAAATTTCATCCTTTAACTTGTTTATTGAAAGCCACGTAATAGCGCTATTATTTGCTAAGTGTTTGCGCTCTTTCTTTCATTTGCATGGGAGAAGACAAGAACGAATGTCAATAAGCAAGCAGACATTCGTCATTTTACAACATGCAGATTGCATTCCAAGCAAGCCAAGACACCTATTACTATCCACGCTTGCCAATATTAACCGTTATATATAACTAGCATTTAATAATGTACATTTGTACGGATTATTTCTTGATGTTTTAAATTGAACGAGCATACAAATTATACATTCATGTACACCGAAGTCTGAAAAGCTCAAACAATCATCTCATGATAATGACCATTTTATTATGTCATCTCAATACGAAAGTAGTTTGAAAGATTGATATTGTTTCTTTTATACAAACACTGCTAAGAATGTTGATCATAACAGTCAACGATATGAAGTTGAAAGGTATACTTTCTCTGTAAGTAAAATATCAAATCAACTTAAATGAAGATAAAAAATTGTTTTTGTCTGTTACTTCACGGTGTTTGTCTAATGACAAACAGCAGTAACTTAGACCTTAAAAAAACACAACAAATCCACAAGTAGCTAGACGTTTCCTCGGACGAGCGCAAGTAGGATGAGCGCAAACAGTTGCAAGAAAACAATTCATAGAACAACTTAACAGTTTAACATGTTTCCATTCGGGTTAAGATGATTATTACTAACCATGAAATGAGACATAGTATCTTGCAGATCAAATCGCATCAATAATATATCATCTTATTGTTCAACAAAAAACTGCTGCTTATAAAATAGGATTAGTTTAAGGCAACCTTTATGTTGAATTGTGATAACAACATTGACGCGATAGATACAAAATATTGTTTATACTCCAAAAGGCGACGCAAAAAAATCATTCAAATCATTATCGCTTACCCGGATATTCTTGTCAAATAACGACCATTAACGTCTATGGGATATTTTCTCAAATACGTCCGACGCTCAACAGAAAGTTCAAGTATAATGTTTATAAACCTAGTAACGTCAAGACAAACACCGCAACATGACGCTTTGTGTATAAGAAATATGTGCAGTCTATAAATGTGGCGTTTCTAAAGTCCTTAACATACCATCGAAATGACATTAATTGACCCGGAACGACGCCTGCGTGAAAATACCTCAAAATGGCTTGAAAATGACTCTTATGAAAAAGCAAAGTAAAAGAGCATAGTCATCACTTGAAAGGATAATCGCGTAAACAAACACGAATTTAAATTGCAAGAAAGCTTTCATCAAAGGCTTATTGGTGTCTGATGCAGCAAATCAACACATCAGAAAACCACATGTTTGGTACAAAGCAATGAAATGAGGAGACTAGAGAGAATAACATAAGAATATGTGTTCTACCATGATGCTATATGCGTTTCTTTGGCGGAAAGAACCTCGCGTGCTACCATAGCAAAGCAAGTTATTTTGAAAAGAGTTCACGGAGACCTTAAAATAGCCATTGATTCTTGGATGGTTTGAGGGAGAAGAACGAAAGACAGAAAAAAAGGCATCAGGAGTTAAATGTTATCACACCAACTTTCATTAAACAGGAAACCACTTAAAATGCACAATATAAAAAAGAGCACTTTCTGAAAGTCGCAATGTTATTCTGAGATGATTAAATTTTAAATAAAACAAGATTTTTGACTCTTGGAAGAAATGAAAAACATTATCGAACGAAATTCCATACAATCAAGAAACCAGTAAAGAAAATAACAGACACACCACTTATGAAGCAAATGTTCCTTGCCACTCTCCCATTCCCTTCTGTTTCATGACACTCGTTGTACTCTAAAGTACAGCTCTTTCAATCACAGACAATTCACTTACGAAGCAAATGTTTCTTGCCCTCTCCCATTCCCTTCTGTTTCATTTCAACATGTTGTACTCACCTGTACAGCTCTTTCAATCATCGCAAGTTGATAGGAAAGCGTGCGGGCTTCATCTTGATTTTCACCAACATTAAACAAACTTAATGTAACTTCACAATTTATGTCTTTCACCCACTGAACAATCTAAAAAACAACGATAAAAAAATGAATAAATAAATCATTCAGTCGCAACACCAGAATGGACGGATGCCTCATAAGCAGTCAATTTTGAAGTAAAAGAGTTTAGTTAAGTTTTAAACATACACGCAACTAATATCCCATTAAAAACAATTCAAAAAATTTATTAGAACATCTAACTACACATGTCTCCCTATATCCCACAATGTCCCTATGTACTCACCTCAGATGTACTATGTATAGTTTGAGCACCACCATCGGCTAACTTTTGTAACTTATTCAAACGTTCGTTCCACATCCCCTCCCATTCCACTTTTCTCTTTTCCACTTCCGTCAAACATTCTGCCACAGGTGCACAAACGGAAACACCATTTGAGTCCACAGTGCTATGGTCATTCCCATTTATCTTTAACACGAGCGATCTTAGAAAGTTTTGACCGTAAGTCAGTATCTTTTCGCAGTCATTGAAAATGCGTTCCTTCATATCAGAGTGTATTATCATTTCTGTTTGAAGTTGCTCCTTAGACAGATGAGAAAGTGATCCTTCTTGTACATAAGCCATTGCAAGTTCGTCAACATCGTAAAGGAACTGAGCATAAAGCAAAATATAAACAAATAAGAGAAGACGGCAGTCGTGAAGTAATGAAACGGTTGACAAGTAAAAACAATGAACAGCTCAGATACACAAGAATTTTAAAAAATATCGTCCCAATTGATACGAGACAAAAACGCTCCAGAAATACTCAAATCTAAACTCGGCATTCACACAACAATTAAAATACTGTATACAAAATGTAAACTTTCTGGAGGGTAGAAGCCCTCTTCTCTCAGCACACTTGGGTTCAATTATTAATAACAATAAATCTTACTTTTTCAGAACTTTTAAAGAACTCAGCTGCAGCTTCAAGTCGCTGACCGCGAACCAATATCATTTTTACCACTTGTTCCCAGACCCCCTCCAACATTTCCTCTCGTTCATGAACGGGTGAAAGAGAAAAACGACATGAGCGCCGAAGAACCAAGGCCGCCTGGACCACCTGTTCTCCATATTCATACGTTCCCTGTGAGATAGAAAAAATTGATGAAATGATTAAGTTTATACTCCTTACTGAACATTGAGAGTGCAATAAAAAAACAATAATCAGAAACAATCCTCTATTGAATCCATGCATTGTATGTTTACTCAACACAAAACATTCTTTTAAGTTTTACTAACTTCATGTATGCGATCATCAACTCAAAAGTGTTCAAACTGGATTGACGTGCATATTCTAATTGAACGTAAAGGCCAAAGATACGTACAAAAAATAATTAGAAATAAATATAATTTGTGACTGTCACCTGAAACACAATGCACATTTCAACGGTCAATAACCTTTCATACATATATACAATTTTTGACTGTCACATGAAACAAAATGCACATTTCAACGGTCAATAACCTTTCATACATATAATTTGTTCAGTTACAAAAGAGATCAATACAATTGGCAAAGTAATTCGTATCGAAAAATCACAAAAAAGAAGTTTCACCTTGGCAGTTTCATGAAACCTTTCGTGATCATTGTACATCCTACGCGCTTCTTCGGAAGTTCTACCAACGTTACACTGTGATGATATCATCACATCACAAAGCTGCTTTAACCAAGAAATAGCCTGAAAACATAAAATATTTACAAATAATGAATTTATATTTTGGTGTATTCAGTGTACTGAAGTCAAGAAAATCTTTTAACGATTTCGCACGACATCGTTTCCAAATGATAAAAACAAAATTTTAAATAAATACCTGATCAGTGTCCTTCTCGCAAGATTTGAGCTGTAAAATCTGTTGAAGTTTCAGCTTTCTTAGGTCGCAAAGTTCGTCACTTCTTCTCCTTCTTTCGATAAGATCGTCCATTGTATTTCGAAAATGAGCAGTAATCAAAGAGGAATCCAAACATTTCACCTCCAATCCTTGAACATCGGTCAACGGAATCTCGAAGGCTTCTATGATTCCACGACCTTCGCGCAACATCTCTTCTATTGCCTCAGCTATACCTTTACGAAAAAAATGTGAAGGTTCTTTGGGAAATGAATTGAGAAAAGTTCAACGAAATATGTGATGAAAGTGGTGATCAGTAAGTGGAAGTAGTAAAGAGGGGAGAGGATGAAAGTAGAAAGAAAGTACTGTAAGATGGAAATCAGGTTGGAGACGAAGAGATTTGAAAAATGAATTGCATACGTAAAGCCCGCCGCACACTGGTGAACTTGCCGCGCGTACTTGTTATTCGTGACAAGTGTGATCGACAAAATTTCCAGTGTGCGCGGAAGTTTTGAACAACATTTGTCATTCGTGACAGATGAGTCAAATATCAAACGCGTTCACCAGTATGCGGCGGGCTTAAGACAAGTGACGAGATAAATAGCGCTACTTGCTGTACATTACATACCTTTAGTATGAGCGTTGATATCATCAAGCATAGTTACTGTTTCATCTTCATCTTGCTTGTCATCAACATCAGTACATAGTAAACTGACGAGGTCATCTAGGTAATGTGAAGCCTGAAAACAATATACATTTATATTCATTGAAAACCTTTGAAATATGATAGAATGATGATGCTAAGGAACTTAAAACACCTACAACTGAGGCTTTCCCAACACTATTTCTACTTCGCAAAGAAAAAGTAACAACGACGTTGCAAACTTACAACTTGAGCCCAATGGTGAAAACTGACGGAAGAAATCAATAAAAATTGTCGCTGTTCCATTCTAAATGCAAAATTTCGACAGTATCTGTCCATGATGGCTTTTTCTTCCTGAATTTCGGACGATTTCGGGTGTTGTGATCGCAATAGTTCCTTGGCTTTCGTCCTCGCAGCCGCAAAAGAACCAACAATTTCTTTGCTTTGAACATCAAACTCTTCGTGTTTTTTCAAGTAACTTCCCGCACTGGACAGAGAATTGCCAAGATTTGTATGTTTCCGAAAATATTCTTCACCCTCACCAGAAAGCCATTCGATTACCTTTAAAAATATTGATTTTTTTCAAACGTTGTTCATGCAGCACAATCTTATCATGTGATCATTGCTATACTAGTTAGTCAAGGACAAACAACCTACGATGGACTTTGTCAGGTTTCGGGAGGAGTGATGTTATAATCAATACTTCTTAAAGTCTATAATCTTCATTACAATATTGATATTTAGCTCATTTTTGAGCATCATTGACGGTTCATTGTATTGTTCATGTGGTAATGAAATCAAATCATACCAATTTGTAATCTTCTTTGAAACTTGCAGCGGCGTCATTAATTTTTTTTGGCCCAATTCTTGTTTCCCAGTGTTGTACGATCTTACACAACTCGTTGTCAAGCCTCTCAAGCTTTTCCTCCAACAGAAAAACATCTTGAAATTCACTGACGTCTTCAGTTCGTGTTTTTAGAACAAGCTGCCGGCCAGAATTTATGTTATCTTGAACCGTGTTGACTTTCAAATGAAACTTCGATTTTTCTTTTTTGATGTGCAGGGACTGAGCTAAAGCAATCTGTTCATCATCATCAGCTATTGATCGTAATTCATTCAAACTGTCTTCAATAAGTGTCAACGATTCAAGGAACCTAACAATTTCCTAATAGAATATAGACAACATCCATAACAATTTTAATTACCAGCAGATCAATTATGATATCAAAATATCAATTAGAAAGGTCTGTTCACTTAACAGAATGTCCTGCTATGAATGCTATATTCAAGAAATAAAAGATGTTTACTGTGTTTGCACAGGCTTATGCAAACTGAGAAGACCTTTGGGAGAACTCAAGAGCAGCAAGGCCGAGATCAAAGTTGAGGGTTTTCAACTGCTTGAGACTTTTCACGAATGTCATCGAATATGGCAAGAATCACGTAAAATGGCGTAAGTGTTGGCCCGACAAATCGTTGTGTGTAAACGTACCTTTATTTCATTTATAAAATAACAATAATGTGGAACAAACATTTAATATTTCCTCTATCACATGTATTCATGATTATTTGCAAATTCTGTTTGACTGATTGATTTGATTGGTTGAGCTCAGATTGGTTTGCACAGGCTAATGCAAACAGCCCAATCACTGTACATGTTTGATTACTTCTATTTATTAAATGTAGGTAGTGAATGAGTCCCGAGCTACAATACACTGGTCATTACTTACAATTCGCCTGTCAATCCAAGGACGTGGATCAAAGTTATAACTTCCACCAAGACTTTCTGGTAAACATGACCTTGCCACATACAGCTCAAGTTTTGTCAATGATGATAGTAAATAGGTCTGTTAAGAAAAGAGTAGAAAGCTTATTGCAGTTTCATGTCTCATCAATACTGAAGTCTTAATGTCAACTTAATCAATCATATGATTATAAATACCAAGTGGACAAGGCAGTGTGAAATGGTCAGAGATGCAGAATCTTTAACATAACATACCTCAAATGGATATGTTGTGAGGTCATGTTTACTGAATCGACCACTCTTCCTTCTTTCCCAAAAGGCATCTGGTTTCAGAATCAAGACAACTTTAACATGGTATGACAATGCATCCTTTAAAGATACAAATTTTTCCTAAATATTAGGACATTCCATTGGTGAGGGTTTCAGATTCAGATTCTAATAGCCTTAAATGGACAGATCTGATGAAAAGCATTGCAAATGTTAGACATAATTTTGACACACTATGACTATACATATATAGCTGTTGATCATCTAGTTAATACCGTTCTGAGAAGGATTATTGGTGTTGCCGTAGTCATCTTCAACCAATTTTGTCAAAATATCAATGAACACCAACACCAACAGTCCATCTCAGAACTGCATTAACCTGGATGATGTACATCTACAAACATTTAACAATACTCCCAGGTTTAAAAAAAGTACTTTACATCCTATCACAACATGTTGTATTTAAAAGTGCGGCAATAGAATCATTGAAACATCACAATTACTTTGATAACTTGTAACACAGATACAGAATACATCCACTTTTCACTTCTTGCATCAACAATTACTGTGAAGCCCTTGTTTTTCACATCCTCACTGTAAACAAAAATTAACACAAAAGCAGTAAGGAGCTGTTAACACCAAAAAGCTGTTATATTATTCAAAGACGATATAACATTCTGTTATAACATTCATCTAAATTTTATTTGCAAACAACATTGATGCAAGTAATATTTTGAAATATTTGTTACTCTTTAATCCTGGAATATATGCTTAACAAAAACGATGAAAGCATAATTGTGTTTAGTAATTAACTTAATTGCTATTATAAGGTATTTTATAGCACCATTACGTTCTTTCTTTATTCCACTACAATAGCGTTAAAATACTTCTGGTATTTTAGTATAATTAATCCTTAAAATATTTTAGTGACATCAAACCAAACGCGCTTATTGACATTGCACATTGCATATTAAATAAGGGACAAAATAGGTTTTTTTTGCAAGTATTATCACATTAATATTTTTACTGAGTTTTACCGAAATAACTGAGAAATGATGCTCAAAGCGGTGGCCAGCTCCGACGACTCTCCTTTAAATTGTGGAACAAGTATTATTTGACGTCCATTGTTGTCAATTGTTCCTGTTGAGAGGAAGTGTTTCAGTACGTTTATGCAGAATCAATAATATTGTAACAATTCTGACTACTTTGCAAGGTGTTGAGAGAGCAAATCGACAAAAATCTTACCCAACAAACAAGCATGATTTGCTAATAATATACTTCCAATTTCCCATTCGGTAGTCGCTATCGCTAAAGAATGAAAATGAGAAACAACAGTAATACTTTGTTTTAGCTCCAACTGACCATGAATGCTCACACATTGTGGTGATAAACATGGCCACAAGCAACATATGACACCTTTATTTAAGTTAATACGCCGACGTTGAATTAGACTCAAGTGGATACAAAGTTTTCAAAACAAGTTACCCGTGTACTTATGTTGGATTTCCACTTCCTTGGCCATAACAAGACACAATTGGGAATTTTTGTTCGTTTAATTTGTCAAACATATGTGCCAATTTTTATGCCTTGCACCTTCCACCAATTTAAATGAAGGGACTTTAAATGACAGGTGTTTAACTGCTACATTTCCAAGGATTACTGTGCACATGATTTATCCCAGTTGCTAGGAAGGTTCAGACAGACATATTAGTCATCCAAAATCGTCAATTGTGTCACTCTTCTACTGTAGATACCCTACTGACGTGCCATTAAAAGTCGAGTGCTCAAAATGAATAATTAACATACCAAAGACAATGAAGATTAACAAATCAATGGGATGCCATATTATCTGATTTCAAGGTTATTATAACAGAACTACTGACTTTTGATTTTTCACCATAACCATAATAAAAAATATCAGCAAAAAAACTTGAATTGAGGAAAATTGATGGAAGAGGTATGAATTCCGTACTTTCATCATATCATGATGTAGGTTGCTAATGACGAAATGATTAACGATTAGTACTAAGTCCTCTGGCTTTCCGCAGTTTACCAAGGGATTTTCATTAATTGCTACATAGGAAATGTTCATCGCTTTTTTGTTTGCAAACTTGAGCTGTAATAAAAATAAATGCGTTGGCAGGTTGAAATGACAGAGAATTAAATGCAATTGAATGAAAAAAAATGAGCAAAAACGATGTGGTAAGAATATTTCAAACGAATAACTGACATGAAAATTGAATGAACGGAGAAAGGAAGTGAAGAAACAACAATAAAACGTCCTAACATGGTGAATGAAACTGAAGAATGTCTCGTTTTACTCAGGACAAATGAATGAAAATAATATGAAAAATAAAAATCCAATAATTATTACCACAATACATTGCACAAGCAAAGCATAGAATATTTAATACTTAAACAAAAAGAGTATCGTCAAAATATATGATATTTTTCCTCATTCTAGAAGAGAAACGTCAGGAACAAGTAGGAATCAAGACGTGCAGGCATGCTTTTGTGATTAATGGATCTAATGCCATTATCTTTTTGAAGATAAACAGATCTCCATCGCTGCGCACGAATTTGAGTGATCTGCCAAGATGTCAGGAAAAGAATGGCTGATTGTCGACCTTAAAATCTCTCTTCGTTGCTATACCTAAGAAATCATCAGCCATTTCCCAACTAGTTGTTTGCTTGCACCGTCTAAAGATTAAAGGAGTTTGACACAAACATTTGTGAGTGGAAACAATACTTTTAGCCAAAAAATTGTTCTAGTAACTAACATGAAGTCAAGTTCAAATCCATCGACGTAACGTCGTGTAATGATAGCTACTATTAAGTTTGACATTAAGTGTCAAAAAGCATTTCTATACAAGATAATACGACAGTCGACAGATGGTATTACTTTCGTAAATTCCGAACCAAGGGAGCTCGTCTTCTCCGCAAATTTTTTTATCTCACCTCGTTTTGCGGTGACTTGATAGGAATAGCGGAGGTTCCCTTTGGCCTTGACGAACCAACTTGAACAGGTTGTGGTGGCTGAATGACAATTTGCTGCTGCATCGGTAAGTGTTGTCCTCCAATATTAATATCCGAGGGATAGACCTGTCAAAACATCATTATATTGTATTGTACACTAAAGATCTAACGCCACATCAAAAAAATAATTGCTCATGCACATAGACACGGATAACAAGAAAGATTATTAAGCACTCTGGAAGAAGATCACAATCATATTTTAAGCATCAACTGCTAAACATTCTCAGATCCAATTCAATTTAACGGAGAAAAAACATGAACAGTACCGGTTGTGAGATGAAGGGTTGCATAGTTGGTAGTATTGGATACCTAAATTTGGAACACATTTGCCACATTATTTATTAATTGATTTGCTACATCAATACTTATCTATACAATTAACTAACAGTAGAAAAGATTGGTACATGCTATCATGAGTGGATAATATGTATTAAAAAAATGTGTAATATTTGAATCATTCGAACTATCAATTCTAAATTCTGAAGTTTTTATCCTCCCCTATGTCTTCTTCCCACTTTTTGAGTTTTTCACGATCGTAAAATTTAATGTTTGTTTGTTTGCCTATAATTGCTGTTTTCAGGTAAAGTTTGTCAGCCCATTCAAGCTCTCGTGTTGTATATAAGAACAGTTTGTATGGTAAAACAACGTTAAGAATCACATGGACGAGTCCTGGTAATAAAATGTCAGTTGAACGTGCGTGATTGTTTCTTATGAGCAATTGTTGAGAAGTAATTATATTTTGTAATGCATTGTGTAGTACTTACGGCTGAGGAGCATAAACTAGGCCAGTGTTTGGATCGTAAGGGACAAATTCTCCACCAGGGCCGGGGGTGTTTGCTGAGGGTGGCATCGGATATGGATGGCTGGGAAGCATATAAGGCCTAGTCGAGTTCATGTCTAAAACGAAATAATTGTCTGTTAATTCAAAGTATTGTATCACTCTGAAAAATGTATAGCCATGAATATATTCATTCATTATAAAAGCGTTATTTGTCATTTTTTTAAATGAACATCTTTGGACTAAATGTAAAACACTTGACCATGTGAAGTCATTCCAAGCTTTAAAGGAACTGTAAGTCTTTTATGATGTACTATAGTTATTCTTGAGCTAATGATTAAATATACCTTGAGATGGCATTGAGTGTTGCTGTGGATAAAACATCGGTGCAGGATATCCTATAAAAAAACAAGCATTAAAACATGAAACACAAGTTAAACTAAAACATATAAGCTATTAAATGGCATAACAGGTAAAGAAGGCAACAGCTATCATAAAGCAAAACATAAATTCTCAATTATCAATTAAACAAGAAAGCACACAAGGTCAGATAATATCAATTATTGCAACTCGGTTAAAAAGCTCGATATTCGTTATCATTTATTCATTTGCTGAGAACACAATCAATAAAATCAATTCACAAAGCAAGCAAAATCGTGACTGTAAGCATCTGACAACGTCGGACTAAAGTACCAACGCTAAGCACATTACAAATGAAATATCGAGTATAAAATTGACCATTAGAGTTGCGTGGTTAACCGAAATAAATCGTTTTTTTCGGTTCTTTTTATGCATCAAAAACTTTATAGGCCAAAAACCCGTTGGTTTTGGTTTTATTTTTTGTTCAACTCCATAAAAACACTTCACTTTCAGGCGCAAATGTTTCAAAAATAATAAATGTCAAGAGTAAAAAATAGTTCATTTCTTTCCATTCAAAAGTCCATTTGAATATATTTCAAGAAAGACAAAAAGAAACGAGTTTGAGTGGGCAGTCTGTGCCTAAAATCCATCAGCGCAATACATGAAGAATCAACTGAGCATTTGAAATCCCCTTGACCGACTGTACGAGTTCATAGCTGCGGTAACAACCAACTCGATCTACTTACACAGTTACACTGATTTCGGAGTAATTAGCCTAGTCAATCGCAAATTATTAGGGATATCGTCTTGCGTAGTCAACTCCATTAACTCTACAAGTTCATGGTCATGGCAACGACCAACTGCGTATACTAGTACCGATTATGGAGTAATTAGCTCGCTCAATCACAAATTTTCAGGTAAACAATCTGCGCATGCGCAGTCTGCTTGAGCATACGCAGCCAACATGACTAGCTGCCCAAGTTCGTGGTCATGGCAACGACCAACTGCATCTACTAACACCGATTTTGAAGTAAATAGCATGCTTAGTAACAATTTAATATAGAAATCATCTGCGCATGCGCTTGAACATGCGCAGTCCACTCGACTAATTGTTCATAGTCATGGCAACAACTAATTATATGTACTTGCACTACATTTGTGGCAATTAGCTCACTTACTCGCAAATTATCAAAGAAATCATCTGGGCATGCGCAGAAGTGACTTTAATAATACCACAACTTTCGTAAGCCTTTGAATTTTTGTATATAAATATAAAGCCAATATTAGATATAGTAGATGTTAACTAGCAGTGGAAGCTGGGTGCGACATAGTATGCAGTGGCTTAGGGGCCCACACTTCGGTGGCGACCGCACTCTCCCTGCGTGCCCCGAGCAAAGCCTATCGCAGGTGATCTCGGGGTCTGATGGGCGGAAACTTGCTATTGCATCTCCCAAGTAGGATAGCGTGGAGGGGCCGAAATCTCCTACCGAAACGTTAACATGCGGCGTTCTAGTGCCTTGCGCTTAAGAAGGTATCGGGAAGCATGGACCGAAAACGGGTTTTTTGCTTTTGAATTTTATCTTTTTGTTTAACGTTCTTCTAAAAAAAATAAACCAAGCAATGTTTCAATTAACTTCTTCTGACACTGTGCCATTTTCTGACACTTATAACTTACACAACCTTAAACATGTTTTATACAATTTTTATTGGTTTATATCTTTCTGATTTAACTCTCTCATTTACTGTTTCTCATGCATCATGAGCAAACCATCGATGGGCCTCACGATAAACAACGATTATCTGGTTCCCTTAATTAACACGCGACACTCTAAGTGCTCAATTATCTCGGGGTATCGGGAGGCTTTCATGGGCTGTATGGCAAACAAGGATTCTCTGCTTAATGCTTAACAAGGATTAATGCAGAAAACTTGTAATTAATGAGTTTCAAGACTTTAAAGTTATTACCAAGATAACATTTCAAATGCAAAGTTGTTTTGTGTAGTCTAAAAGTTGTTTGAAAAAATACTGAAACTGAAAGCGAGGTCAAACTTCTGGAACCACACAGTCCTAGTAATCACCTTGTATATCACGATTCACGTGACTATTATTCATTGCTTACCTTGAGGAGTGAGATACACAATTTGGGTTTCTCGAGGGGTCGTTTCGGAAACTGTGTCATTTTGAGCGGAATTAGCTGTAGTGAGTTGAGGCTGCTTTTGGCGCTGGGCAGAGTAGCGCTTTCGTCCCGAAGAGGAGGATTCAAGTTGTTCTGTTTCTAAAATACAAGCCATCACCACCGTGAAAGCACAAGACTGATTTAAAGAGTTAAAGTGGCGACTTTCGTCATAGCTCTAGTTGAAACATTAACCCTGACCCCACTGATTAACTGAATGTAAAATACCAATGACTCATCATTTGCAATGGCTATTCTTAAGAAATGTTTGTTTTAAATTAGCGTAGAATTGTACGAAAGATATCTACTTACGAACATCGTCTACGGTAGACTTTTCATTCGTTTCTGTAGCATCTGCATATTAAATTGAGATACGAAGTTGATTAGATAAATAAACTAAAATATGCAGCGCAAAAAGGCGCTATGACAAAACAGAAGATACAATTCAAATAAATATGTAAGTATATAAATATGTATGAAAGGTGGAGGATACTAATATATCTTTTTTTCTTTTTTCTTTACCTTTTGTTGATATAAATTTTTCATTGACAAATTTATTACATAAAAATAATAAAACACCAGCCACTTAAGCAGAAAAATACGTAAAAATTTTTCAATTTACCTGAATACCTTTCAGATTCAAATTCCGGTGTTGCTTCACCTTCATTTTTTTTGTCTTGACCCTTTTGTAACTCAACCTCCCTAGCAAAATCAGCAGCACTTTTCTTCGGCTTATGAATAGGTTTACCTCGACCATAGCCATGACTGCGCATTTCACTCCATTTACGAGAGCTGGGAGCAGCGTGGTTGCTGAAACAGTATTTACCAAAATAAGTTTAGACCCAAGTCAGTTTTACCAAAATGGTAATTTGCTCGTATGTACAGTAGCTACAAACAGTCAAGTTCAAACACGTATCCAGAAAAAAAAAGAGAAAATCAATTCCTGGTTGGACTGCTTCTTTTCAGCATTAACACTTCAAAAGTGATTTTCAAAAATATTCCTCGTTCTTGCTCAATTCATGGAAATCTAGCCACAACCATCTGGGTTTCTCTTCTCCTTATTTAGCAAACGAAGCGTACGAAATAAAAAGATCAAAAGTTGTAGTTTACCTTTTCTGTGGTGATTTTTCGTCTTTAGTCACAGCTATTTCACTCTTCTCCGGTTGTGTTGCCTTTTCAACATTTCCATTTTGTATTTTCACGTTAGTATCCCTATAAACGTCTCCAGTTCTTTTTTCCTGATTGGGCTGTTCATTATTTACATCATTCTTCCGATTCTCCTCAGTCTTTTCAATGCCTCCATTTTCAGTTTTTAATGTCTGACCATCAGCACCTTCATCACTGATAGCACCAAATCCACGTTTGTCCCTATACCTTCCTCGTGGTGGTTCGCGATCTCGTCTATCTCTCCCGTATCGCCTGTCTTGCTTTCCACTGTTTTCTTTTCTTTCTCTTGACTCATTATTAGACATCGATACTCTAACTTCTTGTTCCCTTCTCCCCCCTCCGGATCTCTCCATCTAAACGAAATGGTGATGTTGATAAAAAAAATGGCGTAAACAGTTTAAATCAAATAAAAACCACACTTGCCTTATTCTGTTCTCTCCTTTCGCGGCTATCCCAGCTTTTCCTGTCTCCTCTACCTTTTGTTTCATCATTATCCTTGTTCGCATGATGCGTATTATCTCCTCCATCACGACGTGATCCTCTTTCACCTTTTGTTCCATCATTACCCCTGTTTGTAACACGTGTATTATCTGCTCCATCACGACGTGATCCTCTTTCAGCTCTTTTTCCATCAAGATTCCTGTTTGTATCACGTGTATTATCTCCTCCATCATGACGTGATCCCCTTTCACCTTTTGTTCCATCATTATCCCTGTTTGTATCTCGTGTATTATCTGCTCCATCACGACGTGGTCCTCTTTCGTTCCTTTTCGGTATATATTGTTTTTGCTCCGAATGTTCCCTTTCCGTCCTACCGTGATCCGCTCGCCTGTGTTCATTCTCGGTCCTGAAGCTTTCGTAATCTTTTCGAGGACGTCTAGCAGTTCTTTCACCACTGTACATCTGCTTTCTGAAAACCAACCGAAAATATGTATTTGGAATTGTGAAAAAATTTGATGTATCTCAATTTCATAGAGAAAACAATCCACATATAACGGCATATAACAAAGCATTTTGACAAAAATAACGAGTACACTAAACATCGTGGCTACTAATACTCATCACCCCCCCCCCATTATCTCCTCGGATGACAAAACATGGTGCTATTTAAACTCACCTCCTCTCAAATCTTCCTTTATTATCACCTTTCATAAAATCGTTTAATGTTCTCCGATGACGTCTTCCTGGTGGTCTATTGCCAAAAGACTGAACAAATCGCGCTGATTCCTACGTTGTTGAAGAAAACTCGATATAAACTATAAGTTTGTAGCGTTTTAATGCGCTTGATTAACCTTATGGTTGTTAATGTATTTCGACACAAACCTCCAGTTCTTCCTTTGTTTTTGGACCTTGCTCACTTTCCACATACAAATCGTGTTCCCATTTCAGGTCTGTTTTGTCCCAAAGTTTTCGGTTTCTCGCATTACTCCTGCATGGCATGATCAACTAACATTATACATTCGCACATTTTACAGCTCAAATTTTTAAACAATCATCAAACAAAAATTCTTGTTTTTTTGAGCAAATACATACTTACACAAGCAAATGTTGGCTATTTTGGGTGATAAAATGCAATGTATGGATACGTTAATTCTGTGATACTCTGATTTTGCTTTAAAAAATCAATGTATAAATAATGCAATGTACCTTTCTTCTTCAAAGCCATCCATCCAACGATCATCATGTACAAAGTACGTCTTTTTTCGTATCTCAGTATCTTTTTGGGGGGCCTAAAAATATTTCGGTGCAATATAGTTCAGGGGCAGATTTTCTGGGGGGTGCACACACCACCAAAAAATTCTCTAGATCCCCGTAAGAAAAATTCTATAATGGTCTTCGGTACTGTAGAGGATTAATATAACAGTATTTAAGACTATGAAATTGCACAGTAACAATATGTGAAAGTAGAACTTCTCATTTCAAAATGAATTACAAATTTTATGCTACCACCATTGGCATTGAGTATTTTTAATTGAAACAATAAAATTGAAATAAATGAGCTACTAAATGCGCATTCAAAGGGGTGAAGGTCCACTCATCTGTGCGCTTAAAAATTCAAAATGGCCAATAGCTCTTGCAATGCTAGGATAACAATGCACCCCTTTGCAAAATCTGCACTCCTCTTGTCAAATGAGCGCTGATTCGCCCTTCACATATTTAAAAAAGATACGTATGAAACAAAAGTGAAAAGTAAACTTACTTTTTCATTTTCTTCCTGCACATTGGCATCTTGGTCAATATTTTCTTCAGCCTCCACAACAACATCTTCATCACTGTCATCTAAAATCTCACCTTCCTCCAGTTGACTTTCCTCCAGTTGACCTTCCTCTAGTCGACCTTCCTCCAGTTGACCCTCAACTTCTTTCTTATCATTCACATTTTCATCAACTTGATTTTGATGTTAAGACTTTCACCTTCGATCATTTTCATCTTCTTCTTCATCATTTCCATTTCTCATCTTCTTCTTACTCACTATCATCTTTTCACGATCTCTTTATGCCTCACTTTTTCGATCCGCTTATCTCTTTGATTTATTCTGATCTGCTGCTTTTTTGACTTTCCTTTTCAACATTTTCTCATCCTGCTGTTTCCTTTTGACTACTTTCCTTTTCAACATTGTTCTCATCCTTAGTGGCTGTTTCCTTTTGACTACTTTCCTTTTCAACATTGTTCTCATCCTTAGTGGCTGTTTCCTTTTGACTACTTTCCTTTTCAACATTGTTCTCATCTTCAGTTGCTGTTTCCTTTTGAATACGTTCCTTTTCAACATTGTTCTCATCCTTGGTGGCTGTTTCCTTTTGACTACTCTCTTTTTCATCATTATTCTCATCCTTGGTGACTGTTCCTTTTTGAATACAGTTCTTTCCCTCATTGTTCTCATCCTTGGTAGCTGTTTCCTTTTGAACATTTTCCTGTTCAACATTGTTCACATCCTTAGTGGCTGTTTCCTCTTGAATAGTCTCCTTTACATCATTGTTTTCATCCTCAGTCGCTGTTTCCTTTTGAATACTGTCTTTTTCGTCATTGTTGTCATATTTGTTGTCTATGCCTTCACTAACGTTTCCATGGCAACCATCTTTCTGTTTTAAATCATTTATTTTGTCACCTTCCCCTTCTTGAGCAGCATAAAATGTTTCACCTTCATCATTTGTCTGTTTTGTTGTTGTCGGAAAAGCAGAATCATCATGCCCAATATTTCCCGCCTAAATTCAAGACAAGATTAATTAGTCAATACACAAATCCTTTTATGGTTTTTCTCAAGACCAGAATTAATACTAAATGAAAACCTTTCAAAAGAGAAAGTAACAGAATATGATATAATAATCATGAAATATCAGTCTTTATGTGTTGAATCAATCACACTCTTTTCAACACAGCTCAAAAATATAACGTTCAATATGTATTTGTTATTGAACATGACAAAATCAAAAAGTAAACACCAAAAACAAGTATTTTTATGTTTAAGAAAAACTATCTACGTATACACACTGCAAATATGATATAGCTAATTCAAAATCATTTAAATTGAGCTTTCCTACTTATTTTCAATAAGTAAAAAAATTTTTAAACAACTACGATGTACCATGAAGCAATCAGTTAAGAAAGTAAACTATCGAACAAGCTTCGTCATCGACTCATCTCACCGTTTCATGTGATGAATCCACTGACATTCCAATCTCGTCAGGATTTGATGAACTCATGTTAAATTTTAATGAATAAATTCTTCTTTTCAACAACAATAAACAATTCTATTGAAAGCAGACTATACAACCTTTTTCGTCTGAATTTTAGCACGACGCTTTCAAGTTCAACTATACGCACAGTAACATGAAGTATATAAAGTAAACCCAAGCACAACAGCTGGCCTGAATTACCGACAAACACTTCGGTTTTCGCATTTGGGGACTTGGGGACTTGGGGGCAGTGAACTCTGGTGAACTCTACTCACTATACTTGGGGTGACAGAAACCCGACGAAAATGTGGTCAAGCCCTTTAAAAAACTGGAGCCTGCAGCCCACTACAAAAAGTGAGATAAGTATAATAATGAAAAAATAAATATATACATGTAACAAATATCCAAAGATTTTGTTGAGCATTAAGGCAATAGTGACAAAGAAGATTGCGGTTAATTAGAGAGAAAGTGTTAATGTGGTCCCCAGCTATATAAACATGCTTGATGTTCAATAGTTTATTCTCACACAAGTCAGTATGAAAACAACGAAAAAAGTTTGACAGAGAATTTATTTACAACGATGAACGAAACATGCGTGTTTTTGATCGTACTCCAACGCCATGCCACGGTCGCGACCCCTTAAAAAAACAAAGTTCTAAATCATCAATGATGGACACGCACATGCAGGACCAAATAAGAGAAGGTTTTTTGAATTAATAAATACCGTTTAACTCGCATGATCAAAAATTCGTGGTTCTGCATGTCATGCTTCTCTGAAGCATTTGTATCGTTGAAAACATCAAAACACATCTGCGTAAAGACAAAAAACAAATCATATTGCAAGGTGCAGAAACTTTTTACAAATTCTAAAAACTTCAGCACAACATCAATACACCAACAAGAGAAATACTGAAGAAAAGCCAAACCTGAACACGCCTTAGTTGATTCGAAAGAATGTTATCTCTTGAGTCTTCTTTACACATTTCTTCATAAAAAACATTGACCTCTGTTTCAATTGCCTAAATCAAAAAAGGTTACGTTGTAAGAGCAAAACAAAATGCAAACAATAGTGTTTCATGCTGTTGGATATGTGTTCTACAAATAAATGGATCATTGAATGTTTGTACGCAACTTCACTTGTCAATACAACTTAAATAATGAACATTTTCTTTAACACGTTTGTAGATGTAGATCGTCCAGGTTGTTAGAGTTCTGACGACCGTTGGTGCTGAAGTTGACGGAGGTTTACTCCTCATGCATTTGACTCAAAATATGACCAACGTTGTATAAGTTTGTAGAAATATCATTCAACATCAACACTAACATTCCTTCTCAGAACTTTGTCAAACTGGGCGATCTACATTTAAAAACATGTAACGGTACTCCCAGTTTCAATCCATTCACTTTAAAACATTTTCTTGATTACCACATACCCTGACATAATCATTGTTCACATAAGAACCATTGCTGGAAACAGCCATCTTGAATAACGGTGTTCGAACTGGATAATCTGATGGAACTATGACAGCCGCCTTCAGTTTAACTAAAAGAAATACAATATGAATGAATGTAAGCTGTCTTAAATGTACTCTCATGTTCCTAAAAGCCAATGGCTAAGAAATTGATAGCCAAATATACCATTTTCGCATGAAAAGGTCGCCAAAAAGAGCATATCATTTTCTGTGATAGATTCAATAAGCGTTTTATTTTCCACGAAAGGTAACTCCTGTAGAAATGTCGGAACATGTAAAAAATTTTACTGAAATGTCGCTATTATAATAAATATTGATAAAACGGTAAAACTGCACGAATACAAAAAAAATAATGAAAATATGGTAAAACTTCGAAATGTTTACCGAATATTCTGAAGTTGTGATCACATTCCACGATTCTAGTGTACTGAGACTTTTTACAGGGAAAAGATGACGTCCTTCTTCGCTTAACGGTATACTGAGTGATTCTTTACAAGCAAAAAAATTGGAAGTCATGGTTTAAAACTGACAATCCTAGCAGTACACAAACGCAGTGCCTTCACGGTTCTCACGTGACATGGAAAACTTATAGTGAACGTCATTTCAGTTCCACTTGCCTAATGATATTAACTGTTTCGTCAACAATATTCTCGTCAAAATTCTAGATTTAATAGATTTCACAGTCCTTTCCATGTGCGATGCACTGAGAGAGGAATTCACGGTCGGTATCTGTGCATGTAGCAAAAAAAATAATACATGAAATATATAAATCTATTTCCGGATATATCTCACTCAAGTTAATGGTCCAACCTCGTTTGACTTTGAGTCGGATGTAGGGAACTCTAGTCCACAAAGCTTTTGCACCCATTTGTAGGGACGACCAATGTTCAGTTTACCAAATGTAACATTTTCTATACTGAAAAAGAATTTTTATCACGGAAAATATTGTAAATCTTTCATATAGGCACCAGCTGAAGATGGGAATGTTTCTGGGGTAGACGTTCTTGCAACTTTATTTTCAGCCTATTCTAAAATAATTTAACAAACGTGCGCTTACCTTACTTATGCATGTGTACTCCTATCTTACCATCACAGTAATAGGTTGGATTACGTAGGTGTGACATCACTTACCCTAATTTGTTAAGCTGATGGTGATTGGTGGGATTAGGAGTGACATCACCAAAATCTTCAGGAAAAAGGCAGGTCAATACAGAATCAGGGGAAAGTAATGATCTATATAAGGATAAAATAAAGATAAGATGTATATATATATATATACACCACACAATTTTGTTATAAGATGTACTTACTGTATCATTACAAAATACATACAACAAATATTAAAGAACATTAAATCTACATGAAGTAAAATGACCACCACAGCTCGTTACCTTCCAGAAAATTTGAGCTTTTCGTTTTCGCTGCACAGAATGTCCAGGGAAACAGTGATAATGTTCAATAACGGAATGTAACAGAACAATATCTTTGACTTAATATCACCTTGAATACAAAGTAAAACGCAACAAAAGCTGAGTAGGCAGAATAAGAATCGAATACAGATACAGGCTACGTCAATGTCAAAGATGATACGTAGTTTAATGATCTTGTGTGAGCCCCTCTATAAATTTCCATCTATCCTTTGCATCTACTTTAACTGACATGCAGTACTATATAGTATTGCCATATATTACTATGCTGCACCAATATATATTTACTATAGTTTGGTGATGATGTACGTGTTGTGAGTCATGCAGGACGACAATATTGCAAGTCTGCAATTATGAAAGAAAAGGAAACTAACTCACCTTTACACGTAATTTCAAGCTGCACCTGCAATGGATGTTGTTTTAAAGCAGTCTTGACTTTCTCCTCTTGACAAAGTTCCTCAGTAGTTCGTCTATGTTGCCTTTTCTACGGCGAAAAATTGTTTGTTCCAAACCATATTAAATTGAAACCAAAAAAGCTTTAAATAGTAGAAATTCATGACAAGATGCGTGTATATTCTATAAACACAAAAGACTTAGGTGTTTCTTTTACACAGACTACACCAAAGAATCGCAAAACCTTGGGCAGCTCATCAACTTCAACTTCATCTTCTTCAGTTTTATCTACATTTTCATCCAACTCAACATCCACAACACCTGGAATTCCTGCAATTACAACATACTCAAACTCAGCAAAATCTTACGATTAACTACAACCAATTTAGAACTTGAGAACGAGTAATTTCAACGACAAGAAAGAGGCCCATATTTTGTAGAGTTTTATTGAAAGATAAATTATTAAATTACATACAATTACAGATGTATATTAGCTACCTGCTTTGTCTTCTAATTGAGCTTTAGCTGCTTCAACGTCACCAATTATCTCAGTATTCAGATTAGGATCTAAATGAAGCTTTTATTATAAGTACTGTATTTCTAATATAATTACGAAATATAATCTCGAATAAAATGTAAATTCATCCTTTTCATTGAAAACCACCTACCACATGCTTCTTGATAGGCCATAGATTGCACAAACAACACATACAATGGCCTAAAAATATTCAAACATTCAAGGTTGGCTCAAATTTTCATTCCCAAATTCATTAGTCAACCAATCATATTACAAACTCAGAATACAAAGCCTGTATGATTGGGTAATAAATATATTTTACATTTTTACAAAGACATTACACGGTGCACTTTATCTATTTCAATTGTTACTGGTTGTAATACCTTGGTAAAAACTTTGCAGTCTGATATTTTATTCTCTTGCTTTCCAGTTGCATTCCCAGAAAATCTTGTATTGGAGATGTTGCCTACACATGACAAGCAATTCAAATCATAAAATAAATCAAAATAATTTCGTGTAATACTAGGTTAGGACAAGAATATATTCCTGCTTGATACTATCAAAAAACATACCTGGAGAATTGTCTTCAGCTGTGGCTCAAGACTATTTAAAAAATCATTCTTTTCCTGTATTTCATGAGCCATTGTTTTCTTCTTTGTCACATAACTTTGCTTGATCGCAGTTAAACTAAATACAATTAAATACAGAATGATCACTTTCAATGTGAATGATTAAGATTTGCTACTATTAACTTTGTTCTGTGGAGAGCACATAAACAGAACTCAAGTGGCTTGTAAACAAGCATTAGCTTTGCACTTCAAATCCCCTTAAAAGTTATTTTCAAATTTCTTTTTCTACAGAAACAGCATGTAATATTTCAAATAAATATACATCATTCAAATTTACCTTTTTCTTTCTTTTAGTTCCCAATCAAGCCGGGCCAACATAAGCTTGTGAGGATCCTCAGAAAGCTTCTCGTCCTTGATGATAAAGTATAAAAGACAGTTTTTCACAATGTCCTATTACACACACAAATATCAATCAAAAATCTCATCATGTACACAAATGAAGTAGAAACATTATATAACAAGAAATTGAATACTTAACAACAGTATGGTACAACCCTACACAAACACCTACTTTCATTTTTTCTAGTTCTTGCTTTAACTCTTCTTCAGATATTAAATCAATCTCCTGGTCTTTGGACCTGTTCAAATAAAAAAAATGCACATTGTAGAAGTATACAAAAACATTTTATTTGTCTTCAATAACTCTTACTTAAATTGTAAACATTTATTGATCTCCTTCTTTAAATGTGTTATCTCATATAGCAAGTTCTGAAGCTCCAGATGCAAGCCATCTACTTTTTGTTTTGCCTAACATAAAATATATAAAACATATGAAGGCAGGCATCATTTAATGGTAAATTCATAGAAGATAACAAGTATAGCTTCATCATCTCTCAGTATAGTGAAAAAATTATTGAAAATAAAATAAAAAGAAATCAAAATAGTTGATTACAAATATTTCAATGGCTAGGAAACATCCTTTTATAATAAAACATTGGGAAAGATGGTAGTTATGAGAAGTACAATTATCCACTGAAAAACCAAACCTTTATGTTTACCTCTAGTGTATCATCTCGTGCTTGTCTGTTGAGAAATTGAGCAGACCGGTTGCAGTTTTTTAAGGTAACAAATGATAATAGACATTGCATTCGTAAATTTTCCAGTTCAGTTCCCTATATTTGAGAATTTCAAAAATGAGATTGGTCATAATGGATTGACAGCTTCATACCTACATATCCGAACATTGCTTTATAAGTATGATCATCAAGAAAAATCCCCAGTTACCTCATAACATCAAATGAGAAAAAGCAAAATGACAATGCATCCATCCCAATAGAAAATATTAAAAGCAAAATAACTCAAAAGATCTACACATTATTCATATGTTACATCAACAAGTTTAGACATAATCAATGGCAATGTACATAAGAGCATTAATACTCTAGAGCAAAATACTAAATGAATTTGATATTTTAAACCAAATGAAATGTTCATTTTAATTCAACTTACATTCTTATCATTATCCTTGTAAGCTTTCATTTGCTCAAACAAGCTTTTAATCTTTTGACAAGCTTTCCTAAATCGTTCAACACCCGTGAAAGGCTCACTCTTTGTTTCACTTGCTTCGCTCGAGATGCTGCTAGCACTTGAACTGACCATTACTACAGTAGATTTTGAATCTTCATCCAGCGTGACATTTGTTTTACTAAGTTTTTTCACTGGGGGCGTTGTTGAAGAAGAAGTATCCGAAGATGTACGAGATCTTTTAGATCGCATTTTGGAAATCTTTCAAGAAATGAGACCGTTGCTAACCCATGAACACAACCACAAGTTACGAAACATACGATGGGCAGAAAGCTGCCACCATATTTGAATCAGACAAAGAAGACTGGAAACTAATCTAGGAATTAAACGAATTTATCACACGACAGAGGGGTTATTATTTTATAATATTGCTATGACATTATGACACAACAGAACTAAAATGGAAAGCAAATTGACATTTCAATCCAATGAAAGGGGCTCCATTATACATTTCATATACATATATATCTCAAGAACTCTTCTTGTTAATTAAGTAACTTAAACAGGTCTAAGTCTTTAAACTTTACTCTTTTATAAAAAAAGTATGGATAAAGATAAAGTTCACACTCATACAGTGAAGTAAGTACATACAGTGTGAAAGAATGTTTGTTAATAAAATCTTCTATGTTTCCATCTGATCAACCATTCTTGTTTACTCCATGATATTATGAACTTAAATATAATAGTTTCTTGATAGTATTTTAGAAGCCGTGAACCTTAACCTGGTTCTTTGTTGCTAGGTCAATATCAATCAAAAAGTCATGAATAGACTGACGTTGATCCCCTTGAAGTTGAATAACTTCACCATGTTCCGGATGATCCACAACTGTTCCATTACAAGAAAAATTCTACAACATAAAGAAAAAAATAGGTTATAGCAAATAATTCATCCTAAGAGTTGAATATGTAACATTTTAAAGATTTTTTTGACAATGGCAAGATTGCTAAGAATTGAAAACAATTGGAAGATCCTGCTGAAGATTATGTTATATGTTATATTGTATTATATTCAATAATCCTGTAAGCAAAAACACCCTTGAACTTTTATTTGGGCAATTGTGCTAGTTATAACTATGTTTTGCTTGTTTTAAACACACCACAACAAAGTAGGGAAGACCAGTAGAGGGACTTAACACAAACCTTTTTGAAATACTTGACAAGCTTTTTCTTGTCATATTTCTCTGAAATGCCTTGTACTGTAGTCAGTGTTTTACGTCCATTTCTTTGTTGAATTCGAATGTGAATCAAACCTTCTTGCTCTGACTTGTCAACAGCAAATGGATCTTCAATGATATGAATTCAATAAGCAAGGTATAAAATAGTGCATAGAGCCGCATAAAATAGCGCGTTTTAATTGTTGGTAAAGATTTTTGTCGCTTTTATTTTTCAATACGGTTTCTTCTAGCATTTCAACACGATAACAATGACTTCATTTAATAGAAGTACTTATTAGACATTTAATAGAAGTACTTTACTATAAAGTAAGTATAACGAAACTATTCTTTCTTAGACATTTTGTGGCAAAATACAGATTTTTTAACAAATATTGTCACTAAAAAATAGAAAGTACAAACATACCTGCTGAATTAAAGTTTTGAACCGACATACGCTCGTATCTTAAAGGTGAAAATACCAAAAGTTTCGCGAAAGATATTTTAATTGTTGATGCAATTATCGAAAATGGCCGACGGGAATGGGAGAAAGCGAGAAAACAAGGGATACATATGAACAACTATGACATGGACGGATGTGATGACATAAAATAATTTACACCAACTAAAAGAAAGAATGCTTTGATAGGTGCGAAGAGTGTGAGACTGTATTTTACATTCTACAAAAAAGTTATTAGAAGTAATAAGGGATATCCATGAATTTGAAAAATTTCATTGTTAAAGCCATCATTAAAATTGAACGTATTCATTTGCAAGTAATATTAGTATTGAGGGATAATACGGATACCGAGGGGACATTCGGTACGCTTTGAATGTGCTGGTTTGGAAATAATACCACGAGGAAAGCTAGAGAAGACAAACAAAAGTGAAACAAGTTTCTATTTATTTTAATTGAGCGAGAGAATTTTTTTTGTAGTAGAAGATGGATGGGGCTGGAAAATCTGCAACATTTGACAAGAAAATTGTGAAACAACTAGAGGTATACTTTCACTTAAATTAAAGACGTAATTACAGCTCTGTATATCGACGACTTTTAATGACTGTATTTTACATTCTACTTGTAATTGTCATTGGACATAGACACGATCATAGATTAAGCTACAATGTGTGCTCAAGATTTGATGACAGCGCTAGGTACAAGGATTGTGATAGTGTTCCAAAGCCATCGTCAAAGAATGAGAACAACTATTCTTGTTCAGTTGTTTTGCTTATACAGTTCAGCCACTGAGTTCAGCATTTGTTACCATAATCATGATGCTCAACTCTTGCTAATGCTCAGCCTATGTACCAAAGCGTTAATAATAGCTGCTTGTATATGTGCAAATTTTGTGTTGCTTTGAATAACTACGGAACTACCATTACCAGTACTGAATTTTTTTTAACAAATTGATTGTTTTTGCAGTCAGTAAACTCCAAACTACAAATGTTATTAAGGAGTAAAAGTGAAACTGACTACAATCCTTGCTTTAAATTACTTGAACTGGTTTACTTTCGTATGTCCTTTTTTTTATTTAGTTTTACTTTAGCGATACAAATTTGCCCCATGATAAATTTCTATTGCAAAAACTTGAAGAAGATGAAGGATGTATCCTTAAATCTACTTATAACATACCATTGTGGTGCTAGGTTGGAAAAGTTTAACAATTCAATGAAGTTACTAACAAAACACATCAAATATACAATTTGCATGAAAGAATGAATGAATGGATGAATGAATGAATAGATGGATGGATTAACGAATGGATGAATGAATGGTTGGATGGATTAATGAATGGATGAATGAATGAATGAATGAATAGGTGGATGGAATAATGAATGGATGAATGAATGGATGGAATGATTAATGAATGGATGAATGAATGAATTAATGGATTAATGAATGGATGGATGGATGCAACCATCTTGCTTATAACTTGACTATCGTAATATTGCAAATAGCCTTTCATAGTTGGCATGTATATTGAATTAAGAACCTAAGCATCAAGTGGTTTACTAAAAAATAATTGTAATGTTGTAGTTAATTATTTTTAGTTTGTGGTTATTATTTAAGCATCAGGTTATCTTCGTTATTGTGTAGATGGTATAGGATGTTCTTTGTATGATATATTCCTTGACATCAATCAAAATAGGGGTGACAATTGATTGTCTTCTCTCATTTCCTCGCTTTAAGGTATTTGATTCTGTACCTAATTTATTTTGATGTCTGATAACAATTTCATCAACAATAACTGTAAATTACAGGTTGTGATATTTTTATAAAACCTTCCATTCATTCTACTAATTTCAACAACACATATAATTGTAGATACAACCAAATAAAGTCTTTAATTGTGTTTTTTATGACTCTTAATTATTCAAACAGCTTAATTGATTTATGACATTATTTATTGTAGTCCATTGTGATTGATATTATTGAAAATGCTTTGAAAACTGAAGGTAGTGGTCTGCTTGAGGTTGGTAATTTCAAAAGAGATAATAGAAAATGTCTTTTTTGTAAAACCATGATGGGAAGACCTTTCTACTCTAACATGTCAACATTTTAATTGACAGTTTGATGAGACAAAGACAAAGCTACATCGAACAAAACCTCCGCCTGAGTTTAATGATGAATATAACATGGAAGCCAAGGAAAAGACTATTTTCTGTGTAGGAAATCAAAATTATGTATGTTAATGGTTGTTTACCATGTATAATTTTTTTCAACTTAATTTTTAGGAAGGTTTTCCTGAAACTACAACTTTGGATGATTTGGAGGGATTTTTTGAAGGCAAGGGGAAGGTACATTTGTTTGTTTGATGTTTTTTTAAGAAATGTAGTTTTTATTGATTATCTTATTTCATAAGTGTGTGAAAATATGTATGAGGCGGCTATTTGATGAAAAAAGGAGCTTCAAGGGATCAGTTTTTGCTGAATTTGAAACCAAAGAGGACGCAAATGCATTTGTTGCAATGAAAGATCTCAAATACAAAGAAAATGAACTCACTTACATGTTGAAGTAATGACAATATTTTATTCATGGTTCAGATGACTTTTCCTAGGTAACTCAAAAAGTTACAATTGTCTGCTTACTTTTGTATGTTCAGGGATGATTATTTCAAAAGCAAAAAGAAGAAATATGGTGAAAACAAAGACAAAAATGCAGTAGGGTAAACTATTTAAATTGACAGTTATATATTTTCCTAAAGTAAGTTATGTATAACTTTTTGTGGTTTTTTTTCAAGAACTGACATTAACAAGGATAAGAATGAGGTAAGCGTTGCTGACATGGATGGACTCAGAAACATAGGATAGCTAAACTGTTATTGTACAAAATTTTATTCATTTGTGTTATTAAATATTATAAAATGCCATAATGTAGGAGGTAGACTACCCAAAGGGACGAGTTCTTCATTTCAATGGAGTGGGTGGTCAAAGTACTCGTGAGGAAATACGTGAAATATTTAACATAGACAACTATCAAGTGAAATGGGTAACCTTCAACACAGGAGAGAAAGAGGTAACATCTTACCATTAGTCATAAATAAATGTGAAAAAAAAAAGATACCATTAGCTCCTATTAATGCAACAAATACCTATAAAAATGCCAACAATAGTGTTTAATTATGTTAGGGATTCATAAGATATGACAATGATGCTGAGAAAGCCATGAAGGCACTAATGGAGAAAAACAATAACAAAGTCATGATACGTGATGTGGAAACTACCTTACGCCTTGTTCAAGGTGAAATTTGAGTTTTTTTTATCAAGCTTCTATCTCATTAATCTTACTCGTTTTTGTACACAAAGGCGATGAAGAGAAAGACTATTGGATAAAAGCAAAAGAAGATATGGCAAAGGTCAAAAATAGTAAGTGAAAAAAATTGTTGGAATATTGGCTCAATGATTTGGCCCCACAAAAAGTAAATAAATAGGAAACAACGTTGACTTATAAATTTCAACATTGTGTTTTAACAAGTAACAACAGCACCGTTTTTTAAATCTGTACCATACAAATTTTGTTTTCTTTTTGCAGAGGGTAAGTACTCTAGAGGCCACATGAAACGAGGAAGAAATAACAGCATGCAAAAAAGAGACGAACCTCCAGCCAAACAGGCTAAATCTAACACCTAAAGTGAATTGTATGCTGTCATACAATCTATAGTTTGGTGACCATGTTCAAATGTGTAAATGTAAATCAATGTTTTTGTTTTGTGATGTTTTTGTTTTGTGATGTTTTTGTTTTGTTGTGTTTTTATTTTGTTGTGTTTTTATTTTATGTAAGAAATTTAGCCAGAAATTAAAGACAAACTTTATTAATAATTATTGTCGATTGCAGATGGAAGATTTTATAAATCATAAATTAGTAGCCTTCGTTAGAAAATGTGATTGATTTATAGTTTGGAAAATACTTTCTAAGAATTTCTGTACTAATTTTGTGATCAGCTTGTCCAAACCCCTGAAATTAAAGACATTTACCTAAATATACAAATCTTAACAATCCTTAATTATAAAGTTCATCATGTAAGCTAAATGTTTTTGAAATAGTAAAACCAGACTTTTCAATATCATTGTTGTATCTTAATTCTAGGCAAGCCTGACAAGGAATAATTGCCATACTTTTTTATAGCAATTACCTTATTGCCATTGTGTTGCTTGACTATATTTAGACATGCAGTAATGTATATCATATTTTTATTGTTTTACAATGACAAGTGCTTATAAGCATATGACTAAGAATTCTCCATGCCAAAGTTGAAATACATACCACAGAGTAACCATATATTAAAATTTTTCCATCTTCTTGATTGTGCTCAATACGTCCCCCACCCAAGCACTCTGAGTGTAAACCAAGATTCCTTATTTGAGGTAAAATTTCATCATAAATGTCAGCTAACCTCAAGAAAAATAACATAAAAATCATTCTATCAAATAGGATTGACACACAATGCAACATAGCCATGCCATATTGGAGTAAAATTCACAGCATTGATATTCCAAATTAAACTTAACTAATGTGCTAAGAATGACAATAACCATTATTAATTTCAGATACCAATAGTAAATTCATTATCCAACAAATATACAGGAGGAGATACGTATAAACCTACCACACCTGACACCTCTTGCCTAACATTAACTCACAAAGAGCCAACGACAAACATTATTATCAAGATTCAATAAAATAGATCAGAAGACTGTTGTAAATTTAAAAATATAAGCAGTAAAGCAGTTTACAAAGCACGTGCAGTTTGATAAAAATAAATACCATGATAAGCTGCCCTGCTGTATCCACGAACTATGTACTTCTGTTCACTTCCCTGCTTAATTTTTACCAAAATATATTTAAATCGACCATTGCCATCGATGTCAACGTCTGAAATTTCATCCATTTAAAAAGAGAAAGCCTTCTTTTCTAGATTGAACAGATAATACTACAACATACCAATTACTCATGAGCAATTCATTGAGTGAATTATCTATTTTCTCCCCGTTTGAGGGGGGAGAAATAACACAACTCACAACTGATGCGAAGGAAGTACATTTATTGCTTTGAGGAAAGGGGGTCGGTCGACGCCTATGATTTTCCAATTTTCCCTGCTTAGGGTTTCTTCGATTCACCCATCTCTTTTTTATTTCATTCATCCTCCTCTTTACTTTCGTCCGCTACTGATCTTTCTCTTTATCAGCTTTTTCTACACCTGACGTTCTTTGTTCTCATTATTCATTCTCAACAAATGTCTGTACCTAAGGGATGATAGGGGGATAGAAACTTGATCTCTTATTCTCAAGTTTCCCAAACATCATAATGGCAATTTTTAGGCGTGTCCCCAATGCCCAGTAACAAAAAATTCTTGTTGACGTGATGACATTCGTTCTAAGGGCCTGTTCATATGAGCCCGGGTAGCCGGGATTCAGCGAAGCGTTTAATCATTTTAGCAAATGGAAAAGATTAATTCCTTCAAAACAAAAAAGTTATTTAAACAATTTCTCTATGTTCTGAATTTGCAAATTCACAAAACCTTTAAAATGAAAACAAATAATTAGGCCAGATTTGAAAATTACAACTAAAATGACTCATGACTTATAAGAAAGATTGTAAGTTTTGCGTTTAAAGTTTTTACTCCTTTCAATATCTCAAAATCATTTCACGCCTCGCTGAATCCCGGTTAGCTGGGCTCATGTGAACAGCCCTTAAGGTATCCCAAGTTTCAGTGAACGCAAAGTGCAAAATTTCCGAAGGTGCGCAATATTAATATTTATCTGGATTCGTTGTTCTTTACATTTTTTGAATTTTCAGAGGGCCAAAAATCTTACCAAAAGCCTTACTCTTACCATTCACATTAACAGCAAAAGATTCAGACAAAAACGCGCATTTTCATGAAGATTTATTTGTAAGCAAATTACACACAATCTACGACAATTAGAATCATTATGCGGACTTAATGAATCACTAGTATCCTCGGCAACAGCAGTAATTTGGTCCACAGTGATTAGAGTGACATGACCCGTAAAGGTGAATTGCTTGTCCAATTTTATTCACGTCTGTATCTTTGTTTTTATTCACAGCTAAGGATGGCTGATGTTTGTACACATGGAATGATTCTACGCACACCGAATGGCGAGCTCTACAAGCAAAAAAGAACAACAAGTTTACTGAACGAAACTGTCTGACGAATGTTAAAGCTATTTTTCTTCTAGTTTTAAAGTCAACTGAAAAGCCACAACAGAATCAAACGTTTTTCAAAATTTCCCCGCCCCGCTACATTCCTCTGTGTGACCTTCTGACGTCGTGCTGAAGCAGTTTCAACTTTGAAATAGCTTAATAAAGGCCCATTCTTACAATTATGATATATTTTGCATAAGAAACTCTCGAAGTTATGCTCAAAGCAAATCATGTGATTTTGATATTTATGTTAAACTGAGAATGTTAACGGTAATGACTGTCATATATCTGGTTAAAATTCATCAATTTACCCTGAAGGAAGTTTTCCAGTGACTTTCAAAGATTTACAAATGTGATCACAAGTGACTCCAAACTTACAGGCTCGACGCACTCCCATATAAACGCCTGTTTTTGTTGCCATTCCCGCACAAGCACTTGTCGCCATTTCATCAAGGTAGTTTTCAAAATACGATTTAAAACTTCGCTTATTCTTCGGTCCCCTCTTGTAAACTGGTAAAAGAAAATAAGAAAAAAGAGTCAGTTAAACCATAAGATCACAACATGACATCACAAATACAAATTATGAATATTTTTCGCTAACGAAGGCCTTGCAGTTTTCATTTTGTTGTAATGCTTAATTTAGTCGATAGTCTTTTAATATATGATTTTGCAACAATTTTACAAGAAATAAAATTTTACTTCTTTACTCCACCAGTGGCTTCAGCTCTTCAGCTGTGTTTTATAAGAAGTTTTACCTTCTTGAAAAGCTGCATTTGTCAACGGCAGAAGCAGAGCCAGTGTGGCAAATGCAAGATGGATATTCATACTTTTCATTCGGTTGTCTTATTTCACCTAGAATGAAATATATTTGCAATCAAAATCTATTTTCGCGGAGTTATTTGGTTTGTAACGTAGTTTTTTTCCAATTCAAATTGTATCAAATTTTATTTTAATGCGCACCATGCGAGCTGCGACTGCAAAATGCGGTGTATTACCTATCGTGTGCACTATGAAATTGTTTTGAAATACCTTGTTTTGTTGAATTTCAAGAGACCTTTAACTGGTGTCGTCTGTTGTTTAAGTGAAAGAAAATGGGGGATGTGGCTAACTTTCATGTAAAAAAACTGTTGTTTATCACTTGATACAGCTGACTGATTTTAATTGTTTTGAACTTTCTCAATTTCAAATTCAAGATACTGAGACAAAGAACGAGCTACTGCTTTATGCCTTCATATACTCTAGATCTGCTATTGATTTACACGATATATAAACCTGCCTAACAGTTTGAACCAGTATTTCTTATTGGAGACATGGCAGTTAGAGCAAAATTTTATCATAAATGTCTGGATGAACAAAAAGTTGTGCCAGATACGTACAACACTTGTTATGTTAATATTCCAAGTTTAAAATAAGCAATTAACATACTGACATAAACCAATTCCTTATTTCAGGGTGAATAATAAAATCTACTAAAGTATACTTGAGGTATGTTCTCCTCTAAAATACAAGAAGCTTTTTATTGTTTCAGTTTTAAAGTAAACTGAAAACCACAACAAAATGTTTTTCAAAATATCCTTTGCCCCTTACATGCCTCTGTGTGACCTTATGACGTGTGCTGAAGCAGTTTGAAAGAAGTTATTCTTCGAGTCACTTAAACAGACAGTGTAAACAGACAGTGTCAGCTAATATCATAAGCGAAACATCACAAATTAACAAATACTGATTCTGATCTTCGCTCACAAAAGCTTGTATTTATTCAATTCCATTTTGTACTACAGACATTAAAATTGTCAATCGTGTTTTTATATAAGATTTTGTAAAAAATTTTTGTTTCTATCTTTACTGGATTGAATCAGTTGATAATGTTTTTGCACACGGCAGCACACCACCTCTTTTTCTGATTTTCAAACAATTTTTAATGTTACATGTTACATGAAGTTCTCCCTATGATTGAAAAATGGCGAAAGCTGCCAAACGCAAAGATATAGATCAATATTGTTCTCTGCCAAGAAAAACAATCAAACTTCTTGGTGAGTCTGTTGGTGTAGGTTATTTATCAAATGAAGTTGCCGACAGTATTTCGGAGGATGCTTCTTATAGAATACGTCAGATAATACAGGTTTGCTAGTCTTTGGGCTTTGGCCATCCAGCATATTCTTGCAGACTGCAGATGAATGTTACTATTCATTTTTTTATTAAAGGGTGCAAGTCATTTTGTAAAGCACTGTAAAAGGGACTACATTACTGGGGAAGATTTAAATAGGTCTTTGTTTTGGAGCCATGTTGAGGTAAGTAAGAAGTTCATGACCAATAACCATTGCCAAACAAACCAAATGCCATCAGTCAGCCATTGGATTTGTTTATCTATTGTGTGTAAGATTATGATTGGATAGGCTGTCACCATCTGACATTGGATGTTTTCACTTTTTGATTAGTCATCATCTTGTTGAACACCAGTTCAATATTCTTGTTCTGCTCCCCCCTCTTAGGTACTCTACCTTTGTACATGAATATTATCTGTATGAATGTCTAATTCATTTGCTTTTTTCTATGCCCTATTTGCCTTCAGCCAGTTTATGGATATGCATCAAAGAACAGTGATACCTTTAGTAATGTATCTACCAAAGATGGTCTACTCTTCTTTCATGACAATAAAGAAATAAATCTGCGAGAGCTAGCATTATCAAGGGCTTTTTCATCAAAGAATGAACTTGGTTGCTCTAAAATTTCAGTTCAAGGTATTATGTCAGACATGTGTTAGTTTAAACATATGTATATTATGTAACTTCAAGTTGCAATGTTTAATTGTAGAAACCTGCTCATTAACATTGTCTTCTGATGAACCTAAGTAACAATAAAATGAATTATTTCAATCATTGCACTATGTTCAAGCTTTTAACAATTTGTTGTTTTTATATTATTGCTATTGATTTAGTTCCATATTAATTTGTATTTTTATGATCAATTTTCTTTTACAAATATTATTTATGGAGCTATGAAGATGAAGTTTATAATTTATTAACAGGTCAAGCTGTTTGTTATCTACATGTTATTAACTTTTGTAAATCAACTTACTCTCTCCTACAGTTTCCTTGTTAAATGAAAACTCTGCTTCCAAAAATGGTGCAAACAAAAATGGTAAAGTGTCCTATAGCCTCTATAGTTACATCTAACTACTGTGTTAATGATTATCCATTCCTTTAGGTGAGACAATGGAGTCTGCCACCAAAATATCTGATTTTGAAAGTTTAAGTGAGGTAAATTGTGCTAGCTCTGTAGTGCAGTTGCTGTTAAACATTCAAGTAACTTTATTCTGTTGTAGTAGCTGCAATATGGAATGAAAAACTGTGTTCAATTCAACTTTTCCTAGACATTAAGATCATACTATGAACAAGTCACCAAAAACATCTTGACCTGCAATGATAAAACTGTCAAGGTACATTTAATAAACATTTATGGGAAAGATATGAAGAAAACTGTAAAATAAAATGTAATGTGATGATAAAAATGTGATTTTTTGCATAACGTATTTATGCATTGATTGATTGTAGATAATTGTTCGTGATTTGGGAAACAATTCCAAAATTCAGATTCTTTTGCCATATTTTATTAATTTCATCACAGAAGCGGTGAGATTTTTAAAAATGTTTTTTCCAAATGCTTTTCACCTAGGTAAATAAAACATCAGGTTGCATGTAAAGCAATTCACATCATTTTATGTGTGATTTAGATGCAAATATTTTGTGATCACGAGATGAAATTGACGAGGATACTCATGTTGATCAAAGCAATTGTAGAAAATAAGCATCTTTATCGAGAACCTTATGTATGTTTCATGCTATTCTTTATAAGATAAGTAAAATTGTTGAAAATCATTCCATGTTTTAATATTTATAGAAAAGTGATCACGCATATTTTGCTGAATATGTCATTGCTAGGTCATTCAGCTGGCGCGAGCAGTAATGTATTGCCTCATTGAAAAACCTCTATCAAGGAATACCTTAAGCTCTATTGATGACTGGATGTTACGAAATCAAGCTGCACGCGTGCTTTTTCTCATCAACAGGTATTTACTACCATCACAGTGGGTTCCATTTGAAATAAATTAGTTCTTATGAGATAGAATGTTAGAAATGATATTTCAACACTCGATCCCTACCCACGAAGCCACCTAACTGCACATTTTATCAATATTTAAAGTCCTAGATGTTTGAATTTGAGATTGAAGAGCATCATCTAATTAAGCGCCTTCCTCCCTCCCGCGTGGCTACTTTTGATAGATGCATATTTTTTGATTTGTTTGGTACCAGATCTCTTTCTATTTTACCCAGACAATGCACTAACTCTGGAAATTATCTTTCCTTGCAACTGTTACGTACATTAGAAGAAATTTATCACACGAGTGAAAGACCTTTGCATTGTCAATATGGAGCGATAACTGGACTGGCAATGCTAGGAAGTGATGTAAGGAACTTAAACTAGAATTTTGCATTAAATTAACCATCTTGCTGGACGTTGTCACAAAAATGAGTGTTACAGAAAAGTATCATAAACTTTATGTCATTGCAACGTATCAAATTGAAAGCTTGTCAGAACTCAGAAGAATACTTTATAGATGCATGAATGACAGAAATACAACTGTCAGACACTCTGTTCTAGGTCTCTTTTACAGCAGGCGTATCCTAGTGCAACATGCGTCGATCATAAAAGTACAATTATTACATTTACGATCAGTAACATACTAAGGAAGTATGATATGACTTAGTTGTGAAAAATTTTATGTAGTAACTGTAGCAATCAGTAGGATGGGTAAACTCGACATCCAAGTCATACACTCGTGTTGTTTTCATAATGTTTGTATAACAGAATTTCGTTCATTTAGGCCATTCAACAAACCATCTTCCCTCATCTAAAAGCGTATTTTGAAACTCTATCCGGTTTGCTTCGTGAAGACTCAACACCATGGAATAAAATGCAAGCTCTATATATTTTACTTAAATTGAAGGTAAGAAATAGGGATTCAGATGAAATGTATGTGTGAGAAGTGGCTTACCGTATCTCGTATTTTCTTTCAATTACAAATCGTTATTTAAGAAATAAAAGTATAAATTCGAAATCAAATCAACTTTGCATGTACGTTTTGCTTTCAACCCACCTATGTTTTTCATACTTTTCTTTACAGATTTGTGCTCTTTTTATATTTCGCAATAAATTTAAAGAAATTGCTGCAAAATCAGAAAAAGAGAGTCAAGTATTTCAGTTGAGAATCGATCAAAAAATATCTACATCAGAGTCCAGTATATTAGAGACTAAAGGATGGAACAAGCAATTAAATGAAGTTTTTTCGAAAATATACGATGAAACAGACGATTCTTTTACATTGCTTCTTGGAAGTTTAGAAGATTACGAGAAATTTACGTTTCATAGAATGAGTACTGCAATGAAACCTCGAATAGCCTCGTCGAACAAACCAAGAAAACACATTGTTAAAAACTTGATTCAAAATGTCCTGGAAAATCTTAGCCGCTCCTCGAAAAATTCACGGTATTTTACTCTTCAAGCTGAACGAGAAAGAAAATTTGAAGAAGAAGTTGCAATGTCTGTTGATGACGACAAGGCTAGTTTTTGGAAAACCAAGTTATTCCATCTCAAAGATTGTCACGAACTGCGATTTGAAAAATTAACGCAGAATTCTTTTCATAGAAAAATAACGCCTGGCTTAGGGGAAATTAAGTCGGGACAAGTAAAGAGCTTGGCTTCAAGTACGAGGCGATTTCGCACGAAACTGTCCTCGCTGACTACACTCATTTCATGATCTCAAAGGTCTTGTTTAAACATTTTATATTAAGAATCCCTCATTGACCTACATGCAACCAACAAGGGCTGAAGCTAGGTTGTAATCCTAACAGGGATAATTGATAAAACCTCAACACTATAAGTGAAAATTGAGGTAAAACGTGTGTATAATTTACATATGAAATATATTCGGCTCATTGATGCAGTTACAGGACCATTGGCGGCACTTTCTTCCTGAAAGAACTCCTAGTGTGAAATTTCAACATGGCAGCTAATATTAGCTATGTTTTGGTTTTGTGTTTGTGGAAGAGAGTTAATATAGTCAGTTTAAGTGTAATATAGTCAGTTATAAGTGTAATATAGTCAGTCAGTTTTGCTTTGTTTTTCAAATAAGTCTTTCATGGAAGAAGAATGCGCGTCGTAAGAATAAACCACAAGAGGAGCCTTGTATTGTTTATTGTCGTGGTATTGGCTATTTTATTTATACTACTATCAAAGCATTCCTCTCCCGAACGACACGGCTTTAGTGTTTTAGATGAAGGTGATGTTGACGAAAACATTCACTCCTTTGCTACTAAGGCAGTTGATTTTGTAAAAATAGCAAAAAGTAGGGATCTAGTTATGACCAAAACGAAAAATTCTAAGCCTTATGTCCGAGCCAAAACGTTCAAGTCGAAAAGCACCTATGTAGATCAGCTGCAGAATGGTGATCTGAAGAAGACACTAGACTATGGTAAAAGAAAAGGTGAAAATTCACATACTTAAACATGTTAAATGCTACGGAGTGTGGTATCGTAAATATTGTTAGAGTTTTGAAATTCTGGTTCACTTGTTTGTTTGTTCCATTGTTGTCTTTCTTGTCTTTTGTAATGTCAATTGTCATCAATGATTAATTGATCAACATAAGTTTATATAAGTTGCTCACGTTTTTTGTTATAGCAAAGATAGTGTCAAACCACTTAAGCTATGTCATAGGAATAGTGGTTATATCATGCAATAGACCATTGGCCATACAACGATCACTAAATGGCATGTTAAAGTACAGGCCGTCTTCAAAACAATTTCCGATTGTTGTAAGTCAAGATTGTGGTGATGAGAAGACAGCTCGAGCTATTTCCAAGTTTGGCAATACGGTTCGGCATATACGTCAACCTGATATGTCTGAACCAGATGTTCCAGCTAACATGAGGCAGTTTGCAGGCTATTACAAAATTGCTCGACACTTTAAATGGGCTCTTACACAGATGTTTGAAAAAATGGGTTATAATACTGTACTTATTGTGGAGGATGATCTGGACATAGGTAATTTTCTTGTTGGCTCATGTTTACATTACTTGATGGTAGTCTTACAGTTATTTATTTACATCCTACATATATGTTTGAATTATCTACTCTAAAAGAAACTTGATTGCAAATTGTATGAGGCAGTTCATCAATTTTTTGCCATTGAAACATGTGTTTGTTTTAAAAGTTTATGAAATGCTTCAAAATCAAACATCAAATCCACTTTGGATTTCAACAGACTACAATTTATGTAATTTTTGAGGGGTGCATATGCTTTTAAGTAAATGTTTTGAACCTGGGAGTATCGTTACATGTTTGTAGATGTAGATCGTCCAGGTTAGTATTAAGTTAGTCATGATGTTTACTCCTCATTTGACTATGAAGATGACTGCCGCTAAGTTTGTCGAAACGTCAGTCAACATCAACAAAAACAGTCTTTCTCAGGACTATACTAACCTGGACGATCTACATCTACAAACATGTATTATGCTTTAGTAATTGCTTTCTTTTCTGAAACATCCCATAACTTTTCTGTAATATTCTTTCATTTTTCTTAGCTCCAGACTTCTTTGACTATTTCTTGGCCACAAGGCATTTGCTTGATGAAGATCCTACCATATGGTGTGTATCAGCATGGAATGACAATGGAAAATCTGAGCTTATTGAGCCAAATGAAAATGGCAAGTTGTATAGGTCTGACTTTTTTCCTGGACTTGGATGGATGATTACTAAAAAGCTGTGGAATGAACTTGGACCAAAATGGCCTGCTGGATTTTGGGATGACTGGATGAGGGAATCAGCTCAGCGGAAGAATCGTGTATGCATTCGACCGGAAATATCCCGAACTAAAACATTTGGACGTATAGGTGTCAGCCAAGGCCAGTTTTATGATCAACATTTGAAATTCATTGTTCTAAATGATAGGAAATTTGATTTCCTTAATTCAGATTTATCATATCTTCTTCAAGAAAGTTATGATAGGAAATTTTTAAAGGAAGTGGAAGCATTACCTGTATTTTCCATTGAAGACATTATTGCTGAGAGGACTAAAAGTTTTAAAGCTGTGAAAGTGGTCTATTTAAGCGAATCTCATTTCAATAGGATTGGATCAATGCTTGGCATTATGTTAGATTTCAAAGCTGGTGTACCAAGAGCTGCCTATCACGGCATTGTGACTGTTATGCATAAAGGAATAAGAATTTATGTTGCACCTAATAATTAAAGCAAATGTTGCCTTCTGAGTGAGTAAGTGTCCACTCATGTTGGCTAGTTCGTTAAGTTGGTTTGTATAGAAGTCATTAATTTTAATGATTTATCAATGAAGTTTAAATGTTGTTTTTAGAAGACAAACATATCTATTTAGAAACAATAGAACTTTGATCTTTGTATATGGTAAATTATCAATGGCCCGTATTTGCTCATGCTACAATTACATACACTAGTACCAGTTGACAATAATTATATTTTTTATAAACGATTTCAAATACAAGTTTAGTACGAATAGCATGTCATAAGCAAGACTAAGTTATTCTTTTAATATGCTTTCCTTGTTTGAAACTCTAATTGCGATTGTATTTTCCCCAAATGTGAAGCAGGAACACAGAAGCAATGAAGAGAAGACTTAGAACAAGCACTGGAACTGGACCACTAAAAATATGAAGAAAGAAAGCAGTCAGTTGGATTTGCAAGATCAACAATTCTTAGTCAAATGTCAGAACTAACTGAGTAAATTCAACCTATTGATCTTACATGTTGTGGATATGTTATTACTACACAGAAAGTTAAACTAGAAACATGATTTTTAAGACATTGCATACACTTTTAGTCCAGGAGAGTCTTCGGTGTAAAATTTCCACATTCCCCCTCCTCCTGCAGTTGTCGGTCGCCTAGCTGTTGCACCAGATGTACCTTTTCTCTGTCTTGTTTGACCACCACTGCTAGATGGCTTTGCTAAGCCCTTGGAAGGAGACTTGCTTCCTCCAACTGAGGTAGATGATGATGATTGAACCTAGGCAAATAGCAATCACCCCATTTTAACAAACAATATTACATTTGTGATTTTTGTAAGTCTCAGTTATTCACACATTCTCTCTTTGGTTCAATTTAAGATTGGAATAGATTATTCATTATATTTTTCCTCGTAAATACAACTTAAGTAATTGACTAGGTCAACTAATTTATTTGGGGCAAATATGTGTTGTGTTGAGACTGATAATGGCATCAATGCCTAAAACAATTCGTTAAAATTGCCTAGCTTTGTGAGGAAATAGAGGTGGAAGTCCACACACTACATTAGAGTAGGGGCTGGAAAATTTATACAAAATTTTCTATTCTATTCGTTGTATGAGCAAAAGCAACAACTATGCAAACTTGGCTTGATATTTACGATATACTATTGTCAAACGTCATCATTACACCTTTTCAAAACAATGTGCTTGTGAAAACTAAGGCGACTAAAAATAGAGCACAAGAAGTAAAATGAGATCGAGAAATTACATGAACGTGTATTAAAAATCCTAGGAATAAATTACGAAAGAAAAACACAGGCAACTTACCATTATTTGTCTTCTATATGTTCGATATATAAATATTAAATGCTACGTCAGTTTTAAAAAAGTTGCGAAGTGCTAAGTACTGGCACTGCTAGAGAAGTCCGCTGGCCATTAGCTCATTTATAACTCAGTAATTTATTTTTCATTGACTAAAAGAAGGCAATATTTCTTGTACTCTATAAACTGCTTTTTATTAAATACATATACTGTCCTACACGTCCACTTTTACGACGATATTATTAATCAAGTAATTTTTTTTGTTACATTTTTACCTCTTTAATCAATGGGATATTTACGGCTTAAATACATTATAGTACGTTGAACAAGTAGAAAATCAAAAGACCTTGGCTTAATTTGTGCAATCTTGCACTGCTTAGTCAGAAAATTACGACAGTATCTTTCTCATCCATTTCTGTTGGTTGGATTTGTCTGCAATCCACTTCTTGGGGCTGTAGTGTAAACATTATGTGTATGATGTAATGTTGGTGGGGCAGCCATCAGTTGTTGGACTTGCCAATCTCCTGGGGTAAAAGGTGGACTTTGATAATATTGTATTCCCATGTGCGGCATTCTGTACTGAAATGGTGAGCTTAAATCCCCTGAGTATTCTCCTGGCATATGTGGAACCATTCCTGAAACATATAACTTCATATAGTTCATGATAATGTGGCTTTCCGTTTATCACCTGACTGAAGTGATAATTTCTGCACTTGGGATTTTGGAAGAGGACGTAAGGTTAAACAACATTAAAATAATTTAGTTGCCAATTTCGTTGAAATATGTGCATTCATTTATTTTATTAACTTTGACCGTATCACCCGTTACTAAGAGAGTGAACAAACCAATCTTTTTTCAAATGTTTAAAAGTGCGTAAGTTAATGTTTGCATTGGTGTTAGTGAGATAGTTCAAACAAAATCTAGGATAATATACTTAGCTGAATGACTTAACTGGACAAAGCCAAAAATGAGACGCTATGCTTCATACCAGTACACGATGTATATGTTTATTGTTTTTTGCGCTAGCATGTAAAATTGTGTGCTGTGTTGAAGTTTATCGTAGGCTTGCGTAAGAACTATTTTCTACATTATTTTGATAATTGACTTAAAAGTCTCGTATCTTTTACCTCGAGTAGAACTGGTTTGCATCGCTTGATATGAGTTAAGGGTATGATGTGATTGAAATACAGCATTAGCTGCTGTGGGGGTCGTCATGTGACCACTGAATGTGTGAGGATATCTTATTATAGGAATTGCATTAAAGCTACTCGGTGAATACTCGTGTTGAGTTTCTTGTAAGCATTCGCGTGAATAATCTCTTTCGTAATATCTATGGTATGCACCATGAACGTTTTGTGTGTTCATTTGCTCTCTTGGTGGACTCAAAGTTTTTGTGAAATTTCCACGTTTAAATTGCTCCACGTAATCGGGATGGACGCACCAAAAATGGCTACGATTTCCACGTCTCGAGCATTCACACTTAACAAAACAGTTGTGAAACGACAGGTTGTGTCGCACAGTATTTCGCCATCTTGGTCTCGACGACAGATAATGGAAAAAATTTCGTTCCATGTAGGCGTATATCTCTGCTAACACCATCTTTTTGTTGGGGTTAGAAAATATAGCTTCTGCTATCATTCCAATATATGGTAATGGTGTTTCGGAAACTTCGTGTTCCTTTTTGTAGTGGCTTTGTCCACCTGTACTGATTCCTTGTTCGTGTTTATCTATCTTTCTTTTCTTACTTATGACAGTGGATTTTTCTTCTGTCCAATATGGAGTGTTTATTCCTCGTTTGGTAGAGTTTTCTTCTGATATTAGGCTTGCGTTATTTTCGCTGGCTTTTTTGTCGTCCGCTGTTTGGCCTTCATCGTTTTTGCTGAACGAGAAAAACATGTTCTTTGTTTGAAAACGTTCGATGCTTCAAACTTGTTTGCCGTATTAAGTGTATTTCCTGCTCAAAAAAATATCGAAACACGTTTTAACTGTTCATCTTACACTTTTCGTTTTCAACAGATGGTTATAAGTGTCTACTTGATACAAGGTAATACATCTTAGTGCAGTGTGATCTGCAACTTGTTTCAAAAGATGACGTGAATTAATTTCTTGTTGTTTCACAGAAGCTTTTTTGCCCTTTTTTTAAGCATCCTACCTGCTTTCTTGATTGGATTTCTGCTTGTTAACCTAATGTTTAAAGCATTTGCATCTTGTGTTTCTTTCTTGTTGTTGTATGGTGTTTGTATTTTATGCATTTTAGTTTTAGAACATATTAAGTTTTCGACTTTGAATGTCGTTAGTGTACTCATTAAAACATTATATTAAAGGTTTTTTCGTGGTAGAGCTTACATGGTCTACATTGATCAAATTTTTCAAAGCTTAGTTAACTGTCAAAGTTAAGATAAACAGGCAGATTGAACGAAAAGAATGAACAAGCGCGTGTTGACACGCTTCTTTGAGTTGAAAAGCAGTATACCAAAAATTTCGTGTTAAGTGGAAATTTTCAAGGAATAAATTATATTTGTGAAAAAAATTTAATGAGTTTTTTCATAAGAATTTTCTTTGCACTCTGATATACTAAAAATAGCTACTAAGTTGCAAACAAAAATAACAAAGAAATAATGAGCTCTACCGACTCAGTCAATAACACAACGTCCTGAAAATAGCTGGTTTCTGTAACTAATTTTATTACGATGGTACTTGTAGTCTATTCCATGCTAATACTCTAAATTGATTGGCTATATTACTGGTACTCACTATCTATGGATAATTAGTACACCTCAAACAATTGTTAATAATCAATCTTGCATTCTGATTGGCTATTCCAGTTTTATCCATTGACTATAGACAATGTTTGTGGAGAAAAGAGAAAGCGGCAGTTATTTGCCAGTCAACTTATGTTTTGCACTAGAAGCTGTTTGTATAAAACCTCTGACTGCCGCTGTTAGTATATCTTAATGGGAGAATGGAATGGTTAACAATACGATACTTAAAGTATCATGGGCAAATATCATTTTAAAAAAAAATCGAATTTTTCATGATTTTTTTCCTATTGAGCCACCTTAAATAAGTTTGTTTAAATTCAATGCTAGCAAATTGTTATAGTCTATATGCATGTATGATATAAAATTCATTAACACCGATCATTAATTTTGGTAAATTAGCACGCTATTCAGCAGTTGAATGAGCTGTAGTATAACGAATCTCTCGTGACCTGCCAAAGACTTAAATTAAAAACACGTGGTACCTGCATTTAGACGGAAAAGTACTTTCATAATACATTACGTAATGTAAGTACGTTTTGAAGCTGTTCATTTGCTGGTAACCCAAATTTGGAAAATAATTGGCACTTCTCTTGTTGAGGAGACATTTTCATTAAATGAATCTGATATGACTGCACCTCTCATGTTGTTAATATTTGTGCAAGTTAATATTTTCATTTTGTTAATATTGCAAGAGACATTTTCATTAAATGAATCTGACTACTGATTAAAGAAAGCAGTCTTTACTTAATGCAACATGCAATTTCAACCTCGTCCTCGTGCTATAGGATTCTTAGAATAAATTTGGAAAGGTTGCATTCCTTAATGTAGGGAAATACAGAGCAACACCACGCGGATGTATAACACAACAAAGAATACAAGTCATACAACAAAGGACACCAAATTCATAATTTAGAAAGTAACCTTGTCAAAAACTTGCCAGTCATCACACCGCCAATGCATGATAGGGATAACATCAAAAATAAAGATACGGTTTTTGTCAAAGACCAAGTACTCCATGTATGGTATTGAGTAATAAGTAATCTTTCAGAACATAGTAAAGATAAAGATTTAAGGAATAAAGGATTGGATTCGAGCGGAAAATGTAAATTTCTTCACTTTTTTATCTTCAGTCTTCTTACAAAAAAAAAAAGAAAAAGCTTATTGCAGCTAGTGGTAAAATTTTGTCTAAGAAGCAGTTGACGTCATTTTGCCAACAGTTTTTCCTTTGTACAATATCTTCGCTTTGTAGTGCTTGAGCTATATCGTGTTCAGCCGAGCGTTTGTTCATTTGTCTTCGAAGACATGCACTCTATACGTGGCACTGTATCGACTAAATTTCGTAGTAATTTATGATTGAAATCACGAACATTTTTGGACAGCGTGAGATTAGAAAATCAAACTCCACTTTTCCTCTGTATTCATTGAAACAACAATAATATACTTAGCAAACGATAGAAGTAATATATACTTTACAAATTTTATTACTAAAGAACACACAAGAAGCTAGTTTGCTTATTTGACTACTTGCTTAGTTGAAACAAAAGTATTGAATTGTTGGTTCTTCTAGACATAAGTGAACGCACATCTCTCACGTATCTGTCACCGATTTGAAAAATTGCCACCTGCTTGACAATTCAGTGTTACTCAAACTGCATGCACGATTTAACACTTGTGTGTGTGCATCATAAAAAGTTTGATTTTAATGTTTGATCGAAAGCAAACAAAACAGGCAAAATATGGACATCCCTTTATTGTAAAACAGAGAATTTAATTTTTTATAAGTTTTTTCGTTGAGATTGGAGCGGATTCTGAAACAATGGAGTTAGTAAACTGTATATTCTTATGTTCGTGAAACATGCCTTATTTAAAGCTGAAACATTAAAAAAGGAACAGGCCAATGTCACAAAAGTAATTGCATAAGATTATGTTGAAAAATAGTGGAGTGGTATCGTTGTTCATCATAACACATGTGCATTGCCCGATTAAACCCGAGAAAATCACATTGAATAATGACTTAATGTGATCTACTTTAAAAGAAAACGTATTATCTAGAAGCTTTTAACTGAACAAGGTTGGCAAATATCGATGGTTATGTTTTGTATTGTTAAAAAGTTTTTTTGTTCTAAAAAGGGATTCGCTGTCTATTTATAGTACTCGTTTCATGCTCTATAAAGCTACTTTATTTTTCTGTGGGCCAGGAAATCCTTGTTTCCTTAACATACGGGTGAAATTGTCTGTTGTGTTTGTTTTGTTTGGTCCATGAGTCCATTGCATCACAGCTATACATTAAAGTAAAATTATTTTATCGTATGTACACGCGTGTACATTCTTGCACCCATCCAGAGAGGGAATTTTTTTCAACTTTTTTTTTGTTATTCTTGATCAAAACTCTGAACTTCATGCCAGATATATGAACTGGTGGGTTTAGCCAAAATCTTTAAGAATGAAGATAACTTTAAATCAGTAACACTTCATCATGTTTGCCCATGCGTGAAGGAATGTCTACACAAATTGAGTGAAGTCACGCCCCCATTTACTTATGTGAACGACGTTTCAAAACTGTAGTATTGCAATACTGCAGCAGACAAATACATACATGCATTATTTTGAAGAAGATTCGGTTTTGAAAACCGAAATAAAACTCTGTTTTGCCTCTCTTTTCAGTTGAATTCAGCTTTATGTTTTGCAAAATCAAATGAATATTATTTGTGACGATTTAATGGGCAAAATTTGTTTCATTTTGTTAATTTTGAAAGGTTGATTTTCTAACATAGATTCTCCACATACATATTTTATGTATACTGTATAGATTACAGACGAGTAAAGAGATTCACGATCCAACAACTTTCGTTCGTGAAGTGATTGATAAAAAGCATATGCTGTAACTTATACAAAGAAATATGTTATAAAGCAAATTTCGAAAAAGCAAGACATCTTGAGATTGCAAAATATGCGTCAAAACAAGACGAGAAGTGAATTGTAAATTTTCGACTTTATTTCAAAGTCATCCTCAGACAGAATGATATTTAAAACCATACATACACATATATATTTACAACGCATGAATTAAGTAAACGGAAGTAAGCAATAGAAATTAAATAGCGTGATATTTACAAAGGCAGAGTTGGAAGAGATGTGGTATTTCAAAAGGATGAATTGAAACTACAGATCCGACTGGTAGAATGAGTGTATTGTAATTTAAGAGATGGTTTGTAATTCTTTGCTAGCCTTAAGTCCCGTGTTGAGAAAAGGTTTGTTGTGTTTGATGAGAAGTGCTTCAAGAAAAGCAAGAATGTAGTAGTTGTTAGATTTGGTTGAGTGAAGTATTTTATAGTTGTTGAATACAAGGTTTTTTATAGGAGAGGGAGTTTTGGGAAGTGGAGGGAGATCATTGAGTTGTGAGAACTGGTTTTGTAGAGTCGCTAGGAATTGAGCGTTTTCGCACTCATAGAAATGCTGGCCAACCGCACTAGAAGAGAGCCTGGTTGCATGTTCTCTGAGCCGTACAGACAGGCATCTTTATGTCATGCCGATGTAGGTTTTACCACAGCCAGGGCAAGTTATTTCGTTTACAAGATTACTGCGAGAAAGTGAAGGAAGTTTGTCCTTGTTAGAGACAAAATAGGAGACTTTTTTAGTTTCACCGGTTGAGAAAGATGTCTTTGTATTTTCTTAAAACAGGACTTTAAGAAGAAATCGCCACGCATGCCAAGATAAGGAATACGAACCCAGATTTTAGGTAGATTATCATCTATTGAAGAGCAGTTGTAAATGGGAATGGAATCATTGTATTTCGATTTTAGTTTTTTAAACAAAAAGTTTTTAACGCTGTTAGGATAACCGTTCCAAGACATGTCAGATTTGATTATTTCAATTTGATTGTTGAAAAGTGTTTTATTGCTATAAATGTTGAAGGCACGGTGGTAAAGAGATTTTACCCATGCAATTTTTTGATAAAAAGTTTCGAAGCTAGAGAAATGTGAGTACTGACCAGTGTGGGTGTCTTTTCGGTAAATGTCAGTGCCATCAACGGAGATATTTGGAATTTGCTTTATACTATATTTCTTTAAATTGTCGGCTGGTCATGGTTTTATACAAAGAACAAAATGCTTTTGTTGTTTCATTACGTACTAGGCTTACGACAGGTCTCTCAGCTTAACGGATTGCTGGTTTTTTTTATTAATAGCCACTCCTATCGGGAACTTAATCATTTTGTTCATTGTTACTGAAGTTGTTCATTGTAAAAAAAACAATCGAGGAGAACATGTTTACGTCTGCCCGTGGTGTATGTAGTCACTGTCCAAATGAGGAAAATCTTCGTTATGTTGATCTAAAAACGATTGAAACACGACACATTTGGCCGACTACACGAAGGTATAAGCCCTATGGTTTGCCACACGTTGAAAGTCCATACCCCGACTTTGAAAATCCAAGTGTTCGACGCACATTTCAAGATTCATACGAAAAAATGCGAAGCAGGAATTCTAAGCGTCCGACGAAGTTCTTCAATGATGTGCTAACGAATAAAAACTCCAGCTCCTTTCAAGTTGATGGTCAACCTGTTTTATTGGTCTCAAAAGTCGACAAAACGTACGAAAGACAAGATCACGGCCCTGTACTATCGTACATTGGTATGATAGCCACAGCAATCTTGGGATCCTCTAAATCCAAATTGACTCTCTCTGGAATCTACTCTTTTATGGAAAATCATTTCTCAGCGGTTTTATCAAATAGACCTCGGTGGCGAAATACCGTTCGTCATAATCTATCGCTTCACGAGTGCTTTGTCAAAGGTGAGATCCCCGCAGATGGGAAAGGAAGATTTTGGCATATTCATCCAAACTACGTTGAGCAATTCAAATGTGGTAAATTCAACAAAAATATCCAACAAACTCCCTTGCTCTATCACGAAAATATTCCACCTAGTCTTGATTTACTGAGCGCAGTAACTTCAATAAGATTTCCTGGGTCTCCTTGGACGCAGAAATTCTATTCATTGATACCATCCACGTGTACTTGTCCTATCGTATCTTACCCTCAAAATACACGATCACACATGCTAGTGCCAAGGGAAATCTACTGCCCTTCGCGACACCAAAAAGCATTTAGCAGTGATTGTTGGAAATGCTTTGAAGGCGAAAGCCATTCCCCGTCCTATAGCCATTACTAAAGGATTCTGGTAAACTTCAGTATTCATAAAAGACAATCACTTGCATACAGTAGTTGATAATTCAAAGAAGAAAAATGCAACAGCGGAAACTTTACGTTTACTTCTTCGATTGCTGTATTAAGAACGGCAAGAAGATGAACTCCTGGCGACACCTGCCATATTTCTATACAACATTAGAAGTTTGGTCATCATAACCACCTTTTATGTTCTTTTTGAATAGTTAAGGCATTTCCAAAAGGGTTTTTGCAAGAAATTCTTTTTCACGGAAATTCGTGCATAGCACGTGGTCGCTACCCGTTGCAGCATTTATTTCTTATTTTGTTGGATAAATATATTTTATAAGTTACATAGAAGAACTTAGACTAAAGTAGTATATATTCCAAACCTGCGTTGGGAAAATAGTTATATGCTGTTTTGTAATATGAGACTTTTTCTATATATGCTTTTAAATATGTAACCCGTTGCTTAGCTGGGTTACATAGATAAGATCGTGAGATACAGTTAACTTAATGCTTATTCGTTTGTGTGTTTAAATAAAAAAATTTTTCGTGAATGTTGATTTTGTCTATCTCCTGTACTGAGACAGGCACTTGTTTCTTTTAAAGTTTTTATGGTGCTCGCCAGTTGCATGCAAATGGTTAACATTATTGCCAATAGTTTAGTCTTAATTTGCCCTTTTTGTTTATAGTTTCTTAGCTTCTATTGTGAAAACAATAGTTTCTATTGTGAAGACAATAAAGAATCAAAAAAGTTGGCGGGATTGTTATTTTAAATGTTGTATGTCATACGTAGCTATATATCTTTATCAAAAAGCATGTCATTTTAATAAAATGCTTGTGTTTGTATGAACTCGTTAGCCCTTTCTTGCTGTGGGTCTTGAAGTATTTATAAAGACACTTCACGAACACAATGTGTTTGGAAACATGCGCTCAGGAAATTAATCACTTGAATGCACTTCATAATAATCATATACGCCTGTCTTTATAAAAGAACAGGTCTTGTCACGCTAACATTTAAATATATCATGGGTGTGCCATGCATGTGTGCGTCGACTTAATTACCTAACAATGTCATGTGGAACTTGTTTTTTATTCTCTTTCATAAGTTGAAAGTAAGAACCGACAGCGGCACATGTATCAGTGTATAGAAATTTAAAACAAAGTCAAAGAATCCTTTTCTTGATATTGGGCTGTTTTGACTTCACGTTTTCCGCAATGTTAATCTTTGTTGCGTTTATGCAACATGAAAAAAAATGAGCTAGTTTTTGGATGAAGCATTTTTAGGACTAGTATATCCTCCATCAGATCAAGGTAACGTCATGACAAAGACGAATTTACCTCAGGTACCCGTGTTAAAGCTATGTGTCAGTTGAGTGATACATAAGTGTTAAGTCATGAAGTCGCATGTAGACATTTTCAGTATTTTCTGGTTTGGTAGCACTGAACTATACTCATCAACATTTAAAGTTTACATAACTAGGTTTGGATTTGTCAGCTGGTTTCTTTTTTCTCCTGTTCTTTCTTGAATCCATTCACAGTGACGTAAATAGTCCACAAGTTTGATTGTACTATATATGCAAATTTCAAATCATTGGCATCATTTATTTATATCTTAAGATAAAAATTGTTTTTACACGTGCAGAAAAAATTATCACCAAAATATTTGCATGGCGCGACCAAAGCTGAGAGCTGAGCACTCAACTAGCCACTTATTAAACGTATGTACTCTACAATTTGCTGCCATAATTCAAGAGGAGAAATCATTCTTTTATTTTTTAACACATGCATGAAAGTTAAATTAAAGTGAGCAGGTTCCCATTATTTCCAACGGCAGTTGATATAACATGGTGTGAAGGACATTTATCCTCTCTTTTGGGTGAGAAAATTTTCAAACATTCAACATGATCTTCGACGTTAAACCTCGCTCCATTCATAAAAAGAGAATTTCTCGAAATTTAGAGCGAAACACTACAATATAGAAAGAAAAGTTAAAGCTTAGAATACAAAAGGTATTCACAAAATGACTGAATTCAAACGGATATAAAAATGACAAAAGGTTATACAATGTAACTCGTGATAAACTACGTCGACAATGATCGAGTTTTTTCAATATAGTCACGTGCTATACTGCGTTAATCCTTATTCATTGTGATTTATTATATTTTTCCCTGATGCGTCATTTCCTTTCAAATGAACAAAATACATGTACCGTGCACATTTAGTCCATTGCTCTATCATGTCTTTATTGTTATATAATCGTCATTGACAAGCTTTCTCTGCAAACAATGCAACAAAAGCTCAGCGAAAACACATAAAAACACGAGGAGATATTAAATACCAGAAGAGAATCTCCAGTATTGATTATCGTCAAACGACCAAAGTCACATTTGTTTGCAATTTCTACAAGTAGTAAATCTTCAAGGTTACAAAGTCTGTCGTCTTCACCTGCTAAATCATCTAAATTTTAGCCTCGACAATGAGCTACAATAACCTGAACCAAAGAAACCAAATATATTTTAATGCTAATGAGCAACTGGAAAGTAATCATGTCGATAAAAATTTACTTTGCCGTGGTGAACCAGCATACACAAAAAAGGCATGTTTTAGTTCCTTTTGGGAGGAATGGTGACCATTATCTGGTAACATGGAACAAATCACCAAATTTGAATGCCAAACATACTAACTCTACAGACGAAGAACTTTCCTGGTAGCCATAACATGTGATCCTTGAACTGGTGCAAATGAATTATGAAAACATAGATATCTATACATTGATAAACTTCCCAACATGGTTATACATGACAAAAAAATTAATTTAATAAATTATACATGATTGAATTTTTACTTTTATATTTATTTTATGCAACAAACTGCTTGTCTGTATATGATTGCCAATAAATATATTTTGACTTTTTCGTTACTGTATGTATAAATGAAAATAAAGCTTAGAAATAATTTAATTGTTTCTGTTTTCCTTGATTTGCCAGCACTGCTTCAAGTCTTAACTTTTCTTTTCGATAACTGAACGGTCGATGAACTCGTAAATGGACACACTCTTTTGAAGAAATACTAGCCTGGTTTGTTCACAAGAAGCATAACATAAGTTACACACAATTAAAAAAGTTAAATGAAATTTCACACGTTTGAACGATTTCTTCTCTATCTGTAATATATGTTAATTGTGTTTTACACCTTGATATAAAAGTTGATTCCAGTGTCAACCACACGAATTCCAAAAGATTCTGCTTCCATGTTTACAATTGATTTTTTTGTTGTTTTTGCTACTTCTTCCTTGAACTGCATCAGTAAAAAAGAACACAAAATTACCATAAAGTAATTAATTAAACCTTCGGAGTATTTCATTTAAATTTTAATTGTTTTCGACTCATTTGGAATTGTTCTAACATATTCTAATTTTTCTGAAGTGTAATACCGCCTTGAAATCCTTCGATTCAGCTTCGGCACTTTATCATTTAAGTTTGTTGTGCGTTTAAAGGATAGTCAAGTTTTAAGGCAGCATTTCCACTAGTTAGATCTCAACTTAAACGCACTGTAAATGCGATACACAATTTAGGTCCAGTTTGTTTAATAACTTTTTGATTTTTTCTTCACGAGGATGTGAAACAACTGCTAGAGCGAAATGTTTCACTTACAGTAATATATTTACTCACTTGATCACACATCTCCTGAACTTCATCGTCGGCGTCTTGCGCATCTAGAGTTTCCTCTTTTTTACCATAACTCAACTCAATATTTCGATAGACAATATACCAGACTACTGGTTCTTTATTCCATATCGTGCGTCTGTTCCTTAGTGGCATTTTGGTTATAAACAAGTATTTTTGAAGCTACAGATATGACTTGTGTCAGCTGTTGTTTTATTTTGCTATTTCTGCATGCATTTGCATTTTTATCTTTTCACATGTTCCTGTTGTTACGGCAGCAAATTCATGAAAACTTAATTAAAATCACACGATTTACATTTTCTGTTCTTTTACCTGCTGTGGTCAAATTTGTTGCTGTAGCCGCTTCTAATATCTCATCCGGACCATAGTACTGCTTGTATATTTATTAATAATCGGACTATATAGTTAGTTAAATTAGTTTCAAATTACAAAGTTCAACTAGTACTCTACACATATATCATGCAAGCGATATATTATTCCATTATCGAATCTCATTGAATTGTTTCATGCAAATTGCAGCCTTTTAAAATGTAAGATATAATATAGTCTTGAAGCGATTGAAAAAGAGTATTATATACTTAATCTAAAAAAAATCTATATGGGACTATTCGTCCTTCTTCGTCCATAAAATTATTAAAATCATTAATTAATCATGACAACCAATCAGCACACAACTTAATCTTTGCCATTCAGGATGTGCGTTTCATTTAAAATGACATTATAATAGCATTCACTTGTTCTTCAGTGAAGTTCATTTGTCGTAAAAACAACATCATTGTATAGAATGCATCACATCCAGCGTTGTGAAGATCTTCCTCTCTATACTCGATTTTGTTCTCTTTCATGAGTTGATTTAAGCCACGAGTACGAAAATTATCACGATCTTTCAAACTTTCTTTGTAGATATTTATTACTTGAGTGTCGAACATTTCCTTACCAAGAGCAATATGATCGACTCCAATGTTTTTCAGATATTCAGTATCATGTTGCACAGAATGACCGAGAATGTATGTGGCTTCCCCAACATCTTTGGCAAATCTGAAATACAATACTTGATAGTTGATATCAAAGAGAAATGATTCAAACACAGTGATGTCATCATCCTCATGCGTGCAAACATTTTTACCTTCTAGCTGCTTCCGACTCTGGTAATGTTTTTGACGTACCGAACCTGAATCCATTTCTGTTGTCAGGCACGTAATCTTTATTTTTAAAGTGAAGGTTTTCTTCAATGATGAGATGCTCACAGCTCATCTTATATTGATTTGTTTTGGCATCTGTGAAATGAACTATGACGTAACCAATTTCTAATAACTGTGAATGGTCGTGCTCATACACTTCGATGTCAAACGACAAAAAAGACTTCCCAGCACGTCCATTAAAGGCTGTTTGAACTCGAGTAAAGTGAACTTTAGCCTCGTTGTGTTTTCTCTCAATTGTTGGTCTGTTCTTCCTAACCAAGTCGTTTTGCTGGAAGTGGCGGAAGTCGTTGAAATCTCTGAATCTTTTTTTCTCTGCTTTTGCACCGGGAAACAACTCGTATATGCAACCTTCCTCCAAATCTAATCCGTAGCGTCTTTTAATTGTGCGCTGAATTTCCAAGCTTTGCTCAGGTGTAATGCAAATATGAAACAACTCGTCGTATAGTTGAGCAATTGTGAATCTGTAGCCTGGATTGTTTTTGACAAATTGATTGAGAAATCCTTTTACTAATGTTCCCTTTTGTTGTGACACTTGGAATGCGCTGTAGATCCATGCTCCTCTCAACTTTTCCCAGCTAACAAAACCTTCGCTGCAATGAATGAATAGCTTAAATAATGGCAACTTTAAATATACACGACAAATTTATTGCCTATATGAGCCCAAAGCAGACTTCATAAATTTTGTTGTTTGCCTTTTTAAATTCCGTAAGTCGTATCTACATGCGGAGACAAATTGCTAAAACTTTGACTATATTAATTGTGTTAAAGTAATTCAGCTTGAAGGAAGTAAACAATTTCCAGTCAGAATAGCCTACATTTACACGATATATTGATTGGTGAATGGATTGTTTATATATATATATAAATAACCTATTGTTTTGAACTGAATGTGCCATCCTTCTCTTTCATTCAATGCTGACGATCAAGTGGAAGAATGATTTCAATAGGATATTTTGAGTTTATAAAACGACGCTTCCGACTTCTTCAGGTGAACTCTATGAAATGTTTATTTTTCATTGACGTCATGAGCAACTTTGTTTCTAGGTAACCTTGAAGCTTGCCGTGACCTGATTCAGTATCGCACAGCTATAAAACTATGGCTTTGGAAAAGCTCATAATAAGGGGCTGCAACAAAACGTGAAATTGTCATAGACATGAACACAAATATTATAAAGTTGGCTATTTTTGCGAAAAAATGCTAAAATCACTCAAAAATACAGATTTGTTGAATGGATAATAATATTCATAAATTAATGATTGTTAGTGAGTTCTATGCCAGACTTTACAACTGACAATGCGCTGCACGTATTTCATTGCAATTTAATAGGCACTCCACTGGCGACTTATTACATTTCGAATATTTTCAATCATTTACTAAAAGTTGGTATTTTTTAGTCGTTGACATTCATTTATAGTCACTTAAGAATAACTCATAAATTGTGTGAGAAAAATGGAAATCTTGGGTGGTATTTCAGTAAGTGATGATAGCAAAGTGGAGGTTTTTTCATATTCAGCAAACGATTGATTTCCAAACAACGAAATATTGATGATCCTTCCAGTCATTCCTTCTTCATTATTATTGTAACGAAAATGAACTACAAAAATAATTTTTCTTCTATGTGCGAAATATCTGTTCAAAAAATGTACTGCAAATGAAATATAAATGTTTTACTTTATGTTTATCATTTTTCTTTCTGCGTCCCCATAAAAAATTCTTTTGTGGGGAAAAATGTTTGTCTAAATGAAATGGATATGGCCCTGTTTGCAAAACACTTCAAAGTTTTGCACCATTTTCTATTCCTTAAATCTTGAACTTCCCTTGCCACCCAGTTTGAACTAAAATACGGAGCGTTGGAATGCCAATGAAGAGAACCACAATGATGCGAGATGCACCCAGATAAGCAAGATGAAACTGTAAATGAATGTTTTGAAATGATACAGCTTTTATAAATGGAATTCGATTGTATTAGTACGTTTGAGAAATCCTCAATGAAATGGCGGCAAAACTTCAATTCTGTCAATGGATTTGTGTCAGATAAAACCCAGCGTTCATTATGCATTTAATGCCAACCTTGGTTTCATTTCCGCAGGAACTTATTGTCCAGAACCATTTTTACCAAAATGGATTATTTGAAAAGAAAAATAGTATTGGAAAGAAGCAATCCAGTATTGCTTGAAAAAGTTCTTCTCAAGTAATTGCTTGAAGACAACTCCAAAAAATGGTGCTTGAATGAATGGAAGACCATATAATGGATTTAGAATATAGTGGAATTGAGAGATCAAAATGGTTAATGAAGGAAAATTACATAGGAAAAAACTACGGAACCAAATGGAAAATCTCTCATGTAAAAAACTATACAAAGGCATAAACTCTGATAACAATAAATGAGGTCTGTTTGTTGATGAAATAGTTTTATATACTGTATTAGAGAACATGATTTGTCGAACCAGATGACTAAACTTAAATTACATTCAACCTCAGCTGGCATCTTTCGTGTTGACCAACAATCAATGATGTAACTAATCAAAAGTGCGTAGCAAAACTGTGTTAAAAGAAAATATCTTCTTTATATGTGACATAATATCTATAAATACTTTACTCTGCGATTTAAGAACAAACAAAAAAGATATTTATAGTGGTGTAGATAATACAGATTGACTTTTTCACAATTCAGTTTTCACTTTTTATATCAAAACATTAGACAAATTCCAATTATTACAAAATAATTAAAATGCTCCGCATGAATTAATGACATTATGAGACTTCCAGGAAATCATTGTGTGATTCCTAGGAAACTGAAAATTGCCCACTCGTCATATAAGATGAAAACAAACCAACAAATTCATTTTTGTTTTAACGCCATGACTTCGTCAATATTAGGCAGCAAAGATTTTAATATCTTTATCAACGATGGTGAGAGATATCAAATTGAGCAATGGGTGAAACAATATCCAAACATTGAAACTGGTGGAGATCTTTTTGGAGCTTGGATTGACGAACGAACAGCTGTCATTCAGTTTGTCTTAGGACCTGGTAAGAAATGCCGACGAACTACTGTATCGTTTGATCAAGATATTGACTATCTAAATAATGCTAGAAGCTATCTTACTCAAGCACATGGCTTATGTAAAATTGGTCAATGGCATTCTCATCATCAACTAGGTCTTACCGTTCCAAGTGGTGGAGATGAAAACACAGTTTGGAATAACATGCCTCGACTTGGTCTTAATCGCTACATTGTCATAATTGCTACAATTTCAGAAAATCCTGAACTCAGTAGAAATTTCAATGTTAACATTAATCCTTATCTTTTTGAAATGACTCACGGACGAAGAAATGATGGTTTTCCAATTCCAGGTATGTTTCGTAATCTCGAAGGAAATTCTCCATTTCGATTGGATGGCAACGTTGAAGAAAAGATGAAAGAGGGAGCTGAAAAAATAAATACTACAAAAAGTTATGGCTCGAATAAACGGTCTAACAATAGTATAAATATATCTCAGAGTCAAAAAAAGAAAAAGTCTTCGACAGGTATCTCAAATCAATTTTATAATTTTTTTACACATCTAAAATAGTTTTGAACTTCCGTTCTTGGGCTCCTAGTTTCATAAATAAACTTTACTAAATAAGCACGATAATTTTAAACTCAAAAATAAGAGCAAAAAATTGGGATTCTCAATATCAACATAATAGCCCAACATAAGGCTTTTAAAAAAGCCATCACAATAATAAAATAGAGAAGGATTTATTAATAGCGTTTCCGTTTTGTCTTTAACTTAAGACATCTTCAGATTATTTGAGTTAATTTATATACACGAGGTTTTAAATACAAGCATATATTACGGGGTGTTAAATTACATGTGAGGGGAGTAGGAAGTTTAGATGACGGAATTAAGTGAGAATGGCAGTATATTAAAGAAGGTGAAGGGGGATTGAGTTGCCTTGGGTGTTAAGAGAGGTAATTAAGTGTATTACGGTAATACAATTCATTGCAAAACAAAATACAACCATTCATGTTTTCGCATCTTAGACACCGCCAACTCTCCTTTTTCTCTTAAACTGAAAGAAGCGCTCTACATTAAAAAGCTCAAACCAGACCTCAACAAACAAATATACCACATTAATACAATATTTAACCTGTAATATAATATCTAACACTAATTCTGTAATTTGATACACTTAACGATAGTCACATACACATATATATATTCACAAGGTTAAATAGTTGGAATGTTATTAAACAAAAAGAATGATAGCACAGCGCTATAACCAACAACTACAAACAATAACGACCTTGTTCAAATTTAATAATCTTCACTCCTTCTTCTCAGAGATAGTCAGCCAAAGCAGAGAGTTATACGCTACTAGTCCCGGCTTGTGACCGGTTTAACTCTGCTATACCGGTCACAAGCCCGGGACTTGTAGCGTATAAGACTCTCTGCTTTTGAGCAGACTTGTCTGGTTTACAAGGAAGAGGAGTGGAAGGTTAATTTCACATATATATATATATATCATGTAAAGAGCATAATCACTTTCATTCTATGTACTGAAGATGGCATAAGCATGCCGAAACATGTTTACGATAAAAAAACTCGTCGTTCATTTAAAATGTCTGATATCCATCGTGCTTTTAAAAAATTATGGAAATAACTTACGTAAAAACTAACAACGATATTACAATAACAAATTCACAATGTCACTTAATATGACATGTGTCATACTTACTAATTATGCATGCAATGCTATGTTGTTTATGTTTTTCGCGTGATGTTCATATCTTAACAAAATTAACTTTTAAATTGAATGATTGAGGTCATCGTCAGACTACTGAAAAAAAACGGGAAGCCATATTTTTTTGCTACTCGCTATCTGTTAAAACATGTATCATGATTTCACTCGGGTTACTCAAAAAAAGTGTTCGGTGGTTATATTTGTTTATTATAAAAAAAAACAAAAACAACGAAATTCACGGCAATATAATCTAAAATGTGGCAACATGTTATTTAAGTAAATCATCTTTCATCATACGTGTCATTAGTGACACTCACACGTGAAACAATCCGAGAAATATTTTGATTGGTTGAAGAGGTTTTTTATCATATCAGTCACGTGATTTGTATAATATTGCAACAAATTAAATTCCCACATCATCTAATATAAAAACATAAACCATCGAAGAATACTACATAGGTGAGTCTTCAAACAATCATCATCTAATATAGTCGGTCGTAAATAATTTTTTTTCACATCATTTTAGTACCGTTAGTATAGAATAATGCCAATTTTTTATTGCAAATGCTTTAATTCTTATTCGCAGTTGGTTGCAAAAATAACATTGCATAAAACATTTTGTAAAATTTTGTAAGGGAACCTGTTCAAAGTAAGACTAATAAACAATTGTTATAACACAGTACAGAAGTATTACTTGTCTATAATTGATATTGCAAGCCTCAATACGTCCCATAGAAGTTGCATTAAATTCAAAACTTATTTCAAGCCTTACAAAATTTGTAATGAAACCGCGCAGTCGTATTTGATTACAGAATCTAGGCGTGTGAGCAATCTCTAAAATTTCTGGTGATGATTTTGCCTTCACCCTCATCCATTATTAGCTTATAGAAATCTCAAGCTCGTAATCTTATTGTTCATTACTTAGGCTTAGTTTATATGTTGGTGTGTTAAAGAAATCTATGTGCCTTTTTATATAGTCCTAGAAAACATGGCAAACCCAATAAATAACATGAAAAAGCGATGGAGCTCGCATAAAATGTTTTCCTACATCATGTTGATGATGCACAATCCTTAAAAAGTCTTGGTTTTAACAAACATTGAAAAAAAGATACGTTCTTCTAGCTGCGTTTATGGAGGCTATACAGTGTTGTGAAAAATAATATCTGATGGAATTGAAAAACACGAGTCGGTCAATATCAATAACTTGCCGGCGGAAATGTACTTACGCTGAAGTTAAATATTATCAGTATAGGTAATTGCATGTTTTCAGGTGCAATTTGGGAAAACATGCAAGAGTGGGTTTTTCAAAGACTATCAATTTGAGACTGTCAAAGACTATCAGTTTGTTATTACATTTGCATGTATAACATACATCGGCATAGTATGTAAAAGACGAAACAACTGGCTTTTGCCCCCGTCCTTTTTGCCTCACTACTCTATGAAACATTTGTGCTACCTACGGATTTTATTCAACCCTCCGAACAAATGTTATTCGCAAAAACGTTGAAAAAAATATAAAAAAAGAAGAAACACAATATCTTTAAGTAATGAAATGGCCTGCTCCCCGTCGGATAAATTCCTTAATATTAGCTACCTTAAAAAGCGTTTTAACGTGGGCATTGAAAAGCAAATGATGTTTTCTTATCAATTGAATTATGTTATTTGCTTATATTTTTCAAAATTAGCCCTGTTCTTCATCAGAAAATCTTAAATAAAGACAAACAGAAAATGCGAATTGTTCGTTCCGGTGGTTAACGAATTTGCGATATCTCGGAACATACTGTTAATTTGTAAGTGGTTTTTACGCCATAGTGTTACTGCCTATCTATCTATCTACATATCTATCTTACCCGTACAACTACTTAAAGGATTTCACTGCTGACACAAGCAAATCCTTAAAAATGTATTGAAAGCTATAATAAAAGACATACAATGGCAAAAAGAAATTTTTTCACTATTTTATATTTGTCGAAAATGAGTTAACTATTGAATAAAGGCCACAGAAAAAGCTCAAATGAAATGCACGATTTATCGTTAAAGATCAATTGCTGTTGCTGCTGTTGCAAGCGATTTAGTCAGTTTCTAAAAAAGTATAAACAAAATTGTAGAAATGCACGTTGACACACTAATTCCCTAAATCAGACAATAATTTTTTTGTTCCAACTATCCATGCGAACCAGAAATGATTTATACATAAATAAAATAAAAATCGACATCATGCGCCAAGTTTCTTTGAAAATTTTCCTTTGCGTCCAAGGCAAATTATGCCTACATGCTTGTACTATAAAATTATGCTTGTTATGTTATAGATTTGAGGAAAGATAATTTTGCTTATATGATGAGTAACAATGCTCCAGGTGGCATTCAAAAAAGCAAACAAGGCATGCGTACTCTGTTTTGTCGTTAAATATAGTCAAAACGAAGGCATTTCCCATGCAGTTCAAAATAATATAAAAAAAAACGTTGTCGTTGATCTTTTGAGAGGAATTAAAAAAAATTAATGTATCCAAGTTTTATATGATTTTTCTTGCGCCTGGCGACAAGGAAGCATTTTTATTAAACATTATAATAAAAAAAAATTATCAGCTAGCTTGTGAAATTTTGTATGATTTTATTTTCCTAGTTTTTTCATTTTTATTTAAAAATATGTCTATTCGGTGGCCTATTCAATTTCTACGAAAAAAAGGGTAAAGTGTCACATGTTGTTTAAAATTATGATCTTTTTACGTGATTTTGCTCTTTTATCTTTTGTCATTTGGTAGCTCACTGTTGTCGAAATGAAATTTTTTTGTTTTGTGTTTTATATGAGCAGGCTGAAAACACTTGATAAAGTTAAAGACGAAAAATCCATAGGATTTATGTCAAATTAATTATGATTTAATAATGGACAGTTTTAAGTAAAGGTCAAAGTAAGATAAATGCCAAAAGAAGTTTTTTCTTTAAATGACAAGCTAAAGAATACGGAATAGAATTGCAAAACAAAAATTGGTCAATATCTTGTGTTGAATTATGGCCTCCGGAATCAGCCAAGCAAATTGCACAAATAAACCATTAATGTACAGTTAAACGTGAAAGCTTAATAAAACCAAATAATGCCGTTGTTGCAAATAATCAATCAAATTCAACAAGTTAAATTTTTTCTTAAAAAGGTGATTCACAGTTTGCCTTGACCAAAAATGAATGGTTATTTTGTTATATTATAGTTAGAATCATAGTCGTGGAAAGATCAATAATTTGAGGGTTCATATTCATAAAATTATGCATGTTATTATTTTTATATTATGCATTGTTTCTAAGCAGTATTTAAAGAGCCACAGACTTAATTAAACTAAAATAATAGAGGTATGATGTAAGGTGTTAAGAGGGTAAAAATCTATTGCTAAAGTAGAGCCATTCTGTTATCTTCCGTTATGAAATATATACTTTAAATATTAACAATAAGTTCCAGAAACTTTAATTTTTCTACGCTCAAAATATTTCAATAAACATCAGGTTGTATAGCAGTGGCCAGTTACACGAAGCCTGGATAGTGTTATTCATTGGATAGCAATTTTTTTAAACATAAACATAGGTTGTGCAAAAAAGCACTACATTTTAAATAAAGAACGATTTTTTGTATCAGCTTCCCTCAATCTTAACAAATACATGTTTGCGTATTGAATAGATGTACGTCGTTATCAGTAATTTATAAGATTTAAATCAACATATAAAGTGGTTATCCCATGTAGTAAGGGTAAATTCGATATACATATCCCTTGAATATATTTGTTTCACTCCCCTTTGTAAATGGTACTTTTTGATGTCTTTTCAAGAAATTCAGTTTCAAAAGTGGGAATATCTTGGTCATTCTGTCAAGCATGGAAAACTGTTGTCAGAATTGTGTTATCTTAAAGCAGATATTGAACAGAAGGGCAATTTACGTGTAATTTTCTCGGACAGATGTAGCCTTGGCAAAGGAAGCAATGAAACCTGTGTCTTTCTTGGACTGACAAAGGATGGTTACGGCAAAGCAGTAAAACGAATACGTAGAAATAACTACCTACAGCCCGCACAGGACGAAAAAAAAATTTTAAATGAATTCAATGCAAGGGAGTCGAAATATGTTGTGAATTATTACTTCTTAGAGGAAGATACTGGAACGGACTATGTTTATTTAGTATTAGACTTATGCGAAGAATCATTGAAGAAGTTTGTGGAAGAGTCTACCATAGAAAATCTTCAAAAAGCTCTTCCTGATGTTCTTAGACAAATTTTAAATGGATTAGCTGATCTTCATACTGACCCAAATCCTATTCTTCATCGCGATTTGAAGCCTTCCAATGTTCTCCGAGACTCGCATGGCAAATTTTTGATCGCGGACTTTGGAATTAGTCGAATATTGAATGATGAAAATAGCACATATGTAAGCAAAGCTAACACTGGAACTGAGTATTGGATTGCTCCTGAGTCATATCGGGAAGATATAGACACAGAAGATAAAGGACGTTACAAAAAAGAATCTGATGTATATGTAGGTGTAGGAAATACTAACATTTATAGAACATACGTTTAAATTAAATTTTCTGACATTTTATTTTTGTTTTCACGTTTCTTATTATTTTAGAATGCCGGAATGGTGACTTATTATGTTGCAACACAAGGGCAACATCCTTTTGGAGTGAAACGCTATAGATTGGACAACATGTTGAAAGGAAACCCTGTTGGCTTGGATGAAATCAAGAATAAAACGCTGAAAGACCTTTTGACGTGGATGTTAAATCGTTTGCCAGAAGACAGGCCATCTGCCAACGAGGCGTTGAAACACCCATTTTTTATGTCAGATGACGAGAAATTTGAAATGCTATGTAAAGTTGGGAACCAACTGGCAATTAAGACAAATGATACCCAGTCAAGTGTGGTCTATCAATTAAATAATGAATCTTCAGACTGGAGAAGTCAAATTGATAGTGATGTATATGCTTATTTTACAACAGATGAGGTGAATGGAAAAATTTGTAGGTACGGATCCGCTTGGACAGAATGCTTGAGACTTATTCGAAACCTTGGGCAGCACTGGAACGATCGACCTCGGCCTAGACCACAACCATTTTATAAGATTGGCGATCACAAGTTGTATTTTCTCAAAACTTTCCCTGATCTCCCTGTTCGGGTGCATGCAGCTATCAGGTCAAATAAAAAATTAAAAAACAATTCAGAACTTAAAGGTAAGCATTGAAATTTTCACCATAGACAGTTTAATTATGTACTCGTTAAATAATACGTTAAATTAAGCAATATTGTTACATGACATTAACACCATGTGTTGGTTGATCATTTTTTAAGTTATAATTATTGATATTTCTATGATAATCTTTGATATTATCAGTCATTGTACGTTTTTCTCATTATTATTTCCACTCTTATTCTTTATTATTATATAGTTCGTAATCTAAAAATTAATACCAGCATTGTATATACACAGAATGTAATGTCAACATTGATGAAGATGTAAAATCACCTCACGAAAATAAGAATCAGCAAACAGATAAAAGTACAAAACTTTCGCCAGTTAATATCAACATTGATGAAGATGTAAAATCACCTCACGATAATAAGAATCAGCGAAAAGATAAAGGTACAAAACTTTTGCCAGTTACTGTCAACATTGGTGAAGATCAAGAATCACCTCACGAAAATAAGAATCAGCAAACAGATAAAGGTACAGAACTATTACAAGATAATGCCAACATTGGTGAAGATCAAAAATTAGCTCATGAAAATCAGAATCAGCAAACAGGTAAGGTTACAGAACTATCGCAAGATAATGCCAACATTGGTGAAGATCAAAAATTAGCTCATGAAAATCAGAATCAGCAAACAGGTAAGGTTACAGAACTATCGCAAGATAATGCCAACATTGGTGAAGATCAAAAATTAGCTCATGAAAATCAGAATCAGCAAACAGGTAAAGTTACAGAACTATCGCAGGATAATGCCAACATTGGTGAAGATCAAAAATTAGCTCATGAAAATCAGAATCAGCAAACAGATAAAGTTGCAGAACTATCACAAGATAATGTCAACATTGGTGAAGATAAAAAATTAGCTCATAAAAATCAGAATCAGCAAACAGGTAAGGTTACAGAACTATCGCAAGATAATGCCAACATTGGTGAAGATCAAAAATTAGCTCATGAAAATCAGAATCAGCAAACAGGTAAAGTTACAGAACTATCGCAAGATAATGCCAACATTGGTGAAGATCAAAAATTAGCTCATGAAAATCAGAATCAGCAAACAGATAAAGTTGCAGAACTATCACAAGATAATGCCAACATTGATGAAGATCAAAAATTAGCTCATGAAAATCAGAATCAGCAAACAGATAAAGTTGCAGAACTATCATAAGATAATGCCAAAATTGGTGAAGATCAAAAATTAGCTCATGAAAATCAGAATCAGCAAACAGATAAAGTTGTAGAACTATTACAAGATAATGTCAACATTGGTGAAGATCAAAAATTAGCTCATCAAAATAAGAATCAGCAAACGGATAAAGGTACAGAACTTTTGCCAGTTAATGTCAACATTGGGGAAGATCAAAACCACCTCACGAAAATAAGAATCAGCAAACAGATAAAGATAAAGAACTTTCGCCAGTTAATGTCAACATTGGGGAAGAACAAAAACCACCTCACGAAAATAAAAATCAGCAAACAGGTAGAGGTACTGAACTTTTGCCAGTTAATGTCAACATTAGTGAAGATGAAGAATCAACTGGAGAAAGGTTTACTTGCTTGTCACCTTTCCGAAAAATAAGGAAAACAAAGACGTCAAAAGATATTGATTCTAAAGGGGCCAAGTTTAAAAAACAAAAGGAAGATAAAAAGTCACTTATTAAAAATAAATACTTTCTAACAAGAAAAAGTATAAAAAGTTCGCCAGATGATGTTAAAGATCGTGAAGTTCAAAAATCGTCTAATAAAGATAAGAATCAGCAAACAGACAAAGACATAGAAAGTTTACCAATTGATGTCAAAAATGGTGAAGATCAAAAATTATCAAAGAAAAGAAAGATAAAAAGGTTTAAATTCTTTCCACGCTTCCAAAAAAGAAAGAAAACAGAAAAGTAAATGGATATTGATTCAAAAGATGCCAAGGTTAAAAAACAAAAGAAAGATAAAAAAACCCACAAAAAAATTGAAGCCATGGATCGAAACGCAAAAAAAAACCTTGGACTAGAAAAATATTGCAACAGAATGATTAGTCAGACATTGGGATAAACATTCAAAGGAAGACATTTTTTTACACACGTTTGCACTTCTATCAATAGACATGTCGCATTAGAAATATATTTACCATGACTTTTATGTATACTATTGAAACTTCCATTCACAAAACCTAAACAATAAATATATTGAACAAAATATGCGAAGATCATTTGTCATCAGTTGCATTTTCTTCAATATTTAAGTTGTTAATAACAATCTAAGAAATTGTCTTCATTTTCTGACGCTGCTGTCAATATGTCTCGTAAAAACGGTATTGGATCTTGCAGAAATGTCGTTACAGTTTGGTAATGTTCGATATAATCTGAAAAATTTACCGTTAATAGTGTCTTTAAAAGGGACGTATTACAATCTTTTTGAGCTTTGATAATGAAATTGTACAATTCATCTATAGAACTCTTATAAAGCAAAGTAGGTTTTTGAGCAATTTCATTTGCTCTTGTTTTTATAACATTGAGAAGTTCAAAACCTTTAGCTCCAACAGGTGCGTCACAATCGATTATTGCTGACAATATGTATTTGCCGACTTCATTAATGAAACTAATTTCAATATCTTCCAAGGCTACAACTTTCCATTTAATATCTTGTAACATAATCTTCCAAAAATCAAGGACAAGTACTTTCACTTCCCAGTCAAAATCTTGTGACGCCATTTCAAGCACTTCAGAAATTGGTGTAAGACGAAAAGATTCAGCCGGTTTCAAATGCAGCAATATAATGTTGTGTTTTTCCAACCAAAAACACAATGTTTCCACTGTGGCACGTCGAGCAAATGCCGACTCTTCATCTTTGAATTGCATCAAAATACAATTTAGCACCTTTTCCTGTCAGAGATAAAAATTTTATGTTTCGACAGTTTTATTATATTAGACCTTTATTAAAAAGAGGTTTCGAAGTGTTTCTTCTTGCACACAAAAGAGTAAAACACGATGTAATGTAAAACATAAATTAAAACGATCCATTATCAAAGTAGATGTGAGACTGATGAAATATTTCACCTTTTTGATATATACCTCAGTTAATGTAAGAATTTCTTGGAAATGCTTCCATATACGATCGTGCATTGCGAGAAAGCCGATAGCAGAAATACAAGTCGCTCTGACGTAACTTTAGTTGTCATCCACTAATTTCCATAGAAAGAACAGTAGATTCGAATCAAACAACGAATTTGCTGTTGTTGTTAACTATAATAAATGTATCCAAATCAATCAATGCACATTTTCATTCGTTACCTAAATATTCTTAACAGGTTATGGGCCCAGAACGCCTAAGTACGATTAGGTAAACCGAATGAATGTGTATGAAATATATTTAATGAAATTTTTGTGTTAAACATGGCTGATGTAAACACGTTGAAATTCGCGAAACTGAATGGGTCGAATTACCGCTCTTGGTCCTTCAACATGCGCTTATATTTGGAGAGTCATGATTTGTTTGAGCATACAGATGGAACGGCTGAAACTCCAACGGAAGATGCTGATGCAGAAGTGCGACGAAAATTCGTTTCAAGTGCGAAGAAAGCCTGGACATATATATGTTTAGCCATAGAACCCGAATACCAGATTCACGTTAGAGATACAAACACAGCCAAGGAAGCTTGGGATGCCCTGAAAAGGCAGTTTGCTCGTGAATCATTGCTGCAAAAAGTACGCTTAAGACAACAATACTACTCGCTTCGTTTTCATCCAGGTAATGATATGATGGAACATGTAAGTCATTTAAAATCTTTGCACGATCAACTGAAAGAAATGAATGTGTCGATCGATGATAAGGAACTGGCCATGACATTGCTTGCCAGCTTGCCGGAAGAGTTTAAACCCCTAATTACGGCACTAGATGCAGTGGGTGATGAGAATCTATCATATGATAAGGTGAAAAATATGTTATTGAACGATGTTGAAAGGAGTGTGAATACAAAAGCTAAAGAGAATGCATATACAGTACGGGGAAAATATATGAAAGGCAAAAGCAACAATAATGAGAAAAATGGTATGGTATTTCGTGGAAAATGTCATAATTGCAAAGAAGTTGGGCACTTCGCCCGTGATTGTCCAAAGCGGAATATGAAAAGTGGTGGGAACACCTTCCATCAAAAGGAAAAGAAGAATTCAGCTTGGTATGCACAGAAAGAAGATGCTTTGACTAATGAAGAGAAAGCATTGGTAGCTACTGATCTGCTGAATAAATCAGTATGGATTATTGACTCGGGAGCAACACAACACATGACCAGTGAGAAGGATCGCTTAACAGAATACACAGCATTTGACAAACCAAGTATTGTTCATCTAGGAGATAATCGGTCAATATTGGCATTTGGTCAAGGTACTTATCATATTGTGTGTGATCTGGGAAATCGTAATCAAGCAATAGCTCTACATGTTCTATATCTACCTGATCTTGATAAAAACTTACTCTCTGTTCGAGCAATGATCAAATTAGGTGCAACAGTGGAATTCAAAGGCAAGAGATGTGAAATTGCTAGAAATGGGAAGTTGCTAATGGAAGCTGTTGGAAATCTTCTAAGTAAACTTTATTTGCTACAAACAAAAGAAGAAGATCATCATGTATACATTTCACAAAAACATTCTATCCTTGAACTATGGCATTATCGATATGGTCATTTAGGTATTGACAATATAAAAGAATTGATGAAAGGGGAAATGGTTTATGGAATAAGTAATGAAGACAAAAGTAAGGAACGTTCAATTTGTGAAAGTTGCATTATGGGAAAGCAACATAGAACTGAATATCCTAAAGGAGGTGGAAAGCGTGCAACTAATCTCATGGAATTGGTACATAGTGATGTTTGTGGACCAATATTGGTTAACTCATTTGGTGACTCACAGTATTTCGTAACTTTCATTGATGACTTTTCTCGTTACACGTATGTCTATTTTATCAAGAGAAAAAGTGAAGTTTTAGAAAAATTCCAAGAGTTCGTTAATCATGTCACCAACCTCACTGGCAAACCAATTAAAGTGCTTCGTACCGACAATGGCGGTGAATATTGTTCAAAGGAATTCGAATCATATTTGAAACAAAAAGGAATTAGTCATCAGTTGACAGCTCCTTATAGTCCTGCACAAAACGGTGTCTCAGAAAGGATGAATAGGACACTTGTGGAATCTGCCACGTGTATGATGCATCATGCAAGTCTACCAAGAGAATTTTGGGCTGAATCTGTCAGCACTGCCGCCTATCTTCGAAACCGAAGTCCCAATAGCTCAATCAAAGGAATCACGCCTTATGAAGTCCTTTTAATCAGAAGCCTAATGTGTCGCATTTGAAAGTATTTGGCTGCTTAGCATTTCTCCATATTCCAACCGAGAATCGTAGAAAATTTGAAGAAAAGAGCCGACGAGTTATTTTTGTTGGTTATCCTGCTGGAACCAAAGGTTATAAACTCTATGATCCATTATCAAAAAGATTTATCCGTGGAAGAGATGTTATGTTCGCTGAAAACAAATTTTACGAATTTAGTAAGGATTCTTCTGCACAACCCAAATCTTTCTACTATCCCGAAGAAGATAAATCAATCGAAGTTCAAGAAAAACAACCTGAAAATGACGAAGGTGACCAAATTGTTGATGACATGAATGTCAATGAAAATGCGGTGCCTGGTCAACAAGTGGGAGAAAGTTATGAAGAACGTTTCTTGCGAGAGACTGAAAACTTGAATGCAAAAAGGATACGCAGACCTCCACGACGATTTGACGACGAGTGTTATATTGTTGATAACCTCACGGAAGATGTTGATGAGCCTTTAAACATAAAAGAAGCGTGGACAGGAGAACATGCAAATCAGTGGAAAAAGGCAACTGATTCTGAGTATGACTCTTTAATCAATAATGGAACATGGGAACTCGTTCCTCCACCAAACAACAAGAATATTGTGGGAAGTCGTTGGGTGTTCAAAGTGAAATACAATTCTGATGGAACTGTCAACAGATTTAAAGCTCGTTTGGTTGCTCAGGGATATTCTCAATCCGAAGGGATAGACTACCAAGAAGTATTCTCACCTGTAGTTCGTAACACAACTATAAGATCACTATTGGCTGTCGCTAATATCTATAATTGGGAGATTCATCAAATGGATGTCCATACAGCGTTCTTGCAAGGAGAATTGCAAGATGAAATATACATGAAACAACCTAGTGGTTACGTTGACAAAGATAGACCTGAGTTCGTATGTAAGCTTAGGAAAAGTATTTATGGCATCAAGCAGGCAGCTAGGTGCTGGAATACCTCTATTGACACCTATCTTACATCAAACGGATACAAGAAATCAACTGCAGATCCATGCGTCTATGTTAAGTCAGTAAAACAAAAAGGAAAAGATTAACTTCGTGATAATGGCTATTTATGTTGACGACATGCTATGGTTTTCAAATAATTCAGAGATGCTAAAAAAGGAAAAAGATATGATTGCTGAAAGATTTAAAGTGGACGACTTAGGAGAAGTGAAATATGTTCTTGGAATGGTGATTGAACGAAACCGCAAGACAAGAACACTATCCATTAGTCAGCCAAAATATCTGGAAGGGATACTTAAGAGATTTGGGATGGACCAATGCAAACCTGTCACAACACCGATGGAGACTGGAATGAAATTTGAGTCATTGTCAAAAGATGAGACACCAGTGGAGACTCAAAGATATCAAATGGCAATTGGTTGTCTGACCTATGCAGCTACTGCTACTCGTCCCGATATTTCATCGGCAGTCGGAATTTTGTCGAAGTTTATGTCTCGACCGAGCGTAGTACATTGGCAAGGTGTAAAGAGAATCCTCCGGTATTTAAAGGGAACGTTGGATTATGGTTTGTTATTCACGGCTACTAGTTCAGATCCTGTGTTATCCGGATATTCTGATGCAGACTGGGGAGGTGATATTGAGACCAGACGATCAACTTCCGGATATGTGTTTCAAATCCAAAATAATACTGTCAGTTGGAGAAGTAAGAGACAGACCTCAGTATCCAGATCAACCACTGAAGCCGAGTACATAGCCTTAAGTTTAGCAAGCCAAGAAATTGTTTGGTTGAGAAGATTGCTTTCAAACATTGGAACACAGCAAGATGAACCATCTATAGTTTTCGAAGACAATCAGGGAGCAATAGAACTTACAAAAAATCCTAAATTCCATAATCGAACCAAACATGTGGACATAGCTTTTCATTTTGTCCGTGAACAAGTCAATCGTGATGTGATGTCTGTGGTATACTGTTCGACAGATAATATTTTAGCAGATATTATGACAAAAGCTCTACCAAGAAAAACTTTTGAGAACTTTCGAGATATGTTGGGAGTCAAGAAAATTAAGTAATTCCCAAGTTAGAGACATTAATTGGATTAGTTAAAAACTTTTTATAGTATGATCATTAAGTGGGAGTGTTGAAGAACTTCATATAAGTTATACTATAATGATCAACTATGTCATGTGATGTTGCTTTACTCTGTTCTGTTCGTACTGTTTTTTGCTGTTGTTGTTAACTATAATAAATGTATCCAAATCAATCAATGCACATTTTCATTCGTTACCTAAATATTCTTAACAGTATGCTGTTTAGTTTTAAAATAGTGAACTTACAGTGACAACGAAGAAGATGTTTGATAAAACCAAGTGTTGAATCTCTAATATCCCAACAAGCACTACATAAGTTTTTGGTAAGAAGACTGTTCAACCATTTCATGTTAACATTGGTTGGAAAATTGGTTGTAGTTGTGGAAAATAAACACTGAAGACCTTGAAAACAGCAAATGAGTAATCAAAAGTACGCTGTAGCACAGCTATGTCGCAAAAGAAAATCTTTTTTTATATGTAACATATAATACTTATAAACACTTTACTCTGCGATTTAAGAACAAACAAAAAAGACATTTATAGTCTTGTAGATAATACAGATTGACTTTTTCAAAATTCAGTTTTCACTTTTGATATCAAAACATTAGACAAATTCTAATTATTACAAAATAATTAAAATGCTTCGCATGAATTAATGACATTTAGAGAGTTCCAGGAAATAACTGTGTGATTCCTAGGAAACTGAAAACTGCCCACTTGTCATATAAGATAAAAATAAAACCAACAAATTCATTTTTGTTTCAACGCCATGACTTCGTCAATTTTAGACAGCGAAACTTTTAAAATCTTTATCAACGATGGTGAGAGATATCAAATTGAGCAATGGGTTAAACAACATCCAAACATTGAAACTGGTGGAGATCTTTTTGGAGCTTGGATTGACGAACGAACAGCTGTCGTTCAATTTGTCTTAGGCCCTGGTAAGAAATGCCGACGAACTAGTGTATCGTTTTATCATAATATAAACATACTGAAAGTTATCTTACTCAGGCACATGGCTTATGTAATATTGGTCAATGGCATTCTCATCATCGACTAGGTCTTACCTTTTCAAGTGGTGGAGAGGAAGATACAATTTGGAATAACATGCCTCAACTTGGTCTTAATCGCTACATTTTCATAATTGCTACAATTTCAGGCCCCGTCCACACGAATCCGAATTTATTTGAAACCGCGTACTAAACTACGCGAATCGGCCTTTCGTCCACACGAAAAACCGGTCTTCAAAGTGAATTGTTTTAGATCCAGCAGTTTCGTTGCATTCGTGTTGAACTGTATACATATGCTACCACAAATCAACATGGCGAAAAAGAATATTGCACCTCCTACTATGTTTTTGGTAGTGTCTGCTCTTTTTGCATACATTGAAATGAATATCACAATAGTATCTGTAGTAGCTACTCATTTGAGAAGGAAATTTGGACTCATTCAAGCTATTGAGTCAATTAATTCCAATGAAACAGTAATTAAACGATTGCAATTACAACGTCGCTGTCGCCGCCGACCAAGACGATTCTGGGTTTGTCCGGGCCGAAGCAGTTCTTGGTAAGACAACATACAATTGGGTATAGCCATAAAAGATGAGTGGAAAGAGAACTTCCGAATTTCAAGGCAGTTTATAAATTGGCTAAAGAATTAACGCCATATATTGAAGGTATAACTACAAATATGAGAACCCCAGTTGGTGTTATCAAGCAAGTTGCTTGTACCCTTTACTATCTTAGCCATGAAGGATGCCTACGCAAAACTGCCAATGCATTTTGAATTGGCTGTTTGCTCCTCAAACTGTGTCAAATATTGTCAGAAAGGTATGTCATGCAATATCTGTTCATTTAGGACCAAAGTATATCAGGATGCCAGTGACAAAAGAAGAAGTGGAGGAGTTAGTAAGAAACTTTTATCACTCTCATAACTTTCCCCAATGCATAGGAGCAGTTGATGGCACAGACATTGAGATCAAACAACCAAAAGTCAACTCAACTGACTACATCAACAGGAAATCAAGATATTCTTTAAACGTGCCAGCTGTCTGTGACCACAAGTATTGTTTTATGGATGTAGTCATAAAGTGGCTTGGAAGTGTACATGATGCACAGGTATTTGCAAATTCTCATGTGAATTCTGCTTTGAGAAGTGGGAAAATACCTCCTTGTCCAAAAATACTGCTGCCAGAAAGTACTGAGCAAGATGCAGTACCAGTTCTACTCCTTGGAGATCCAGCTTATCCTTTGTTACCGTATCTAATGAAAGAATATAACAATGGTGGTTCTACTCAATCAGAACAATACTTTGGTTTAATGTTGTGCAAAGCCCAATGGTTATTGAATGTGCATTTGGTCGGCTTAAAGCCAGGTTTGGGCACTAAAGCGTTCAATAGACATTAATTTGGAAGAATTGCCATATGTAATTTATGCATGTTTTGTGTTGAACAACTTTTGCGAGCTGAACAATGAGAGAGTCAATGAGGAGCATGTCATGTCTTCCATCAACTATGATAGGAACTTCCAAACACAGCAAACTAATAATTACATTACAGACTCAAATGAAATGGAAGAGAAACGGATAAGAAAAGCTCTCACAAAATTCTTTGATCCTTAACAATCAAATATTAAAGCACAAAATAATAAAATACTCTTTTCTACAGTGTGTAGGCATGGAAATGTAAATTCACACATAAGTCATAAAGTAGTTTTGTTCAAATATAATACTTATATATTTTAAAGAAAAAACTGATGAGGAAGAATGTAGTTGAACTTTCTAGATTTTAAAGCAACAACTAAATGAAAGCAGACAAAATGTTTTTACTTAAATGGTTAATGAAACAAAACTTTAACATAAATACTTTCAACACACATCAACAGATCTTTAGGTGTTGATTTTTATATGTTCTACAAGAACATTAAATCAAGAGGAAAACATATATGAAGATGAACTGCCATCCAAGTACGGTTCTTGTGTACACCTGTTTTTCCTGTCTGGCTTTGTAAAGCAGCATTACATTGTGATACTTGAAAAGCAGGATTTATAAAACCAATTGAATAGTTCAATGCTGGTGGCATGTAATGTGACATTTGTGAATGCTGATTAGGCTGGCTCATTATCTGTCTCAACATTGAAAATCCATCTTCAATGGATCCTGTTAATTGCTGCATGTACTACCGTGAAATTGGCACCACATTGGGCACCACATTCAACACAACATTCATCACAACATTCATCACCACATTCAACTAAAATTTATCATTCAAAATGATAAATCGAAAAATCGTCTTTAAAACACGTTTTCCATCAAATACAACAGTAAAAAACAATTCTTAACTGTTTATTACTATTTTACAGTCCTTAACCATCACAAAAAATGTATAAAAGTCAAGACATTGAAGAAAACACTAAGATTTATATTACAGTGTACTTTCCATTTCTCTTAATTAGCCAATAATTTAAAAACTACACGGTAATTTTTTAAACTTGGCCAGAATATAGATAATTATTTTGTCTAAAATACATCCAAAATCTGGAGGTGGCACAAAAAAATAAATTGTAGACAATCATCGACAAAGTCGGATGACACGAATGCGCGTAATATAATCTTATATAATTAGGTTGAGAATTTCAAGTCATTGCTAAACAAAGGCTTGTAAATAAAAAACTACACGGTAGAATTTTTTTAAACTTTGCCATAATGTATATATTCTTATTGTCTATAACATATCGAAAATCTGTAGGTGGCACAAAAAAATAAGTTGCAGAAAATAATCGACAAAGTCGGATGACACGAATGCGCGTAATGTGATCTTATATAATTACGTTCAGAATTTAAAGTCATTGCTAAACAAAGGCCTGTAAATAAAAAACTACACGGTAGAATTTTTTTAAATATATCCAAAATCTAGAGAATGAACAAAAAATTATTAATACAATTCACTTTTTACTAAATTGTTTAAAAGTAGTAAACTCTGGTTGTGAGTACCAAATTAATTATGCAGTGACGTAACAGTGCTGGTTATTTTTTTTGAAAATTTGTTCTAGTTGCTCATCGCTTTAATTTTTTCAAAATTTAGTGAATCTAGTGAAGTAAATTAATTTGCTTTTGGAGTAGTCGTGACGAAATATTACTTTAATCCAGGACCTTTACGTCACGGTATAATTAGACATGCGCATTATTTATATTGTATTTTTACAGACTTACTAGCATTGAGCTCTAAAAGACCTGGAGGGGCAAAGGGGCCTGGACCCCGTGGTCAAAAACATGGCGGTAATGGCGGATTTTGGTTGTCAAAACTTCCACTTTGAGAAAAATTTTTAACATTCGCTCCCTCCCGAAACGGATCTCTATTACTGCTCATAGTAATGACAACCAGCGAAAACAACCACGATACCGTAAGCATAAAATATTGAAAATAATGGTTCAGGTTTTGTGAAATACACACACATTTAAATGAAGTAAATCTACTGTAAAATAGCGTATATGTTTTCAAGTAATGCTTTAGCTATATTAGAAATAAATATCAAACGGCATCTTTACACTGTCAATGTGTTGGTTTTAATGCATAATCCCATGCGCATTATTTGTGTTTTTGACTGTTTGTTAACAGCTTGGTGCAACTGTCTTTCTTGAATAGATGGGTAAATCTTAGTTAAAATGTCCAAAAGGAGTTAGAAAAGTTAGCTTACCCCTAGTTTAAGTCGACGGAAATATATTATTAGTAGGTATGTATTTTTTGAGTTTTTTGGTAGGATTGATTCTGGATGTCTTATAAAGTATTATGATATTCTGATAAATCTACTGAGAACTTATGAGGAAAATATCTTGAACTAGGAGAGCAAAAGAACGAAATTCAGAAATTCTCTAATCATGTTGCTGGTTCTGTTTTGAGCCAAGATATTAGAAACTGGATTGTTATTGACAACCATGGATCTACTACTGAACAGAACTACGGTAATTTCCCATTGAAAATACTATTTCTTAAATCAAAGTGCATTGGTTTCTCTGACATAACACTTTTCTTATTGCTGCATGAAGGCAAACCTGTTTAAATAATTATAATGTAGGTGAAGATATTTAGCATGTTGTATAATTGTTATTATACAGACATTATTTATAATATTATGGCCTTGTGTAATGTATGTCAAGAACTTATTAATTCTCAAAATGCTAACCTTCTTGCACTACTTTTTGTGTCCTTAAAACATTACAGTTACTAATACTAATTTTTCTAGGTTCAAACAACTTGACAAATTTTTGAATTTTACATTATGCCTTTGAATTTTTCTTTTGTCTTTGGTAAAAATATCAGTGAATGACTTAAAATCAAGTTTATCTAAAATAGTATTTTGTACAAAGTAACTATACATAATTGGAAAAGTCTCATGTTGAAGGCAGATGTGGCTTTTTAGATTGCTACTCTTATTCTTTTAAATGATATCGTAATTCTTCAAAAGACATAAAAAGTTCTTTGCCATCAATTTTGCTTCTTCCACATTCAACTTCATTGCAACCAATGCATCTTATGTGAATTTTAATCACCTGGAATTGAAAACGATGGATTTTGTCAGATGATGCAGTACTGTATTTAATGCTTCATGCATGTCATGATAAGCTTTTCTTGAGCAAATATTTCAAGGTAGGAGCAAAATTTGGCACATTATTGAACAAAGTAGTTTTTATCTTGATTTTGATGTACAAACCTGTTTACTACACTGTGTAACAAACAATTCATTTACAGAAACACCAGATGGCATTTATAAAACTTTTAGCATAAAGCAAACCTTTACACACCATCATCATGATAGTCCATAATCTGTCAAATTGTTCAGGCGAGCTGTTTAATACAGGTAATTTTTATTGTACGACATGTACCAAAGAGCTCATTAATTAATCCTGCACTGCATTTGATTTCAATACAGCTCTGTCCTTAATATTTGCTTCATATTTTCAGAAAAATATCAAGAAAAAATCCTCCATTTCAACTCAGTTGAAACAAGGAGTTTTAAGATATGCATATCTCGAAGAACTGGTTGCTTTGCCTCGTCTAGCAATCGATTAAGTAAAGAACAAATAAGACTGGATAAACATAACTTAAATTATAACTTAGGAGTAAAAACATTCACAAAATATATGCCATCACACTTCAAGTA